GGTGATACTCATTTAGGAGGAGAAGATTTTGATTAAAGAATTATCGATCACTTTATTAAAGTTATAAAGAAGAAACATAATAAAGATATTAGTGCAGATAAAAGAGCTATTTAAAAATTAAAGAGAGAAGTTGAAAAATCTAAGAGAGCACTTTCAGCTACTCATGAAACTAAAATTGAAATTGAAGATTTAGTTGATGGTTTAGATTTCAATGAAGTACTTACTAGAGCTAAATTTGAAGAATTAAATAATGATCTATTTAAAAAAACTACTGGACCTATGTAAACTGCTTTAGAAGATTCTAAATTTAAGAAAACTGAAATTCATGAAATTGTTTTAGTTGGAGGATCAAGTAGAATTCCTAAAATTAGATAAATTGTTAAAGATTTCTTTAATGGAAAAGAAGCTAATACTGGTATCAATCCAGATGAAGCTGTTTGTTATGGTGCTGCTATTTAAGGTGGTATTATTTGTGGAGAAGAATCTAATGAAACTAAAGGTTTAATAGTCATTGATGCAACACCTTTGAGTTTAGGTATTGAAACTGTTGGAGGAGTCATGACTAAAATCATTCCTAAAGGATCTTATATTCCTACCAAAAAATCTTAAGTCTTCACTACTTATTAAGATTAATAATAAACTGTCACTATCTCTGTTTTTGAAGGTGAAAGACCACTTGTTAAAGATAATCATAAATTAGGAACTTTTGATTTAACAGGTATTCCACCTGCTCCAAGAGGTACTCCTTAAATTGAAGTCACTTTTGAAATTGATGCCAATGGTATTTTACAAGTTGCTGCTTAAGATAAAGGAACTGGAAATAAAAATTAAATTGTTATCACCAATGATTCAGGAAGATTGTCAAAAGAAGAAATTGATAAAATGTTAAGAGAAGCTGAAGAATTCGCTGAATAAGATAAAGCTGCTAAAGAAAGAATAGATGCCAAAAACTCATTAGAAAGCTATATTTATTCTATGAAAAATTAAATTGAAGTAATAAATCATATTTATCAATTAGGATCCAGAAAAATTGGCTAACAAATTATCCGATGATGATAAAGATACTATTAAAGATGCTTTGAAGGATAGTCAAGATTGGTTAGATAAAAATCAAAATGCTGAAAAAGAAGACTATGAAGAAGAACTTAAGGAATTAGAAAAGTAATTATTAATTTTATTCTTTAGAATCTGCAATCCAATCATTAGTAGAGTTTACTAATAATCTGGAAATCAAAAATAATCATCAGATGACGATTATGATTCCGATTTATGATTTATGTATATTTCTGTGTGTTTTGAATTTATTATTCAATTTAAATATACTTCTTTTTTCATTTATTTATAAATTTTTATAAAAATTGATTATTGTTATTTATTATATAATAATAATATTATTAAACCTCATTTATAATTTGGAAATTTTAAATGAACATTATTCTCTTGATATAAATATGGCGTATACTAGATCTATTGCAGTCCTTAGTACTATTATTAATATGAATCAAAATGCTACTAAACTAACGAATTATAGATATGGAATTAATATATTGGATATTAATTTAAATTATTCAATTATGGTTAATATTAAAATAAATTTTATGTTATTAAAGATGCTTAAATAAAATGAACTTTTTTTACATTAAACCTCTAAATTTTATTTTATTTCTGGAATCTATTTAATCATTTAATTTTGTTCTTTGATAATCAAATTATTTTTGACTTCCATTTTTATTTTTTTTTAAGTTATTTTAGGTTCATTTTGATCTCTTTTTGTTCTTACTTCATGAAGAAATCCATCAATCAATTTTTACATGTCTTAATTTGGATTTTATATTATATTTTGAAGCAATTTAGTCTCATCTTCACTAGATATCTTCAACAATTAATTAATGGAATTTTACTTTTTCTTTCTTTAAATTTCTCATTATCGCATTATATTAATTTTTAATTTGGTTCTCACTTCTATCTTTCATATGTCGTTGAATCAATGACCATCTTTTTCCAAATTTATAAACCATTTGTAATAAATTCAATTTCTCTTTTTAATCCCATAAACATTTTTATATTTATGGATTCAATACATTCTTCCATCGTTCTCTTATTTATTTAGGATATCTTTATGTTGTAGATAATGAGTTAAATTTAATTGTCAACTCAGTCCAATTATTTTTAACATAAAATTATCTTTTAAATAATAAAAATATGATTTACGAGGCTATATCTTTAAGGATCTGATCTTCTTTTTTGTCCATGAATGAATTCTAAGATTAGAATGCAACAATGAAATCCATTTAACTTTTATCAATTATGAATCAACTTATAAAAGTTCTGCAAGGACATCCCAATCTTTTTCATTCTAAATAAAATGAATTTTTACAGGAATTAAATTTGTTCTATGTTACACTTACAATAGTTTAGCTACACACCAAATTAATAGATATTTGTCCATCTAATGCCATTTCTTTTTATTTTTACCATTTGTGACACTATTTTAACATCATGTAAATATTTACTTTGAAAATACATTTTAGTAATAATCAATTAAGAAATTATCTGTAGGAAACCTTTTTAATTTAATTTTCACAAAATGGCTAATCTTCTCATAATCAAGTGGATTTGTATCCTTTATGTATTCTAAGAATCTTTGCCATACAGAAGAAGCCCCATCACTCAATTATATCATAAATTTAAATATTATATAAGGATTCAAGTCTTATTTCTAAATAAAATCATTTTTTCAAGAAGATTTTTGATTTGTTCTAAATAATTACATTTATTTCATTAGTATAATTTATGTATCACATCTCTATATAGTATCCAACTATATGCAATAATATTAAATTTTTAACTTGAATAAGTAGTTTAAGAAGAAGCAATTTTCTTTCAAAAGAAAACAATAATTATTAATATTCATAAAAATTAAATTATCAAATGAAATACAATCGACATAGTAATGTCTTCGATTAATTCTTATTTATTCCATCAAAGCTCATTGTTTATATTTCTAAGCTCAATTTCAAGCATTTTATTCTAAATATTAAACCAATATTGAAACATATATATTTTTTAAATATTTAGAGTTTCCTGTTCACACTGCATTGCTGATCTTTATAATTTAAATATTTTGATATTAGATTTCAACTAAAAATATCCATCAGTATAATATTTGTTTTGCTACTTAGACGTTAATAAAATTCAATTATAAAATTAAGATTTTATTGTTTAAGTGGATGCATATGCTGATTATAGAATATTATTCAAAATTATGGAAAAATTGATTTAAATTAGAAGACAAATAATATAGATATGAGGAAATAATTTTAAGATAAATATAACAAATATTGTATCATTAAATAATAGAAAAATGAATTATTAAAATAACATATCTATAACAATTTATAATGCTGAAGATTTAAAAAGTTATAATTTGAGTATAATCTATAACTACATTCTTTTAACAGATCCCATACAGCGACTTTGCTAAAAATTTAATCCATTTATATACAAAAGTTAGCTTAAATCTTAAGACTCAAATCATAAAAATAGAAAAAGTATTGCAATAATAATAATGTAAAGAACTAAACTCAATAGCAATTTCAGATAATTTTATAATTGAGATTATATGAATATTATCACACTTTTGTTAAACAAATGCAATTATAATCTCTTCCTCTAAGTTCTTGGTTTTTGATATTTTCAGATCTGAGAGATGCTGCTCTACTAATTTTATTTTCTCCTCCAAATAATCTTTATTATGTATTCTAACAAGGATTGATGGTTCTTTTACGCATCCATTGAGAATCCATTTCAAAAGTTTAAGCAGGATATTAACCAATTTTTCTAGTTTGATTAATTTATGTGAGAGAATCATCATATTTTCTATTATCAAATTCAATGTTAGGATTAGCACTTGAATATTTTTCCAGGGCTAAAATATAATATTGTTTAATATACATTAATATCTATTGATTGTATGAATAACACGATTTTCTTGTTTTTGTTTATAATTTTGATGCTCATCTTTGTATAATTCTGAATTTTAAATAGTTGGATTGTCAATACCAATGATTCCTGATCTAATATTAAATATGCTTATACTTGTAAGCTTATCGGATTTTTTTATAAGCTTTATTAGCTTCACTAAATTCTTCTCTCCATTAATGAAATCTTTATAATTAAATATATAATATACTTTTTTTATTATTCTTATGTTTCTTTTAGTTCTGCTAGATAACCAGATGGTTTTTTGAGTGTTTTATTTTATGATAAGGCAAGATTTTGTTGATCATAATTTTTTGATGGTATTTCTAATCTTTTTTTAATAGCATCTTATGAATGATTAATAGGATGATCAGAAACAATATGATTAATTTTGCTCATGTTTAAGTAATCAATATATTCTGGTATAATTCGAGGTTATTATCTACGAAAAAAGAAACTCTAATTCTAACCACTCCCAACAAAAATCGCTTAATTATCGAGATTTGATGTTTATTTTAGAGTAGAGTATTAACTTTATTTTAGAAAGGTGTCTAAGTGTTGAGCATCCCAACTACTTCCAGTCAAAGAACTCTAATTTTCTTCAATTAAAGGTTAACTAAAATAATTGAAGTATTATGTAACTTCATTGATCTTGATAAACCAGACTAAACACTAGGCATCATTTAAACTGTTTTAGTTTAAGCCTTATGTTCCATTCTATAAAAATCACGAAAATTATGTTTTCCTACATCTTATATCTTCTCCTTCTATCTAAATAACATTTAATATAGTGATTTTTAATAATAAGGATCAAGTTACAATAATACTTTTGTATATTTTAGTTTGCTCTCTCTTATATTCCTAATTAGCCAATCAAATTGCAGAATAGACACATTAAGTATTGAGTATTCAAGTTTATTTTTCAAATTAATAAAAATGGCACCATCAAAATCACCAAAGGCAGACGCTGCAAAAAAGACAGTTAAGACAGTCAAGACTAAGAAAAATACAGATGAAAAAAAAAAAGCAAGAAGAAGATAAGAGACATTTGCTCTTTACATTTATAAAGTCTTAAGATAAGTTCATCCAGAAATTGGTGTTTCAAGAAAAGCTATGAACATTATGAATTCCTTCATTAATGATATCTTTGATAGAATTGCTCTTGAAGCCAGCAAATTGGTTAGATTTAATAAGAGAAGAACACTTAGTTCAAGGGAAATCCAAACAGCAGTCAAATTACTTCTTCCAGGAGAATTGGCTAGACATGCCATCTCTGAAGGAACAAAAGCCGTCACCAAATATACAAGTGGTTGATTTATTAAATTTAATTCACATCAAATAAAAAATACCTCCATTTTTTCTACTTTCACAATCTTATTAATACTTCTTCTACTTCTCAAAATCTTTTTAATTTATTCCAAAAAATCTCAGAATTTTTGTTATCCAATCATCATTTATATTTTATATCATATCCTATAACTATTTAGATAAATAAAAACAAAACAAATATTCATATTTTTAGATATCCTCATTAATTCATTTTCAATTCAAATTATCAATCTAAACTTTATAACAAAGAAATTTATATTCTTAGAAATATTATTTAATATAATTTTCTTAAATTATGGGATTTACATCTAAGGTAGGAAGATTAGCTGTTTTTATTTTCTTTGTCGGATTTGCTATTCATCAATTACAAAATCCTCAAATAGCTATTAAATAAACACATGAAAAAACTAATCAGTGTCTTCATTTAATTACACAATTCATAAATTCTCCATCAATAGTATTTTCGTTATTTATTTTAGCAATTTTCATTAGAATCTATACCATTAGTTGTATTTAGTTGTGCTTTATTAAAATTTTTTGTTGGCCTTGGAGTATTACTTAAATGGAACTATGTTAAATTAATTGGAACCATTTATTTAATTTCAGCTATATTGGTTGTTTACAATCCAATCCTTTCACAATCTTTAAAGGATTCAATCATGTTAGTAGGAGCTCTAGGAGCTTTACAACTTGTCTGATTTATTAAAAATAAAATGTATATTTTATATGTTACAATTAAATTTTTAATCGTTGATGATATTTTATTTATTCTTATGTCTTGATTAATCTTCTTTATTAGAGATTAATATTCCTTCAAATTTTCAATTTTATTTAATAAAAATATATAATAATATCGAGTAATATTTATTGTAGAAAATATCAAATAAATTTTATTTTAGTTATTGATTAAAATATAATCTATATTCATCTAGATTATTACTCTCTATTATCACAAAACAACATATAATAAAATATAAGAATTAATTTGAGAAAACCTTTCAGTCAATTAATGAAATAAATTCACAGCAAATAACTAATTTTAAATCTCAAAATATAAATCTTTTAGTAATATAATACATCAATTTTAAATAAGCATTTTGTAATTAATTAGAAAAGAATAGATAAAAAGTAATTTTAAAATATATGAGATTTGATTTATTATATAGATTAAACATTTAAAATGTAGTAAGTTTAGTTTCATGTTAATTTAGATCCATAGTAGAGATTTAAATTCTTTGGATTAAAATATTGAAATATTTTCATAATATAAGAAATAAATTTCTCTAATAATAAATTTCTCCTTGAATAAATAAATAATAATTAATGAAAATATTGAAACCGCCTCTCTAGATTAAAGAAAAATAATGGGATAATCGTTTTTATTTGGGAAAGCTGAGTGATCATGAAATTAAGAAATAGTTTATGATTAAGAAGAAATCAGTAAAAAGACCTACATCTACGAATAAAATTATAATCGATGAAAAATCAATAGCAATAAGACTTTATGATTTATAATTATTGTGGGAATAATTCCACATTCCTTAATTTCATAGGGCATACTTTCTTCAATATAATGAAAAAGATCTTAATGCTATTTTAAGGGAAACTGCTGAAATAAAGCTTAAGTAGTCAATTGTATAAAAGTTAATGAGTTTAATTAAAGGTAGAGAAAGATGTTTAAATTTTTTAAAATTGGAAACATTTGAAGAACATAAATTTTCAGAGCTTTTATTTCATCTCAGAATTTTAACAGTCAATGTTATTGAGCAGTTTAAAAAATGGAGAGATTCTTTAAATAGATGTGTTCGGTGGAGATTAGATGAAATAGATTATCTCTAAAAATTAAGAGTAGATATTGATTTTCTAAAAGAATATTATTAAGAATATTAAAGAGATCCTTTTATGTTATGGTTGTATAAATTAGGCAAGTTTGATTCAGTACATTCCAATTTTCATTAAATATAGAAAGATATGATGAAAAGAATACGTGATTGGTAATCATATAATTTAATATATTTTCAGTGAAATTTTACTAATAGAAAATGATTATTTTGACATGTAAACAAACATTTTATCAAGAAAGGAAGCTTAACTTATAAATAAATATTTAAGAGATTCTACAATTTAAATGGAGGATTAGCTAAAAAGTTAAGAATTAAAGACTTAAAGTCCAATTCCTTAATAAAAGAAAACAGTATAAATTTTGGATAATCTGACACTTGTTTAATAAGTTGTAAAAAACAAAGATCAATTTATTCAATTATTAAATTCAGTTAAAAATGATAGTGATATTGACAGTTCATTTCCTATTAGAGAAAATTTATTTGAATTGATTGATTTTTCTGACTCTCATATAATAGCTCTCATGTAACATTAAAAAATAAAAGGTCTTTGTATTGCTTAAAGTGAGCAGTCTGAATAATATCGAAAGGTTGTAATTGAATAAATTAAATTGGATAACATTTAACTGTTTTCTCAATTTATTCAATTAATAAATAATTATTTAAAAGGAAATGAAATAACTATCAAATTAGTTCATTATATATAAAATGAAAAATTGATTGACTGTGAATGTTTAAAGGTTGCATTAAAATAAGAAGGATTTAGATGGAAACAGTAAACTAATGATAGTGAAAGAAATATTAGATATACAATTTATTATAAAAAGAAAGAATATTAGTAGCAGTAGATAAATCAATTTAAATTTAATTTTCATGTTCATAGTACAAAATTAAATTAATTGATGCAATTGGTTTATAACAATATTCATGAAGAATCTGATTTAATTTAAAAATTTAAACGTTATGCTGATTCAAGAAAATCTGAACATAATCCATTACAAATAAAATTGAGGCCTTTTATAAATGATGAAAGAGTTGTTCTACTTGATTTAAAATGTAAATTACCATCATTCAAAACAGAAGTTCGAAATGAGTATAAATATTACAGAATCGTATTCAAATTATTTATAATTAGATTTAAGATCCAGAAATAAGTAATATATTTTGTATGGAAATAGATGGATAAACTGTTTATGCAATATCATTACTAAATAATGATTACAACATCCTTATTTCTAAAGATTAAATTTATTAAGAAATTATTAAGATAAATTAATTTTAACCAACAGCAGAAGACATCTCTATTCCAATGTTTTGTTATAATGATGAAATAGCAGATATATTTAATCATCATATTAAAGTTTAATTTGAACACTTAATGGTAATCAATAGAATAACGAATACGGAACAACAAACAATTGAAATTAAACCTGAAGCTTTTTACTTCTCTATATTGTATGAAGATCATATTATAAACTAATTTAAAATAAAGGAAAATAATTTATTAAAATTTAAACCTTTAAAATCTTAAGTAAACATTAGTGGAGAAATTAACATTGATAAATCGAAATTAATTTTACCTTCTTTTCCATTAATCCTAAAAAACCTTGAACCTGAGCCTTTGAAAATAGTTATTAAGAATCATGAATGTATATGTGCTTTAGACAATTTTGCAACTACTAGAAAATGGATAATTTATACAATAAGTGGATGCCAAGAAAACTAAGTAAAGGATGTGTTTGAATAGTTAATAACTTAATTAACCATTATTGATCCAAATATTTAAGAAGTTGGTATAGAGTAATTTATATAAATAATTTTAGTTTTTATCATGAATTGGTGAATGGAGAATTTATTGTGAATAAAAATATCTAGAAATAACTTACATCTCTTGGTTTTAAGTGGAAAATATAAATAAATGAAGCTAATGAACATACAAGATTTACTAGATATTTGTTAAAATTATAAAGGGATACTTAGATTGTTGATAACATGGTTTGTCAATATTTTTGTACATAAGATTTTGCAGATGTCAATGTCTAGCCTTTAATTTAATAATTTTCGATATTTTATTAAACCTTGACTCAATCTCAGTTAGTAGTAAAAAGAGTAAATAATTAAATATATTATGTAGAACAATCTAATACCCTTCTCAAAATATTATAATAAGGATATTCCTCCTGAAATATAGAGTGATTAAATGCTGGAAACCAAAATTTCATAAATTTTATAAAATTGTAAATATGGAACTAAAAATAAAATAGATTATATAGTTTTCAATGTAAGTGTTATATTTTATATTTAAGAGTCAAGTTGTTACTTGTAATAAACATCAAGAGTTGGGAATTATTTATTTTATTTAACTTTTTGATGTTATTTTATGTTTCTATCAATTGGAGAAGGAGTTAAACACAGAATAAATAGCTAATATGATTTTAAAAGTATGCTTTTAATTTATGATAAGTCTACAAGTGATGATAGTTAATCATAATAACAAAATTTAGGCGTTGAATTTATTTAATACAATAAAACAGGTAGCAATTACTTTATTGAAATCAATTTAAATATGGAAAAACACACTTCTATTGAGCTTGAAGATTTTAAAACAATAACAAAACCTTACTTTATTGGCATAATCGAACCTAATTGGTATGAAAAACATAACTAGATGATTGCATCAATGATAATTTTATGAAATTTATTTTATAATTTTAAGTTATATTTAAGTTTTTTGGAATTACTTTATCATATACGCTAATATTTTTCAAATCCAAATATTTAAACTTCTAATTTTAGGTAAATTGAAATAATTTTGAAAATCCAAGTAAAACAATCTCATATGTTGTAGATATAATTATAATTGAAGAACAAATAGATCATATATATTTGCCAAAAGATAAACTATAAAAAAATGAAAATCCTTTAACATTCCTTATAAAACTTTCTAATTATTCATAATTTAATATTTTTTATTAATTTTATGAATACTTTTGATAATCAATAACGAAATGTAACATAAGTTAGATTTGGAACTGAATAATCAGTTGCCTCATCAATTTAAGCATTTCCAAAACGAACTCAAGTTGAATTATTTTGTTATCGTCATCCAGATAGATTTATACATTAAGGATGCACTGCACTTAATTGTTAGAAAATGATAATGTGTCCATAATGTAATACTGATGATGATCTTCATTACTAAGAGCATAAGGAAGATATTGTTGAATTTCCTCATTTCTTAGAAATTCTTGCCTCTGAAATTAAAAAGGTTAATAGAAATGATAGCATGTAAACATTATCGATAAGAAAGGTTATACAATAAGAATGTCAAATTACTTTTAGAAAAAGAACATACTTATTTGTTAGAATATGATAATTTATGCGAAAAATAAGTGAAATATTTTAATCAATTAATTGATGATTAAACTTCATTGATTATGCAGCATTTCTATATATTAAAATAAACAATCAATACATTCTTTGATAGTAAATATTTTAACAATAAATAGATAGAACAATTCAATACTTTTTCAAATAATATTTATTTCTTTAAAACTTAATACTAATAAATTAATCCTGAAGAAACTTTAGCTAGATATGGAGAAGTACCTCAAATAGTTGCAAAATTATATGCTAAAAACCCTTAATAATGCTTTCATTTTTTGAATAATTTAAGAAAATCAGCCAATATGGAAGGACAGTTACTTTCAGATTTAGATTATATATCTAATATGGTTTTGAGAAATTATGAAGATTAATCTTACTTTCTATAGGAATTTGCTATAAATCAACTTAAAAACTCTATTGCTGATATGATTGATTAAACTAAAATTGCAGTAAATGATAGTTTAAAATAATTGCCTAAGTTGACTTAAGATGTTCATGCAAGTGTTGTATCTTAAGCCTTTATATCTTATAATCGTCATTAGGTCAGATTAACTTAACCAGAATTATTTGAGAATAGAAAATTTAGATTTACTAATGTAGCTTAAATCTAAACTCATCATTCCAATAGTGTAACTGCTCTTGTGGCTCTTTCTGATGATGTTCTTGCAACGAGTTCATATGATCGAACAATTAAAATATGGAGAATCTCTTCAGGTGAATTATTGAAAACAATTTATGATACATGTTGTATTTCTAGCATGATAAGTTTGAAAATAAAAAATGATAAAAATCCTTAGGCAGATTCATATACGGATGAGGAAAATTCTCAATTACATAATCAAATACTCAAAGGTAATTTAAGTAATTCAGGATTTTATTTAATAACTGGAGGATTCGATAAATAGATAAAAGTCTGGGATTTTGATATTATGATTAAGGATAATTAATATGAGATGGATAGAATTGCCAAATATGAATCTTCACTTTTAAGTTAATCTTATAATATGTCTGTATTTCCTATACATTCATTAAAGGGTCACAATAGTTGGATTACTGCTTTGCTCTCGTTAAATGATGAAAGAAATATAGTAGCTGGTGATGATTCAGGAGAGGTAATAGTTTGGGATGTTATCAATTAAATATTATTGTATAGGTTAACTCATATAAGAAACCCAGGTATTGTTCCATTTCTTAGTCTTACAATTCCATTATAATAGTTTTGCTGTTCTTCAGGTACTTATCTGAGAATTTATTCATGTAATAATGATTTAATTATTATATTAGTATTTTATAAATCTCAAGAAGAAATATATCCAAATCCAAAATTTAAAGAGAGATTAGAGGCTAAGTTTGGTCCAAAGAAAAATCCTATATAAATTGCTCCATAACTATCGAATGTGTAATTGGATAAGGAAATAGATATTTTTTGGGGAATAACTGGTTGTATTAGTCCATCTAATTACCCAAATTTAATTATAGTTTTTGGTAATTAACCAAATAAAATAAAATATGTTATGCTAAATAAAAATAAGATTGTTGAGATTAATACAGATAATGAAACTTATTGTGGGTAAATGCTTCTAATTGAAAAACACAGAATTCATGATTCTTAAATGGATTAATTTTATAAAAACTTAAATTTCATAATGATGGGAGATAAGAGTTTAGCAGTTTATGATGGTTATGGTACAAAAATAAGAGCACTAGAATCATAAATGGATGATCTCTATGCTAGTAATATCTTATGTTAAAGAAATATGTAGATTTTAAAGTTAGAAAAGAGAAGTTTGAAAAAAACATTGAAATTTGCATGTGTATCATAATATGGTACTCAAGATTATAAATACAAATCGTCGAGAATAACACTTTTTGAAATTTCTTATGAAACCATATGATATTATGATCAAAGTTGCATATTAAATTGATTCTTTATATAATATAAAAAAGAAGTAATGAAAATTACTTTTAAAGATTCTATTGAAATGATGTATTCAACAATACAAATTTCAAGAGTGAAAACGATTAAGTAAAATATTAAGATTGATCTTAAATTTTAATAATTGAGATTATAAATGAAATTTGATTATAAAATAAGTATAAAGAATTAAAAATATCTTGAGAGCATAATAAGATAATTACGGGAAAATAAATAAATTAAAAAATCTTATGTTTTAATTGTATGAGAATGCTGAGAATTCAACCTACTCTTTTGAATTTAAATTAGATTTGACATTGTTAAATGTGTTGAGATCATTTACACATAAGGACCATGAATTTTAGGAAGGTATAGATTAATAAGATTTAAGGATATTTGGAATCAATATATGCATTGTTGTATTATTATTAGGGGAAGCCAGAGAGTGAGTTGTTTTCAGAGTATTGTGCATAGAAAGGAAATCACACAATTGAAGCTTTAATATTTTAAGGTAAGCATATTTTAATAATAAAAAGTACATTATTATATTGCATCTGTGGCAAATTTAAATTAATTGGTAGGTTAGCTTAAGATAGATGAGAACAAAGTAATTCCATTATCTAGAAGTGATATTAATAAGACAAATATTTTGTCAGTGCATTCAATCACAGATAGAGTGGGTTCAATAAATAGTACAGTATTGGTAAGCAAATCCTAGACTGTGAAGCCAGAGTATCTGGATTTAAGAGTAAAGATCTGTACATTTGAGAATAAAGAGGAAGGAGTATTATCTATAGATTATAATGTACTTTCATTAGCAATATAAGCAAAAGGTAAGTTGGATCCATTGGTCGGAAGTCATTTGGCAAATAAATTAAACAAAATGTTTAAATTGGAATTGTATCATATTTTATTGCATTTTGCTGATAAGAAGGGGTAAGTGACAGAAAATTATGATGAAAGATGTATGATAATAGTGAATGGTGTTAGTAATTTCTCATTTCACAAAAAGTAATATACAGAATTGAGAGATAAATTTATAAGACTCTCATATGGAAATGTGGAAAAGAATGTAGATGAAATCACAAAGTTATTAATGGATTTAGATTAAGAAGTTGGTAAATCAATTATAGCAAGAGATACAAAGAGTAATCATTATTTAGAAAAGTTATTGGTTGGTTTATTGGGAAATCAATTATAATTGATAAGAGATTAAGCAGTAATTTTATTGAACATTTTATATGATGGTGTAGATTGGTAAAAGAGAGTACCATTTAAACCAAAAATATCAAAAGTTGGATCCAAATTTGATATTTAATACTTATTTGAATATGATTCATCTTATCCCTTAACTTCCATAGTTATCTTATTGAAGAGTTATATTTTTGATTCTGGATGCAAATAAAATATTGTATCTTGGCATAAGCCAAAATTAAGTGAATATAGTAGTTAAGGTGATAAAAAGTATATGGCTTTTAAGATGGATTTTGGTAGATTCAAAAGATGTGGTTTTTATGATTGGAAATTAATTAGAATGACAAATTCAGGTAAATTACAGAGTATTCAGAAGATTATGAATTTGGATGAATTGAAAAGCAATGTAGAAATATCAGCTTTATAAATGATGGAAGCAAAACCAATTCAAGGAAGATTTATTGTACATCCTAGAGATTCAAAGAATTTGTAGATTCATGAGATATATGTAGATTTATTGGATGCAAAACCAGATAATTAGGGAAAGTTCACAAAGCGAGGTAATTTTAGAAAGGTTCGTGAGAAGATACCAGATTTAGTTTAATAAGGAATAAATTGTGTTTATTTAATGGGTACTTTAGAGAGAGATAATGGATTAATGATTGATAATGATAAATAATAGAAATTATTTAAGAGACCAGATGTAAGTCCTTTAGCAATAACATGTAGATTGACTCCAAATTAAATGTTAGGAGGTAAGGAAGAATTCTTATAATTAAATAAAGTGGCTTAATAGAATAAATTAAGAATAATAATAGATATGGTGACAAGAATTAGTAGTGCAAGGCCAAATAAAAGATATAGAAAGGATTTAGTATATAGATTGGATGAGTAAGGAAGGTAAGTAGCAATGTTTGGAACTGATGGTAGGTCTTTACATTTTGAAGACACAATAATTTTAAATAATAGAAAAAAGAGAGTTTGGGATTAATTATTGGATGAAATGATTGAATTAACATCTTAGTATAATATTTAGGGAGTTCATTTGGATAATGGATCTTCATGGCCATAGATATTTTCATTAGATTTGGATGAGATATATAGAAAAGATAGTGATGGAAATCAAGCATATAGTAATAAATAAATTTTCAATGGAGAAATCTGTTTATAAAATGAGGATTGTGGTTATTGGGGTTCAAGTGTAAAGAATTCATATCCTAATCCATTTTTGGTTAAGATTTGTAAATCATTATGGAGTAAATTTCCTAATTTCTTGATAATAGCAGAGGCTTGGGGTGCAATGGGAGAATAGGAAGAAAGAGAAATAAATCTTATATAAAGTGGTGTAATTCCAAGATTATTTAAATTGCCAATAGCTATAGCATCAATATTTGGAGAGAATTTAAAAAAGGATGGTACAATGGTAAAGATGGAGAGAATGAATGTTAATGTAATTAAGAAATGGATTGAGTATATATCTAAGTAATATCCAACTGGTAGTATTATTGTTTAAAGTACAACATATAATTCATGGCCATATCCTGCTTTAATTTATAAGAGAGGTACTTGGGCAGCAGTAGATTTATTCTTTACTTTATAAGATATTCCAATGACTTTTATGGGAGAAGAAGAAGGATTTGCATTTCGTGAAAAAACTACTAATGTTTTTAATTATGTAACAAAACATGAGACTACATAAATCAAATTATAAGATCCTACATAATAAAAAACACCATAGAGATCACTTAAAAGAGCAGAATCTTATGTTTAAACAAATGAAGACTATGGATTTGGATATAATACTTTGACTCATTAAGTATAGTTATAGATTGCTTAATCACCTGTTAAATCAAATAATGGTTAACCTGTTAGAGTATAAAGTGGTTCATCTTTATCATAAATGGATATTTCGAATATCGCAACAGCTTAAGAGAACTTTAGAAAAGAGATTGGGCCTTAATTTGGATTTGATATATAGTAAATTGGAAAACATTATACTCATATTAGATAAATGAGAAAATAACATAAAGTTTTAAGAAATGGATAAATGGTTTCTTTATCAGCTGAACATATGTATGGTTGGCATACACATGTATTAGCATTTGCTAGATATTCTAAAGAGGAAATGGCATTGATTGCTATTAATTTCAATGATGGTGAAATTGATATGTTTATGAATCTTAGAAATTTAAGATACTATTTTCCAAATTCAGAGAGATCTAATATTGTAGTTAGATTAAGAAATTGGTCATATCCAGAATTGGAAAATGAGGAACTTAGTTATTTTTATATTGGAAACTTTTTGACATCTAGATTAGAAGTTCATTTGAAGAATTTCTAATCTTAAATTTGGGGAGTAGAAATCTTAGGAAATACTTAAGAGATCTAATAAAAAGCATAGAAAAGTTCATTGATTCGATTGTAACAAAAAATGTCATCTAAGATTCCATTGACTATCTATGGAAATGATGCTGCTAATAAATTAACATTATTAACAGATAATTTGGATTCTTTGTAATAATTTATTAATGGATTTTCTCACTTTTATAATTAAGTAATTAAACCAAACAATTTTGATTTGAATAGATTGATAAGTTCAATGAAAGACTTTTAATCTAATAAAGTTAGATTATGTAAATTGTTTGGATTCTTCTAATCAATACTAAAGACTTAAGATAAAAATTTACCTTTTTATGATACATTATAATAGTTGATAAATCTGAATAAATTAGGTCCAATTTGTTTTTGTACTCCAGAATTAGGAAAATGGACAACAACTGGTGGTTTAGGAGTAATGGTGGATGAATTAACATAAGAATTATCAAAAATGAATGAAGAAGTAATTTTGATTACTCCTTATTATCATAGAAATAAAAAAGGAGAAACAGGATATATTTTGAGTGATGGATTCAAACATCTGAAAAATATTGAAATATGGATGTAAGGAGAGAAAGTAATTTTGGGTGTATTTGAAGGAGTTTTCAATGGAGTAAGATTATTTTGGTTACACAATGAATAATACTTCCCATCAGCTTATGCTGGTGAAGATGCAAGTTATGTAATGAAATAATTGACAGTTTATGCAAAAGGATGTTTAGAATTATTATGTTAGATTAAATTATTCCCATCTTTAATAGTATCTAATGATTGGTTCTGTGGATTAATCCCAGGATATCTTAGAGTTAGGAGATATGGAGATGCATTTGCTGGTACAAAATCATTCCATATTGTTCATAATTTGGATCCATTATATGAAGGCAGATTATATCCAAAACCAAATGATGGAACATTGGATTACATTCATGAACTTCCAAATGATTTTTTAATTGATCCTTTCTGGTAGAATTTAGTTATTAATCCATCAAGATGTCCATTAATAACTTGTGATAATTGGGGAACAGTTTCTTAATCTTATAAATATGAATTATTAGAATCATCTCCATTGGCAAGTGTATTAAGGAAACATCCTCATCCTTTTGCTTTCCCAAATGGTATAAGAAGAGAATAAAGATTTAAGATTATAATGGATAAGACTAACAATGATCATTTGAAAGCGAAAGAATAATTATAAAAGAAATATTTTGGATGCACTTAATTAGAAAATCATATAGTTGTATTAGGTTTTGTAGGAAGAGTAACAAAATAAAAGGGAGTTCATCTTATATTAGAAGTGGCTGAAGAACTTATTTAAAGAAGTCAAGGTACTGTTTAGATATTGGTTGGTGGACCTGCTGATATGAAAGAAGAATATAGTGCATATTGTGCTTAGAATATGATTAGATTAAAATCTATATATCCAAGAAATTTTTGGGCAGATCCATCTGCATTTTTTATGGATGGAACTTTAGTAAATGTTGGATGTGATTTTGGATTGATGCCATCATTATTTGAACCTGGAGGTATTGTATAACATGAATTCTTTATTGGAAGTACACCAGTTATTGCTTTTAAAACTGGAGGATTAAGAGATACTGTTCATGAATATGATTAGAAATAATAAAAAGGATCAGGATTTATTTTTGATGTTTATAACAGAGGAAACTTTCTTTATGCTATAGACAGAGCACTATAATTATATAAGAATTAAGATTAGTATACATAATTAAGGAAGAACGCTTTTGATGCAGCTATTGATGTTGCAGATGTTAGTAGAGCTTGGGCTTAAGAATATTATAGATTATTTGAGAAGAATTTTATAGATAAAGAATTAGTTTAATAAATGGTTGGTTAAATCTAATAAGATTATAAAGAACTTAAAGAATAAGAATTATTTATAAAAGAGGAAGGAAGAGTAAAATATATTTAATATTAATATCTAGGTATTTTCTAATTCTGATAAAACTCTGAAGAACTTTGAAAGAATTTTAGCTCATGCCAAAAGATCCAATCTGAGATTGCATCAATTTGTCTATAGATCTACTAGATTGTTGTAACCAAGATAAGTAGCTGTTTCTGGTTCATTTGATGATTGGAAAGAAAAGCATAAATTGAAATTTGACCATTTCTCTAAAGTTTGGAATGTTACTTTGAAAATGCTCCCTGGAGAATATTAGTATTAAAATCCTGTTTATTTTTAGTTACAAATTCTATGTAGATGGAGAATGGATTTGCACTGATGATGATCTTAAAGATAATGACATCTATGGAAATATTAATAATTTTGTTATAATTCAATGAGATAGTGGATCATATATAATATGATATGAATAATCATATAATAATAAATATCAATTATGCATTTAAATTCATTCAACTCTCATTCTAATTATAGTTATTATTTAATTCGATATTTAAATCACTGATTAGATTCTGTTCATCTTCTATTAATAATAAATCTCCATCATTATCAATCATTCCAAATTACTTAACCTTTCTTTATTACTGAGGTGGAGAATCATTTATATCTTCCGATGAAGATTCTCTAATTTGTCTTCTTGGAGGTATAATATTATCCATATCATCTGTCTCTTCTACTTTCACATCTTCAAATGGCTATACATCTTCAACTTATGCACACTCTTAATATTAATTTTTATCTGAACTAACTTAATCTGATTGTTCTTTTAAAAACTACAATAGTTTATTATTATTCAATTCTCGTATCTATTCTAATCCTCCATTCGAAAATTCTATACAGCTTTCAAAAACATCCAATCTTTCTGTACTACATTTTGTGGAGCACATTCGACTAGATCTTCTCATTTATGTTGTTTCTATTTAATCAATATATTATTTTCTTACTCTCTCTTTTTTATCTTCTTTATAAAAAGTTATCATCCTGTCTTTTTAAGTCATCCTCTATCACCTTCTAATTTTAATGCGAAGTCTTTTGATATCCTGTTATCATATTTTCTAAGCTATTCTAATTACATTCAATTTAATCCTAAATTTCCATCGCTATCTTCGCCTTTGTCTGTCTTTCTCTTTTCTTCGATTCCACACAAACCACTTACTTTACAATTTTATTACATTCATACTTTTGCTTTTGTGCTCTCCTAACTATTTTCTATACTTCTTGTCTCTTATACTATTAAACTTTAACATTGTACAGGCACAAATGTGCCTTGATCCTAATTTATTTTACGAATGGTCTTCAAAGCTCGTTAACATGCAAACAAAGATTATAATTTCTCATTAAAATAATATCCAACAGGGTCCTACTTTTGGCTGTTATTTATTACTTATATACTATCATAATGCTCTATTAAAACAGCATATAAATCAACTAATTTTTGAATCACATCATATTTGTCTGAACCCTTTTGGTATCGATCTTCGAAGGCAAGTAACTCTTAAAATAGATCATCTAATTTATATGGAATCGAGAAGTACTCGTTATTGGCATTGTTGTTTTTAATTAAAATTAATTATTTACAATTTCAAATTCAATTAAAATTGCTATTAAAATAAAAATTTATTCATTATTACATTTGAAACAAATGATCACCAATTACTTTATTATAAAAAAGTTTGATCTTATGTAATATTCACTCTCCTTCCTAAAAAATACATTTTCTTTACATATCTCAACTCTATCCATATTTTGTTTAAAAAATAACAAACATAACTAAATCCATAGATTTCAATTTTTATTAACTGTCTGAATTTAAATTACCTTTTATATATTTAAATCATATCGATCTAATTGTAGCTCTAAAGTATATCCAGAAAACTTAAAATAATCTAATTGATAAAACTATCTGAATTTATTTAATCTTATTTGATCTAGTATTCAATAGACCTTCAATACTGATTTAATGTTCTATAAAAATCAGCTTTTGCTCCTAATCTAAAATATAATTCAAATCATGTCAAATTGTTTGATTCTATATTGAGATGCGAATTTTAAGAAATTTATAAATTTCTTATTCATCATAAAATTTATAATTTTTTGTTATAATTCCTGTAAATATCAATTTTAAATATTACTTTATTATAAAATTGTTACCTTATTTAGATTTTCAAATTTAATTTTAATTCATTTTGATAGAATATTTAAAAAAAAATCAATAATCATTTCCCATTTATTTCTTAGCTGCAGCTATAAATAAAAAAGCTTTCAAGAGACCTTCTTAGCCTTTTATCAACTTTGATGCATCTTAAACTATTTGTTAGCTTTACACTGATAACTAATAATTTTAAGGGATACCGAAAAATTTTTCATTAAGATCAAACCCAGAATCTTTAAAACTATGATAAGAAAATGCATCATCGAGACTGCTATTTAATTCTTCGCAATTAGTAAGATTATCTAATTTCTCATCTTATTGAATTATTTTAGGTAAATTATCTTTTTCTAATTGAGCCGTCTAACTTTTAATTAACTTATTTTAAATTTATTCTTATTATTCATTTTCAATCTTTTTTGTTTATTCTTAATTTTTTGATTTTATAGTCTATTCAATCCCTTCCTCAGTTTACTCATTCACCTCTTAATTAGAATCCTTACTATTTAATTTATCTACTTCGTATTCTGATTTATGTTTATCTATAAAATTGTACAAAAGTTTCTCAAAGTTTTATACAAATTCTTTTGTTAGATAATAAAATTCATAATGTATTGAAGAGTTCTTATTTTCATTTATTTTCAGATACACTTTTGAATTAGGAATGAAGGCCAAAAGTTACTTATGAAAATATTTTTTATCAATTATAGTTTATGAAGGAGTATATAATTTTTAACTAAAAAGAGGTTTAAATTCGATTTTATTTTGGTAGACTTTTTTTAATTGATCAACATAATTTTATATTGACATATCTGTTTTTCCTAATATTATTATTTTCTTCTCTTCACCATTCCAAATTTAAGTTACTGTTGTTTCCATTATAAAGAGTAATTACCATTATGGATTTCGATTTTTATATATATTTGAAATTCGTGAATCAATATGTTGTATTTTTCTTAATAATGATACGTCTCCTTAATTTAAATGATTTTCATCCAAAAATTTTGGATTATTTAGAAACTCATCAAGATCGATTAATCTTTAATTCAAATCAGCTTCTATTTAGTCATAACAATCTATTAGTTAATTAATTAGAACACTAGATGTTCCTTTTATAGGATCTTTTTAAACTTTCTTCAAAATTTCAAGAAAAACAGTAATTGAAGTAAAACCATCATTCTAATTTTAAAGTTTGAAATGTTCAAATGGAGCTTCCAAAAATAAGTAAATAACAGAAAATAGGGTAAAATTAATTTATTTAGAAATTAATTCGATTTCCAATAAACAGTCTCCTTATGCTATTGAATAGGTTATATAAATTTTCATCTTGTTTTTTTTTTCTTCAATCGAAAATATACTCATTCAATAATTTAAATTTTAAATAAAAAAAGCATTCAAATTTTTTATAATAAAAATTAATTAAAAAAAAAAAAATCATAATTAATTACTTTAATAGTTTACAATTTGTTTCAAATGAATATGATATGATAATTCTAAATTGGTTTGGCTTAAATTAAAGTTNATTTTTCATTAAGATCAAACCCAGAATCTTTAAAACTATGATAAGAAAATGCATCATCGAGACTGCTATTTAATTCTTCGCAATTAGTAAGATTATCTAATTTCTCATCTTATTGAATTATTTTAGGTAAATTATCTTTTTCTAATTGAGCCGTCTAACTTTTAATTAACTTATTTTAAATTTATTCTTATTATTCATTTTCAATCTTTTTTGTTTATTCTTAATTTTTTGATTTTATAGTCTATTCAATCCCTTCCTCAGTTTACTCATTCACCTCTTAATTAGAATCCTTACTATTTAATTTATCTACTTCGTATTCTGATTTATGTTTATCTATAAAATTGTACAAAAGTTTCTCAAAGTTTTATACAAATTCTTTTGTTAGATAATAAAATTCATAATGTATTGAAGAGTTCTTATTTTCATTTATTTTCAGATACACTTTTGAATTAGGAATGAAGGCCAAAAGTTACTTATGAAAATATTTTTTATCAATTATAGTTTATGAAGGAGTATATAATTTTTAACTAAAAAGAGGTTTAAATTCGATTTTATTTTGGTAGACTTTTTTTAATTGATCAACATAATTTTATATTGACATATCTGTTTTTCCTAATATTATTATTTTCTTCTCTTCACCATTCCAAATTTAAGTTACTGTTGTTTCCATTATAAAGAGTAATTACCATTATGGATTTCGATTTTTATATATATTTGAAATTCGTGAATCAATATGTTGTATTTTTCTTAATAATGATACGTCTCCTTAATTTAAATGATTTTCATCCAAAAATTTTGGATTATTTAGAAACTCATCAAGATCGATTAATCTTTAATTCAAATCAGCTTCTATTTAGTCATAACAATCTATTAGTTAATTAATTAGAACACTAGATGTTCCTTTTATAGGATCTTTTTAAACTTTCTTCAAAATTTCAAGAAAAACAGTAATTGAAGTAAAACCATCATTCTAATTTTAAAGTTTGAAATGTTCAAATGGAGCTTCCAAAAATAAGTAAATAACAGAAAATAGGGTAAAATTAATTTATTTAGAAATTAATTCGATTTCCAATAAACAGTCTCCTTATGCTATTGAATAGGTTATATAAATTTTCATCTTGTTTTTTTTTTCTTCAATCGAAAATATACTCATTCAATAATTTAAATTTTAAATAAAAAAAGCATTCAAATTTTTTATAATAAAAATTAATTAAAAAAAAAAAAATCATAATTAATTACTTTAATAGTTTACAATTTGTTTCAAATGAATATGATATGATAATTCTAAATTGGTTTGGCTTAAATTAAAGTTAAAATTTTACATTAAATTATTTATATTAAATTAATTATATAATTTAAGGGGCTAAGTTTCAATTAGTGTTTATATACTTCTCTTAATTTCAGATTTTTTTCAAATCTTATTAATGCTTTTTTTTTAAAGAATTAAATTTATAATCCATCATTATATCAGAGCAAATTTTTTAAGATGAAATTGACAAATTGTATAACAATATTCAGAAAAAGCTTCAATAATAATTCAACAAAGGTATTCCTATTACTATTTTAAAAAGAGACATTTAAGGGATTTATTTAAAAAAACAAAACCAATTTTTTTGACTATTTTAAATAAGTTTTAAAAAAGAAATCAGGTATTGAAGTTATACCATCTTATTAACTGGATCATGATGATAATTCAAGCAAAATATATATCATTAATAAGTTATATGAAAAATATTAGATTAAAATGAAAAATTATTTTTAGCTAATTCAAAATATTAAGATATATATCCACTATAGAATTAATTAAATCATTTTATAATCTTTAAAATAAATAATTCAGTTTTCAAGGATTTTTTCTTGATTATATTTGGTATAAGATGGATCCAATTATGTTTAATCAGTATAAATATAAAATGTCAAAGTTGTTTTATAATTTGATAAACCTTCTTAATAAATAGATTCATTTTCGATAAAATTGTAAGGACTTAGAATCTTTAAAATAATTAAATTAACAATTTTTTCAATATCCAAGTTTTATTAAGCTTCTTAATTAAATTATTAATAAAATTATGTTTCTATATTTTCAATTTGATCTTTATGCTCAAAAGTATAAGAAAATTTTATCAATTAAAAGCCTTAATATTTTTTTATATTTTTTTCAATTAATGTTTAATTTGTAATTCTCCTTAAATCAATATATAGTTGAATAATACTCTTAGGTTCTGATATTTTTAATATTTTATTAAAAATATTTATTAGCAATTAAGTTAATAATCTAGTATTTAAATTAATCAATTATTATTCAACCTCATATGAACAATTTAATTGGAATTATTTTCTTTGAATTTAACAATATTGAATAAAATAAATAGATAAAGATTCATTCAATTTTTCAATTTTGAATTGTTCAATTTATTGTTTTAAAAAAAACATTTTTCCTTTATAATTAATGGATCTTGAACGAATTTATAAATGATCGATCTAAAAATATAAAAATAAGTCTATACTGTTATGATTTTATTTTATATTATAATTAATATTCTAATCTTGCAGTATATTCAAAGAAATATGTAATAATTCCTTATAAAATCACCATTAAAATACAAAAAGAAATATATGCCAATTAGTCAAGTTAAAATTTGACGAACACTCCTAAAACGATGCTTGAAGTAGAGAAAATGAATAAAAGTTTAAACCTATTATCACAATATTGTAATACTGTCGTATATAAGAGACAACAGCAGTATCCATAATTATAAAAGGGTCTAATTCAAAATAATTTTTACACATTATTTTATGCATATGTAATTAAAGTTCCAGCAGCTACATATGAAATGTATAATAATGTAAATATACACTTCAAATAGGCTTATAATTTTAGGCTAAAAAATAGAAAAATTATATGGATAATTGTAAGACAACCCATAAAGATAATAATGTGAAATTGGGCACTTTAGACAATAAAAATTATCATAGCAATAAAGCATGTAAATATACCGATTGTAAGTAAAGATCTGAAGAAATATAGTCTTTAAATGTTATGTTTTTCTTAAAATTTTGCTTCAAGAAAGGGATTTTGAAATCTTAAAGTCCAATTGCTTTATAAATTTGGCATTTTAAATATTAAATAATAATCATACAATTTTAAGTTATGAATTTATTTTTTAATAGCTTAGATTAAATGATATTTATCATAATATTTTTATATATTAAATATTAAAAATAATGAAAATTCTAAATTCTATTGAATTTTTTAGAAATCTAAACAAAATAATATACTGGTTTTAACAAAGGAATAAATTTTACAAGATTTTCTAACGATTCCAAATAGATTCATAAATTTTAAAGAATTCGGAAAAATATAAAATGAAATAGGTTATTAATTAACCAATAAATGCTTTGGTTATTAATGTAAATTAAATTTTTAAATTTCCAATATATTATTTTTATTTTGAATCTAATATATTATTTTATGAATTAATATAACAAATATTATTTTAATTTTGATTAAACTTCATGTCGTATATTTGTGTTTAATAAGATTGCAATATTGATAAGAAAATATGTCTAAATTTAGACGATTTTGAAATTCATACAAAAAATAACCANTAATTAATGGATCTTGAACGAATTTATAAATGATCGATCTAAAAATATAAAAATAAGTCTATACTGTTATGATTTTATTTTATATTATAATTAATATTCTAATCTTGCAGTATATTCAAAGAAATATGTAATAATTCCTTATAAAATCACCATTAAAATACAAAAAGAAATATATGCCAATTAGTCAAGTTAAAATTTGACGAACACTCCTAAAACGATGCTTGAAGTAGAGAAAATGAATAAAAGTTTAAACCTATTATCACAATATTGTAATACTGTCGTATATAAGAGACAACAGCAGTATCCATAATTATAAAAGGGTCTAATTCAAAATAATTTTTACACATTATTTTATGCATATGTAATTAAAGTTCCAGCAGCTACATATGAAATGTATAATAATGTAAATATACACTTCAAATAGGCTTATAATTTTAGGCTAAAAAATAGAAAAATTATATGGATAATTGTAAGACAACCCATAAAGATAATAATGTGAAATTGGGCACTTTAGACAATAAAAATTATCATAGCAATAAAGCATGTAAATATACCGATTGTAAGTAAAGATCTGAAGAAATATAGTCTTTAAATGTTATGTTTTTCTTAAAATTTTGCTTCAAGAAAGGGATTTTGAAATCTTAAAGTCCAATTGCTTTATAAATTTGGCATTTTAAATATTAAATAATAATCATACAATTTTAAGTTATGAATTTATTTTTTAATAGCTTAGATTAAATGATATTTATCATAATATTTTTATATATTAAATATTAAAAATAATGAAAATTCTAAATTCTATTGAATTTTTTAGAAATCTAAACAAAATAATATACTGGTTTTAACAAAGGAATAAATTTTACAAGATTTTCTAACGATTCCAAATAGATTCATAAATTTTAAAGAATTCGGAAAAATATAAAATGAAATAGGTTATTAATTAACCAATAAATGCTTTGGTTATTAATGTAAATTAAATTTTTAAATTTCCAATATATTATTTTTATTTTGAATCTAATATATTATTTTATGAATTAATATAACAAATATTATTTTAATTTTGATTAAACTTCATGTCGTATATTTGTGTTTAATAAGATTGCAATATTGATAAGAAAATATGTCTAAATTTAGACGATTTTGAAATTCATACAAAAAATAACCATATGATTTATCCTTTGATATAACTCGAAAAATAAATTTAAAATAAATATCATGAAGCCAATTTACAAAAACAGAATTATTTGAATACATCCATTTTAAGAATGGCAGAATAATAAAAATAAGACTTAAGCATTACTCTAAATTAATTCACGGATGATTTATGTCTGTATATTTTAAATATATTGATAGAAATCTTTGTAAATAAATACAAGCTAAAATTAATTAAAACTTTGTTCTACCTTCATTATCTCAAAACTTCTAAGATTAAAAGTTAGTTAATGAATACTTAAAGCTATTTTCAATGGAGACTGAGAAGATTATTATTGATGAATAAGCGCTTTAAATAAAAAAATTTATTGAATTATGGATTACTTCTTTAACATGTACAATCATAGGAACTATTAATGCAAAAATTCTAGAGTTTTAAGATGAATTTTTCAATAAATTTTCTGAATTTCTAAATTAAAATGATGAACAATAAAATATGAAGCTATAAAAAAATTTATTTGAGCCTAAAATTTAGAAGGAAGAAGATAATTATTAAACATCAATTTCTCATTTGTATAAATTTATATAATCAAGATAATCTGATTAAAATTAAATGAACCCCTCTTTACAAAATAATTAAAAAAATTAAATTTATAATAATCATGATTGTAAATAGATTTTGTTATATTATTAGAAATATATGAATGTTTGAAATACAATCTTTCTTAACCTTTAAATAATTTATTTTTGGAGAAAAGTACTAAATATAAAATAAAATAAAATAGGTTTTCCATTTGAAAAACAGTTTTAAGACGTTAAGTATGATTTTTAATTAAGAATTGAAAATCTTAAAGATGTAATCTATTTATTGAAAATAATAGTCTGAAAATAAATAAGCGAAATTAATTTAGAATGTTCATGAATGTTTATAAGTATCATTATAATGATTTCAGAAATAATAGTAAGTGAGAGAAGAAAATAATTTGTCAGAAAGTTTTGGAACCTCTAATAGATAAGTTAATTTAATGTAATTAACATAATACTCTACTTAATATTCTGATTCCCATATTGGATTTTCGAAATATTTTCGGAAAGCTAATATAGGTATTCATGGATTTGTTGTCGCCGAAGGAGATTTTTAATTATAAACTTAGATGTAAATCAAGATAAAATTATCAGAAGGAATATAATAATATGAGTTATAAGTAAAGAAAATATAATGTTCTTAGAAAGCAAATATAGGAATAATTAAAGAAGATTTTGAAAGATAATCAATACGAGGTAATTATCAAGAAATTTATTATATGAACTCAGATGGATGTATATATTATTTTTAAACTCAAAGAATTTTATAAGGGAAGAAAATTTATAAAATCTGGTGGTCCAAAATTAATGCTTTATCAAATTTATTCAATAACTTTGAAAGATAGACAATTATCTATTAAAAATGATTCAAATTAATAAGAATAAAGTATTTATATAGATTGGCCGATTGTTACAGATTCTTTTTTATTTTTTGCTGATTTATGGAACGTTAGTTTAGAAATAGTAAGTTGAAATAAATCCTATTTTATATTAATTACAAAATACTATTACTATCATAATTTAATAATATATTATATTGTATGTATTTTTTATCATTTAAGTATCTTTTTAAACATCCTGATTTCTAATTAGTAAGAAATTAAAAAAATTTTAGCAGATTTTGAACTGGATTATAATTTGATTATCAACTTATTTTTAAATAGGGAATATATCATTAACATAGCAGCTTTAAAGATAGTTATTATTAATTAAATCATAAAATAGAGTCATTTTTTTACAATATAGAAAGATTTATCGTTAAATAAAATCAAATAAAAAAAATCATTTTTTCATTAAATTTTTTCGATAAACAAATGTATTTTCAATTCATAAAGAGTAAAATTAAACTCTTATTTTTCTGTCATCAACTTTTAATTATTCTATCTATAAATTCAATGTTTAAATTAACATTATTTATATTCTTAAGATAAACATGCATGGATCAAAATAATTCTATTTAATTATAGTATTATTCCTATTTAACAGTGGTGATAAAATGTTTTATTTTTGTGATTGATGCAAAAATCACTGATTTCATATTTAATAGGATTCAAAATAATTTGGTAAAAAGAGAACAATAGAAGTATATATTTAATTATTTAATATAATTTAAAGAATAAAGAAATAGATATAAGTGTTTTATGATAGAAATTCTAATTAAAATGAATGATCTGATAAATATGACCGATATTTTTTGATCAAAAAAACTAAAACTCATGATTAATGTGGTGGTTACTATGGTAAGAGTTGTTATTGTTGTTATAATTATTGTTATTCTGGACTCTAATTTAGAAACAGCATTTCATTAAAAGCAAGTAGAAAATCTTTTAAATCTTCTTATTTAAGAATAGTAGTTTTTTCTTGGAGTCTTGTATTAGTGTTATTCATTTTATTGATTTCGAAATCTCTAAGTTCATTTTCAACATGTTCTAACCATACTTTATATGCTTCTTCTTCGTTATTGATTTATGGCATATTCAATTATGGAGGAGGTGACATATAAGGAGTGTATGAAAATTATGATGAAGCTACTAAAAATGTACCTACTAAAATGATCCATGAATGAAAAACTAAAGGTGCATATGTTCTATAAGAATCTAGAATTAATATTTTGAGAGTGTGGAAAGTTGCTTCTTCAAATTTCTTTGGTACACATTTCTTACATATGACTTCAATGTAATCATTGGGTAATTTAATATCAAATTCATATTCAATTACCTTTAAGATTCTACTTTCAGCAATACAAAGCTTGTTTTATAATGATTACATCAATGCTTCATTTGCCATTTTTGTTTGCTCTATTGATTACATAATTTTATGAAAACTTATTAACAATTTTCTCATTCTTGGATCACCATCTTTTATTTTTTAAGCTAATAAGAGAGATGCTGCAGCAACAATCTATATTAAAATCATATTTTACAAATCTATCATATTGTAAATAACATTTGTGGTGAAAAAAATAATTACATAAATGAATTGCTAGGGACACTGTAGAATATGAATTTAACTCTAAATTTATGGCCAAATCAATAATGAATTATGCATTTCCATTCAGTAATTTCCTTTGTACTTAAGCAGATATTTCATATTCTGTGTTAATATTCTGAAATATGTCTTTCTTCTTAATTAATTTCATAATTATATTTATATTAAAATCATATATTTTCAAGAATTTTTTATCAAAGACGAAGTCCTTTTTTAAGACGATCTCGTACTCATAGGCCCTGGACTTTTTTCAGCCAATTTAAATGTACTCTTTTCAATAACAATTTTTTTTGGTTTACTAATTCTTAAAGATTTAATTGATTGATTCTCTTCAGAAGGCTCTGATTCTTATTTGATTATAGTCTCATGTGGAGAATCTATAATCATTAGCAAATGTTCATGCACCTATTATTCATTATATTATTTCAAATTAGTTAATAAAGGAGTCATTCGATCATCAGTAGTTATTAGTAAATCTACAGTCATAAAAGTAGAAACCTTTTAATCTTCCTTTTCTTTCCTAACTTATAAGTTATCGTTTATGCAATGTATAAATGCAATAAAATAATCTTCCAAATTCTGTATCAAATTGTTACATATGGAACTATAAATAAATATTTTAAATAAAGTAATTTATACTTTAAACATTTTTTAATGAATAGAATCAACTTGAACACTCTTCAAAAGAAGGTATCTAGAAATCATAATTAAGATAATTCCAGTTATAAAGGATGGACTCAATACAGTAATCTAAACTCCAAGTGGAACTGGTAAAACATTATGTTACACAATTCCTATTATTGAGTAGAAGAAATCTATTGTTCTAACTCCAACAAAAGAGCTAGCAATATAAACATATAAGTAAATAAGAGAATTGGATTCATAAATCAGAATTACCAGAATTGGCTCTATAGGATTTATTGCACCTATTGTTGAATTGATTGTAATATTATTAATTAAGAAAGAGCGATTAAGAAGAAAGAAAATTATAGTCTTATCATAAAATGAGATTGTAGAGAATGAATGATTCTTTGAGAAACTTATTAGATTGGAATTTGATTGATATTTGCATATCAACTCCTGCCTAATTAGCTTAATTAATTAAAATGGGTTGCAAAATTTAAAATGCTAATTGCTTAGTCATTGATGAAGCAGATTTAACTTGGGGGTAATCAATATTATATATTAAATTATAGAGATGTAAGTTTTAGAGAAAGTGTTTATACTATATAAAGATATTTGAATATCAATTAATTTATTCTTTGTACTTCCGTAAATAATATCAAAGTGGAAAAAGAATTAAAATCTGTAGATAGCAGCAAATTTACATTCTATATTTCTAAAGACTATATGTCAATACCATAAAGGAATATAGAATTTATGGTGGAGCCACTTAAAAAATATTTAGAAGACAATAAAACAATAATATTTGTAGAAGGAGAATAATAATGTTAAGAACTTTAAAAAGAATTCGGATTTAATCTCTTTTTCCATTCAGGATAGTCAGTTGAAGAGAGAATTCGCAATTTAGAGTAGTTCAGAACAAAAAGTTCTAAGTAATTAAATTGAATATATAAGTGTTTTAGTTTGTACAGGTTTAGGAAGTAGAGGATTAGATTTTCCTGATGTAACTTAAGTGATTATTTATGATATTCCAAAAAATTATGAGGCATTTTTACTTTAATGTGGAAGATTAAGATAAAAAAATGGAAGAAGTAATAAGGATAATAAATATTTAGTTGTTGTTAGATTGAAAGATTCATTTGATTCAGCTGTCTATAGTGAGTATGAGANTAATTTATACTTTAAACATTTTTTAATGAATAGAATCAACTTGAACACTCTTCAAAAGAAGGTATCTAGAAATCATAATTAAGATAATTCCAGTTATAAAGGATGGACTCAATACAGTAATCTAAACTCCAAGTGGAACTGGTAAAACATTATGTTACACAATTCCTATTATTGAGTAGAAGAAATCTATTGTTCTAACTCCAACAAAAGAGCTAGCAATATAAACATATAAGTAAATAAGAGAATTGGATTCATAAATCAGAATTACCAGAATTGGCTCTATAGGATTTATTGCACCTATTGTTGAATTGATTGTAATATTATTAATTAAGAAAGAGCGATTAAGAAGAAAGAAAATTATAGTCTTATCATAAAATGAGATTGTAGAGAATGAATGATTCTTTGAGAAACTTATTAGATTGGAATTTGATTGATATTTGCATATCAACTCCTGCCTAATTAGCTTAATTAATTAAAATGGGTTGCAAAATTTAAAATGCTAATTGCTTAGTCATTGATGAAGCAGATTTAACTTGGGGGTAATCAATATTATATATTAAATTATAGAGATGTAAGTTTTAGAGAAAGTGTTTATACTATATAAAGATATTTGAATATCAATTAATTTATTCTTTGTACTTCCGTAAATAATATCAAAGTGGAAAAAGAATTAAAATCTGTAGATAGCAGCAAATTTACATTCTATATTTCTAAAGACTATATGTCAATACCATAAAGGAATATAGAATTTATGGTGGAGCCACTTAAAAAATATTTAGAAGACAATAAAACAATAATATTTGTAGAAGGAGAATAATAATGTTAAGAACTTTAAAAAGAATTCGGATTTAATCTCTTTTTCCATTCAGGATAGTCAGTTGAAGAGAGAATTCGCAATTTAGAGTAGTTCAGAACAAAAAGTTCTAAGTAATTAAATTGAATATATAAGTGTTTTAGTTTGTACAGGTTTAGGAAGTAGAGGATTAGATTTTCCTGATGTAACTTAAGTGATTATTTATGATATTCCAAAAAATTATGAGGCATTTTTACTTTAATGTGGAAGATTAAGATAAAAAAATGGAAGAAGTAATAAGGATAATAAATATTTAGTTGTTGTTAGATTGAAAGATTCATTTGATTCAGCTGTCTATAGTGAGTATGAGAAATATTAGTATGTTTTCCCAAACAATTGTGTAAAATTGTGAATAATGAGTGCTAGAAATTATAAATATGTTAATTTTTAGAAGATTGTATAAATTCTCATCATGTAAATAAATGACGATTAAATCATAGAATTGAAAGAAGCGACTTTGACGGCAATTTCACCTCTTGATGGAAGATATGCCAGTTAAACAACTGCAATAAAAGATTATTTTAGTGAGTATGCTTTGATGAAGTATTTATGATTTCATAAAAAATTAGATATCGAATAAAAGTTGAAATAGAATGGTTAAAGTTTTTACATTCTAAGAATATGATAAAGTAAGGAGATTAAGTTTTGAATCTAACTGCTTTGGATTTAACTTATTTGGATTTGATTTATGATAAATTTGATGTAACAAAATCATTCAGAGTGAAATAAATAGAAAGTACAACCAATCATGATGTTAAATCTATAGAGTATTACATCAAAGAAGAATTAGATAAAAGTATTTATTAATAATTAAGACATAGATCCAATTTTACATTCAATGAAAGAATATGTTCATTTTTGTTGTACAAGTGAGGACATTAATAACATTGCTTATAGTTTAATGATGACTGATGCTAAAAACAATTTACTTATGAAATCATTAGAAGGAGTTATTAATAAATTGGTTTAATTATCACATGATCATCATAATGTTCCAATGTTGAGTAGAACTCATGGTTAAGTTGCATCTCCTACTACTGTGGGAAAAGAATTTGCTAATTTTGCTTATAGAATAAAGAATCATTCAGAATTATTGAGGAATCTCAAGTTTGAAGCTAAACTAAATGGAGCTGTAGGAAATTACAATGCTCATTTACTAGCTTATCCAAGTTATGATTGGCCTAATTTAAGTAAATCATTTATAGAAGAACTCAAATTAAAACACAATCCTTTTACTACTCAAATTGAGCCTCATGATAGTGTTGCACTTTATTATTCTTATCTCAATTTAATCAATAATATTTTAATTGGATTATCAAGAGATGTTTGGAGTTATATATCTATTAATTATTTTGAATAAAAAACTGTTAAATCTGAGGTTGGTTCATCTACTATGCCACACAAAGTTAATCCTATTGATTTTGAAAATTGTGAAGGCAATTTAGGATTATCAAATTCCTTAGCATAACATTTTATGAATAAATTAGTTATTTCTAGATATTAAAGAGATTTATCTGATTCCACTGTTATGAGAAATCATGGAGTTTGTTTAGGATATGCTGTTGTAGGTTATCGAAGTTTAATTAAAGGACTTGATAAGATATCTCCAAATTATGATACAATTTTAAATGATTTGGAAAATGTATATTATTTATTTTTATATCTAAAGCATTGGGAAATCTTAGCGGAACCCATTTAATAGATTATGAGATAATATGGTGTACCAAATCCATATGAATAACTTAAAGAACTAACTAGAGGATAAAAAATAACAAAAGATTCTTTAAGAGAGTTCATTACAAAATTAACGTTACCAGATGATGTTAAAAAGAAGCTTTTGACCTTAGAACCAAAAGATTATATTGGAAATGCAGACAAGATGGCGAGATTGATATGATTGATATTTTAAAAAACAATAATATATAAGATGTATTTCAATTAAATTCAAAAAGATTTTTTTATATTTTCTAGGAATTTGGAATCTTCCTATTTTGCTATTTTGAGTTAATAAAAGAATGTTAAAAAGATTTGAATTGATAAAATAAATATAATTGTTTATAATATTGATAAGAATATCTTAAGAATTATAATATAGATTATATTTAAGATGAGGAATTTAGAATATTAGATTATAATAAATATCAATAATGGATTAAAAGGACATCAATATTGATATTCATAGTGAATTCTTTACAAAGAAATTTAAAGTGACACTTACAAAAAGGGAACCAATAAATCATGATTCTTATTTATTTAGATTTGATTTCTAAAATGGAAAAGAAAGATTAGGAATGTAGGCTGTTTAGCATATCAAAATATAGTAAGTTTTATCATTTAAATAACAAGTGGTCTAAATATGAATGGTGAGATTGTAGACAGAGCATATACTCATGTTTATGAAGATGATGGTTATTTTTTGATACCAATTAAAATATACAGACCAAATGTTCTTCCTTAATTTCCAAATGGAGGAGAATTGACTCCATGGTTAGAAAAGATAGATGTAATTTTATAAAATATATGTACATAGCTCAATTCTGAATTGACAATAAAAAGATGTATTGGAAAGTTACTTTATCATAATAATCAATTCATCGTTAGACCAAAAGCTAACAAGAATTGGTCACAATTTAATACTGTATTATTAATATGTGGAGGAAGTGGAATAACTCCATGTTATTAATTAATTTCAGCCATATGTAATAATCCTAATGATAATACATAAATGATTCTATTATATGCAAATAAAAGTGAATAAGATATTTGGCTAATGAAAGAATTAAAAGATCTTTAAGACAAACATAAAGATCAATTAACAGTTCATTATACATTAGATAAGGTATTTAACAACAATAAACATAAAGTCTGATGAAAAATGGAATGGTCTTAAAGGTTTTGTGAGTTTAGAGATGATGACATCAATATTCCCAAAGGCAACTGAAACTACTTTAGGTGTTTTATGTGGACCTAAACCAATGAACAAATTAGTCCTATCACTTTATGAATAATTTGGATTAAAGAAAGAGAATATAGTCAAATTCTGAATAGGATGTTGTATTAAATAAAAATGTAAAAATTAAGAGTTTTCTACATTGAACTTTAATTGTACGATCATTTAAATCTTTTACACTCTAATTCAAGTATACAAAGCTTTACACTTTCAATAATTATTCTATAAATCAAAGCATAATATTAAAAATTAACAATTTGATTATAAACTGATTTAATCATTTATTCGTTTGGCATTTGATTGCTTTTTCTATTCTCTCCTTCAAATTAGAATCAATTAAATTATTTACTTACCTATTTTAACAAATCTATTTTAATCTTTGATTTAATTTAATCATTTCTTCTTCTTCCATTATTCGTTTTCTATATTTATTAATTATTTATACTTATGTTATTCTATCTTTTCCTTTATTAATTATTGTTATTATTATTTATACTCTGCTATTCTTAAATGACTTTCTTATCTTGCATCTTATTTTTTTATTTGAACATCTATTTTTGACTTAAATTTTTCATTCATTTTAGCTTACTCTTTTTATTTTTCCATTTCTTTTGTCTCTTAATTATATTTCACTTTCTAAAAATTTATTTCATTTATTTCATGTAATCTTTTCACCTATTCATCAATCATCTTTTTATATTTATATCTTATTTGATACTTTCTACTTCCTCTCAGTTCTATCTTCAGTATTTGATCTTAATGTTGGTTTTTTTATTTTTAGTAAGTTACTATTTGATTTTATCTTTGGAATATCTTTTATTTCTTTTTGAAAATGTGTATGAGATTTAGATAACCAATCTTCCTCATTCCAGTTTAATCTTCTCATTTCTTCATCTTATATAAAATAAGCTGGATCTTCACCAATCTAATAATTTAGATTAATGTTCTAAAATTACTTCTAATAATTCTTAATGGGTTAATTACGCTTTCAATTTTTATTGCATTTCCAAAGGAGTTGGGATATTTATATTCATTCTTTAACAATGATGTTTTTCTTCTTAAGTAAATTTCATAGGAGGGTGAATAGGTAGTAATTATATTAAATTTTAATCTTCCAATTCAAACTCACTCTTTCTAGTATCTATTTCTGATTATAATCTCTCGATTTTTAAGAATTTGTTACAATAATTCTAAAACTAACTGTTTAATATTTTTACGATCTTTGATCTCAAAATACGTTTCTATAACCTTATACTATTATTGAACTGTACTTTTCATTAATTGAAACTGAAGGAAATTTTGTATTAGACATTATAATTATAATTAATTAATTATTAATTTTATAAATAGAATTCTGCTTTCTATTCTAAACTTTTCAATTAATTCTCTCTTCCATTGCTTCATTCGATCCTCATTGTATTGATATTTTAATGCTTAATTACAATTCTTATGTCTTTTAATTATCAAAAGAGAAGATTAATCATCTAAAACTCAAAAAAAAGTAAATTAATTTGAAAATAGAAACACATAAAATTCTTTAACTATAATTCTTTTTTGAAATATTCAATAAAGCAAAGCAAACTTAAATTTTTTTCTAATCACATTTTATAAGATTAAGTAAGATTTAAAAGAAACAGCATCTCATATTATCTTTTATAGTTAGTTTTAAAATGCTTCTGTAATTATAAGTTGTTTTTGTGTACTAATTCGATTTTGAACACTACAAGCAAATCGATTAATCATATAATTACAATAGTATCAAGAAAAGAATATTTATAATTAATCATAATTCTAAGATATTATTAATAATAATAATAAACCCATTTTTATTTTTTCTTTATTCATAAAAAAAATGCTTGAAATAATATATTTTAGTTTTATTTGTAATTATGATACTAAAATACTGGCAAATTAGAATAAAATAATTTTATTTCATCTATTTTAATCTAATAATAGTTTTAAGAGTTAAGAATTTATAAAAACTTTTTTTTTTCAAATCATTAATTTATTTACTTTTAAAATCAGTTCTTTACAATAACAGATGAATAAATTAAGCCAAGATAAAAACTAGCAAACATTGTAATTTGAAGAAATTACATCATTAATTTATAAAATAACTGATAGACAGTCAAAGTTCGCAGATCTTCATAATTAAATTGAGGAAAGCATCTAGAAAATAATAAGTGTGAGCTAGAAATAATATGAAAAAGCAATGAAAAAAAAACATAGAGAACTTAGATAAATTGTATAAGATCATGAAGAAAGAATAAAAAAAATTAGAGAGGAATATCTAATTTCTTAAAATAACTCAAATTTAGAATTAAGTTCAAAAAAATAAGATTATGTACAGATTTTAGAATCACTTTACCATGAATATTCACAATTTATAGCATTTTTTGATCATGATCAACAAGCTGAAAATAATAATCATATAATGACAATTTATGAAGTATTAATAGATAGTTAAGTGTTTCATGAAGATTAAAGATTGAATGAAACTTTATTGACTGAATATTTAAGTAAACAAAAAATGAATAAAATTTAATCTCTTCATGCTTCTCTTAAGTTAATAATTTCTTAATTATAAAAAATAGAAGAAAACTTTCAATTCTAAAAAAACAACAGTAAAAAAGAAAAATATCTACATTCTCTAAATGAAAGATTGAAAGCATTCATTAAAAACCTTAAATATGGTTTATCTTAATTAGATAAGCATTTAAATTTAATATTAGAAAGTAATGAAGCATTAAAAGAATAAGATGTAAGAATTGAATCTAATTTAAATTTAATCAATTCAATTTTAAAGAATCATTAAGATAAAAAGTTAGCAGAAAATGAAGATTTAAAAAAAACAAATGAAAATCTGGTAAAAATAATTAATAGGTTATCAGAAATCAATTACAAATTAAAATTATAATAAAAACAGAATTATGAAGATGTATAATAATTAATGGAATTATACTATATTTAAAATGATAAAGCACCCTCTCTATAGCCATTAGCTAGAAAGAGTACAATAAAATTAACTAAACCAATATCTTATTAACGATCCAGAATATATTCTGAAACAAAAAAAGAAGTTCCTTTTGATTAATCATCTAGAACTTCTTTTAAAGATACAAATAATATTGAATCATAAGTTCTTTATCAATCTCCTCTTTTAATTTAACCTTCATTAGTCCCTCAACCTACTATATCAGATGTATCTCTCTTTACTTCTGGATAAAGTCTCAACAAAATGAAAACTTAGAAATATTTTGATAAATAATGGACTTAAAAACATCCTACTATTGTTGATAAAAAAACTGCTATTCCAATTAAATGTTAATGTCCTCCTTAATGTTCCTGTTAAGCTTTACTAATTATTTAGGTTCATAGTTGCAATAAACAATTATATATCAACTCAATAGGTTAACTTCTATGTTAATAATGCATTTTCACATAAAATATTTCAGATTATAATTTCTATTGTCCTCATACTAGAACAAAAAATAAATTTAAAAGTAGTAAAGATTTCTTAGAAGCATTTTGGTAACACATTAAAACATTGACAATCAATTAATAAATTGTTGACTTTTGGAATCATTTATAATTAAATTGTCAATAAATGTTTTAAACAAATCTATTTAATACCAATCAAACCAATAATCTTATTAATTTTGTTGGATTCTGTCCTTCTTAATGCAAATGTACTAAAAGAGAGAGTAGATAACAATATCATTTATGTTAAAACTATCTCTATATCACATCTGATGGTCTTATTCATTGTAAAAAGTGTAATTTTTTTGGTGATCCTAAATAACATTTTTCCTATTGTCCTGATACATAAACATTCAATATTTATAGAAGTGGAGAAGAATTTATTTAATCTTTAGATTTTATACTAGACTCTGGAAATTAATAATAGTTAAACACTTAATTTCTTAAATAAATACGATCAAAGATTTTTTCTGTTCCATGGGAATGACAATAAATTTATAAATGATTAAATATAGAAATTAAATATATTATTATAATTATTATTTTTAGTAAATAATAAATCAGCTTTGATTTTGATATTATACTCTACTCACTTATTGATTTTTTTATTATTATTATTGGTATTATTATTATTATAATTATTATTAATATTATTATTACTGAGCTTGTGGCCCTTAATGATATTATTATTATAGAAATAGAGGTTAAGGTAATAAATTTTTCTATTGCTAATTATTTGAAAATTATTATTATATACATGGTGTTTATGGAATTTAATTTTACTATTGTAAATTAGTTTACGGTAATTAATTATATGAGATTGTATGGCATAAATTTTAACGATTATTCATAGGAGTAGGAAGAACTCTTTAAAATTAGAGCTAATTTTAGTCGAGTTTTTATTTCATAAAATCTTATTTCTTCAATCCAAAAGAATTCTAAACTTAAGCTAAATTATTAACAGCATTATATTCTCTAACCTATGACTATGAAAACTATAAATTTAAATGATTAAAATTTTCTGTTAAAGAAGAATCAAAAGTAGATTAATGCATACTTTCTCCTCTTTACTCTTTAGTTTAAGAGATTGGCAAATTATACGAAAAAAATTCATTAGTTTAATTAATTGCTAATTTATTCAAATTCTCCCAACTAATTCTTTATTTTGGATCATGAACTATTAATTAATCTAATAAATCTAAAATTCGATCTTAAATGTTAATCTAGATAGAATAGATAAATTACATTAAGGTTATTTTCCTACAGATATTTTTTGAAACTCTGCTTTTTTAGTGATTCAAAAAATTCTTTTTATTACCGAAGATTTTTAAATAAACTCCTTTCTGAAGTAGATTCATACAATATTATACCAAACTAACTTATAAAATAATTTTACTGAAAAAATATCAGATTCATAATTATAATTGCCAGTTTAGGATAACATTTCTGGAGATGAATAGTTTTAAGTGCCTATACCATATGTATTTATTCTGTCTGTTTATTAATCTAATATTTTACTTATTCCAAAGTCAGAAATCTTATATAGTTATATGAATACTTTAAAAGTGCTTTTGTTTTGAAAATATTTTATTAGAATATTTTCTGGTTTCAAATCTCTGTGAATTACATTAATTTTCATTAATTGAAGATATCCACTGCTTATTTACTTTATAAATTATAAAAAATCAATTGTTAACATAGTTTTACCTTGTTTCATAAAATCAAGAAGAGTTTCATCACATTTTTCAGCAAACTAATAAATAGAATCTTCCTCTTCTTTATAATCATATATAGTTAAGAGATTTTCATGTCTTTACCATTTTAATTATTCTATAACTTTTATTTCTTCTTCAAACTGCTTTAAATAATAAGTGTTATTTAATTATTTTTTATCAATCACTCTTGCACAACAAACTTGATTTGTGTCGGTGTTAAGACATTCAAATATTTATGCTTAGCTCCCTTCATTTATCTTTTTATTAAGATTAATCTCATAACATCCAAGAACCTTTATCATTATTGATAATTTAAATATAGTCTTTTGAATTTAATCTAACAGCTTTAAATTTTAAAATTTTGGAACTATGTGATAGAATTACACAATTTTTATAATTTTTATAAAACAATTATACAACTATTTATTCATAAAAGCTATTTATAGAGTAGTATCACACAAATTTAAAACTTTGAGAAGATAAACTTATGATGAAATTCAATATTCCTAATAAATTTTTAATTCTTACATTTTATAGATTAATATAATTAATTTGACATTAGATAAATTTTGCTTTATTCTAATTTTGGATGTTACTCAAATATAATTACAATTATATTAGTTTATATATACTTTATTTTCTTAAGAATTATAATTATCATAATAGCTATCTTTTATAATATTTTTATTTATTCTTTAAATTTTAAGGAAATAAATGATAGGCTTAAAAAATTATCAAAATATCCTAATTATTATTAAGCCATTTTAATTAATTCATTATAATTAGGTTCTAGTCAGTCTCGTATGATGATTTCAAATAAAAGAAAAATTAAATTTATTTTATTTCTTTGAATGCCATTCCATGTAATTCTAATATTTCAGATTTTCAAATAATCAAGCATACCTATTTTTAATGAGCTTTAAAATTTGACTTAACCAACATTAAACTAAGAATGAAAAGTGAAAATTTAAATTTAATAATTTGAAAAACAAATTTTTTAAGCCAATTTTAGATTAAAAAAATTTCATATTAAATATTTATCCTTAGCAATATTTGCATTTTTGGCTATTCTAACTAATTTCTGGCAATATTTATAAGTTTTTGCTTGAATCTGTCTGGCTTTCCCTAAACAACAAATTTTAAAATTAAATTTAAATTCAGCATTATTAATAATTTTATAAATCTCATCTAAAAATTAAGAAGAATAATATTTTGTTTATATCTATGAATTGCAATATTAACTATTAAAGCTATTTCTCAATTAAAGATTTATTAAAAATGTCCAATATTTCTGTATTTTCAAAAATATTTTTTATTTCAATATTTAAAGACTTGATAATTTCAATACGTAATACTTAAAAAATAAAGCATTTTATTGGGTTTAAAGCTTCTCTCATATTTAGTTTTATCCTTATTAAATTGAGAATAGTTTTAAAACAATATTTCTTTTTGAGATTCTTATTGTGTTTGCTAAATAAATTATAGAGTTAAAAATAATCTAATACAATCAGAATAATATATTTGATAATTTATAAATTTATCACATAATTTAACATTCTTCTTATTTTTTATTATCTGTTGTGTTTATTGTTTTTTCTTTATCATTTTAACCTTCCTATACCTTTATTGAAGCATCTAATCTTACTGATGATTGTTAAGATTAGAGTGAATGAGGATAATGATGAATAAGCTTTTTATCTGTATAGCTTTCAACCTTATCTAAAAGTATTCTCATAGCTTTTTCATGTTAAGCACTCTAATACTATNATACTTTATTTTCTTAAGAATTATAATTATCATAATAGCTATCTTTTATAATATTTTTATTTATTCTTTAAATTTTAAGGAAATAAATGATAGGCTTAAAAAATTATCAAAATATCCTAATTATTATTAAGCCATTTTAATTAATTCATTATAATTAGGTTCTAGTCAGTCTCGTATGATGATTTCAAATAAAAGAAAAATTAAATTTATTTTATTTCTTTGAATGCCATTCCATGTAATTCTAATATTTCAGATTTTCAAATAATCAAGCATACCTATTTTTAATGAGCTTTAAAATTTGACTTAACCAACATTAAACTAAGAATGAAAAGTGAAAATTTAAATTTAATAATTTGAAAAACAAATTTTTTAAGCCAATTTTAGATTAAAAAAATTTCATATTAAATATTTATCCTTAGCAATATTTGCATTTTTGGCTATTCTAACTAATTTCTGGCAATATTTATAAGTTTTTGCTTGAATCTGTCTGGCTTTCCCTAAACAACAAATTTTAAAATTAAATTTAAATTCAGCATTATTAATAATTTTATAAATCTCATCTAAAAATTAAGAAGAATAATATTTTGTTTATATCTATGAATTGCAATATTAACTATTAAAGCTATTTCTCAATTAAAGATTTATTAAAAATGTCCAATATTTCTGTATTTTCAAAAATATTTTTTATTTCAATATTTAAAGACTTGATAATTTCAATACGTAATACTTAAAAAATAAAGCATTTTATTGGGTTTAAAGCTTCTCTCATATTTAGTTTTATCCTTATTAAATTGAGAATAGTTTTAAAACAATATTTCTTTTTGAGATTCTTATTGTGTTTGCTAAATAAATTATAGAGTTAAAAATAATCTAATACAATCAGAATAATATATTTGATAATTTATAAATTTATCACATAATTTAACATTCTTCTTATTTTTTATTATCTGTTGTGTTTATTGTTTTTTCTTTATCATTTTAACCTTCCTATACCTTTATTGAAGCATCTAATCTTACTGATGATTGTTAAGATTAGAGTGAATGAGGATAATGATGAATAAGCTTTTTATCTGTATAGCTTTCAACCTTATCTAAAAGTATTCTCATAGCTTTTTCATGTTAAGCACTCTAATACTATAAAATATAGATTACTTCTTTGTATAATTTATTTAATTATTCTCTTTTTAATAATTGATCTATGCTTCTGAATTAGATTTCTTTAATTAAATCATCAATTTTTTTAAATAATTAGATAGCTAGTTATTCTTTTTCCTTATCATCATTTTCTTTAAGAGCCTCAAAGGTTTCAAATTATCTTTATAAATCTCTATTTTTAAATTCTTAAGAGATTTTTTCTTACTCTTCATTTAAATATTTTTGTTTTTCATATTCTTCTTATAATAATTTGATGATCTTCTTTTATTCTTCACATAATTCTTAAAATTCTTTTAAATCTTTTTTCAACTTCTCATTTTCAGTCATTAATTTGTCATTCCTACCATAAACAATTTCCAAACTTTCATTCATTTTTTTATATTAAGTTTCCAATTTTTCTCTATTGATTTACAAATTTCTTTAATTGATTTATTTTTCATCTAATAATTATTGTTCTAAGGATGTAATAGATAATTAAAGTGTGTTTATTGTAAATTGTGATTCTTATTAATATCTTTTGAAACGAACTGACTCTAGTTAAAATTCTCCAGTAGTCAATTTCATTTCATCATATTACTCTTTTAATTCTTCTAAAGCTTTTTCAGTTCTTTACAGTTTTTCTTGTAGCATTTCATAAGATAATTTATTATCTATTTATGTTCTTGATCTTGTACTTGTTCTTGATCTTCCTAAGTTTGAATCTAATTCATATTGTAAATTATGATTTTCAAAAGCTAAATCAGCTAAAGTCTTACTATTTTCTCTTACATTACTTTGTAGCTTTCTGATTTCGGTATTTTTACTAGCTAATTAATTAAGAGAACTCTACAATTCTTCTTCAACACCTTTGTATTTTGCTCTTAATTCCTAAATTTGTGCTTATAAAAGTGCAATAAATTTAGATTAATCACTTCCACCAGAATAAGTTTGATCTGTTTAAATATTTTATGGCAAATTTTAGAGATCAAATAATTCAGATTTGATTTTTGCCATTTCATTTTTTAATGATTAAATTTATTAATTTTATTATTAACTTTCTGCTAATGTTATTTAATAGATTTTGTTTTGTTCTTCAATCTATTTTTACAAACTTTTTTTTTCATTCTCCAAAATTTCATATTTATATTATAATTCTTTATATTGATCACTTGATAATATTTTATTTTATAAATATTTATCATCAAGAATAAAATTTGCTTTTTATTCTTCTTATATAAATTATTTAATTATTTTATCTTAAATTTTCTAATCTACAACTTCAAACATTTTTAAAGATTCTTATAATTCTCTGAATTCAACATTTCTTAAAATTTTTACTGCCAATTTCTCATATGAAACATCAGCATACTTTTTAATTTCTTCAATTCTCAAAGAACAAATAGCTGTTAATGCTTTAGAGAATTCTAAAAAATTACCAACCTTAATACAATTATCAATTATTAGAAAAGTATTTTCAAAAGTTAGAGAATTAATAGATAAAGTTAAAGCTAACTTTTAAAAATCATGTTTTAAATAAGATTATATTTTTTGAACATCTGAAGATTGTAGATGGAATACAGAATCTAATAGAGATAAAATGAGCTTTGAATATTTTTTAATGTCATAATCGTTTGATTTAAGAAAAGTATAGTAAAGTTCTCTTGGATATACTAATTCATAGAAATAGGATAGACACATAAAAGCTAATGGTTCTGAAGCAAAACTTAAAAAGTATTATACTACAAGTATAAATTCATCATCAAATCCAAATTTGGGCTAATTCCAATATAGATTTACTTACATGTTTATTAAGAAATGCTTTAATAATATTGCAAATGGCATTCTATATTGATGTGGCATCTTTCTTCTAAGTTATATGATGATAAAATTCCTGAAATGAATAATTATATGCATCACAATAATCAACAAGTTTATTGTACATATTATTAATAGCATTTTTATATTTAGTGAATGTCATGCTTTCCGAAGCATCCTAATTCATAAATTTATATTCAAATTGGGGATCATTTAAATTATCATAATAATCTTTTACAATTTCTTCATAATTCTTTTTATTATTCATTTATTTTAGCCATTTTTCACATAATGTGTCTTTACCAAATGCAAGACTATTTTATTATATAAATTATCTCATCCTTTTAGATTCTTCATGACATAAATTACATTATCTATGAGGTTTTTAATCAATACTTGCAGCAGATTTATATAAACTAATTTTATAGATTATTTCTTTATTTTATGAACATGAGTAACAAACAGCTCTTTTACATCTCTTACATTAATGTTCTTTCTAAAGCACACTAAAGTCCTTTTAGCATATTTCACAAGCCTTCTTTTTACCTCTAATATCCTAAATGTTTATTTAGAAGAATGCTTTTTTAAGTGTAAATTATTTATTCATATTACTAAAAAAATTACATATAAAAATATATTAGATCTGACTATTTAGATATAACTATTTTGACAATTACTTTATAAATGAATTCTAGACATGTATAACATTGATGGATTTAATAGGTCAATAATGATTCAAGCTTTTAAGTTAAATTTATCAACCTTTTTAAAATAGATATATAATTCCTTTAACAAATTTAATAACTTAATTTTTGAGACTTTATATATTATCTTTAAAGTATACTTTAATGTCTATTAAAATGAAATATTTAAATTGATCATAATGTATAAGATTGAAAATGAAAAGTAATTTTAGATTTTGAAAAAATTGAACAAAAAAACATAACATAAATCATTTATAAGAATTACAATAGTGATTAAATTTCAATAATTCTTATAATTTATTTTTTACAAAACAAAAATAATAATGAAGGAACAAGATTAAAGACAAACTAGATTTTAATCCAAGGCTTAATAATGTGGGATATGTTATAATGCGATTGAGAATTAAGTAAAAGATGTTTGAAGGTTTAGGGAATTCTGGATAGCTGCAATCACTCTTTTTGTTCAGATTGTATTAAAAAATGGTCAACTGTATGTAACCTTAATAATTTTAGATTGAAAACACATGTCCACTATGCAAATAGAAATTCACTTAAATAGAATCCAAATGGAATAGAGTATATTTTCAAATTTATACAGGTTCATTACAAAAGTCATAAGATATCAAAGCGAAAATGTAAATAAAACAAGTATCTATCAATCTAATTGTAGAATTTATGTTAAAGATAAAAGTCAGTCACAAAAAGAGGATTAATTTAATGTTTTACTTGAACTATTAATAGAGTTCATTCTTGCTGATAGTATAAATATTATTAAGCCATTAGTAAATGATTGAAGATGATTGAAAACCTTTAAATTTTGTATATTATATATATCTTTATTTAACATCATATTGGATAATCATCGTCAGCTTCAGGATCTATAATTTTAGCACTTTCCCCTTTCATAATATGACTGATAACACTCTAATTATTGGAAATTTTTTCTTCATATGTCTTTTTAAAATCTGGATAATGATACAATAGAATCTCTTCATAAATCATATCTATTAAAAATATTTATAATTTTACCTTTAAGCTATTCATTTGTAAATTCATACATTTCAAACTCGAATTCCATGTTAGATACAGGAGATCTGGTGGGCTATTGAAATAGATAAAGAATCTACCTCATCACTTGGATTATGGAGCTCCTTTAAATAAGGATGTTTAAGAGCTTCAGCTGCAGTGATTCTCTTCTTATAATCAATTTCTAATAGTTTCTCTAATAAATCATATCCTTCAGGTGGTAATCCTTTTACTACTCTATCCCAAGGAACTTTATCTAAAGATCCCAATTCTTAAACAAGTTCAACTAATTTTTATGATACAAATGTATCTTAAACTTACATTATCTTAGTCTTAGAAGGTGTTCCAACAGTTTCAAATATCATTTTAATTTATTATTTTGCTAATCATTTATTAATACAATTATTCTTACAATTCTATCCTCTCCATAAAGTCTTTCCTCTTACTATTTCTGCAAAAATACATCCAACACTCCAAATATCTACTGCTTATGTATATGTTTTAAGTCCTAACAATAATTCTGGTGCTCTATAATATCTAGTTTCAACATAATCTGTCATAATATTAGGATTTTATTATTGTGATTTAGTTGTCTATAACAATGCTCTAGACAAACCAAAATCACAAACTTTTAACATACAATCTTATTTATTTAATAATAAATTTGTTGGTTTCTATTTTTTAAGTCTCATTAATATACCAAATCTCGATGTAAAATATTTGCAGAATGCATGTATTTCAGTGCTCTAAGAATCTGGTATAAAAAGAGTTTAAAATGATCTTAATTCAATTTAGCATGTTCTTTATCAATAACACGCTTCAAATCTGTATCTAATAACTCTGTAACACAATATCTATTCATTAAAATCTATATATTTACATATCATAAAAATTCTTTCTGGATTTTGGTAGCTATATTGTTATGAGATTTACTATCTAAAATGTTTGTTTTATTGTTTACATTTTCATGTTTTAAATTTCTTAAGATTTTTAACTCTCGAAGAGTTCTTTTAGCATAAAATCTATGCTCAAAAGTTCTCTCTATTTTTTTAATTGCTACCATTTTTTATTCTGGTTATGTTGCTTTTGTATCTTCACAACCAATAACAATACCGTATGCTCCACTTCCCACTGAAAAATATTTATTAATTTACATTATTATGTTGGCTTATATCTCTTCTCAATAATAAATTCTGATTCATCAACTTTAAAAACATTGGCAGAATATGCTTTTTATGCATATTGATCGTAATTATAATTTGAATCCATGAATTAATTTATTAATATAATAAAATATATCTCAATCCAATAACTTTATTGATAATCCTACTAATTTATCAATACTTCATCAGTTTATTTCTTTTTATTTTTATCAGTTTCAATTATCTAATCGATAAATTTTATACTGTTAAGTTCTAACTACTATGTCAAACCCTTCCTTTTATTTGGTGATCAGTTACTTTAACTTCTTAATTTACTTCATCTCCTTTAAAAAATTCTTGAATTATTTTTGTAGCTTTAGATTTTTTTAGAATCTCTTTCAATTAAGTTTTTTTGAATTTTCTTGTTATTTACATTAATTATTAATTAATTAATTAAAAAAATTACCTTCAACTTCTATTAAAGAACCTTCACTTTTTTATTAATTCAGATATCAATTTAACTCCTCTTCTTAATTTTTATGATATATTATTAAATATTCATTTTATAAACCTTACTTTGTTATAAGTTTCATAATTAATGATATATATTGTTATTATGTCATTAATATTAATATCAAATTTATTTGTAAAACCAAGAATTTTTAATTTAAAATTATTTAGAAGAATATATCTCTTACGATCTTACTAATTGTAATTTTGTATTCTAATATATCATGAACTGTTTTGAGTAGATCATTTTTTCTATTTTAAGCTATAAAAATCTACTTTTTGATATCATTAAACTAGAATCTGTTGATCAAAAAAATTTTAATTACAGAATAAACTTAGTTTATTCTGAAATTAAATCTAAATATATCTCAGCTAATTTCTCACTGTTTTTATGGTTTTCCAACAGTTATAGAATTTTGAACAGACATGCTATTCTTTTATTTAATAAGAGCCTATATTTATTGGGTATATCTTTGAATATTATTACTACTTAAATTTTATTTCTCAATTTTTCCTTTTTTACTTTTAAATTGAAATAAATTCAACATTTATTTTGATTATTGATTAGACTATCTTTTTTAAAGAAAAATTAAATTCTTGTAAATTCTTTATTGTACCAATTTAATTTAATTAATATTATTTTGATTGTTTGGTTATGTATGTATAGTATTTTAGAATATATATACATACATTTAAATATTCAATTAATTCCTATATATTCACAGAAAGATTTTAAAAGTTCAAATCCTATAGTATAAAATGACTAAACTCCGAAAATTTTCTATTGGAAATACTAATTATTGATAAGATTGAAAGATAAATAAGATTAAAATTAATTTTTTAAATTTTATTTTTTTTACGCAATCAATTATTAGATTCAAATATACCTTGATTTCTTGTATATAATATGCATTTATTTTATAGCATATCATCTTTATTTAACTTTAATACTCAATCGATAGGGAATATGCTTAACTCAAATAGATTCCTATTAAGTGCAATAAAAGATTATTTCTCATTAGTAATAACAATTATATATAGAAATCTTTATAGGTATAACAGTTTTTAAAAAAATCTGAATGGTAATAAAAATGTTTTGGTAGTTGTGTGTTGTTGATTTTGTTTATGAATAGTGAAAAATAATTTTTAATTAATTCTATTAAAGGAAATTTTTAGATGTAAGTTATTGATTTTAGATCTATGAATATCTATAGAAGAAATAATTTTATAAAGAGAAAATTTAATTAAAATAATAATGTAAAATACAAATTGTATTTTGAAGCCGATTTCATCGCAACCTTAGGTAGGAGTAATAAGGTATTAGATTTTAGAAACCTTTAAAACCATTGGCTGGAATGTAATAGAATCTAAATGAGCATTTGAATAATATAAAGAGCATAATTCCTTATCAATTCGTAGATAAAAACAGTCCTCATATTACAATTTGTAAGATGAATAAATAAAGATGAGGTGGATTGACTCCAAAGATAACAGAGTAATCTTTAAGATTAGTATGTGCAGAATATGGAAATGTTGTGAGAATCTCTTTACGTGCATACTACAGAGATATATAAGCATAGATAGTGGCAAATGTTACCTATGAAAATGGATAGTAAGCATAATATGCATATATGGAATTACAAAAGAAGGTTGAAAATGGATTTCATTTTTAACTTTAGTAAAATTTTGAATTAAGTATAAATAGTTATGGAGGTCCAAGTTAACAAAGTACATCTAAGATAGTAAAAATAAAATTGCCAAATCCACAAATAAGAGGAATAATTGATAAGTTGGCTAGATAAGTAGTAAAAGAAGGAGTGCAATTTGAATAGATGATAAAGTAGAGAGAAATAAATAATAATAAATATGCATTTTTATATTTGGTATGTATTTTATAAGTGAATGATGGTAGTAATCAGAAGAGAATGAGTATTATAAATGGAGAGTATATTCATTTTAGAATGGTGATGATGAGAAACAATGGAAATAAGAGCCATATTATTTTAATTTAAATGAGAGAATTTATATTCCACCTTCAATAGAGATTGAAGAAGCTCCATCATTTGCAAAGAAGGAACTTGAAAAAGCATAAAGTAATTGTATATTGGTTATAAAAGTAACGAGTAAGAAAAATAAAACATAATATTAAGTATTGGAAGATTAAGATAGATTGATATTTAGTTAAATGATTAGAGAATTAAATACTTAAAAGTAGAAATATATATATTAAGAATAGACATACAATAGGAAAGGCAATGGTATTCTGTATTGATCATTAGAACTGTGCAGCAGATCTGATGTTAATTTTAGAAGAATCACTCCTTAATGATTCAACATGGTCAATGAAAGTAATTATATTTAATTATTAATAAAAGCTTGCTCGTTTGTATTTGATTTCAGATATTTTGAATAACTGTAGTCAGAATTTTAAGAGCTACATTTAATGGTGTTTACCAAAAATCTTTAGCAATTTAGATTAGTTATTACCTTATAAGGAAAAAGTAAAAGTATAATGATATAATAAAGATTTTAAAATTGTTGTAATGTTGGAGAGAGTAGAATTTGTTTGACCAAAAGTACTTGAAGGGATTAGAGTTGTCCTTTTTGATGAAAGAATAGTCAATCCAAATTGAGAGCATCTCCTCATAGATTTATAAAGTCGATGGTTATTTTATTGAAGGAAAAACTGGCTCATGTTGATGATGAGACACTTGATCGAATCTGCCGAATCAAAGGATTGTGTTCTTAGGGTCCTCGCGATACATTAATCCAACGTTTAGTTCAGCATAAGTTCTATAACAGAGCCAACCCAGACGTTTCACTTGAGCAAGTGTCCAAATTAGTTCAAATTTATCGTTACATTGTTGATAAGGTATTTCTAATCTATACTATCATATAATCAAAGGATTAATAAACTATTATTACATCTTAGAAGTAATCATTTACTACATAAATTCAAATGATGCAAGAGTTCCTTAAATTATTGTAGAAGAGGTTAATTTTATATTACCTTTAGATATAAAAACATTATCAATCCAGAGGGTGAGGAAATTGATGCTTTTGATGAAAGAATTTATGAATTTAATAAACACATAGAAATTTAAAGAGCTGAACGCAATCTTTATCTTAATATAGATGGAAAGGATCTAACAGAAGAAGATATTAGAACTATTGAAGATAAGAAAGTTTAAGTTATCACTAATTATGAATTAACATATTTACAACCTAAACCTCCTTTGCCTCCTACACCAACTGATCCTATTGAAGTATTAATATTTATTATTATTTTAGATTGAAGTATAACAATTTAGAGATATACTCTTTTAAAGTTGTTTATATGATCCTTTTAAAATTGAGGAATTTGCTAAATCTAGAAAGGCACAATTAATAAAGGCTGATCAAATAAAAAAAGAGAGAGAAAAATAATTATTAATAAAATAACAATAAGAATAGAGAGAAAGAGAGAGGGAAAGAGAAAAGGAAAGAGAAAGAGAGAGAGAGAGAGAGAGAGAGAGAGAAAGAGAAAAGGAAAAAGAAAGAGAGAGAGAAAGAGAAAGAGAGAGAGAAAAGGAAAAAGAAAGAGAAAAGGATCGTGAGAGAGATAGATAAAGACATCATAGTAATATTATTATTTATCTATAATAATTTAGATCGTAATAACAAAAGAAACAGTTCAAGTTCAGAATCTGATAAAAAGAATTAAAAGAAGAAGTTTGATCAAAAATACGATTAAAAATATGAATAAAAACATGATTCTAAATATTATAAGAGAAGATCCAGATCAAGAAGTAATTCAAGAAAAAAGAAAACTCAAAATAAAAAGAGATGAGTAATATAAATAAATAAAGATAAAATATAATATATTTTTGATCAAATTAAATAAATAATAATGAATTCTGAATTTATATTAGAGTAGCTTGCTTTAGGAAAACGAATTGATGGTAGAGATCCATTATAATAAAGAATGATATAATGTCATTTTGGACCTTAGAGTACTGGTGCTGTAGAATTAAGTTTAGGTGAAACAAGAGTATTGAAATCATAAAATTTAATTAAGGTATTTGCAACAACAAGTGCTTCAATTACAACTCCTAATCCAATTAGACCTTCTGAAGGTTTTCTAAAATTTCATTTGGATTTATAAGTGTTGAGAGATACTGGATTTATGTAAAATCCAATTAAATTAGGAATGGAAATTGAAAAATACATTGAAAAAGTTATTAAAGGATCTAAGTATAAAATTTATTAAATGAAGAGCACTTGATACAGAATCACTATGTATTTTATCTGGTAAAAATGTTTGGACTATCGATGTAAATTTGGCCCTAATTAATAATGATGGAAATCTAATAGATGCTATGTATCTATGTTGTATTTTGTCATTACAACATTTTCGAAGACCCTAAGTCAGTGTTTCTCTTCAAGGAGTTAAAATAGAAATTGAAAAGAGATTAGTACCTCTTAGTATCCATCATATACCTTTAAGTCTTACTTATGCAATTTTAGAGTTGAATTAATAAACTATTCTTTTATAAGATCCATGTGTAAGATCTGTTATCTATTGATTTTAGTTGGAAGAGGAAGCAATTTAGAATGGAAGAATTACCTTTAGTGTAAACATTTATAATGACATATGTCATGTTCATAAACCTGGAGGATCACCAATTAATATTTCTATTTTACAATAATTGACCACTGTAACTTTGATGAAATCAAAACCATATACAGAAGAAATCAGAAATCTATTAATCAATAACAAAGGTTTTCCTATTGAAAAGACTGTCACACTTTTCAAATTTGAGTTACCTAAATAAACAAGTGATGCCATTTAAGTTGAATAATTAGAGTAATTGTATAATTAATGAATATTATCTTTATCCTATTATATAAATAATGAATTAATAAAATCGAATTCCAAAGGCAGATCTTAAAAAAGTAGTTGATTCTCAATTTCATTATGAAAGAAGAAAGTACATATTTTGGGCATTTAACACTTCATATTTGGGCATAGCTTTCTTTTAGATATATTCAGATGTAGTAATAGAAGGTGGAGAAAATCCTGCATTATGTGTTGATACAGCTCTCTTGAATCATAATTTACAATGTCCTATAGGTTTGTATAAAACTTTAGTTGCATTGATTGTTGCTCATCTTATTTAGATGCTTTCAGCTACTATTGGATATTTTGGTATAGATCAAAAGTCAAGAAAAATTAATAAGTCTTATTCAAGTATTTAATGCATAATTATTTTAGTCTTGTTGATTAGTTCATATATTTATGATTTGATAACATCTTTTCTTTTATGGTTTTCATATAATACCTGGGATGAAACTCCATTTAGAAATACTAAGAATGAATTTCTTATGTTATCAATATTTTTCCCTGCCTTAATGGGTGTGGTTGGTTATTTCTGTTTAAGTCAATTCAAAAAAGCTACCTATGAAAATTCATGTAAATATATAAGTATTTATAATTATAAGAAATGTAACAAGCTAAAGATGAATTGTTAGAAAAGTACCCATAAATAGCATCAGATGTAGTCAAATTGTTTTTATGATTAAAAAATTAACAAAAAAACAATCAATTTCAAAATTTCATATTTCTAATCTACTCAAAATTCTCTTTTAAAAACTACTTTTAAAATTAATCAGACCATATTTCAATTCTTTAACCATAATTTAGAATACCTTTTCGTAAACTTAAAATGCATTATTTTAAGCTAAAAATCCTAATTTTATTCTACTAAACAAAATATCTTATGGTTTTCTGGCTTACTGATATTTTATCTAATACAAGATTTGTCTAATAGTATTGCAAACTCTCCTTATTTTCTGGTTTTCATAGATATATTTTAATACATCATAAGTTCTGTCTCCATAGATAATTATGAAATAAGCATCATATGATTATGGTAAATCAAACATTGCATCATAACTTAGATTTCTTTTTATGATCAAATTATGTCCCATCCCAACTAATTTTGGTAGATTCTTAATTTTTCGATAAATGTTTCTAATCAAGTATTAAATCTTATCTGCAGTTTATTCACCCATCAATCTAAAAATGGTCCATTTATCTTCGATGACTGATATAGATGTTCATAAATATTATATGTTTAAGTAAGAACTTAAATATGAGATTTAATAAATCTTATAAATATTCTTTTAAAATATTTTGAATGGGATGGAAATCTAAAAATTAAGAAGATAACAAAAATTGAGTTGAAATTTCATTAGTGGTAAAAGTATTGCTTGAAGAAACTAAAGGTCCAACTCCACTCCATTTAGATTTTACATCTCTACCTACTTCAATTGTATCAACATCAATTTAATCACGAAAAGATTTTAATAACCACATATATTCCTCATGACTAACAGCAGGATCATGTGTAGCATTATCTAATTTTAGTTCTGTAGTTCCCAAAATCATATTTCCCAATCATGGTACTATTTTTGTCGCCTATATTTTAAATATAATGATCAATCATTTAATTTTCTTTTTTTCAGTATTCCTTATTTATTTTAAAAAATAAAACCTATTCAATATTCATGTTTTCAATTAAAAAATTTAATTTATTTGATTATTGTTTAAAATTATTTATTAAATTGAAAAAGTAGATCAAGAAACATTCTATTAAAATTTATATCATTTTATTTATATTTTTTAATAATTCATTTCTATCTTTTATATTACTACTTTCTAATTTTTTACTTTTTTTTTTCTATTTCTATACATTAGAATACTAATTAATAATATCAAAATTATTAAAATTAATATTAAATAGCCTTAATGATAATTCACTTCTTGATCTTACATAACTTGAATATCCAACTCTGTAATGGGAAATGGAAATGTTAATTCTTATAACTCTAAATCTTATTCTATCTCTACTTTTCCTATTATACTTATGAACATTTTTGATTAATCCTAAATTCCAAGATTTACTTTGATACTTTACTCTTTGGGTAATTAATCTATAATTCTAAGAAATTAAGTCTTATTTTATTTATCAATTGTATATTATTCATAAAAGCAATTAATCTCATCTTATTAGCATACTTATATAATATAGTATATTGAAAAAGGAAGATTTTATATAAATTGACTATCATAAATTAAATTTGGAATTTCTAAGGTTAGTTCATTTTTGATAATTTCCCAATTTAAATTTAAATTCTTAAACCAAAATGAATTATATGAAATTGGATTAGATCTTTAAAAAGTCTATTATCTAATATAATATTTAGATATTCTATTTTATTTTTCATCTTTTACAGAACTTGATATCAATTTAACTAAGAAATAATAAATTCCTTGCTCTAATTTAAGTATAGTATTGAAGTATTATTATGGTTTACTCATTATTTGAATTTCAAAAATTTGTTTATTTAAATTAGAAGGATTTGATGTTCCTTGAATTAAAACACTCCCTTTACATGCTACTACTTCTAAAAGTAAAGTAGAATTTTATTAAAATGATACTTAATAAAAGTTAGGTTATCCAACCCTTGTTAATTAATACTAAGGAATTCCATCAATCAATATATTAGTATTCTCATCTGTTAGAATAATTTTTATGTATGACAAACTTTGCATTGGAGTAATTATCAAAAAATACATACCAAATACATCATATAGCTTAAAATAAATACCTCTCTAAAATTATTTTTTAATGTAAACTATTTTATTAGTAGTTGAATGTTTAATTTAAATTTCAAAAATATCAATTGAATGAAAAACACTTTAAATTTGTAAAATTAGAAATTTTGATGTATCATTACTGTTTTAATCATTTCTTAAAGATTAATAATAAAACGTAACTTTTTCTGGTTTTGCCAACTACATATCTATGATCTAACCTAAATTAAGACTAGACATTCTCCTATTCTTTCTCTAGATTAAAATTTAAAATGTAGCATTTTAAGTTAAACATTAAATTTTTATTACAAATTTTTCTATTTAATAAGATGTTCTAAAATAATCAATTATTGTGCTATTATTAACAACTTAAGTATTTTATGAGTTTTGTTAATAATCAGATGAGTTATTTTCTTCTTTAACTTCAACCTAAATATATCCAAATACATGGTCTAACTTAATAAAAAAATTATATTAAGATGTATAAATATATTCTACAATTTAATGTTATCTAAGCATCTGAAATTAATAAGTATTTTCTAATAATTCAATTGTCTGTTTATTTCTTTAAATTTAAATGGTTCCTTAAGTCCTTTCTTAAATTTTAATAATTTGAATTAGATAATAGCATTACTCAGATAAGCAAGCATTAAATTGATATAATTTAAATTTTCTAGTTATATCATCTAAAATAAATGAATCAGCAAAATCAAATGAGTCTATTCTTTCAAAGAAACATTTGACTCTTATTTAAATTGCACCACTAAATACAGCTAAAATAATTTTAAATGATTCTTTCTCAATATATAAATACACAGTAGGTATGCTATCTTATAATATTTCAAGAGGAATATATCCATTTGGAATAAACTAGAAATAAACATCTTACAATTCATAACTTATTTAGAGCTCACAATCTTCTAATCCTTATATTCTTAACATATATTAATCTTTTTCAAAATATATTGATTAATCATTTCCAAATATATAGAATGAATTAATTCTTAAAGACACTTGAATTGAGTCATCTAAGATATTAGGTCTACTATTTTAACTTTATTAGAATAACACAATTATAGAATCTTAGCTTCCTTAAACTTAAATATTAAAAATTATGGATTTTATATTTTCAGTTAATGTCAATTTATAGAATTAAATTTATCCTTTTTAAATATTATTTTTTATCCTTTCTTATTTTTTTAGAATCTTTATAGTTTCATAAACACCTATTGAATAACCCTCATTTTCAAAATGCTTTTGTGATAGTTAAACCAAAATATACAATACATAATTTTAATTATTTTCTGGAATAATGATTGTTTATATAGAATTATTTAAATTTTATGATTAAGATTTAAATTCTACATAATAGGTACTCGAGTCATTTAAGAATCCTAAATATGCTAATAAATTAGCCTAACTTCTTCCTTCAGATTACCACTAAATCATCACTTCATTTTCATTTAAAATGTAATAAAACAGTGCATCTTATTAGAATTTACATTTTAAAGGAAATCCTTCATATAATCTTATCTTATTATTTAGTTAGTTAGCAAAAATTTTATAGATTATCAGTCCATTTTTCGATGTTACTGATAAATATATTAAACATTAAGTTCTATTTTACTTTTGATTGCTATTACAAAGTACTTCTTCCTTTTATATAGTTAAGCTTTAATTTAAAAACACATAATCATTTAACAGTTCGTTCGGAAATGTATTAGTTTGAGTTAAAGATATGTAAATTATTAAATCAGAAATTAAATTCTCTGAATATATTTATTTGATTAGTACTAAGTCTTTTCCAACCATTGGTAGTTTATAATAATTAATTTAATTCTCGTTTACAGAATCTTTTATCTAATTTCCTATTTCATAAGATTTAATTTCAACATCTAAATTATATTCAATATAAAATTCTCCTTAAGAATTTAAGGATAAAACTCCTATATAATAAAATTTTGCTTGATTTTATTAGTCAATTTTTATATCAATTTATTTAGAGCCTTTCCATTAAAAAGAATTGCTGTCAGGTATTTCATTATCATTTATATTTGATTTGACAAACATTATGAAATCTCCTACATTACTCTACAATGTAATAGTAAAATTTGTTTATAATTCTAATTAAATCATAAAAAAACTGTATAACTCAACTTATTAGTGTAATTCAGATATTCCATTTTGTAATTATTTAAATAGAGTTGAATTAATAATTTAGTCTCTTTCCACTTAGATATGAATGCTATATTTACAATAAGAAGTTGTGAAAACAGTTAAGAAATATTTGTTAGTGTTATTAATTATTATTTAAAATTCGTCTTTCTACTCGTAATTCGTTTAATTAGGATATAAATTATAAGAACTTCCGTAAAGCATACAACTACCAATTATATGGGTTAAATAAAATTTTGACTTCTTAATATTCTAAATATCGGATATTTGATAACTATAATAAATTGCAGATTTTTGATCAATTTGTAATTAATCAAAATGGCCTTCTTTTAAGAAAATATGAGAGTGATTATTAATTTATATTATCCTATAGTCTTATTGATAATCGCTTAATAAACCAATAAGATAGTAACAATTCTCACAATTTGAATTAATAAATTTATATGAATCATTTTCCAAAAACATCTCATTTTAAGTATTTTTGTAATCAAGTTTAGTAATAAAACAATCCTTTTGAGTGCACTTTTTTAAATATTTTTTTGCTTACTCTAATTTAATTTCTACAATGATTTCTTCATTTAAATAACTGGGTTAAACTTTAAACTAAAGAATCTCTTGAGGTATCAATTCTCCACTTGATTTTAACAAAGATTAAATACTTAAAAGGAATGTTATATTCTAGAGAATGAATTCCATCAAAAAGAAAAATTACTAATTCATAGGTTGAAGTTGTATCCGAAAGAACTGTTATAAAAAAAATATCATCTGAACAATTTTCATATAATCTTTGTTGATATGAAATTTTTAGTTATTTTTATAATGATTACAAAGATGTGGATTACCATTAATACTAATGAAACAAATTTGGCTACCTAATTTTGTTCAATTGAGTGTTTACGTATCACAATTAACATAAACTTTATAATTTTCATGTTATGAAAATGCATTTAAGATTAAAGCTTAATGTTTGAAATAATTAGGATCCCTGACTCTCAATATATAGGTATCCTAATCAAACTCAATTATGTTGCCTTAAACAACTTCATTTAAGTTAATATCCATTACTTTCATAATAATAGTAAATAATACTTATGTCTTTGGCATGTATCACAAAAATCATGAAAATCATAATCATGTTAATTTTAATAAATTAAAAGGTTTTTGTATGATGCTTTGTAAATGTAATGATCTACTCATAATACCTTTAGTCTTACGTAAGATAGATATGTTTGGACAGCCAGTGTCCCTCAAATTTAATGGACATTCTAAACATTAGACTGAAGTAGGAGGCATCGCTTCTATTGCTACTATTACTGTAGTATTTCTCTTTTTCTCATCTAATATACTCAGCTTTATTAATAAAGGCGAATTATCAGCAATAGTAGTCAATAATTTCGAAGAAATTCCTTAATTTATATCACTTTCTGGAGAAAGAACATTAGCAGTTGGCTTTAATAATCTTTCTTAGTCCAACTACTTTAATATTACTTTATAATAAATGTATGATGATCTTAAATATATATTCAAGAACGATTGAAAATTAAATCATCACAAATTAAACATTAATAACAATTGGAAAATGCAAGCCTGAGCAATTTTAATTAGCAAGTGACACTTCTCTTTAAACCTATTTTACAGATCACTTTTTATGTTTGGAGTACATATTTAAATACTAATAATAGATAAAATTAATAATTATACTTCGGATAAAATCATTCTAGTAAAATCTATTATATATTTTTTTTAAGAAAAATACGAAGTACATTTAATTATATCGAAATGTTAAAATAATTAATCATCTTGTATCCCAAATCAAAATCTAGACGGTTAAATTTTTAATGTATAATTGATATTTCAGAATTAAGTATTTCTAGTTTTATTTTAAGGTTGTGAATCCTATGAAATTATCGGACAAATACATATAAACTTTTTTAGATGATACTTATTCAATAAAATTTGTACCAAATACATTATCAAAAGAACAAGAACTCCTTATAACTTAATATGATTTAAATAATGATGATAGTATTATATATGAAGAATTTCATTAAAGTCAAGCTTTTGCAATTGACTCAAGAGATTCTAAACAAATAGTCAATATTGATAATGATGTTTTTGCATCATTTATATTCAAAAAGAACAAATTAAAATATACAGTCAATCGATCTTATTAAAAAATAACTGATCTTCTTGCTCGTTTAGGAGGTTTTCTAAAAATATCATTCTTCATTTTAGGATTTGTAATTTAAATTTATAATCGTTTATAATGTAAAAATATGTTATAATTAATTAGTATATCTCATTTTAGCAAATAAGATTTACGAATTTTCATTCGATTCTATAAAATAGAGAGAATTTCAGGAATAACAATTTGAAGTTCTGAATTCTGCAATTCAATCCAAATTATCAAAAACCAATATTTAGAACATTAATGATGAAGGTAGTTAATAGAAAATCCCAGCTAGTCGAGTCATGTAAAAGAATAACTCCATTAAATCAAAATAGAATTCAATCTCATTACTTCCTTTTTCAAGTTAACACATACCTATATATAATAATGATACAAATAAAAAGTAAATTATAACTGAAGAGGAATGTATTATTTCAGCAAATTTAATTGATCATCATAAACATTTGGCTAAGAAATTTAATTGCTCAAGTGGTTTGGACTATTTTCAAAAATAAATTAATAAAATAATAAATAGATCTTAACCTCTAAGCTTAACAATAAGGATTTTCTTAAATCATTTATTTTGTTCTAAATTATTTAATTCAAATATCCAAGTTAAATTATATAGAAAATCTATGAAAGAAATTTCAAATCATTTAGATGTCTATTATATCCTTTAAAAATTAGAAGAATTAAACAAACTTAAATCTATTTTACTTAGTCCTTAATAACTTTTAGTTTTTAATTTTACTCCTAAATAAATGATTGCTCCTGATAAAACTGAATTAAAATTTAATCGAAATTTCTTGGAAGAAAAAGCAAGAATAAGACACACTACACTTTTTAGTGAAACTTAAAATACTGCTGCAAGTGTACTTTAACTGAGAAAAAGAGCCAGTTAAGAAAATGAGAATCTAATTTACTAACGAATATATAATGCATATGATGATATATTAAGATAATATGAAGGTGAAAGCCCAAAATAGCCTCATGATATTAATAAATAATTAGTTGAAAAATTGGGTTCTGAATTGAAGTCAATCTTTAGAGCATCGAAAATGATTGATTTCTCTTAACTTTAATCATCTAAATCAAGAAAAGTAAATAGAAGACATGCATAAATTGATAATGAAATTTAAGTAACTAAAATGATGTAATAGTTTTATTAATAATGAATTTTTATTTGATTCTTAAAATCTAAATGAATTTTTAATTAATTCATTTAGATTAATATTAATATTAATATTAATATTAATGGAAAAAACAATAACCATTATATTTTTTGCACTTTTAGCCATTGAATTCTTCAGACCTTAGAAATCAGAGGAATAATGGGTAGAAGATAAAGAATAAATTCTAAGTCGTCCTTCCTAAAGACACATAGAAAATGGAAAAGTTGAAGTTCTTGTTTAATATTGCACAAGTTGATCTTATAAAGGAGCTTTTTAATAAATTCAATAAGCAATATATAATTAGTTTGATGAAAGAGTAGAAGTGATGGGCATGCCATATCCTTTAGGGCAAGCCAAAGAGAGATTATTACAGCTTTTAACAATTATCCAATATGGATTCATAGCTTCTTTAATCTTTTTTGATAAACAAATTAGTCAAATGAGTGTCTTTTGGAGAACTAATATAAGTCCTAGCAAATTAAAATATGGTTTTTTGGGTTATATTGCTTTTAATTTTATTATTACTTAACTTTCATCTTCTGGAGCCTTTGAAATATTTGTAAATGATTCATTAATACATTCTAAAATAAGGACAGGTTAAATGCCATCTATGGATACATTATTTAAAATAATTAGAGATAGTCTATGATAAAATGAGAGAATAAGACCAATTATATATAAGAATGAGAGATTTTAAGTAAAGTATTTAAACTTAAGATTTTGAAAAATTATAATTATATATATTAGGGTCTTTATTTATATATATATATCTATAATTATGAAAGGATTCTCATATTTATAATTAAATTATAAAATTAAACTCATTTTTTGGTCCATGCGTGATAAAATGCTGATGAGGATGATAGGGTAAAGAAAACACAATAAAAAATAGTAAGTAGTTTTGCCATGGACTTTGTAATGACATAATGGTTTCTTACGGCCATTATTAATGTGAATAATAAATTAAGGAAGGCTGCTAAAATAACCATTAATTTGAATGCGTTCTTTTCTATATCAATGATACTAAACAAGTTAAATTTAATAGGGCCATGATTCACAAAGTTTTATTTTAAGAAAGCAACACTAAATCCAATGAGATTTGTAAACATTTGACCGACTAGAAATAGTTTAATCATTTTTACAATAAATTCCATTTAAAGCCATAATTGCTATAAATAGGGTTATTTATTACCATAACCTTCTTCTGCTAATGAAACCAAGGTAATGCAATCTGGTAGTACATTGCCCATTGCAATTAAGCTAAAACCTAAGTATGTTTTATTTAATTCTGTTATTATGCCCCAAAATTATAGAAAATCGATTAATAAGCCAGATAAAAAAAATATCCACACCAATGAACCTAAAATACAGTAAAATTAAAGATAAAAAAAATATTTTGGAGGTGTCTTTTAAGAAGGAATCGTAGTATTTAAGAATATAGAAAATCCAAATCCACAAAGCAATGCTAAAAAGTAAACCCACCATGGAGGAAAGCTAAAAACAACAGAAACAAAGAAAATTGATCCTGGAATAGGAAAAACTAAAAAAATAATTATATAATTTAATATACTTATTGCTTAATTTTTATCGAATTCATCTTCTTTTGGTCCAGGCAATGTATATTTAAAAGTTTACATTAATGGATAAATAATGATTGCTCTAATCTTTTCATATAATGATAATCTTTCCCATTTTTATTTTTAAGTTTCAATATTAGCTATTGTTAATTAAACAGCAAATCTAAATTTTTTAGCTAACATCTTGACTCTTGCATCTCCTGTTACATAATTTAATCTAATAAGAGGAGTAGCCCATTTAACTGGTTTTGCTGCAAGTTCTTATTCAGATTTCTTTTCCCAAAGATAGAGTAATTTCATATCATCAAACTTTTAAGCAACCTCTAGATCATATTTTGCTTCATGAATAGTTTGCATTCTCTCTCCTAAACTATCTTTTCGACTCTTTAATATTTTATCTCTTTCCTAATAATAAACGAGAAAAACTAGTATCAAATATAAGATAGTTAGAGAAATGCTTGAGAAATAAGAAATTTAACCAATAACTCCAAAAACCATAATGACAAAAATTGAGATAATTTGAAAACCAACATTCCTCCAAAAATGCACTGGATCCATCTTAATTTGAGATTTAGATGTTTTAGTAATTAGATAAACTCCTATACTACATAAAAACTAAAAGTAAATAGAAAATCTATTTCTTACAAATCCTGCTCCCATAGTTGCTCCAATGTTATAATCGATACCTCCTGGATAAGAAGAAGCTACTAGTGCAGTTAAAACATCACCTGCACCATTTCCAAAAGCTAGTAAAGTAACTCCTGCCATTATTTCTGAGACTTCAAATTTTACTTTCACCGCTTCTAAAGATGGCACCAAAAATTCTTTTATAATCTCGCTTATTCCGTTATACACCAAATAACCAACAAATCCAGATACCATTAAAGTAGTCTATTACTTAATATCCTTATATACCATAATTGATCCATTAAGCCAACAATAACTCAAAATACTATAATTGAAGTATAGAAAATCATGTTAACAGTATTGTTCCGCTATATAACATTGTTAACTATGTTCTGTTGCAGAAAGAAAATCTGATTTTTGACATGAAAGAACTTTAGGCTCATAAGGGGCATCAGATAAATGTTCTAACATTAAAATTAATGGGCAATAATTGTAATATTAAATTATAATACTTGTTGGAAACATGACTTGCAAAATCAAATAGAACAAGATAAAAAATCGAAGCCACGATGGCAAAGTTTAGAGTTTTTGAAATCGTAGGAGCATAAAATAGTTAAAATGTAGTCTTGGATTCGTGGATGGTAAGCTCGTTAGCGTGTTTGGAAGATTCAATTACAAAAATATAATGAGAGTGTGAATGAATAGTTAAAAACGTAGCGTCAGTTTTTACAGTAGATATTCCGCCAGCGTGATTAATGTTGGATCAAGACAACAATCTCCATTTGATTTTGGGACTGACGATATTAATGATTCACTTGTTCATTAAAAAGTACTAAAAGCGCCAATGAAATTAGAAAATGGAGCCACGTATTTTGGAGAATGGATAAATGATTTAAGACATGGAAAAGGAATATTGATTTGTGATGTAAATCGATTTATTTAAGAAAGGATGGTTCAAAATATGAAGGTTATTTTTATTAAGGAAATGCTCATGGAAGAGGTAGATTAATACATTCAAATGGTGAAATATATGAGGGATAATGGGAGAATGATGAAGCACATGGTTAAGGAACATATATACATGAAGATGGAGCTACTTATATAGGTTATTGGGAACATGATTTATAACATGGAAAAGGAGGTGAGAAATGGCCAGATGGAAGGTTAATATTATATATAGAGATTTTAGTTATTTTGAAGGAATTTATAAACATGGGAAAAAAGAGGGTTTAGGTAAATTTGTATGGGCTGATGGAGCAATATTTGATGGAGAATTTAGAAATAACAATATAGATGGTTATGGTAAATATACATGGCCAGATAACAAATAATATATAGGTTATTGGTAAAATAATAAAAAGTATATTTTAACAAATAAATAATTAGAAACGGAAAAGGTAAGTACATATGGCCTGATGGAAAAGTATATGAAGGTGATTTTGTATTTGATTAAAAACATGGATAAGGAACACTTAGATTTCCTGATGGAAAAGTTTATGAAGGAGAATGGTAATAAGATAAATAACATGGAAGAGCCATTTTAAAATTACCAAATGGTAAAACTTCATTTGGAGAATGGAAAAATGGAATTCGTATCAATTGAAATACTTTTAATCATTTGTTAAAAATTATTCCCAAGTTTATCTTCTCAATTGAGAAATATTTGGTCTTTATGTACTTGCCATTGTTGAATAAGTATTATTTCTATTATCATCTTCTTTGTATAACTATTAATACACAAGTTTTTTATTCTTTATAACATCTTGAACAATTTATAGAGGACTTCTAATACTAAATGTATTTCTTTTTGCAGATCTAACTCTTTTTGTTTGATATGTGAGATCTCTTGTCCTAACATACTTCATATCTATGATTAAATTCTCATCTTGAGATACTTATTTTTAATTCCTATCTGATCTTATTTATTCTCTCTATATACAAATATTTTTTAATTGTTCATATAAATGCATTTCATTTGTTGATTATAATCTTTAAATTAAACAACTCAATTGAATCTTTAGAGCCACTCCATTTTCAGAATTACAAAATACACTCTATAATCTTTTATCAATATTATTGTAACTCTCATGATCACCAAATATTTAACCTTTCTATAATATAGCTATTTGAGATGATATCTACTTTTTAGGACTTTATTATTATCCATCATTATTTTAACATATCACAAACTCTCCACTCTATACTAAATATATTTCTTGCTTGCTTTATTACCCGTAATAATACACTGCTTATCTAAATTAATAATGAGAACTCTAAAATGCTAAAAACAATATATCTAATAATTTTGGTGAAATCTAATGGTATTTAAAACAAGAATGAAATTCTTTTATCTATTATCTTAACTTATTTTCTTAACCTTTTTAAAGGATATCCTTATAATCTTTCTTACTTAAAACTGCTAAAATGCATTAACAATCACAAATAACACTGCCTGATCTTACAGTATCATTTAAAAATGCTAATTCTCCAAAACTTTAACCCATCCAAATTCTTTTGGTAAAAAACGATCTCTCTTATAATTCTACTAAATTTACTTCTTCTTTATCTTATCCACTCTCTCTTATTCGTAATCTTTATGCTCCATCTATGTGGACTTATAAATATAGATTGAAACACTTCCACTCAATATTATATAAAATTATTATGGTTTATCCCCTTACTCAAATACTACGTCATTCTCAAATTATTTAGATACTTACCTCTTCAAATATTTCAATCGTCATTCTTTTTAAACACTCCTTAAATAACATTTCCCCTTAATCAATATAAACTTATTAAAAGAATTCAATGTCTTTTGTAGCAGCTTAAATAATCTATTTATATTATAAATATTCACTTATATATCTTCTTATCTTCTTTACTCAGGATTTTTCTTTAGAATCTCTACACACAAAGGCATCAATTACTCTTTTGATTATCTGTTTATAAATTAAATGATGTCAGATCTTTTTCTTTTATTTTCCATAAATTGTTTATTTGGGGATAATATCATTAAATAAAAAATAATTTATATTTTCGAGAAGTCAAGTCATTTTATTACAAAAATAATATTATCAATTAAATTCAATAATTAAATAATTTAATAACATTTTCACCTAAAATTTAATCATCCTAGGGACTATTGATATATATTGAAAGTTTTTTTGTTTTCAAAAAATCCTATATAAGAATTGAATAAGAAACTTAAAAAATAAAAAAGGTAATGTAAGACTTAACTAAATAAATCATAAATAAAGCTATTATAAATTATATAATCAAAAAGTAATTGTTACAATTTATGTTTATCAATGTAATCAATCAATAGTTCCTCTGCCATTGATAATTTTTTGATTTTGAACAAGTGATTAAAGTTTTTCATATTTTTCTGAAGGTGCCAATCTCATAAAACCTCCCATATTTTTTGGTATTTCTCCATATCTTCTAATATGCTAACTATTTAAAATATAATTAAGATCTCTTTGTAATTATAATTTTGTATTATTTTATGTTTTATTCATTTATTCTTCTTAAATTCTTCTTTCTAAAACTTCACATAATCTTTATCTATCATATTTTGGAGAATCTAGTAAATCAAATATATCATCAATCAATTATTATTTTATTAATTCATCTAATAAATAATCTCTAGATAATGATGGTGAAGCATTCACTTCTAAAAGCCAACACTTTAAATTAGTGTCTATAATTATATCATAACCAAATAATTCAAAACTATTAGGATTGTTTGGTATTTCAATTTAACAAGCAACTAAAGATTTTAGAATTATTTCTTAAACTTATTCCCAAATTTAATTCCAATTAATATTTTTAGCTTCTAATTTCTCTTTCAACTATTTAAGTGAAATCTTACAACCTCCTAATTATTATTCTAAATCTTAAATTTAAACATGTGTTTTTTAAACTGCAAAATTTGTCAAATGTATCAATTAATTTTTAAGTTCATTAATATCTAAATTAAATTATTAAGTTGTTAATCTAGCAAATCCCTCTTTATATAAAAATACTTCCAATGGATTAAATGAAGTAACTAATACATATATTCTCATATCAAATTTATGTCCATTTAATAATAGAGGATTTTTCAAATATTTCTGCAATACAACTGGTTCAGCATACATAACTTCAGAAATATCATTTAATACTGTTATTCCTCTTCCTCTTGATTTCCCAGTTGGTTTCATAATCCAAATATTTAATTGGCCTTCTGATTCAGAATCTTTATAAAATTTTTCCATAAATTAAACGTACTCTTTTGGCAATAAAAATGTAGCAGGAATAATATCAAAAATTTAATATGCCTTTCCTCCTTATTTTTAACATCTTTCTATATTCTTCTTTAATAGATCTTTCCTTCCAAGATTTTTATTAAATGGAAAATGATTTACTTTTTAAAAGTAAAACAACTTATTTAAATCAATCTATGGCTTTGACCAAGTCCATAATATATTCCATGAGGTTCGTAGTCCTATGCCATGTGGTAGTTCACTCCATCCTTACTTTCTCATAAAAGATCTAGTTATTATATCTAGATTATCAAATTTGCATACCATATACCTCTTCTTTTGTTTTCACCACTCTAAAATATCTTTCTTCTTTTCCTAAAGTAAAACCTTCATTTTAAAGTCTTTTATTAAATATCATCTATCTTTAGATATATTATTATATGTCAACCCCAGTTGTAGTCGAATATAAAATCAAACGTTAAGGATCATTTATGTATACCAATTCATTTGGATTTATAACTAAGGAACTAGATTTATACTTCCCTAAAAGTGAATCAACATTGTCAACCTTTTCAATATGTTAAAAAAACACACTGTAAATTTCTTTCATCACTTCTAAATTATTATAATGAGGTTAATGGTTAAAGAATCCACTAAATAAATCTTAAAATGTAGGAACAATATCTGAATAATCTTCTAATTTTTTATCATCAATAAATTTTAAAATTTTCTCAATTTACTTTGATTTATTACTCTTAGTTTTAACTTCTTATTATTATAAGACTTTTTTAACTATTAATTCAGACGTATCCCTTTATTATGATGATGATTATTATTATTACTATTACTATTATTATTATTATTATTATTATTATTATTATTATTATTATTATTATTATTATTATTATTATTATTATTATTATTATTATTATTATTATTATTATTATTTTAAATTAAAATCGTCTAATCCCATTTATTTACTAAGTTAGTTTATTTCATCTAATTTTTCTTAATCGGTTAAGACTGGTTTTTACTTAATTTCAATTACTCCTTTATATTTTGGTTAATCAATTCTACCAATAACCTTTCCAACTAATTCTTTAACTGGTTTATATTTTATTGGTATGATTTTCTCATTATCACTTTCCACTTCAATATAATCTTCAATTATTTCTAAATAAAATCAATTACTATTACCTTCCTCTTCATTATTAAGTAAAATATTTTTATTATCTATCACTTATGCTTTTTGAGGAATTACTATATTCTATTTGGATAATTTTTCATTATTGTTTAATTAATTATCTTTTTTCTAATTTGAATCATCTGTTTTAATTTCATTATTTATGTTTTATTATTATTCAAACTTTTCCTACTATTGAGAAAGCACCTACTTTTTTTATAAAGATGAAAAATTTATATTAGAATCTTTATTTAAATCTTTTCTATCTTCATTTCTCTATACAGGCTCATCTTCTTATTAAAAACTGTCCAAATAATAATTATCCTAGGACTATTCATATATTTAATTTTCTTATTTTTTATGTAATTGTTGTTCTAATTAAGCGATATTTTTTTACAATTCTATCTGATTTAATGTTTATTAAGGATCATTTTTATTGTTTATAATTTCTAAATCATTTTTTTTTTAAATTTAGTTGCTCTATGAATTTTATTGTTTATTATCTGTATTTTATGTTTAAAATAATAAATTGGAAATTTTAAACTGTTCCTATTCTTTAGACTTCTCATCATAAGTTTAATCTGGATTTTAGATAGAACTAATTTATTAAAATTAAGCAAGCTCTTATAAGGGTGTGGATTATTTAACTTTTATTCTTTCTTAAGAAGTATTTTTAGAAGTAAGTTTGTATTATTTTCCATTATCATCTAATTATGCTATGTCATCTAATTTACTTTATAATTCCTGGGTATTTTTTTCACAATTATTATTTTGAGAATCTTTGTTTAATTCAATACTTATATTTGATTTATTTAATTGTTTTTTCACTTATTTGACATTGTTAGTTTCCTCTTTTAAATCCATCTTTTGAATGTTAGATGAGATTTATTTTCTAGATATCAATGTATTATTATTTATTTATTATTTTTGATTATTTTGATATCTTTTCAAAGGTTCTTTTTCTAGAGTTTCATTTTAATTAAAATTTTAGTCTAGTTATTATTAACAAATATTGGGAGTCTATTACTAAATTTTTGAATAATCTATTTATTATTAGATTGATGATTTGGTGATGATTTTTTACTTGTTACAAATTTCAGGTAAATGATCATTAGAGGATTTATTATTGTCTATTTTAGATTTTTTCTTTTTTCTTAATAATTTTTCTTATTTAATTTTTTCAACAGTTGATAATTATGGCTTTGGTGCAGGAGGTACATATCTATGATTAATTACAGCTCCAATGATAAATTATTGATTTGAAACTTCTGTCTTTTTTAAGACTTCTTTCATCATTTCCAACATTTAATTTGGTTTCTTAGTTTATAATCTTGTATTAGCATTACTACTTCTAGTTACTGTACTTAAGGACATAGCATCAGATTAGACTTATTTATATTATGAGTCTTTTAAGTAACTTTGTTGATATAATTAATGAGATTATTAAGGATGCTCATTTTATTTTGATTGTTCATATCTTGGAAGTGGAGGTTTAGAATATTATTAATCTAAATAATTTACAGGTCTAGATTTAATATCATTTAAAATAGTTTAAAGTGCATTGTTTTAATAGATTGGTTATTAAATAAAGTCTTAAACTTAAATATTTTAAGCAAAGTATTTAATTGCTTATCTTTCTTTAATTTCAACTTCTATCAGATCTAATATTTTTTTTGCCTTTTTATTCCATTGAATATCATCTGTAGTTTAACATTTAATTTTAGTCTATATCTCTTCCAATTATAAGACATCTAAATCATATATCTCTTCATATGGTATTAATGTTGGAAGTTATTACATATAATTAAAATTATAATAATTTAATTTAAAGACATTTCATCAAATTTATTATAGAAAATGAAATATATGAAATCAATTCTAAATTGTTATATATATTTTAGTATGTGCATTTATATTTATTATTGAGGAATAATTAAAATAATATTTCTTTAAATTCAAAAATATACATAATAAATTAATAGTTCTATTTATATTATAATTCTTAGATATAAATAGAAAAATGAATATATATATATAATTTAAATAGGGTTTAAGTAGATATTGATGTATTTTGTAAATTAGAAAATGATTAGATTTTAAACTTGTTTTTCATTTAAAAATATTATATTAATAAGATTATTCATAAAATATTCAGTTATTAATTATGAAAACGGATTAATAAAAATATAATAATGAGAAAGGTTAGTCTTTTATTATTAGCGCTCATTTATGTGAATGCAATAGATCCAAGCATGGTTTAATTAGGTACAGCAAAGCTTGATGAATTGAATTAAAGTAATTTGGGGAAAATGATCTTAGAATTAGCATAAACTCATGCAGAAATGAGAGGACCATTAGGTAATGTAAATTAATTTTAACAGAAACTTAGATGATTTGGTAACAGCCATTGGTGATTTAGAAAATGAATTAACTGCTGAATTACAATAATTAGATGATGATTATACAAGATCAACTAATTAACATGCTGCTACTTAAGAGAATTTAGATATTCAAATTGGATAAACTGAAATCAATATTTTTAATTAAAAAGACTTTATTGATGCTATTCTTTTACCAAGCATTGATTAAACTAATTCAAAGATTGAAAGATTGAATGGATACATTAATGATAATAGAGATAATTTATCAAAAGAAACATTTAATAGATAAAAATAACATTAATAATTTTTAGATAGAGGTATAATTATATCTTAATTTTTAAGTAAGTGAACATTAAAGTGCAATTAGTGCAGTTGATGAGGCAATATAATTAATTAATGCACTTATAAATGGAAATATTTCATTTGCTGAAAAGGGTACCATCAATCAAGCAATTGACAGAATTAATACTAAAACATAAAAAACTAATACAGTTCATCCTATTGTTGAAGCTCTTATGTCATTAACATAAAATTTTTCAGACTAAGAATAAGCTAAAAAAATAAGAGATCTATTGTCAGATACAAGAAATTAATTAGTAGCAAGTCTTAATTAAGAAACTGCAGATGAAAATTAAATTGAGTAAACTTGGGTTGAAAGATAAAAAACATTAAATACTGAATATTAAGAATTCAAAAGATCAGTATTAGAAGCTACTTATGTTTTAGCTACATATTAAAGTATAATATTAATTTATTTAGGTAAATTAAAGTCAACTAGAGAAGCTTTGGCTGAAAATGAGAGCGATCTCCAAAACTTTAAAGATTCTTTATGTAAAAATATTTTATATTATTTTATTTAGAATAAGATAAAGATGCTTAAGCTTAAGAAACATAAATTTATAATGAATTAAAGAGTCAGTACTTAATATAATTGCAAACTACAAGAAATGCTAAAGAATTTGTTAATTCTGCTGAATTCAGTACTGTTATTAGACAAAAGTTAAACTAAGGTGGATTAATCTGATACATATATGCAATTAATATCAATATTTTAACATCCGAATCAGATTGTTTATTATTATATATGCTAATTTATATTTTTTCCTATTTCATAATCTTTCTATTTATATTGTAAGCTGATTATTTAAGAAATCTTATTTCAATAACATAATTATCGATTATATGAGATTGTATTTATTTTATATCTTTTATACTATTTTTTAAATAAAGAAAGAAGAAAGAAACAAAATTTGTTAAACCTTTTTGATATATAAAGAAAGATTAAGATTTAAATTTAAATTTATTTGATTTGCTTTCAGAATTTTTTTCAAGATTAGGTTTAGTAAGTCAAAATATTTTTTTTTAATTAATTTTAGGTGATAAATCAATTACATATATATACACGAATAATTACCTTCAAAATTAATTACCTTTTTAATCAATAGGAATAATAACACTAAGTTTATAAGATTTTCTTGGAGTTTCCCATCTTTTTACAAGTTCATTAATTTTAGATTATTTTTATTTTATATTTTTGAAAGATCTTTTTCGACTTTGATTAAACAATTTTAATTTCTAAGTTTTAACTTTTTAAAATTTCATAATAAATTCATAGGGAAAGTACATAAATTTAATTAATTAAGTTATTGGTTTCTTAAATAGAGAATGTTATTTTTATTGTAACTATAAGACAATGTTTTCAATATTATTCTAAGTCATGTAGAGAGTGAAATTCTTAACAATTTCAAACTATTCTATTTCAATCTATCCTTTCTATTAATAATAAATAATTTGCAATTATTGAACGGATTGATCTAATTATTAACTTAAATTATTTTCATATTTAAAGATCTTTTGATACAATTAATCTACATTTTAAAAATAGGTATCTTATAAATCAATTTTTTATGATTCCATAGAATCATTAGAATTAACTTTATTAGTTTATTATTAATACAATTTTTTGTATTTTGAAAGTTTGGCAGTCATATATTTGTTTGCATTGACCATATATTGTTATCTGGTTGACAATTTAAGATTAGAAACTGAATGATTTTCACTCGACATAACAGAATCATTAAGATTAGGTTATTTATTCATTAAATATTCAGAACTTTATTAAGAAAATCTTGGTTTAGGAACTGAATCTTATCTTCTAAAATGATAATTTTTAGTTTATTAGGATTAGTCATCTAGATCAGATTTACAATCCTCTGCTTCTTATTCATAAACTAATTATTTTCCTAATTAAGCTTACACTAACTTTTATTGTTCATTTAAAAATAGATTACAAATTATTCTATAATTTCTCTATCACTTAGAGTTGAAAATGAAGTCTTACCTCTTTTTTTAGATCTTTTTTGATGTTATCTCTTTTGCTCAACACTATATTAATGCCTTTTAATAATTAATTCTCTATCTAATGTAATATATAAATTTGGACACTCTTTTAATCCATGAGTATTATTTCCACAAGCAATACAAAATTAACTATTAGGTAAATGTTATTACTGAACTTATAATATGAATTAATCTTTTAAATTACAGAATTTTTAATAATCTTTTGGATATGAACGAATTATATTCATAAAATCAGACTAAACTAAATTAATTTAATATATACCTTACTCAAAATAAGTAAACTAACATAACCAATTGCTTTAAATGTTTAAACATTATTACTTTCTTCTATAAACTCTGATACATCTAAAAAATTATCTTAAGATTAAACACTTTTTAATGATACTTTCAAAAAATTCTAATATTACAATTATCCTTATTCAACAAAACATAAATGTGGCTAAAATACTTCACTAAGACTATAAATAGAAAAAGAATTTTATGGCTAGATTATCTTTCTTTTTATATATGGAGAAAGTGAATTTTATAATTCTAAACTAAAATTTTTAAATAAAAAGTCACAATGTTTGAAAAATACATTGTTTGCTTATTTCTTTAGTTCTTATTATAATTCTTCTGATAATTCATTTAATAATATTTCCTCTTACTAAAGATCTATTTCTGACTCTTCTTTCCATCTAAATGTTAAATATTCTCGAATTTTATATTATAAACTATAAGGAATATTTCTTTAATGCATATATCTATTTATAACTCTAATCTTTTTGCTTCTTTCTACAAAGTTTAAATTAATCTCTTTAATTATTGTTCCTATTGCATTAATACTATAAGAGAACCATAAACAGGCACTTAATATAAAAAATATTGCAATTATTTTCTCATTCCATGATTTTGGTACATTATCTCCATATCCTATTGTTAACATAGTTACAATTGCAAAATAAAAAGATTCTAAATATTAAACTTACCAGGTCTGATGATCTAATTCTTTTAACATAATCCATGAGTTTTACATATTTAAAGAACTATTGAAAAACCATATACAAGAAAATAAATGTAACACATAGACTAAATAAATTAAAAGTTTGAATAAACTCACAAACGCTTTTTGTTTTTAGTAAAATAAGATGATTCCTCACTTTTTTCCAAAGTTACATTTATTTAATAATGTTATGTCAATGATATCAAAAGTACTAAGTATTAAAATTGATTTCCATTAAATTAAATAAAATATATTAATAATAAAATTAAAGTGAAATCGGATACAAATTAAAAGTGCAAATTATTTTGAATAATTTTCCATCTATCAAATACTGCATGTCCATGCTAATAAAATATTGTATTTAATCTCAAAATATTATCAATAATTAAAATCATTATGATTGTAATTGTTAAACTAATTAATTGATCAAATAAAATATTTGGCTTATATGATATCTCTAACGGTATAAGTATTAATAAAATTAATCTAAAAACAATAGTAGAATAATCCCAAACTATCTTTTTTGGTGTTTCTGGATGAATAAGAGGTATTTTTGAAATTAAATCATGAGCATATTTTTTGAATTATTAATTTTTCTCTTTTAGCAATGAATATAATCTATTTTCTTATTTATTAATTGTGTTCTCTCTAAACAACATAGTTACATTTCTTATATAAAATTTAGGATGACTATTAAATTTTAAGAAGGACATTAACACTTAACTTAATCATTTAACTGATACCTATCACTTGATTTGTCATTTATCAATTTAATGTGATTTTCATTAACATTTGCCAACTTTGTTCGATTATTTCTTATACGTTATATAAATCTCTTCAAATAAAAATATTTCATAAAATTGATCCCATTTTTTTTCTTTTTAATATTGGTACTTTCTTCCTTAACATTAATTAATGGCTTAATCAAAAATAATTTATTACTTCACAATTTCTGTGAGTATCAATTTACGATGTTGATTTATATGTAAAATTGATTTAACTTGGATTTCTTGTTCTAATTTTTGAACCAAGATCAGCTTCTAAATATTCTCTTTCATATTCATTTTATTATTCTGCCTATAATTCCATTTATAAATTTTCTGGCTATGAACATAATGCAGAAAATATTATATCAGTTCCTTTCATTTAATATTTATATTATCATATTTATTTATTTTTTCCATTTCTTCTTTATATTTATATTCTTTTGTTTTTAAAGCATTTTAGCTCTGATTTTAATAACTTAGTATTAAAAAACTAAATTTTTAAGCCTTTATCAACTTTAAATATAATATTTGATTCAAAGAAAAATTCTTAAACAAAATCCTTCTGAAAATAGATAGATAGATAATTGTAAAACATAATATTTCTCTCTATATTTTGAATTTTATTTTGGGAAACTTTTTTCAAAATATAATAAAAAAAAAAGTAGTTGATGATAGGAGTATTTTGATTATTTTTTGCATTTTGTTATTCTTATTGATTGTAAATGAATAAGATTTGAAAATAAAAAAAGATCTTTTAATTTTTGAATTAATTTTTATTTTATATGATTAGATTAGACTATCTGATAAAAGTAAATATTAAATTTTAAATTTTAGAATTTGTGGATTTGAAACATCCCACGTATATAGATTTTTTTTTTCAGGAAGATGATAAATAATTTAATTTATAATATGTTAAAAAAAATAAAAGACAAACCACTTTCTTAATTAATAGCAGAGTTGTAATAAAAGTATTAAGAAGATAATGACTAATCAAATATATTCCAACATATATATTAGAAATAAATGGAGTAAGAGAGTTCAACAGATTCCTCTCATTTATTACCTGCTTTACATTCAGGAACAACTGGTTTTTAATCATCGAATTCTTAAGAAGATAATTAAATTTAAGTACTTTAAAAAGTTCAAAAGAATATCAAGAAAGAAAAGAAAAGTAAAAAAACAGGAAAGATGATTTAAGATGAGAAATAAGAATTCTCTTAAATAACTGATAAAAAAGAAATGTAAATGATAAGAAATAGAATATCAGCATAGAATTCTAGAGATAGAAAAAAGGCTTATTTATAAAAACTCGAAGAAGACTTTGTTAATCAATAAAGTTAATTATAAGAAACTCAAGAATAAGTCAATTAATTATAATAACAATTAGAAGAAGTTCAAAGAATAAATTAGTAATTGTAATAATAGTATTAATTTCTAACATGTTTAAATTGTGGTAGCAAACATTTAGGATATGATGATGAAAATCCAATCTCTATTTCAAAAAATAAAAGCATTGGAAAATTAGGGCTTTCATTTTTATTTATCATTGCCATTATAGGATGCATTTAAATTGATTTAAATTTAGGAGCTTAATAATTAAATTCTATTTAATTGGAAAAAAGTAATGAACAATAAATCCGAAATCTAAATGTAAGTGATGATGAATATGGATTATTTAATCATGTTTAAAAAAGTAGAATTAGAGGGATGACTGAAATCATGGGATACAATTCAGAATATAATTATAAATTTTTTGATACAACATATAGAGCAATTCTACACAGTGAAGAAAGTCTTGTAAACGGTTTGATTAATTTTAATAAAGAAAGAATTAAAAATAATAATGGTAAAGCACTTGCTCCTCTTAATTATCATTAACCAAGAGTTGATTCTCTATTTTGTCCTTCAATTTATAAATATGATAATCAAACTTAAGGGTAAGATGTTTATATTATTTTTACTTAGAATTCGAGTTCATTATTAAGACAATTAATGGTTGCATTTAATTATTCCAAAAAATAAAGTAAATATATTCTATTAAACAACTGATAATTCAATCGTTTTGAAGGAAAGCTTTACTGATTCCAAAAAAGAGCATAAAACAATTTATTAAGAGATTTGGTGCCAGATAAAGAGTGTAAGTGATTTCTATATTTGATTAATGTATCTTTATTCTTAATATTATATTTCTAATTTTATTATAATAATTTTGTGTTCAATACTTTATGAAATAAACATATAAAAAGTAATTTCAATCAATTTTAACTAATAGAAGTTGTTATTTGAGTTCTGATATAAGACCATCTATTTCAAATTCATGTTAATTTATTTCGAAAATAGCCATAGAAATAGACGTTTGTTATTTTTCTAATTATTTAAAATATTTATTTAATGATTAGATTTAAGTTCTAATTCTATTTTCTTATTTAATACTTTCAAGTTTCTATTTTTACTTTTTGCGTTCTTCTAATTTTTCATTTTTTATTTCTTCATAAATTTATAAATGAAATTTTCCATAAAACAGGTCGATTTTATTTTTATCAATTTTTTCTTTCTTTTGCAATTTTGCAATATTTCTAATGATATGAACTAATTTTTTTCTCATAATTCTATCAATTGATTCTTATTTACTTTTTAAGATGAAAGATTTAATCAACTCTTCATCATCACAAACTTTAACAAAATTACTTAAAAGTTTTTTTCCAAATTTTTTTGAAATTTATTTGCTCCAAGTACTATTAACAATTCTATTATTTACTAGACTATTAATAATTCTATAATCAGGATCATCAACTGAAATATTTTTTAATTTTTATGATTTTTATACATAATATTTAACTTTAGAAATTGCCTAAAATACATATAAATGATAAATTACATTGGCAAACTTTTCTCTAATGATTTTAATTCTCGCTTATTTTTATCCAACAACTTATAACATAATATCCTGTTAAACACTTTAATAAGGACGATTATCAAACTTTTATTTTAGATTATCTAATTGTTAAGCTAATGTATTTTTTCTATTTAATTTTTAAGTCTCATTAACAGCATGTCCTCTTCTAATTTTATTTTATTTTTCTATATTAGAGATGATATATTACATCTCTTTAGTTTAGCTTATTGAAATAGAATTATTTTTCTTCTTTTGTACATTTATTGTAATTCAAAAAATTAAGGAGATTCATTTAATAAATATTGAGAAAAGAAATGAGCAGAGCACATAATAACAATACTATCTTATAAAGCTAAGGCACTCCAACATCTTTAAGTATATTCTATAGATTCAATTTCGCCAAAACAAGTTCCTTCCATTACACTAATAATTGATTCACCATTAGAATCACATAATCTGACATCTCCTTTTATAAGAAAAAAGAAATCATTAGCATTTTATCCTATATGATATATAGTTTCATATTATTAATAACAAGCTATTGTACAATGTGGTAAGATGGCAGCAGAGAAATTGATATCATTAGACATAAAAGGAATAGTTCTAAATATTTCTTTATGAACAGCTGCTGTCATATATAATATTAATGGTTGAGGTAATTCAAAGAGAATTCTTTTAGCATCATCACCCCAGAAAGGATTATATTATATATTATATTTAGTATATCGAAATAAATCTTCTTAAATCCAATTAGGCATATTTATACTAATGTCTTCTAAATTTAATAGTTAATCATCAAATTCTTAATTTGGATTTGATTAAATCAATATAAAAGTTATATTTCCAATTGTAAATGAATAATATCCTACTCCTATTAACATCCATATAATAACTAATAAATATTCATCAGTATTATGAGCTTCTATATCTCCATATCCTATTACTGTAATTGTTTAATAAGCCCAATAAAAAGCATTTATTAACTATGTAAATTCATCCTTTTCATTAAGATTATAATGTGACAACCAATCTGAACCTAAATTAAATCTACAAATCCATATCCATAAACAAGCAAATAAATGATTTAGAACTATCATTTCTAAAAATATTTTCATTAATTTTTTCAATCTCAAATCCAAATTATATTCATTTCTTACTACTAATTCATCTTTTATTGCTTTCTATTATTTTAATAAATCTAAAGATTAATTATAAGCCACCCTTCTTTCAAAAAGAAAAAAACGAAATAATCTTACTAGTTTTAATAATTTTAGTCCATTTTAATTAAAGTCAGGAAGTACTGAAATTAAATCAAATATAAACCAACTACTAAGATAATGATATGCAATATCCTTAAAGTTATAAATCAAATCTAGTTATTTATTTACATGGCATATAAAAAAATTAATGAGTAGATCTATCCAAAATATTATTTAAATTATCAAAATAATTTGACTTCCTACTCCCTCTATTATACAGTATAAAATGTACTTCAAAGTCAAATGCAATTTATAATGGAAATAAAATTGCTGCAAAATCAGTGCATAAATTTATAATTAACCCCCATAATATATATGGAACATCATCTGGAAATAAAGGCAAAAAATTTCTTCTTTTGTAAGTATAACGTATATTTTAGCTTCTTAATTAATCAGCATAATTCTTTAACTCTTCTATAAAGTGTTGAGCATTAATAATCTTTCTAATTAACTTCGAAAAATATAGTTTTCTATCTGTTCTTTAGGAATTAGTTGGAGAGATAGTAGTTGTTGAAGAAAGTTAAATACTTTTATATAAATTAGATTATCTTACAAATTTTTAACTGTTTTAGATCTTTTCTTCCTGTTGCTATTTTTTATTGGTTATAGAAATCCACTATTCATATGAGTCAAAACAACTTAAGATCCCATCTCAGTAAATTGCCTTTAACTACTCCAAGTATGTAATGTCTCAAAATCGTCCTTCTCCTTATGTTTAAAGGGATGAATTTTCATTAATTTATGTTTTTAGAAAAATACTTTTTTATATAATTAACTGAGGAGTAATTACTTACAAATTTAAAATACTTAATTTACTTAATCCTCTTTTAGTTGAAATATAAAGTATATAAAAAAGAACTATAGAAGTATGGCTTCACTTTAATTAAATTAATTAAATAGAGAAACTATTAATATTTCAATCAGACCAAGGAGTATATTGACTTGGTTTTATTTTGGACTTTCTTATAATACTTTATATGTGTTCAGATCTAATTGTTCTTCTTGGCTTTTAAAGTTTTTATAAGATTTTATCTAAATTGTAATTAGTAAAGTAGTAGGTAGTTATAAAATATCTATCTAATTCAAAATCGACTCTCTAAAATTAATTCGGATAATCATTGGGTCTTAATGAAATTACTTCATCCAATTAATTAGCAATATTACTACTATTGACTTCTGCTTTATTTGGCATTTCAAGATCCATATTTGAATATGAACTTGAATTATTTTTTCTAAGTTTTTAAACACTTTGAACTTGTTACTATTATTATTATTATTATTATTATTATTATTATTGTTATTATTATTATAATGGAATTTGATCTTATGATATACAAGTAATATTAGTAAATCGATTATTAGAGACTTAAGTTAATCGTTAGAGTGTTTTATGTCGATTATCAGCTTTTCTTCTAAATGAATTTTAAGCTCTAAGAACTTTAGGTTCAGGTTCAGGATTAGGATGGAATTTAACTTTCTTTAATTCCATGCTTTAGAGATGAGAATATTTGGAAGATTAAGGAGTTTAACTTTTATTAAATTATGAACTAGAATTATCACTATCAGATGAATCACTACTAAATTATTCAAACCCTGTAAATCCTCTTAGTATTGATTTATTTGACTTTTGACTTTTTAATGTTTTTATTAATCTACCATTTTGATCATCTTCCATATTAAATCCTAATATATCTAGATATTAATCTGTTAAATCATCAATAGCAATTATATTATCATTTACAATGATGGCTAACGCATGTTCTCTAATAATATTCCTTTAAAATAATCTCTTAATTTAAACTCTTTCATGTGTAGTTCTTAACATATCTTCAGACATCATAAATTTCTTTTTAATTCTATCTAAGTTAAAATGTACAAAAACTAAAGGACAACTAATTGAATTCAGAAATATACTTCTTAAATTAATGTGTCCATTTACAAATACAACAAACTTCACCATAATTTTATTTTTCTTCAGTAAATAACATTTAATCTCTAAGCATACAATAATTCTCTTCTTCTAATGAATCTTCTCTTACAATCTTAAGGAAATCCTCATAACTATTTTTATAATATAATAAACTTAATAAATGCAATCTAACAAAATTTAGTTGATCTGATAGAATAATCATAACGTGCTTATGTTATAAACTCTTTTTCACCTACAAATTTACCTTCCTCAATTGTTGCTACAATAGTTTCTCTTAATTTTTAATCACCTAAACTTAAGATAAAATTTACAAATCAAACTCAATTATCCACTTTAAATAAATATTAATTTATTAGCTTATTCATTTTATGCTGCTATTATTTCTTCTGGTGCCACTTTAAGTTCATGTACAAATGAACATAATTTTTAAACACTTTTTAATGACAATGTTTATTTGATCAGTCTTGATTTCTTAAGCATATCACAATACATATCTATTGCAACCTATTCTTTTAATTTCTTATCTAAATTTATCATCATTTTTTCACCTAATTCATTATAATCTTATTCCATTCTTAAATAATATTCAAAATATTTTCGAACTTATAACATCAATTATTTATTAATGTTTTTCTTTTTCAAAAAATTATTTATATGCATCATTTATTACTTAAACTATTATTCTTTCTCAGTCAACTATCTTAAGATATTTCCAATACTTGAAATTGTGTATCCAAATAAACCACAAATAACCATTGCCATTAAAATTACATATAATCTTTCTAAATCAGTTTAAGGTACAATATCACCATAACCAATTGTCAAAGTAGTAATTGTACTAAAATAAAAAGCATGTATATATTTAGTAAGCCAACTAGCATCAGTTATATTTTTGGCTATTAACCATGAATTTTTTCCATTTTCTAATTAATTTTCCCCAATCAAATTCCATAAACAAGCACAAAAATGAGATACAAATAATACCAGAAACATTGATTTAAATAATTCCAATAAAGTTTAAACATTTACTGATGGATTTGTTACTTCTTCAATTGCTTCAATCATTGATTTTACTTTAGTTACTCTTAATAATAAAATATATTCTGTATAAGGAACTGAATAAGAAGATAAAATAAATGGTATTACAATCATCAAATCCCACCATAATTATAAACTGGCATAATGTTTTAAAATTTCTTATTTATCTCTATGAATTTAACCTTGACTATAAAAAGCAGTAAAAAATGTCAGTATTATATCCATAACAAATGTCCAAGAAGGTAATGTTTCTAAAAATATACTGCTTAATAAATCTTCTCGATCAAAACCAAATCCTAACTTCATTGGAATGTAAAATATGTTAATGATTATTTAACATAATACAAATATATCCCAAAGTATTTTAACATTTGAATCTGGATCTAATACAGGTAATTAATTCAAAACCCATTTTAAATTTTGCATTACTTATTCAACTTTATTCAATTTATGTAATAAATTATCGGCATCACTTGCTTAATCTTAAATTAAATCAACTATCTCATTTGTTAATGATTTAAATTTAACTTCAGTAGAATGAGTTTTCATTTACTTTATAAACTTTGTTATATAAAACATTATTCTTAATCCTCCATGAACCCATAAATTAGTTTTTTCCTTTATTTCAATTTGAAGCATACTCTTACTTTCTTCATCTATATCAGGATCTGGATCTGGACTCAAACAATCTCCTTTAAAAGAGTTTTAGACTGGTTATTGTAATTCAATTTTTCTATTCGAACATATATTTGGTTCAAAAGATGCATCTTCACTATTATTATCACAATGGGGCATTGTAAAACCTTAACCATATTTCAAAATTCCTTTTATTGTTTGGCTCTTAATTAGTAAATAACTTACCTTCCTTACTTTTAGGTTCTCATTTCAGAATCAAGGAGTAATGACATTATTTTATTTATACTTTAATAATAATGCTTTCAATAATATTTATATTATATTTAATTGTAAATTTATTTTAAAATGATGTTAGATGGATAGAATGTCATAAAGGAATAGATATTATATATAACATATAATTTCAATTCCTTTTTAAATTACATTAACAAATTTTAATGATTATAAATGTATTATCATCATTTATGAACTTTATTCTTTATTTTTCTATTTTTGTCGATATTCAATTCAATTTCTAAAAAGGTTTTTTACAATTTAAGATTTATTATATATTAAATGTAAAAAATTGAACAACAACATGAATAAAATTTTGATTTAGATCTTGAATTAAAGGCTGTTCAAAACGAAGATTTTGAATAAGAGTATTTAGAACAATGTTTAAGGGAGACTAGACGATAATTATCTCTTACAAATCAAATATAGAGTCAAACTAAAAGTGAAAAAAGCAATGATGCATATGATTTTAGAACACCAAAAAATACGACTCATCTTAATCTAAATAATCTTCCAACATCTGATGTTTAATAAATTCACTTGTTAACTCCTAGTAATAAAAATCAAGAGAAATAAAAAAATACTGGCTCAAGCATTATGCAATTATTTTTTATAAGACGTTTTTTGGAAAAGCTGACTGTTTAAAGAAAAAAATTAGAAAATTTAAATGATACTCATCTTAATCTTATTGATGATAAGGCATCTGATAAGTATGTGTTTTAATAATATTATATAATAGACACATTTTATAAGAATATAAACAAACAAAAACATAAAAAGGTCTGACTATTAACTAATTAAATAGAATAGTAACAACCAAAATTGAAATAAAAGAAAATAAATGGGATAAATATAAATCTATCTTATAAGATAGTAAGTAAAATACAATTAAACAAATAAAATTGATTGTAAATAAAATTCCATTGATTTAACCAGAAAGTGATTTTAAATTGTATTGGGATATATTTGCATCTCTTTTTAGATTGATTTTAGTATTTTTAGTGCCTTTAGAAATATCATTTACGACCTAAATTCTATTTAAAGATTATATAGGATTTACAATATCAATATTTATCATTTTGTAAATAGATTTATTTATGAGAATAAATACTTTATGTTATGAAAATGGTAAGGCAATTACAGATAGATGGGAAATAATTATAAAATAATTGAATAAATCATGGTTCACTGATTTTTCAGTTATTATTGTGATTATTACATTTCTAGCAAATTCAAATACTTAGGATGGTTATGATTTATTTCTTCTTGTTTTATTAACTTAATACAAACATATATTTGAGGCATTGTCTAAAATTGATTAAATATCATATTTTACAAGACCTTAAAGAGGAATTATTGGATTAATAAAGTTTTTAACTTCTTTACTATATATATTGCATTTATTTAGTTGTATATGGTTTTGGTTTAGTAGTTTAGATAAATCTAATTCTTGGATACTAAATAAAGAATTAAATGGATAGAGTTGGTAATTATAATATTTAGAATCTATTTATTTTGCTATAGTTACAATGCTTACAATAGGATATGGAGATAATGTTCCTAAAAATTCAATTGAAAAGATTATAGCTATAATTTTTATTCTTGGTGCTTGTAAAATAAGATATTTATTATTTAAGGTTTATGGTTTTCTTATAGTATAAATTTTATTGGAGGAATCATGAATGATATTACATAAAATTAAGTTGAGAGAAGTTAGAAATTAAGAGTTATCAATAAATATATGACATAAAGAAAGATCCCTTTTAGTCTTTAACATAAGTAAATATATGTATTTATAATTTAATTAGAGTATAAGAATATTTAACATATAGATGGAAAGAAGATGATGAAGTTGATTTAGAAATGGAATAATTATTATTAGAATAATTATCAGATGAATTAAAAGAAGAATTGGAAAAGTAAGCAAACAAAGTTTTTATAAAAAAATCAGAATTATTATAGAAATATTTCTCAGCTGAATTTAGAAATGCTCTTTTTAAATCAATTAAACGTAAAATTATTCAACCATAACATATTTTTTCAACAGAAATTAATGGTCATTAAAATCTTTGTTATGTTGAATAAGGTGTGATATTATATCAACATAAAGATAGAAAATAAAGATCAAAAATGAATGCTTAAATTTAATAAGGTTAATTTTTTTGTGTAAAAGAGTTTATAATGCAAAATCCAGAATATGAATTATTTAAAGCGTAAAGTTATGTTAGTTTATTAATGCTATCAAAAATTGATTTTTTAGATACACTTAGAGATTTTCCTAATGATTTCTAAAAATATTGTTAATTAAGAGATACTTATTCTTTATCAAATGAAGAACTATTGATTTAATATGCTAACTTTTGTCCAGCATGTAATAAATTTGAACACTCATTAAAAAATTGTGGTCATATTTAACTCAAATTAAATCAAGAAGTTATTGTTAAAAAACATAATATTAATCAGGAATAAATTAGATAAAAATTTAGTAGAAAATCTATAGATAAACCTATAAAAACAAGAGCTGAATTAACATATGTTTAAGAATGTGCTTTATACTTTTCCACTGACAATTAGAATCTTTTGAATGATCAATCAAAACTTTAATTAGTTTATGAATAAGATTCTGAATCTTGCTAAGGTAATTCTGAAACTCATAATGTTTATGATGCATTACCTTCAGTTAATATTTTATAAATTAATGATATGTTTACAAGTAATCATAAATCTCCTTAAACTAAAACACTTAATAAATTAGATTTTGATGAAGAAAAACCTAAAATAAAAGAAGATTTAACTAAATCTAATCTCTTATCTACTTAATATGCTCGTATTTTAAGAAGAACTTCATAACCATCCAAATAACTTTAAAGAAAGAATACTAGATCTCATTCTATTCTTTTCTAAATGAATGAAATTACTGAAGAATTACATGAAACTACTTTTCTAATTCATGATAATGAATAAGCCAAAAAAGATTAATTATTTTCTTAAAATATGAAGGACAATATACGATGTCTCTATAATAAATTACTTAGAATATAAGAGGAAAAAGATATTACAGTTAAAAAAGCTCTTAATTCTTTGTAATATATTTATTGGAAACAAAATGCAATAACTTTAGAAGATTTTGAAACAGTATAAAATTATGATTTTTATTTCCCTTCAAATAATGTTAACCTTACTATTGATGCAGTTAATAAAAATTTACATTAATGGTAATTTGAAATTTTAAATAAATTCTAAAAATATTTATACTATCCATTTTTATTTATAACTAAATTTCTAAAGCTTAAAAGATTATAATAATAAGCTGAAGGATAGAATTTAGTTACAAAATTTAAAAAAGCTTAAAAAAAAATATGGTTAATTTAATTAAGAAATAATCTATCCTCTAAAAAATTAATTTCATCAACAAAAATATCAAAATCAAAGATTAACTCAATTGTTCCATGCTCATAAGATAGTTTACCTTCAATTTAAATGAGTTCAAATTGATAAATTATATTATAAATCATTATTTTAATTGTTAACTTATTTATTCATCTTATTTAGGTTTTTCATCAATATTAGTTTCTGTAACTTCTTAAAATGTCTTTTATTAACCCCAAACTATTGCTTGATTTGCTTAAGTGTTCATTTATAAAACAAGATTCTGAAATTATGGTTCTCTCTTTTTTCTTTCACAACTAAGTTAATAATCTATTATTGGAGATGAACTAGAGATTTCTCTCTTTGTTTTAGCTTATCTTGATTATTAACATGCTTCTCTTTCCTAAATTGCAGACCTTTCGATATATTTAGCACTCTCACTATCAATTTTTAATTTCAGAGGAGGAATTAATGATTGACTTGGATCAAATTTTTTATGAAATTAGTAAAAGTACATCATTTTCTATTCGATTGCTTAAACCTGATATAAGTACTGCAAAAAAATATACTTCTTTCAGAAATTCATATATTTCAACTTCTTTTGCTTGCGAGTTTTCATTAAGCAATGCAGATAATGAATTTATTAATTATCTTTGGAATGTATGAATCTCTTAGTATATATTAAAGGCAGCCCTTTTTAATAAAAAATCATAAGGATAATTTGTTAAAGCAGTTTTTAAATTTGGGGCTAATGACAAAGCTTGATTCACGATATTAATTAATTTAAAACTATCGATTACCAAACTATGAAGTTAAGGATTTAATACTTTGTATTTAGAACTTATTTTCTAAACAAACATGTTCGATAACTTTTAATGTCTTTGATATTTATTGACAATTTTTGTAAATATTGTAAAAATGGAATTTATATTGATTAAAGCAACCAAGCTTCATTATTTCTATTGCAGTGCTTCAGCTTATTAAAATTATGAAATCGAATGCAATTAAATATGGAAGAGAACTCCTCACTTAAATTTATTATTTAGTGGATGATAATAAGCATTTTCATTTTAATAGTATAAGTTTGCATTTCTTAAGCAATGTAGACATCAAAGAATTCTTTAATAAATTTTTCATCTATCATGTATTAAAGAATCAAATCTATGTCCTCTTATCGAAAAACAAAATTATCCTTCGTTAAACTGCTCTTCTCTAAATTCTTTGTAAATTCAGATTAAGACTTAAAGATTTTTGTAATTTTTTATATCATTTATTATATTCCTTTTTTGGCATTTCAAAAACTTGAGATTGTTTTTTCAATAAAATCAATAACTTTTATTATGCAATTTTAATAGTGATTAACCCACTAATTTTTATTAATAATCCGTCTAAAATATTAATCTCATATTTTAAAATTATATGAAAACATAAAATTAAGAATGCTCTTTATTTAATTAACACTGTTAATATTTCAGTCTTAGCTAGATTTATGCTCTATTTATAAATTAATTTATCATATAAAATAAATTTTGTTTGCTTCAATCATTTAATCAAAAAATCATACTGATGTAGGATATTTGATTTCAAAATTTCTTTATAAAATTATTTTTTTTTCTACTTTGAAGTTGTATTCTGATTCATTAAAGAATTAAAATAGCATAATACTAGAAAACTTAGCTGTTAATAAGTATTATGAGATTTCTAATATTTTATTTAAGCCAAACTATAAATATTAAGTTTTGTTGCACACTTAAATTAATCTAATATAATAAAATATGGTGATCAGCTTTAATAATGCGGTTAACAAATGTATTATAATTGAAGCATAATAAGTCTTACTTGGGATAGATATATTTGGCCAAAGTTTTACCATAAATGTAAATGGAAAACGAAATTATACAACAGCTTGTGGGGGCATAACTTCACTATTAGTGATAGCTATGGTCATAATGAGTTCCTGGACTACAATTATTAATTTTTTTTGGAAATCCTCATTATAAGTATCCATTTTTTCTGAACACAATTCTGATTCGCCTATTACCCAATTAGATTCTAATAATTTTATGTTAGCTGTGGGTCTAAAATAATTAGAAAATACAGATTTACAGTACTTTCAAATTGAAATATAATAAAGGTAAGAATAATTGTCATTTTAAGAGCACATAATAGTAGTTCTGAAGAGATTACTAATATTGAATTAGAAAAATGCTCAAAAGAAAGACTACTACAATTTTAAAAAACTTAAGGATTAAATTTAACTTAAGTCTTAGCTAAAACTCAGTTTGGATCTCTTTTGTGTCTTAAGTATTTAGTTTATAAATTTATAGAAACAATCAAACTTTGCATTTTCATCAACAGGCTTCAGGTATTTTCTAAATTTTTAAAAAGATCAATTTGAGTTTTTAAGAATTAATATAAAAAAATGCAAAAATATTTCCAATTCAGAATTCAGATGTGCATCTTAAGATGAAATAAATAATTTTGTAAATAAGCATAGATAATTTACATTATAGCTGTATTTTCTAAATTATGTTTAAAATATTGTAAATATTAGATACTGAACCCATATAATGCTGGTGTAAATTATGTATAATAATTTTTGGATGATTCAGTAACAATTAGTTTTATCCCTTAAAAATTGTTAAGATCAATAACTCTATTTTTGAAGAAATATAATTTAATTAATGATGAGAGTGTAATGCCTTATTAGTAAATATAGAAATATTATTAGATAAAATATTGAATCTGAAATCAATATAATATCTTCAGCAGATAAGATAGAAATTGTTGATCTAGGAAGAGATGATGATGAAATATATGGATTAATAGATATAAAATAAGATTCATTTATCATCACAATAAAAAGATAATGTCTAAAATTACACACTCTACTTTCGTAGATTGGGGGTTTATTGTAAGCTTTATCTTTAGTATTGGGATCATTAATTGTATAATACAACAAATTACAAAGTAAATTTATTCCCAATATTTTAGTGTCATTAGATTTAGCAAATCAAATATTTTAATTTGAAAAAAATGCAGATGCAAAAATTGAATAGATTAAATAGTTAAAAGAAATCAATAATGTTATTGAATGGTAGAAAGAACAATTTAGAATTGATAAATCTCCTATTAGTTAATAAAGATAACTGTTATAATCTTAGATAGATTCACCATATTCTGGGAGAGAAGTAAATAAACTGTTTTTTAATGTATTGAGATCTTAGTTCGAATTTCAAACATCATCTTAAAGAAAGATAAAACTCAATCCAAGAACTAGAATAATTTCGAAGTAATTTAATTTTGAAAAGAATAATACAAAATGGGTATAAAAGTTTGGATATACAAGTTCAAAGGATTATTTTTAAAAATCGATAGTAGGGATTTTAAATAGATATTCACCATTAATTTTAAATTTTAAATTTCTCATAAATCAAGTAACGTTTGGTAAATTATTCTAATGTAATGATTCGAAACTTTTAGAAAAAGCTTTAAAAAAGATTAACAGGTTATCTGACTCAAAATATTTATTTGAGAAATTAAATGAAATAGATAAGATAAAATAAATATTACTAAATAAAGAGGAATTAATGATCTTTAATTTTACTTCTAAACCAATAATAAGTCTCAAAAAGAAATATAGAACACCATCACGTAATTCTCTTTATAAATAATACGATTAATACATTTAAAACAAGTCAAACTCAATAGATGATATCGTTTATAATTATGAATAAGCGTTATAAGTTTATGAAAAAATAGAATCAAGTAAAACTTTGTATCCTGAAAATTTCTATTAAAGTCAATTAATAAGTAGATTAATTAAATAAATTGATCCTGAATTACTAATGATTTACAGATTGTAGAAGTATATTGAAAGTTAGGAAGTAATTGATTAATTGAGTGAAAATGAATAACAATAAAAAAGCATAAATGAGTTGATAATAAGTGATGAAGTATGATTTTTTATTTTATTTAATTATTCAAATTCAATATTTAATTAAATGGATAATTATTTCACAATCATAAGTTTACTTGGACTTAGAAATTAGAATCTACCTCCTTTTAGGTTAGTATTAATTTAAATTATTATAGAGAAGCTCGTTTGAAGAGATATAGATCAATTAAGAAAATGGTTGAATTGATTGAGACAGCTGGTTGGACATAGCCAAAAATACCATTCAATGCCTTTTGTTTAAGTTCTTAAGATCGTAAGAATACACATTTGAATATCTATTATAGCCGAATGGGAAGATGATATGACCTATCCTGTTATCGAATATAATAAATTTGGTTATTAGGCTGTCGCTTTTGGAATTAACTTAGTAAATAATATTATTAACATAGTTCCTTTATGCATATAATTATAATGTAATAACACAAAACATTAGATTTAGAACTTTTAGATATTTATTCCCTGTTGTTTAATGTGTTATTTTTGGTAAAATATATTTTGAGTACAAATCTGAATTAACAAAAGTTAATTTATTTGATGAGTATGTTCAATTAAGAGCATAAGAATTAGTGAAAGAGAACGAGTTTCTTTTAGAACATGAAGGTGATCTTAAATATATAATTTTAATAGATATCAAGAGATTTGTATGGTGGTATGAAGATTATAAAGAAACATTATGTAGAGTTCATAGATAAGCTAATGATCATGCAGCCACTGACTTTAAAGACTCTGAATTGATTCTATAAGACTTTATTCGCAGATATACAAATCCAAATGCAGCAAGACCACTCAGTATTTAAGAGAAAGGAGTTTTATTCTGAAATTATTATTCCAAAATAAATAAATATTTTACATACAATAACATCACAATGTTAACAATTTAACTTTTCATTTTAATAGTCTCAACACTCTTTGGATTGTCATTTTAATCCTTATAATGCCCAAACCTAATATATGATTGTGTTAAATTGTTAATTTTTAGCACTCTTTTGATAGACAACTATTTCATACTCATAGGTTTATTTCTATTTATTTGGTTAAGAGAATAAATAAAAAGGTTTGATCCTGAAAAAAAATTAGAACTACCTTATAAATAATAGCAATTATAATAATATAGCATGCAGAACTCAAAACCTAAGTTATAATCTTTGTCAGTAGAAGTTATAGAATCATCTGTTGAAGCTGTTTAAATATATGATCATGTCACAGGAGAAAGTTAATATGCGATCTTATAAAGAGCTGATAAGAGTTAATTGGCTTTATTAGAAATAACTTTAAACAATACAGTCTTATTGGAAAAAGGAAGAGTGTCTGATTCAAATTAAACTTCTAAATTAATATCTTAAATTGATAATCAAAAAAAAAGCAATGTTTCTTAATAATTCTCAATTAAATATGAAGATAATAGTGAATATTTAAGAAATTAAAACAAAGTTCAAAAATCAATTCCATTTAAAATTGTTGATTTTGACTAATAAATAGGCGAAATTATTTAAGCTGAGATTATGTCAAATAATTTATTTGACAATTAATTGAGTGGATATTTATCTTAAGATAAAAATCTTGTTCAATCCTAAATTCTTTATGAATATATTCTCTTAGTCATTTTATATGGTATTTAAAGTTTTTATAAATTAGCTGGAGCAATATCTTAAGTTACAAACATTTATCTAAAAATACTCGATTCAGTATTGTTTGGTATAATAATACATAGTGGAGTTTAAAGATAGCAACTATTTAATTTAACTAATTTGTTTATAAATATAAGTATTATTTTTGGATGCTGCTCTATTTATATTTTAGGAATTTACTATAAATTTTAAATCTTTATTATTGGGGGATTAATTTTATCATTTTAGAAAGTCAATGCGAATTTGTCAATGTTAATAATTGCATTCACCACTTTGATGAAAATTTTTATAATCTGAATATAAATAATTAAAATCTAAAATAATGTTGACATTATAAGGTTAAATTTATTTATGCTCTTTTAATATACTTTAGAATGAAAAGAGAATTAAATTTATTCTTTGAACTAAATATAGATATAGGAAAAAGTTATCAAATTCAATCTAGACCATCTGAAGTACTACTGTTAAAAATATATTATGAAAATACCCATTAGCATTTGATTACTCTTTGTCAATCTTTTAGATTAGCTATTTAATCCTGTCTTCGTTTTTCTATTTATAATTTAATCTTACTTTTTAACTTCTTAATAACTCTTAACGATTTTTTTAAGTTTCTTATAATAAAAACATATTAACTGTATGCATTTCATCTTGTTGAATTTTCATTTATTTTATTTCTTATTCTAAGTATTAAATAGTGTATTGTAAACTTTAACTATTTTAAGTATCAATACAAATAGGTGATTAAATGCTTTAGTTACGCAATTTAAGACTAGGATATTCAGCTGAATGAGTTGCTATATGATAAAAAGAATATATATTACAACTGCATTCTGAAATTTGACTTAGATTAAGATCTGTTTTTTCTTTAGATTATTGTTTGCCAAAATTGAATAAATTGTTATACAATCCTTAAGAGTTTTCATCAAGTTTCTCAACAATTTGTTTAGTTTGAGTGGCCATTTATTGTATTTTTTGTATAATCAATTTGGTTTCATTATATTCAAAATCATCATCTTTAACTAAAAATTCATGATTAATTTAGAAATAATTTCCATTTGATTTGGTTCTTCGATGTTTAGACATATAATAAAAAATTAAATAATAAAAATATAATTACTTTAGTAATACTTTTTGATTTTAGAGATTATGATAAATATACATTAATATACTTTGTTTTATATGTTGTACAGATAAAATACTCTCACAATCCTTTAATTTTTCCTTCTATGAATTCCTTTTCAGCTTCACTAACTTCAATTGCGAAATCTTTAACTGCTAAAGATGAGCACTTTCTTGATTTAATTTTCTTTGTTTTAGTTAAAAACTTTGAAATTCCAATCCATTCACCTAATAAAGCACCTTTCTCAACTCTCCAAACAGGAATTTGGAATTGCTTAGCTAAAGCAACAACTAATTTTTTATAGGTCTCTTCAGTGCAATCATCAGCCATCACAACAAACTTAGCCTATTGCAATATTATTAAAAGTCAACTTATTTGCTTTCAATAGCTTTGCAAACTTCATGTACACCCTTTGATAATTATCCTCTATGTAAGGAAGTTTAGACAACTCTTTTTAAAGTAGTAAGCTCTTCTGATAATTATTCAACCTCTGCCATAATGAAAAATAATTTAAATCTTTATTTTAAATTAAAAAAAACAAAAAAGAAATATAAGTGATATATTTCATAATATAAAAGCACAAAAATTTATAAAAAAAGCTTTCACAATTTGAAATCTCATTATAGAATGATTTAACAATTCTCTTATTTCAATTAAATATGAGTAGAATCGTTTTTGACTAATAAAAATTTCAATTCATCAGAATGTTTTATTTTTACAGTCTTAACTATTTTTGGTTCTTCTACATAATTAACTTTCAATCTAATTTTAAGTAGCTTTCTTTATTCTTCTCTTTTCTACTACATTTTTGCAATCATTTCTTTTTTTGTTTATTCTTACTTAAATTTTTATATATCTTTTCTTTATGATTCAATAGAGTTTTCTATTTTAATCTATTGTCTTTAATAATGAGAATTAAAATGTTCATAATCTGCTCTAACACCATCAAAAATTGAAGCTCTATTTCTATCAATTAACATCAATTTAACTTTCTTTTTATTTTTTTTAGTTCTATCTTAAATGAAAAGTGTTCTTTAAAGAGTTGAATAAACTAATTGTTTATTTGATTAAAAGACACCAATTTTAGAATAATTATCAATATTCCAATCAGATAATATGGTTGGATTTTTTGGCCATAGAATTTATTTCTCTTTAATAGATTAAAATTAATCATCCATAAATTCAATAACTGCTTAAGAAATTAAAGGAGTATTAAATTAATATTAGCATTCTTGATCTTAACATGAATCAAAAATTTTAGATTTATTATCCTTATTATCTGAAGGTTCTTCTTCTTTAAGGGCAAGTCTTAAATCTTTGAGAGTATTGAATATATCTGAACAATTATTAAAAGTATTGGTAAATTCTTCTTCATCTTATTTAATTAGTTTTAATTTTAATAGTTCACGCTGTTTAATTTAAGAAATGAGATGAAGAGCAACAAGATTCTCATTATAGATGATTTATCTGCCTACTTAAAATTCAGGAAGCTGTATATTAAGTCGTTTTAATCTTTTTTATTTGTAGGCTCTACTTGGATGAAAGGGCATATTCATTCGGTAACTAGTGATGAATATAAAAATGATTTTTTTACTCATTCTCTTATGCTCTCATGAACACTCTTAACAATGGTCTCTAAAGACGTTCAACCTTTGCATTATAATATTCTGGAGGGTAATTAATGGAATTCAGTAATTCATATTGACGAACGTAGTTCCTAGTATTAGATAGGTTATTCCTTATGTCTAGTTATTATATAGCAAGTGGATCCACTCCAAATCCTTAATCTTCTTCATCACATGAATATTCATTTTCATCTGGATATACAATATTTGTATGTATATATGTCAAAGGAATTTTATGTCTTACTTCCCTTTAACCTTCTACAATCATAAATTTTGGTATCTCTATCTATTTACTTTGGACAACCTAATCAAAATTCTAACATTTTTCTTACTTTCTCACTTTCTATTTCCCAAACTTCACATTTCTGTAGTGGAATATTTAGATCAACCTGCCTCATTAAAATAAAGATTTAATATATGCAAATATTTTTACCAAAACTTTAAAAATTCAATTCATCTCTCTACACATCTTTATAACTTCACTTAAAAACATAAATATTTAAAAAACTAATAACTTCATTATGATAAATTTTTTTATTTATTTTATTAATTATCAGATCATCATTATTTTTTTTCAAGACTATCATCATTCATAATCCTGTAATCATTCTCTATATATTAATTCATCAATTCAATTCATCTTCTTTCTCCATGCATTCTCTTTTAACATTCCATCTCCTTTAAAATTACTCACATTCATATCTAAGAATTTTACATCATTTCTACTCTCAAATACCTTTAAAAAAATTGCGAACCATAACAATATCATTTATATTATCTATACAACAATATCCTCACTCAAACAAATACAAAAAAATTAAAATCAACCTATTTAATACAATAATATTTCTTTTTATATAATTTTTCATTTTTATATATTTTGATAATTAAACTTTTATAAACAAAATCTCATTTCAATTTTTCGACTTCAACAAAAATATTACATTAATCATAACAAACTATTAAATAATATTCCTATAACAACATTCTTTTTTTACTTTCATAATTTATTATTTAATCATCATATTTTCTATCTTTAATAAACTATTTAGATATGATTTAAATTCCATCTATTAATTTAGTATATAGATTTAATAAAATCATTATGAAAAGAATTTAATAAAAATGTATCATATCATAATTATTTTGATAAGATTTTGAAATGATTTTGGTTGATTTATGATTTAAACTTGAATATAGGATTTTATTTAATAAATAAATGTCCTAATAAAGAAGAAGAGAATAGTTATAAAAAATATCAAATTCTCCAAAAGAAGATTAAGATCGAAAGAGAAGAGATGAATTAGAGAGAGAATTTTTGAAATGTTAGAAGAGAGGTTAAATGCATACAAATTCAATGATGAATTGGATAAACAAACATCAAAATAAGGCAGATCCGAAAGCCAAAGAAATGTATCGTTATCTTCCTGAAGAGAGAGTATATTAATTTAAATGAACCATCAGCGTAAACACATTGAGTTAACCCTACTGTTTGAGAAGTTTGACAATGATGGTTCCAAAGCACTAGATTTTATTGAAGTATTCAGAATGTTCACTAAGTATTTGTGAATGATGATAATAGATATGGGATATTCATAACTAAGAAAGAATTGTTAGATTTTTTTAAGGTAGTTGACCAAAATAAAGATTTCTCTTTAAACCTTTAAGAATTCAAAGCATGTTACTTAGACTCAGCTGCAAGAGATATATTTGCTAAGATAATGAAATAGTTGATTGAGAGAACATAATTAAGTGAAGAAGAGATTAATGCAGCCTTGAATGAAATGAATGAATTGAATAATTAGAATATCAATTAAGATTAGAAACCAATCCCTGCTTTACCTAAATCATTTTAGGGAGTTATAAGTTTACTAACCTATCTAAATACTAGAGATGAGATTAAAGATAAATTGACATCAAAATAAGTAAATATATATGAATAAATCAATAATTTAAAATAATTGATTGAATTGAGTAATAAAATTGATGTTGTTTAGAAAGTGGAGATTGAGAGAAAGATTAAAATAAAGAAATCATCTGAAGATAGATTGAATAAATTTAAAAATTAATTAAAGTAAATTAAAGATAGAGCTATACAGACTGGATAAATGATGGCAGAAGAAGAATTAAGATAAAAAAATTCTGCATTTTTGATTACTGTTTTACCTTAGAGAAGATACAAATACAATTATAAAAGTGAGAATAAATTCAAAAAAATTACACCAAATAAATAAGATGAATTACATTTACCTCGTTATACAGATTAAAAAGTAAATTAATTTTATGAATATATGAATATTAATATTCCTGAATAATTGAAGAATATTAATAATAGAATATGGACTAAGTTATTTGAAAATAATCAATAATTGGATATAATATTATAAAAAAATAGAAAAAATTAATTGGAATCTTAGAGAACGGATAGATTAAAATAAAAAATTAAATAAACTTTAGACAATTTATAAGCTAATTTTGAAACGGATTTTGATAGTGAGGCTAATAGAAAGCCAACTTTGGAATCTCCTTAAGAAAAATAATCTAGTTAATTTCCTAATTTCTTTACTTCAAGAAATTTGATGTCATAAACATCAGAAGAATTCAGAACAGCTAAAACATCAAGATTTCCTCCTGGATCATCAAAATTATCTTTTCATTGATAAAATAATGAGTAAAAATTAAGATTACGTATTATAAAACAATTAGCATCATATATTGTTTTTTTGAGACATAAAACATATTTTTTTAATATAATGTTGATTTTGAATAGAGAATAAGAACATGAATTTAAATTTAAATTACTTTATAGGAATATTTAGAATAATAAGAATAACAAAATTGTGAACCCACAAAATTTCATATTTCTGTAGGTAATAATAATGTATATGTATATATATATATATAATCTGATCAGAGTGCTGCCATTCTACTTTGCTCTCCAACTTTCTTCATGTAATGCTCCTTATATTTATGTTTTCCTATAAAAATGATATAGAAATGTCTACTATTAAAACTGCCCATATGCATGGTACGTGGATCATCTGGATGGCTATAACCAGCCATACATCTATGTCTGTTATAATGAAAATCATGAGGAGCCCAACCGAATTCTGCAAATTAATTACCAAATAATTCTTCCTAAACTGTTGAGGCTATAGCATCTTTCATTCTTAATCTCACGAATTCCTCATTCTTTGCTGGGAAGAGATTTCTATTTCTTAATAATAATCTAATACGTCCAATAATAGGGAATCATATATGAATAAGTGAAATGTGCAATGTATAGACCACAAATTAAATAAACCCACATAGCAAAGGCACCCTATTTTATTATTGATCTAATTTACATCTGAATTTAAAGTATGCTCTTACCAATCTCTATATGCTTCATATGTTGCCCAATGTAGAAATCCATGTGATGTATCAACCTTAATATTTCACATTCAATCATTACCTTTGGGTATATACCAATCATATTAGCCAAAGCTGGCCAATCATAAAAGACATCAAATAACACTTGTTGTCTTCCATAGTAAAATTTGTTTCCGTATACTCTTCTTGCCATTCTTAAAGCATCCCATCTTTCTTCTCCAACGACTCTTGCTGCCATTTTAGTAAACCACCAAATGCCATTCTTATAATAACTTGTTTTAGCACTGAATATACTTAAACTCATTTAAAAGATTTAATTTCAGCTCTAATTCTCTATTATAAAATGATCATTATTAACAGTTGAGCATAAATAAAGATATTTTTATAAAATTTTTTCCCTTTTTAAAAGATACTGATTTCACTAAATCTAATCAGATATTCATTCTTATTAGATTTTGTAAATCAAAAATATGTAATAAATGTCTTCATCATATTCTAATCTATTAGATTCACCAAAAATTTTCTAATTAATTAAATCAAATTCCAACTAAAATTGTATATAAGGAGTGAACAATTTTACAAAATTTTTTATTTTCATACTTTTTGATTTTTTTATATCGGTTTCCTCTAAAATCTTAGTGAATTCTTATCTTAGATAATTAGATTGATGAATCTATGATGAATTATAGAAATCAAATAAATGAATAGATAGAGACACAAAATTGGTACCATTCTGCTTAGATTTGACTGATAAGGTTAAATGTTGAGTTATTATGTTGATCAAAGATAGATAAGGATTATCAAAAGTACACCAGGTGTTTTTATTATAATATAAATATATAAAAGATTTTAAAATTGTTAGATGACTTCTAAAAAATTGACTTGGATTAACTTGTTTGTTTGAATTTAATAAAAAAATGATTGAAGATGCATATATATGATGAAATATTATAATTTCAAAGGACAGTTGTCATACGACTAGAATCTCCTATTCTCTTCAAATAATGTTCTTTATATTTGTGCTTTCCTAAAAAGATGATGAAAATTAGATACTATTGAATGAAGCCATGTGCATGGTTCTAGGATCATCTGGATGACCATATCCTGACATACATCTTTATCTATTATAATGGAAATCATGTGGAGCCCATGCAAATTCTGCATAATTGTTAGCAAATAATTCTTCCATAATAGTAGTAGCAATGGCATCTTTCATTCTTAATCTCACAAACTCTTCGTTCTTAGCTGGGAACATGTTTCTAGTAAAATGATAAAATTAGATTACGTCCAATAATAGGGAATCATATAGGAGTAGAAACAATGAGCTATATACATTCCACATAACATATAAATCCAAATAGCAAAAGATCCCTAAGAGTTAGTATAAATAATACATCTGAATTTAAAGTATGTTCTTGCCAATCTCTATAGGCTTCATAAGTGGCCCAATGTAGAAATCCATGTGAAGTATCAACCTTAATAATCTTAAGATCATAATACTTTTGGATAGATACCAATTAGGTTGGCCATAGCGGGCCATTCATAAAAGATATCAAACAAAATTTATTATCTTCCATAATAGAATTTGTTTCCATAAACTCTCCTTGCTAATCTCATAGCATCCCATCTTTCTTCACCAATAATACGTGCAGGAATTTTAGTAAACCACCAAAGTCCATTTTTATAATAACTCGTCTTAACACTAAATATACTAAGACTCATAATTTATTTAGATATTTTATTAATTAATTCAACCCCCTTGATACATACAACTTCAAAAATCTATCTATATTATTTTATAAATAAATTTCTCTCAAAAACCACTACTACTTAAGAGATACTTAAATTATATAATATATGATATAAAAAATAATCTCAAATATCTAATTCTTCTTCATTTTAAAGGATAGCAAAATATTTATCAACTTCAGATTAAGGAATTGATAATGCATCCTTGAATGACCATGTTGGAACATGATTTTTATCAACTAACACTTATTTAACTCCTTCAAAAAAATCAGATCCTTACATAATCCTATTAATTTTAAATATTTAATCTACCTTCTCACTATACGATAATCCATCTTCAAATTTTCTCTTAAATCAAGTTTTTACCCTCTTTTGATTTATTCAAAGATGATTCTCAATGAGAGTGGACATTATTCTTTTAAAATTTTTAAATTATCTTATCCAAATTTTTGATTTTGATGATTCTATAGATTGTTAAATATCTATTCTAAAGTTTCACCTGAATATCCAGGCTCAATATTTGATAATTATTATTTAATTGTAAAATCAGGTAACTAAAGCGAATATTGATATTTAATAATACTTGATTGGGTTAGAATTATTTGACAATATTTTATACATCATTTAAGTTTTGACTTTATATAGTTCCAATTTTAGATATCAAATTTTACAATTCAGATGATTAAACATAAAAATCAGCTAAACCAGCATGAACTAAATCAGCACCTTTTAATCTAAATCCACTCAAACCTAAATAATAACCTAATCTATGTTATAATCTAGATAGAAAATATCCTCCTCCTACATCTGTAAACAATCCCAATTTAGCCTCAGGCATAGCAAAAACACTTTTTTCAGTTGCTATTCTAACAGGTGCATGAATTGACATTCCTACTCCTCCTCCCATCACTATTCCATCCATTAATGCTACTAAAACTGGTTTTAATGTTGCCAATCTATAATCCAATTTATATTCATCAAAAAAGAATTATTTTAATGCACTTGGAGGATTTTACTCTGAAGGTTAAGTCTTTGCAAAATATAATGTTTTTATATCACCACCAGCACAAAATGCTTTGCCTCCTTCTCCACTTAAAATAATGCAAGTTGCTGAATTTGAATTATCTAAAATTTAATTTAATTCTGCAATCATTGGTAGGTTTAGAGCATTCAATTAACTTGGTCTATTCAATTTTATATTCAATGCTGATCCAACTCTACTTGTTAATACTTAAGATGAAGATGAAGAAAACATAGCACTTATTATACGTAATCTCATATTTTTTTAATTATCTAATTATTATATATATATATCATATGTCCAATTAGTTCATTTGAATATATATGATATCAAGTTTATTTAAACTTCTAGAATATAAATAAATTAAATCTCAGAGCTAATGAACTCACCAAAAAAGAATGCTTTTCCAACTCTAAACAACCTTAAAATTATACAATCCTCTTATGGTCAAAGAATCAATAAATGTGTAATTATTTTAATTAATAATTGTTAGACTCCTCTTGTGATCAAAAAGGACACCAAAAAGATTATTGATACAAAATTACTATCATAAACATCTATCGAATAAGCTAAACAACGCTTTATTTCTAATCAAGAAAGATAGAAATAATAGTAGAAAAGCCTACCTCCTATTATGAAAAAAAAAGAATTTCATTAAAGAAGTGTTTCAGTTTCTGCCCCTAAAACGCAATATTCAAAATACTTTTATTTTATAGGAGAAGGCAATAACAATCAACTAATTAAGAAATTATTAGATGAAAGATAAAATTGGGTATAAGTTAAGGACCCAAAATCTAAAAAAATTAATTTTAAATGGTAAGAAACTGAAAAGGGTTATGAATATTAAACAATCAATTAAAAAGAATAAGCTATTTAAATGCTTAATCATTTTGAGTTTCACTCAGAAATTTCTGATAAGTTTAAGTTAGCTGTCAATTTTAAAGCATATTGCGATGTATCTAATTTTTATAATAAAGAAAAATAGATTAAATATATATGATTACATTCCAACCACCTTTGCAATAGAATGCACCAATGAAAATCTTAGATCTGAGTTATTTTAGTTTATTTCCTTTTATCGATAAAATTGTCCTCAACACAAATTAGCAGAATTGGATAAAACAATCAAATAGAATTTCTTTTCTTTTACAACCCTTTATGATAACAAAGTAAATCATTATCCAACTCTATTTGGTAATGAGAACTTATGGATTTTTAAACCTTCTAATATGAATTAAGGTAGAGGAATACATGTTGTAAGAAGTTTATAGGAAGTTTTGGATATTTAAAATAAATACCAAGGAGGATATAAGGAAAAATTGTTAGAAGTCAAAAGAAATGAACAAAATGAAATAATTAATAAGGTGGTTTATTTAAATACACTAGTGACAGAATAATTTGTTATTCAAAAATATATTGAAAAACCATTTTTAATTGATGGGAGGAAATTTGATATTAGAGCTTATGTTTTATTGACTTCAAATTTATAGATATATTTTTATAGAGAAGGTTAATTGAGATTGGCAACTGAAAAATTTGATACAAAAGTTTAATCAAATTATGTTCATCTCACAAATAACGCTATTTAATATACTCATCCATAATATGGAAAATCTGAAGAAGGAAATTAATACAATTTTGATTAGGCTCAAAGTTTATTTAAAAAAGATTTTCGAAAAGATGTAAGAATAATTTAAATTTAGATTTTAGCAAAAATTAAAATGATATCTTATACTGCATTTTAAACAGTAAAGCATAAAATAAATAAATAAAAAAGAAAAAACTGTTTTGAAATATTTGGAATGGATTTTATTATAGATGAATAATAATATCCTTGGTTGATAGAAGTAAACACAAATCCAAGTTTAGAAGTAACAAGCAAATTATTGGATTAATTATTTCCAAGAATGGTTAATGATGCATTTTAATTAACAATAGATTTAGTTTTTCCTTAAAATGAACCAAATCACAACTACCCTTTAATGAATTATAAAAATGATGAAAATCTATGGGAAAGTATGGGATATCTGTAATCATCATGAATAAAATTATTTATTTATTTAAAATCAATAAAATATATCTTAAGTGTATTTATTATATATAATATTTATATGAACAATATCATTTATAATTTTGAAGATAATCTCTTAATTCTTCACAATCACACAGATTTCTAATAATTAATGTTGCCCATTCCCTCTGTTGATGCGAATTATTAACATTAGTAAAATGAATGATANAATCTTAGATCTGAGTTATTTTAGTTTATTTCCTTTTATCGATAAAATTGTCCTCAACACAAATTAGCAGAATTGGATAAAACAATCAAATAGAATTTCTTTTCTTTTACAACCCTTTATGATAACAAAGTAAATCATTATCCAACTCTATTTGGTAATGAGAACTTATGGATTTTTAAACCTTCTAATATGAATTAAGGTAGAGGAATACATGTTGTAAGAAGTTTATAGGAAGTTTTGGATATTTAAAATAAATACCAAGGAGGATATAAGGAAAAATTGTTAGAAGTCAAAAGAAATGAACAAAATGAAATAATTAATAAGGTGGTTTATTTAAATACACTAGTGACAGAATAATTTGTTATTCAAAAATATATTGAAAAACCATTTTTAATTGATGGGAGGAAATTTGATATTAGAGCTTATGTTTTATTGACTTCAAATTTATAGATATATTTTTATAGAGAAGGTTAATTGAGATTGGCAACTGAAAAATTTGATACAAAAGTTTAATCAAATTATGTTCATCTCACAAATAACGCTATTTAATATACTCATCCATAATATGGAAAATCTGAAGAAGGAAATTAATACAATTTTGATTAGGCTCAAAGTTTATTTAAAAAAGATTTTCGAAAAGATGTAAGAATAATTTAAATTTAGATTTTAGCAAAAATTAAAATGATATCTTATACTGCATTTTAAACAGTAAAGCATAAAATAAATAAATAAAAAAGAAAAAACTGTTTTGAAATATTTGGAATGGATTTTATTATAGATGAATAATAATATCCTTGGTTGATAGAAGTAAACACAAATCCAAGTTTAGAAGTAACAAGCAAATTATTGGATTAATTATTTCCAAGAATGGTTAATGATGCATTTTAATTAACAATAGATTTAGTTTTTCCTTAAAATGAACCAAATCACAACTACCCTTTAATGAATTATAAAAATGATGAAAATCTATGGGAAAGTATGGGATATCTGTAATCATCATGAATAAAATTATTTATTTATTTAAAATCAATAAAATATATCTTAAGTGTATTTATTATATATAATATTTATATGAACAATATCATTTATAATTTTGAAGATAATCTCTTAATTCTTCACAATCACACAGATTTCTAATAATTAATGTTGCCCATTCCCTCTGTTGATGCGAATTATTAACATTAGTAAAATGAATGATAGGGTCTAAGGAAGTTACTAAAATTTTGATATAAAAGATACAATTATTTTTAAGTTCTTCCCAAACGGTTTTATTAATATGAACCATGTTGGCAATAAATCTAAGGAAAATGGAAATGAGTTCATCATTTTATTGTGTAGCAACTTAAGAGAGGGATTCCTTAAATTATTGAGGATAGAATAAAGTTTGTATTTATGGATTATATCCACCCATAAAAGTTATTAGGGAATAGAATTTGAATTTGTGAAGTGGAGGGAGGTCGGAATGTATAAGAAATTAAAGATCTTGGATACTAAGTTGAATGCCTATTCTAATGAAATGGTATAGAAGTGTTACTTATTATGATTGGAGTATAAGGATTGAATGTCTTAACTTATGGGGAGATAATTATGTATAAGAGATGGATAAACTTTGTCATCAATAGTTTTTTAAAGCAATTGAAAGATGAAATCAAAGAGTTGCATATCATTATGGTAAAGTAATTGGAGATAGGATTGTTGATAAGTTTCATGAAAAATATTAACAAAACAGTAGGTAAGCCATTCTAATATTTCTGGGTTTTGACTAGTTAGTGATTAATTGATTATGAAAATGGTGAGATCTTTGAAAAAGGATTGAAATAGGAAATACTGTTTGTCTATTGTGTTTTTGAGCATGTTATGTATGAAAATTAAATATGCTTTATGAATTTTGAGATCTTTAGAGTCTAGGAGAATTTGTTTATAGATCTGAATTTGGAAATTATGGAGGATGAATTAAGCATTGTTTTAATTGGCAGTGATGAAATTTGTTAACCATTATTAAAAGTAGAGGAAATTAATTTGATCAAATGGTATGTTGAGAAGCCATGTAGGATTGGTTTGGATAAATTGAAACATGTGATTTTACTTAGTGGGATATTGCATAAGAAGTCTGAGTTAATGAAAATTGTTATTCGATATATGTTCTTCAATTAGTTCCATAATAATAAATATATAATAAAAAAATAATAAAAATGCTCAAATATTTGGATAAATATGTCGAGTATGAGACTATTGGGAAAGGCAGTTATGGTAATTCAATAATTAAATTTAGGATCTGCACACCTTGTACGTTCTAAGTCAGACTAATAAGTATATGTGGCCAAGAAAATTCAATTATTCAATCTGAAATCAAAAGAGCAAGAAGATTCAAAACGAGAAGTTGATAATTAAATTTAATAATTAGGTGTTGGTTTTATAGAAATTGAAACATCCTCATATAGTACAATATATAGAGAACTTCAATGAAAATGATACGCTTATAATAATAATGGAATATTGTGAAGGTAGTATTTTCTGTAATCCATTAGAGGGAGACTTATCATTTCATATCAACAGGATGAGTCAAAGAAAAGAATACTTCCCAGAATAAATTATATTGAATTGGTTTCTACAATGCTCCCTTGCTCTCAAATATATCCATGAATAAAAAATATTGCATCGAGATATCAAGAGTCAGAATATCTTTTTATCATCAAATGGTTTTGTTAAGATTGGCGACTTTGGTATTTCTAGAGTCTTAGAACATACTTAAGATCAAGCCAATACTGTAACAGGAACTCCTTATTATATGAGGTAATAACTTAATTTTAATTATTAGTCCAGAAATTTGTGAAAATAAACCTTATACTTATAAAAGTGATGTTTGGTCTCTTGGCTGTGTGTTATATGAACTTTGCAATTTATCTCATGCCTTCAAATCTAATAATCTTTTAGGTTTAGTTAATAGGATTGTCAAAGAATAAGCTTCTGCAATCCCCTCACATTACTCTAAAGAATTAGCTGATCTCATTAATAAACTCTTAATTAAAAATGCAGATCAGCGACCTCATACTTCTGAAATATTCAATTTCCCTCTTATTAGAAATACTATGCAATAATTTGTTGCAATGTAAGGCAAAGTTCAATATCAAGCCCCCATTAAAAGAACCAATACACATAACTAAATTGGAAAAATGATCAAATAAGAAGAAACTACTCAAATCAATTCCACAACAACTTATGATAATACTTTTGATACTGTTTAATCTATTGATTTAAGTTAATTAACTCCATCATAAAGATTGCAAATGAAAAAAGAAGAAAAAATTAAAAGAGAATAAAGAGAATTAGCACAAGCAAGCAAACAAAGCTTTGCTTAACAATAAGCTAGTTAACAAAGGAAAATTCAAGATCTTTAAGGTGGATAATCTTTAGATTACAATCAAAAAAGAAAATAACAATAATAATATCACGAAGAATTACAAAGATAATAATAATGTAAATTATAAGACTCATAAACAGCCACCAAAAAACCCCAACAATAACCTTAAACTACTAATAAATCTAATATGTACAATTATGATGAAACTTTAGTAAGCCAATATGAAAAAACTTCATTAATGGTATTTTTGATTTGTATTCTTTAGTTATAAAATGAATCCAAAAAGTATAATGATACCTTTAAAAAAGAATTAGAATAATTTGATAGAACTGTTGATTCTGAAATGTGCCAATCTACTTATGATAACACTACTACTTAGGAAGAAAAGACCGTCACTAAATCTTAATTAGATAGATTTACTACTAATTATCAAAATAAAGAATTTTCTGTCACTTAATAATATTAAGATGAAGAATTTGAAGAATACAATAGTGATGAAGATAATGAAATCATTAATCATAGACTTACTGTTAAGTAGGGAAATAGTGAAATTGAAGAAGTTGTCAAATTGTATTAAATTTAAATGGATCAAACTGTGAAAAAATCATAAAGTAATAAACTTGAAGGTATTTTTTAAATTTATACTTGAGATATCTAAGAGATTAGTTAAGAGAGTTGGAATTCATCTTCTGCTTCTCCATAAAAAGTTCCTATTAATAATGATGATCGAATCTAAATATTAAGGAAAAAGGCTATTGCTACCATGGGTTCAGACCTATTTAATAAAGCCTATTAATTTATGAGTCATCATTTATCTAAAGGAACTGGAAGTGCAGATGTAATTATATTATTTAATAATTAGATTCGAAAAAACTTAGAAGAAATTGTTGGCAAAAGTAGAATGGGAGATTGCATGTTGATAGACGAAATATTATATTATGAGAATTATTCTAAATGAAATTAATTTAATTAAAAAATCATATTCCACTTCAAATTATATATATTATTTATTATTTATCACCTTCTTATATATATAAAATCATTCAAACACCACCAATACATTTTCTTGTAACTAGTTTAACTAATTAAACCTATGTAATAAATTCTAGATTTAAGTCATATCATTTCAAAATAAGCAGCTTAGGTCGTATGGTGTAGTGGTTAGCACCTTGGACTTTGAATCCAGTGACCCAGGTTCGAGTCCTGGTATGACCTAAACTTTTTTATTTATTTATATTTTTATATTATTCATTTACTTAAATTCAAATATTCTAAAATTATATATTAATTGAAATCAAAGTTCTGGAGCCACTTATCCAAACTTCTAGATTGGCTTTATTAAAACTGACTATTTTTTTTTTAATTTAAGACTGTTTCTTAAAGTATTTAAACGATTATTTAATCGTTTCGAAGGGTCTCTCTTTATTTTTTCAGTATTTTTAACATTTCTCTTTTTACTCATATATTTCTAAATAAAAAGAAATGGATAAAGCATATATCTTTATAATTTATTAATGAATTGTGATTACCATTAAAAAGTATTTTTTTAAGCTAAATTGATAACTTCATTATAATTATAACCTTTGAAAAAATAATCGTAAGTTGTCAGTAGTTCAAATTCATATAAATTTTATTAATGAAATGACCAATAGATTGGTTCAACTTAGAGATAAGCTTTTTAAACAGTTTTATCATTTTCATTTAATTCTAATTCTCTTTATAGCTAATGGTACAAATTAATAACATTTTCCATCATATTCTCATTAAAATCAGAAACACTAAAATATTTTTTTCTATCGTGCTTCTTTTCACAACTACTATTACTATCACTATTGCTACTTTCTTCATTTTCTTCACTTTTCTCATCTTCTTTTATAACATCTACTTTATGAATTAATAAATTCTTTGGACTTTTACCAATATTTGAAGGAATGTTTAAATTAAAAAAAGATTGTTTTCTATTTTACAATGCTTAATGAAGACTTTATTTAGTATCCTACAACTTAGCATTAGTAGATTATTGTATTGGAGAATCACTGATAAGTCTTTTTGATTTTTAAACAGCAGCTTAAAATCCATCAATCTAAATTTTATTACAAGGACTAGGATCTCCATTTGAGGTGATAGAATCTTAATCAAAAACTAATAAAACTTTTTGTTATTCTTAGATTTATTATTGATTTTCATTTTAAAAAAAATAAGCGAATTGTTAAACTAAATCTTTTTCTAATCTTGATCTTCTAATAATTTAGTCATTATTAAATCTTTTTGAAACATTTCTTTCATAAATTTTTCTTTCTTAAATTTATGGTAATAAATATTTCTTTAAAATAGCTTCTNTTAGGTCGTATGGTGTAGTGGTTAGCACCTTGGACTTTGAATCCAGTGACCCAGGTTCGAGTCCTGGTATGACCTAAACTTTTTTATTTATTTATATTTTTATATTATTCATTTACTTAAATTCAAATATTCTAAAATTATATATTAATTGAAATCAAAGTTCTGGAGCCACTTATCCAAACTTCTAGATTGGCTTTATTAAAACTGACTATTTTTTTTTTAATTTAAGACTGTTTCTTAAAGTATTTAAACGATTATTTAATCGTTTCGAAGGGTCTCTCTTTATTTTTTCAGTATTTTTAACATTTCTCTTTTTACTCATATATTTCTAAATAAAAAGAAATGGATAAAGCATATATCTTTATAATTTATTAATGAATTGTGATTACCATTAAAAAGTATTTTTTTAAGCTAAATTGATAACTTCATTATAATTATAACCTTTGAAAAAATAATCGTAAGTTGTCAGTAGTTCAAATTCATATAAATTTTATTAATGAAATGACCAATAGATTGGTTCAACTTAGAGATAAGCTTTTTAAACAGTTTTATCATTTTCATTTAATTCTAATTCTCTTTATAGCTAATGGTACAAATTAATAACATTTTCCATCATATTCTCATTAAAATCAGAAACACTAAAATATTTTTTTCTATCGTGCTTCTTTTCACAACTACTATTACTATCACTATTGCTACTTTCTTCATTTTCTTCACTTTTCTCATCTTCTTTTATAACATCTACTTTATGAATTAATAAATTCTTTGGACTTTTACCAATATTTGAAGGAATGTTTAAATTAAAAAAAGATTGTTTTCTATTTTACAATGCTTAATGAAGACTTTATTTAGTATCCTACAACTTAGCATTAGTAGATTATTGTATTGGAGAATCACTGATAAGTCTTTTTGATTTTTAAACAGCAGCTTAAAATCCATCAATCTAAATTTTATTACAAGGACTAGGATCTCCATTTGAGGTGATAGAATCTTAATCAAAAACTAATAAAACTTTTTGTTATTCTTAGATTTATTATTGATTTTCATTTTAAAAAAAATAAGCGAATTGTTAAACTAAATCTTTTTCTAATCTTGATCTTCTAATAATTTAGTCATTATTAAATCTTTTTGAAACATTTCTTTCATAAATTTTTCTTTCTTAAATTTATGGTAATAAATATTTCTTTAAAATAGCTTCTCTATCTGGGATATATTAAATTTAAGGACATTTAGATAAAGAATGATTAAAACATAAACAAGCTGGACAAAATACTCCATTTTCCAACTATGGAGGTTTTAAACTTAAGGTCATAAGTTCTCTTATTTCACAAAATTTTTAAAAATCTTCAGGGTAATTTTTAATTGTTATCATAAAATCTAATTTCGATAAAATTAATAAACTAACATATCCATTTGACTTAAAGTAATCTTTTTAAGAACTTTGAATGATAAAATCTTCCACACAGAAAAATTGACCTTATTTTATTGGAGCATTCATCTTAGATCTTTACTTTCTATCAAGATGTTGATAAAGTAAAACTCCTTGTTCTACAAAACACAAATGTTAACAATCATCAAAGTCAATCGAGAATGTATTTTATGGAGGAATGATTTTTCTTTTTATTGATTTAGATAGAGCATCCTTTAATTCATCACTGAAACGTTAAAGAAGAGCTGATTTTTAGATAAATATTTTATGTGCTTCTTTATCTAATTCTTCTTTCAACTCATCTGATAATTATTCGAGTAAAACTTATTCTATTTCTAGATCTACTTCATCATCTTCTTTCCATCTAAAAGTCAAGAATTCTTTAATTCTATTTTATTATTTAATTCACTTTCTTACTTATGCTTTAAATTAAATGGAATCTTTCTTTGATCCATGTACTTATTTATGACTCTCATTTTTCGATTTCTCTCAACCTGATTTTAAGTTATATCATCAATAATACTTCCTATGAAATTGATACTATAAGAGAACCATAAACCTAAAATAATTTATTTTATTATTATTACATGCCCCTAAAATAAAAATAATAGTAATAATCTTCTCTATAGAATTTTTAGGAACATTATCTCCATACCCAATTGTTAGCATTGTTACAACAGCGAAATACAATGCTTCCAAGTATTGTAATTCCCAAGATTTTAGATCTAATCCATTAAATTTGATCCATGAATCTTCAAGACTTATCTTACTAAACCAAAACCATATACAACTAAATAAATGTAGTATAAATAATAGTGTTAGTATTAATTTAACTAAACCTATAATTCCTCTTATGGGTCTTGTCAAATAAGATATTTAATCACTCTTTGCAAATGTTTCATGAATATACTTATATTATGCCAAAGTCAGTAATAAAAATAGATTAAAATTATTATCCATTTCTGGCATTATTATGAAGATTATTAATAGAAATGAAGTTGAAAAATCTGTCAAGAACTCTTTTTTAAATTGATATACCAATAATTCCCATCGATTTTATATTGCAGATCCATTTCTGTATGATAATGTGTTTATTCTTATCATAAAGTCAAGTTATAATATTAATAAAATCACTGCAGTAAGAAAAATAAAGTCTGTGAATAAGATACAAGGTTAAAAGGCAATTTCTAAAGGCACTAAAATTACTAAAAGGATTCTAAAAAAAGAAGCAAAAAAGTCCCATATCATCTTTAAACGAGATTCAGGTTGAATGATTGGAATCTTATTTACTATTAATGTCATAAAGTTTAAAAATTATTTCTTCATTTTTCTGATTTATTCCTATACTTCTTCCCAATGACTTAGTTAATTGATGGTTGTTTCTTTTCTTAAGAAAGTTTTCATTTTACCCAAAGTAAATCCTTATCGTTTACACTCTCCTTAATGATTGAATAAATTTTGCCTACTTAAAATATAATATACATATCAGCTGCTTTATCTTCAATAAGATTGAAATGAATCTCATTCATATTTAAAAATTTTTTCCTACTCTAAGAGATTTTTTCTATAAATCTCCTAATATAGAAACTGCACATTAAACTTGTTCCAGCATTAGGAAGACTACCTCTTCTTTCATGTTAATTTAGATATTGACGACCAAATATATTAGAACTTGGTGCTTATGTAAGAATAAGATTTTCATCAAAAGGTGTCTCTGATACTTTATTAAGACATTCCACTTCAATTGTTTTTTAACTTAAGGTTCTACTAATTTATGGAATTGTAAGAGCAGGCTCTTTTCTATACTCTCTTAAACAATGTTCAAGGTATTATTATTCGAAATCATCATTTTATACTGCTCTCAATTCAACATCTTAATCAAATTCGATTTTAAACATTTTCTTAATATATTTACCAATATAATTAATTAATACATGAATTTATCATTGGTAATAAAATATTCTTTTAGAAAAACTATATTAAGTACTATTAATAAAATCTATTTAGAATAACAATTCATAATTTTTTTTTTCTTTCCAACTACTTTTTTTTCTAAATATTATTTATATAGTAACATTCTTTCATCTAAATTATTTTTCATTTCTCTTTATTATTAAATTTCATTTCTCAATAATTATACATACTTGATTTATTTTATGTTACCTATGATAATAAACAAAAGAAGAATAAAATTTAATTATACTCTTTTATATTAATAAATATTTTAGTTGAAACATCATAAGAAATACTCTATCAAATTATATATATATAAGTTATAATTTTATTAAGATTTGCCCATTTCTTATGAATAAAAAATTTTTAATGTTTAAAAAAGTAATTGTTAATTTAACACAAAATAGTTAGATTATTGAATAAGTTTCGTTTTCGATATGAATTTGGTTAAAATAAGATTTGAAAATAAATCACCCAACAAACATTAAGTTGCGAAATATAAATTATTAATTATTGATATCTTCTATGATAATAATAGGAAACAAAGATCTTAAATATAATAAAGGAATATATTAGATAAAAATATAAATATGATTTTGATCAAATATAAACATATTGTTATATATAATTCTATGATTCTAATTATAAATGAATAATTTAGAAAAAATATATTAAATATAATGAAACTCTCATTGTCAACAGAGTGGTTATTCTTTCATCTTTGGAAAAAGAATCCTGATACAAATTCTAGTTGTCCAGGTGTATTTGTGGCAGATACAATAATATATAGATGGGCTCAACCTTACTTTTGGTACTTTACAGCAAAAGATGGTTAAATATTAAGAAAAACAAAAGAACGAATATTTGTGGAATAAATAGAAGAAATCTTCCAAAAAAGTGGTGATATTTCAGCTTTATATTTGTAAAGCTAGCAAAATAAAATAATATTTGAATACTTTGAGAAAGGTGAATTCATTTAATTTCTTCATTAAAGAGAAAAAGCTTTAAATGCCTTACTATAAAAATTTGTAGAGCCTAAATCATCAAGAAACTCTATGATTAAGGTGTCTTGGAGTCCATAATTTTGTTTATTGTCTAGAAAAACAAATAATAATGATCTTAAAAATAATAAAATACCAATAGAAGATCGTTTAGTAACATTTGAAGGTCCAGAACATTTATCAACAACAGATTCTATTGCATCTCCTATATTATCATCTGACATTGAATAAATTTGTCTTAATATTGTTAAACATATTTAAGATGTTTCTGGAGGAAATATATAGATATCAAGGATGGTTTTATTTTTTAAAATAGATGAAAAAAATAGATTATGGTTATTATTTAGTAGTGGAGTAAAAGTTAGATAAAAAGTAAAGATAAAAGTATATATAATAGTTCATAAATGAAGAAACTGTTTCAGATTTTCCAAAATAAAAAGAGAGAATATAATCTCCAATTATGATATTATAAACTTAATTGAAAATAGGATAGACTTCGAAATTTTCAGTTGATACTTAAGGATATGTAAAACAAACTGGTAGCAGTTGCAATAATTGTTCAATACAAGGAGAAATGTATGAACTAACAGTCTAATAATACATAGCATCTTATGATTAAGGAATATTGGATGAAGAAACACTAATAATTAGATAAAAAGTAGCTAAAAATCCAGTTAAGAAATCAGACAATGAAGAAGATTATTATGTAGAAGGATCATTAAATATTCCTGGACTATTACTAAAAATATGGGGTAAGATGGATATTGAAAAATATAAAAATTTAAGAAATAATATGAGTTTTATGAGTTTAAAATTGCAATTATGTTTAGATTGTTATTTAAAATTTACAAGAATGTAATTAATTGAGTAAATATATAGTCATGTTGAATCTAAAAGTGAAAGAGATGCCAAATAAACAGTTGTAACTATACCTCCTTTATGGCAGCCTTCAAAAACAAAGATTTAAAATAATTAAGAAACTTTAACTTTAGTTTCATCTACTAAATAAAATAAGATGTATTATACTCCTGGGAAATAAGGTTAATAAACTTCATATTAATTATAAAAATAATAATCTTAATAATAATAATCTTAATAATAATAATAATAATAATCATAATTGACACTTTAATAATAACCTCAATCTTCAATTACAATTCCAAAATTGAATTTACCTTCAAAAGATATAAGTGAACGTGTAATAGCTACAACTCATCATACAGATAGATAAAGCAATTTTCCATCAAAAAGAGTTGCAAAGATTTATAATAATTTATAGGGTGTAAGTTTACCTTATTCTTAATCATCTTTAAATACAACAAGATCTACAATGTAAATTTATAAATTAAATTTAGTACTCATTCATAACGTATTGTTAGTATTTAATAATTGAAAGAAATTTTACAAACAGAATAACTTTGATTATTGCTAATTTAACAATATTATAAGTGTAAAACTTAATAAATTAAACATCAAATCTCTGAAAATAAAATATTAAATGTCTTTTTATCCCAAGGGTTTTATTTTTGATCGAAATATTCTCCAGGTCCAGGAGGAATGTTAGTTTTTTATTCATATTAAAATCTTTTTTCCTCGAATATATTATATTTAATATACTTAGCAATTGAAAGGTGGATGTTCTTTTTTCTTTTTCTGAAATAAATCGGAAGCATTATGTTTAAGTTAAATTTCTTCTTCTTCATCTTCTTCATCTATACTTTTTTTAGGTTTTTCTTAGAATCTTGGTAAAGAAGATCCAAAACCTGGTTTATTGATTATAAGATCTTTATCTTCTTCTTTTTCTACTTTTGTGGTATTTTCTATAGTATAATTTTTAACATCATAAGCTCCAGGAGCAGGCATATTATCTTTACCACCCATGATACTTCTTTTTGTTTAAGATTTGAAAACACAAGCAGCACTTTTAGCAGGATCTTAAAAATTAGGTTCATAAGTTCCAGGTCCAGGTTATTCATTTTCTGGATCATCAAATCTAGGTTAATTAGATCCAAATTTTCCAACAGGTGCTCTTTCTAATTTCTTTATCAATTTATCTTCTAGCTTTTATAGAACATATAATATTACTGTAATTTTTGGATTATAAGTTTAAGGACCTGGTTTTTTTTCTAAAGCTCTACTTTCAAATCGTGTATTAGAAGATTAAAATGGAATATTTTTCATAGCCATATTATTTTTGAGAAGATTTGTTTCTATTCTATAATCTCCTGGTCCCATTTATATTTATCTTTATTATTCATTAAATCTTTTCTGCTTAGAACCAAATCCACTTTAAGCTTTTGGCATTGATTGAGAGAATGTAGAAGCTGTTGAAAATGTTGTTTAATTTCCCAAATAGTATCCTGGTCCTGGAGTAGCATTCTAATTTTGTTAAATATTAATACATCATAAAATTCAACGTCATCTTCTTCTATATCAGCAAATACAGGATTTTACATAAGTTTTTTCTTCTAATTTTCAAATTAAGCTCTCATAAATTCTCTAGTTTTTTAACCTTTTTATTAATCAAACATTCTTTAAGATTTAGAGAGAAAATTGCCGGAAGGATTTAATTTATAAAGAGGAATTATAGAATTCTCATGATCATAAGCTCCAGGTCCTACAATCAGTTCTCTTGAAGGAGGAGCTAATTTAGGAACTCTAGATTTATGCCAAGAAGGTCCTTTATTCTTATTATTATCAAAAGTATCTCTTAATTAATATTATCCTGGTCCTACAGTATCTTATTTTAATCCTGTAAATGTTGGAACAGGACTCTTATTAAGTTCTAGATCATGTGCTAAATAAATATATTATTTAATTTATTACCTCCTTTATCTGTATAACCATATACTTAACTTGCTGTTGGAATTGATGGTATTGATTAATATTTATTTAGTTTCATCAAATGATCAATATAATTTTAAGATGTATATTGTTGTTACAAAATTTTCTTTTATTATGTAGAATCATAAGCCCCAGGACTGATATAAATTTTAATAATACCCTGGAGTCTCCATTTATTTCACCTCTTAAAATCTTTTAGTTTATGACATAAAAACCGATTACTGTTTCTATTGTTCTACTATTTTCACTTCAGATTATGCAGATTACAGAACAACTCGTTAACTTATAATTATAAATTATTATTACCCTTCAGTCACAAATTCAACATTATAACTGCCAGGACCAGGTGAATTACTTTTTTTTAATGGTTTGCTTCTTGCAACTTGTGTATTAAAAGGAGCAGCATGAGCTCGAGCTTCATATTTTCTATGTTCTATGTAACTTCCAGGACCTACATTTGGTGGTAAAGCACCAGATGCATTGTTTATATCTCTTTCTGCTTGATATACAAAAGCCATTTTAGAATTTTAATTATAATATTGCAAAATATAAAAATTTACTTCCTCCTCTTCAGATCTTCAAAAAATATTCAAAAAAATACACCACATACTTAACTATTTTATAAATATATTATATAAATTTAATTACTTCCTTCTTTTTCTTGGTTTTCTCTTTTTCTATCTACTATTCAAGCATTTTAACTAAAAATTAATTTTTCTTAACTCCTGTATTTTTTTCCACAAGCAGTTAACTAAATAAAAATTTTTTGTTTATACACTTTCATTTATATTGAGATAGAAAGGGGTTATTTATTAAAAATCTTCTTTATAAAGTATTTAATTGAAAATTCTATTAATATTTATGAATTAAGAGATCTGAATTACTTGATAATTAATCATCTATATATAAATCCTTTTTTCACAAGCTCATCTTTAAAAGCTTTTATTCTATTTACTATTTAATAAATTTTTTATTATACTTTATGAGAATTATTGGATTTAAGTTATATAAAAATAATTTTCTTGACAATTAATTAATTATTTTGAAATAGATTGTTTTTCATGGACATTAAAAATTTACATATTGACTTATAAAAAGAGGATTCGAATTAGTATAAAAGAAGTATAACTCTTTTTTTGAATGGATAAATTACTAGAGCAATTTATAAATTTACAAAAATAAGTTAATAATGAAATGAGGTAGTTATATTTACTTAAAAGATTTTTTTTAATTTGAATAAAAAACTTTTTAAACAAACCCTACTTGTAAAATGATTCATCAATATATCAAAAGAGTAAAATTTTATATCAGTGTATTTAATTTCTTCAGAACAACATTTATGATTGATTACTGTTATATTTTATTATTGTTTTCCGTAATTCTTTTGTCTGGAATGATAAATGATGTACAATAGAAAAAGATTTGAAGTAAACAGTAAGATATTTTAGTTTCATAGAATCAAAGAAAATTTTATAATGCTTTCTATAAACTGAACGAATATCATGTTAAAGTGGTTTTTAGGATTAAAATCAAACTTTTTAATGCCATTTATGGCTTGGTGATGTTAATTCAAAATATTAGAATTATTTAATTTTATTTTATCATTTTTGATTTCTATTATATCCAATTTGAATCCATATCAAAAGGGTGTTATTTATAAATTCAATTTTTTATTAAAATTGTCATATGGACTTTGAAAATGTTGCTATAATATAGTAAATAGCTTCTTCTTTATGTGCAGCTTTGACAGCAATGTTCTTAAAATAAGTAAAAGAACTAGACTTTAACTAAACTTTATACTTGAGAGGGTTATGTGGTTTTATAATCCTTTTTTATACTGTTAACCATTATAAATTCTTAGTAAATGAATTTGACAATCGTACGATGAAGATTTTAATCGAACGAGGGATATTAGCCAGCTTTGGGGCATTTATTTATTTTAAAGGATTAGATTTAGTACTTGTATCAGAATCAATTATTTTGAATAGAATGTCTCCAATATGGACTTCTATGATTTAAATTGTTATTTTGAAAAAAGAAAAATTAAATTTCAGATTGATTTTGAATATGTTACTTTGTAGCTTAGGTATTTATTTAGTGGCCAAGAATAAAAATAGTAATAAGTAAAATAATGATGTGGAAGATGGATATTATCATAGCATTGGAATAATATTAATATTGTTAGCATCTATTACTTAAGCAATTGTTAATATTTTAATCAAATAAGTGAATAAAGAAGTAATTTTTTATATCAAAAATTAGGTAGATAGCATTGTAATAACGTTTTACTAATCCTTTTTTTCGATGGTCTACCCTTCATTTAATTCAATACTTTTAGAATCAAAGTAACATTTTAATCTTTATTTTAGTTTCATTATTCCTTCATAAAATGATGCTTTTTTAATACTTATTATGTCTTTTTTATCTACTTTTGCAGGAGTATTGCAGGTCAAAGCTATGAAATTTGGTAAATTAAGTGTAATTTCGAATGTAAGTTAAATATAAATATTTTTTGGATACTTAATCGATCTTTTCATCTTTAAAGTCCAATTTAATCTAGAACAGATTTTAGGAAATGTATTGCTATTGTTTTCCTTAATTCCTCTTGTATGGAAATGAATCGGAAATGATTTTAGTATATTTAATATATGTAAAACATTGTTATTTTTCTTAAAAAACTTATTTTTTGATAATTTCTTTAAATTAAATATAGTTTAATTAATTAATTTTATTTTTTTTGGAAAAATCATACTCATAAAAAGTCTAAACAAAAGTTTTATTCAATATTTATAACTTATACTCAAACTTTCAAACAGATTTGAGAATACAAAATTTGATTTCTTTCTTTTTTTCACTTTATATGATATAATAATAAGAATATTTTAAATTTTATATAGAATGATATTAAGGATTTAACTGAGTCTCATAATATATTTATTATAAATGTAATCAAGTTAATCTATATTTCGACATTTTCAAACAATTCAAAGTCTTAGATAGAGTCTTAAATTCATATATAATTAGTTATAATGGAATTTTATAATTTAGTAAATAGCTTAGAATACTTAATAAAAGCGTTAGTTATTTATTATTCTATGCTATTTTTAGATTTGGTTTTGGAATCAGCTAAATTTGGACATTTTAAAAATTTAGCTCTTTATTTTTTTGTTATTTTATTCAATTTAAACTATCTTCAATCTCTTTAGATACTTTTATTTATTCAGAAATAACAAAAATATTCTAGATTTAAGACGATCTGTATGGATTCAATTAATTAAAAAATAAATATATTAATTACACAGAATATTTAAATAATAGAATTTAAGAAATTATTTATCATCAAGTGATATTTTCAATTTATTTTAGTTATTAATCACAATTAAGATGATGGGATAAAAGGATTCTTTATTAAATTTAATGATTTATTCATTTTCACTAAATCTATATTAAATAATCATACTACGCCGATCCTAAACTTAATATTGTATAAAATAAATAATGAATCTAAAGAATACAATGATTATTTATAAAAGTCTAGCTAAATATGACAATAATTCTTATAATACTTAAATCTTAATTGTTCTTTATTTAAAGCTATCATATTTAATTAACAGTTATTCTAAAAAATTTTGAGTAAAATAGATTATCACACTACCAAAATTATTATAAATTTTACTCTTTTTTTAATTAAGTATGGTCAATTATGATATTATGTTGTAAAATAATGAAAAATATTAAATTTATAAATTGTATTGATTAAGTTTTAGAAATTTAAAGTGGTTGAATAGAGAGATGATAATTCTTAAGGTATAGTTAAATTTATATATATTATTTATTGTCATAATTAAAATTAAAATAAAACATTAAAAAATTATGAGACTCAGCCAACTTTTAAGATGGAGTTAAACAGACGGTAAAAATTTATTAATGAGATTATTTTACTTCACATACATACCAATTATTTTGATTTTAGGTAAGTTTAATTATCTATTTATTAGGTTATAAATCAATGAACATTTAGGCACTATTTCCCCAATTAGCATCCAAATGATAAATCGGATATTTGATATTAATTATCTATAAGCAAATTAAAAACATGTAAATCATTTTATTCAGATTAAAACTATTGTTAATTTTTTTATTTAATAAGAGCATAAAGGTTTTTGTTAGAAAAGATTAATAATATAAATTCCCTTTTTTTTATATAATTTAGCAATAATTATTTCAACAAAATTTTAATAAAAATGGATGATGAATTTGGTTATGATAAAGTGAGATTTACAAATTACAAAGATGATATTTTTGATTGTCCAATATGTTCATGTGTAGCTAGACTTCCAAAAGATTGTAGTTCATGTGGAACAGTATTTTGCGGTCCTTGTGTAGATTCATGGTTGAAAAAATAATCGTAATACTTATATTAAATTATTTAGAGAGTGCATTAATAGATGTCCAAAAGGCTCAACGATTAAAAATATTTAAAAATCTCTTTAAAAAATTTATGATGATCTCGAAATTAAATGTAATCTTATTATTAGATAAATAGGCTCCCATTGTTAAAAAGCATTTAAGATTGCAGATCTTGATAAACATGAGCTTCACTGTAAATTACCAAAATGTACAAATTATGAAATTTGTGGGAATACGATAGGGTCAACAAATGAATTTGAAAATTTATAAGTAAATGTATTAAATATATTTAGGTTTGTGATCATGTATGTATGATATTGAATAAAATTAGATAAATTAAGAATAAATAAGATCTCTATTAATGTTTAAAATAATATGTTAAAGAAAAATAGCCAGCCTAATTAGTTTAAGGTAAAATAATGATTTACTTTAGGTGTTCCTTTGGTCTTGAATCAAGATTAAGGAAATTCAAATATTCCTGTATTTAGATGGGATAGATAGAGAATGGGAACTGGAATAACATCTTCTGATGGTGACACAAAAATATTTTTAAAAGAATAAGCCTACATGTTTAGAACAGCAGTGGCTACTTATGGCTTTGAAAAAGGTATTGGATACTGGGAAATTGAAGCAGATGATAAAACAGAAAATGAATTAAAAATTGGAGTGTCTACTTGTAGAGACTTTAATTATAATACCGCATTTTGTGATTTTGAATTTGGATGGGCTTATTATGGATTAGCATAAGTATCAAATATCATTTATTTATCATAGTTGCGTCATAACAGCAATGCTACTGGACCCTCTTTTGGAAAAAGATTTAAAAAAGAAGGAGTTTTAGGTGTTTGTTTAAATATGAATAATGGAACTCTAAAATTTAGTTTAAATGGAGAGTTTATGGGAACAGCATATACCGATGAAAAATTAAAGCAAGGACCTATATACCCAGCTGTTTCATTACTTCATTGTGCAGGATGCAAATTAATAACTGGAAAGCCTGTTCCAGAAATATTCTTGAATTGATTTATAAAAATTATGTGTAACTTAATTAACTTTTATAAATCTTCCTCTTTCTCTTCTTATTTAATTATATCTATTTAATTGAGATTTCTAAATTAATATATATTTTATCTTCTCATATGAAAACTGTTTTTTTAATGAAAATTTTTGATTGATCGAAAGATAATTAACAATTCATTATTTTTTGAATTACCATTTGATGACAAAGTAACAAATGAATTTCTTAAGTTTTATGCTCTCATTTATATTTTAGGGTTCATCAATAAGTAATAGAATGGTACAATATTCGTTCTCTGTAATTATTATCAACTAATTATTATGGATTTAAATTTGGTTAATCCATAGTCAGCTTCTAATTAGTGTTATAGATGCTGAAATATAGCTCTCGTACCTTTTTGGAAAATCTTTTGTGCTAAATTATCATCTAGAAAACATTCAGAATATTTAGAAATAACAATTGAACATGATAAATCAAGTAAATAATATCTTTATACATCAAGCATATCAAACTGCTCTTGCTAATATTTTAAACTCCTTTAAATACACATTTTACTTATTTAAAATTTCATACATAATCTTCTTAATTAATTTTATGAGATCACAAATTTATTTAAAATCAAAAAAAGATTTTAAATCAAATATGGAAGCTAATAATAATGATATTTTAAAATTCACTACTAAAGTTTCTAGCATTTAACTATATACCTTATTGCTATATAAAACTAAACTTAAATTTTAGCTTATAGTATTGTGTTAATCACATTAAAACTTTAGTGTGCTTTTTTAAGAGGCAAAAAAATATAAATGTTGTTTAAGCCTGATTCATCTAGGGTCGGTAACTTGATGTCCTAAGAAGATCTTGTATTGTATGGGGCATAGATTGATCAAAGTAAACCCACTAATTAATAGGAATAGGTTAAAGAGGAAATTTGATAACTAAACTATACAAACGAATTAATGGCAAATTGTAAGAACTTTTGATTTATTTTCTATTCTAGTTTCTTCTATTAATTTAAATTAAAATATATGTTTTAAACTGCTTTTCGAAGGTTTAATTGAAATAATATGATACAGTGAAGTTATTTTACTCGATTTTAAATGCACTCTTATTATCATTTTCAAAAGAAAACTATGTTAAAACTATGTTTTTTTCCATCATTATTATGCCATAAATTTCAATCATAAAATAAGACTACATTGAATAATTTTCTATTTTATTCGTACAATTTTTAATTTATATTCATGTATTTTATTTGATAGCTCAACCTTTATTAAATTTAGACTTAACGCTTTGCTTATTTATTTGTTATCAGCTTTAATTATAGATTCCGTAAAAATAGGAATATTAATATTAATCCACTTAAAGATAGACAATAAATTTGATTAATTTTGTTTGTTTGTTACTGCCGATATTGTAATGGTTTCGTAAATAAAAAATAACAAATGGTGTGTTGAAATTGTTTCTAAATCCATTTCGTCTTTGGCTTCTATGTTATCTATAGATATCAAGTTCGAATTCTAATAGCAATACTTTATCTAAAAAATTACTTAAATTGATAGAAATCTAAATTGTTTCTAAACAAAAATAAATATTTGCATTCTTATATTAATTTATTTTGAACAAAAAATACAGTATTCTTAAATTGATAATTAAAGATATTTTATGATATAATCTATATAATATATATTTTATGATTCATAAATTTAATTCATCTCTATCCAAGATGAATGATGCCATTGCTTTATCATAGATAGAAAATAATTCTCCATAAAAAACAATAGCTAAACAACCTCGCATGGTTCTATATTTGCCTATTATTTCAGTCATTTCATTAAAATATGTTCTTGCTAGTTTAGAGAATCAAAATATACATTTTTTGCTTGTTAGTTATTCGAAAGGGTAGGATACTATTTCAGCTGTTGTAGTTATAACAAAGGATAAAGCTATTTTAGTTATTATATTATTAAAGAAAGGAAGGACTTGCAAGTATTTTTGGAAGTGATCATAACCTCCAAAATATATGGACCTATAAATTCCAGTACTAATTAAGGAGAGAGGAAGACCTCTATATAATGTTAATAATCCTTCAGTTTTGATAATTCTAATAAATTGAGAAGTAAAATTGTTTTCAAAAACTAAGATTTTTTTATATTCTGGTTCTTTTAATTTTAATCTTGCAACTAAGAAAGGGTATTATAGAAATAGATGAGTGATACCAGCAAAGGAACCTGCAATGAAAGCATTTTTTGATTATTTTTCATTTTAAGAATAGAAATTAATGAGTTTTTTGTAAGTGTCATTGATTGCAAACAATAATCCATAAGAAAAAATATATCTGAGATCATCAGGATGGCTTCTCCAGAGATGATTGATACCCTTTGGATCAATACATTGATCATACTTCAAAACGTTCATATAAAATTTGTGTCAAAGTGCGATGATTGCTTTTGAATGGATTTCTTTATTGTTGGATGATTAACATTTAATATCGTTGCAATGGAGTACAGATTAGTATTGTGGTAAAATAACTAAGTGATCCAATCAGAAAGTCTTTGATAAATTTTTGTTTAGAAGTGAGATTTTGATTTATATATTTTGATTAATTCATTAATGTAATAAAAAGATAATAAAGTATTGAAAAATTTAGAATAATTGCAATTACTTTGTTAAAGGAAGAATAATATTTTGAAAATTATTCAATCTTTCTTAAAATATAAAGCCACAGCATTTGTAGATTTTATAAGCTATATCGAAAAATATATTGTGAATACAACTATGAGATTCATACCATCTCAATTATTGGATTGTTTGATGATCATAGTTAAAATATTTCTTTAGTTTAATCTTGATTGAAATTTAATTAAAAAATAAAATATTAAATATTAAGGCACTCTTATGAGTTAACAATTAAGAATAATTTAAAAGATTTATTGGAGATTATGGAAAAGATTCTTTTCTTTCAATAAATAATTAAAAGCTATATCAAATTTATTTAATAATTAATAGGTTTTTGAAAATAGATGAAGTATTACTCTAGAAACAATATAATTTTATTTCAGGAAGGTTCTGTAGCAGTCTGAGTTTTTGAATCGAAATCTGATGGATTATTTCTGAAAGTATATTTTGAAGGTGTCATTTTGAATAACCCATAACTTTTAAAAAGGTTCCATATAAAATTAAGTATACTCTGCATAAAAGATTCCATTTGAGGAACATATTGTATCAAGAAGAGTTTGTTAATTTTTTCTGAATTTTAGATGTTAATTATTATTAATTTAATTTCAATAGAAAATAAAGATAGAAAAGGGTTACAAATATTTTTTATGTGCTTTTTTTGGTCCAAATGAATTCTTTGGCACTATATAATATACAGACATTAATCAAGATAACCCATATATTAAATTTCAAGAACAATCTTATAATTGTTGTAAGTTTACGAAATGATGTTTTTTCTATAATTTTTGAAAAAATAAGGGGATATTCCCAGCATTAATAATGATTGAAAAAGATTATGAAAATGAATTACATATATTTGTTATATTAAATAAAATAATAAAATAAAATGAAGAAATAAGATTGGAAATTCATGTAAGTATTTGGAGACAAAGCATCTTCGGATAATGTTAGTGATGAAGACATTATCTCAGCAGTATAATTTGAAAGAACTGGAAGATTTTTAGGTTTGGGAGATAGAGCTGGAAGGTTGATAGTATTTGAAGTTCCATAAAGTAAGAAGAAAGATAAAGCAGATTATCAGTATAAATTTAAAGCGATATATTTATAGGTATTTGACTGAGCTTCAATCTCACACAAGAGAGTTTGATTTTTTGAAGAGTACTGATATAGAAGAAAAGATTAACCAGCTTTAATGGTTAAGAGGTTAAGGGAAAAACATGTATATATTGACAACAAATGATAAAACAGTGAAGTTGTGGAAGATTAGTGAAAAGAATGTTACAAAAGTAATTAAACCAAGTGGAAAAGATTTAGCAATGCCTAAATTATAGGTAGTTGAAAGTGGTCTAATTCCAAGGTAATTAAATATTGTAAAAATAAAAGTGTAAGAAAAGTATTTCCAAATTTACATAATTATCATATAAATTCATTAACTGCCTCTAATAATGAAGAGTTTGTTTTGACTTCAGATGATTTAAAGGTTTATTTATGGAGTATTGAATAACCAGCTAAGGCTTTTGTTGCTGTTGATTTAAAACCAGAGAATTTAGATGAATTAAGTGAAGTTATTACATCATCTACATTTCATCCAACATTGGATAATTAATTTTTATATACTACAAGCAAAGGAATAATTAAATTATGTGATATGAGAAAATCAGGAATTTGTGATAATACTGCTATAACAATGGCTGAACCTGAGGATCCAGCTAAGAAGAATTTCTTTACTGAAATTGTTACATCTATATCTGATGCATGTTTTAGTCGAAATGGGAAATATATATTCTCTAGAGATTTTCTCACTGTAAAAGTATGGGATATTGCTATGACTAATAAACCAGTTGCTACAGTATAAGTTTTTGAACCACTTAAATCTAAATTATGTGATCTTTATGAAAATGAATGCATCTTTGACAAGTTTTCTATTGCCTCAACTATTGATTCTAATAGCTTTGTTACTGGAAACTTTAATAGTACTTTTCATATTGTTGATAGAATGGGTAATTCATATTGTTATTTCTAGGAGAATGTAATTCTTAATATGAACTGAATTTTAATAAGAAAACTGTTATGAGATAAATCCCACCAAAATACTTCGAGAATTTGGGATCATCCTATGATTTTAATCGTAAAGTCTAGAAAATAAGTATGTGCCAAACCTAAAATCTTGTTGCTTTAGCTTGCCTCAATTGTCTCTATTTCTACACAGCATGACAATTACATATTTATCCAATTATAAATATATCTATAATATATTATTATTATATTATAGTTAATCATAATCATGCAACATTTGGGGCTTGTTTAACAATTCCATTTTCATCATGAAATACTCTTACTCTATCCATTCTATAATCCATTGTCACGATTGAATCTTCAGGAAGTAATTAAACATCTAAATGAGCATTGTCACCAAGTATTATTTATTTTGCTTCTTCAGCTGTCTTTCCAACACATTCTGGCCAAGATTGTTTTCCTTAAGGTAATTAAATATTCATTTTTAATATTTTATTTTATTATCTTTTTTTTTAGATTGAATTTTTTATATACATACCATTATTTCATCTATTTCAATATATAATCACTCTCTTTGCTACCTCTTTTCTTAATATTTATTATAATTATTTTTCAATTATATCATTTAGATAATCGAGATATTAATATATAAAATAGATTATAATTATATTTTTAGAAGATAAGAAAGAAGTTCAAAATTAAACTGCATTTAATTTATTGAACATGTGGCTATGTATTTGTATTTATTATACTATCATATACTATCATTTTTTTGTTTTGTATTTTGCTCCAAGAACGAGTTATAACTTTCCTCCTGTTGATCTTCCCAATTGACTTGAACATTTACTAACACTATAAAAGGCAATCATTACATGCATGTGATAATTCCTCTAGCATGGGAAAATACAGTGTTATTAGCTTGACACTATGGGCATTTGACATCCATGAAGTATGAGTTTGGAGCTTAAATCAATCTCTTCAATTTATGCTTTCTCTTTTCACTTTCATATTAAGGTCTCAATAAATCTTAGTCCATTATTTAAATTTATTTTTAAATTAATTTATTTATTTCAAATACTCTTATGAACAACTACACACATACTCTCTCTATCATAATCCACTCTAACTTCCTATATTTTAATGCAAAATAATAAAACTAAATAATATATATGAATTAATTTATTCATTTAATATCATCTAAAGTCAACACTTCCTTTTAGTTTTTAATTATTTACTAATTATTCTCATGCATCTTTATATATATATGCAAAGAAACTATTGCATCCAATGCAGCATAATGAATCTGAGCATTTCTTAATGGTCTATACTACCAATTACTGCATGTCTCAAATTTGCTCAATTTCTTTTTAAAATAAAATTCAGAAATATATGCCAATGATCTTATTTTTGTTTCCTTCTCTAATATTTTAAAACTATTTTATAATTCAACGACTAATCTAACGATTATATTCTACAATTTCAAGTTATTTATTGTTTGCTTAAATCATCCTTCAAATTTTAATCAATTTTCTAAATATCTACATTCTCCAATAGCTATTTTATATCATCTTTAAATTCTTAAATATTTTTCAACTTTTAATCGTCAAACAAAAATGCACGATTTTATGTGGCTATTTAAATCAAACAGACTTGAATACTATTAGATTCTAATTTAGTCCAAGGTGTCACATTCTCACAATCGTAACCTATTGAATTAATAATAATTGTACCAACAACTTCGCTTTAATTAATTGATTTCCATGCATCAAAATAATACTAATCAATTTAATCTATAATAATTATCTAATTTTCTTAATAACCAAAATCAGAGCAATTCAAGTAAACACCATTTTAAATTCATCTTTTATAAATAAATGTTTGGAATTACTTGGAATTCTTCGAAGAAATCCTTTTGCATATTTTCCTTTAAATTTTGTTTCTTGATTTAAGTTAATAAGTTATTTCTTTTTATTATTGAAAGTGCTTCTATTTTTCTTACCGTGATAATATAAATCTTCACAATAATAAATTAATAATGATGGATTGAATAACAACATTTCTTCACATTTAAACCAAGGATATTCTTTAGATAAATATCTTATGCAATTTTTTTCTAGTCTCTCAATTATTTTTGGATTATTAGCTGGATCATAATCTAATTATTTGATAAAATCTGCAGCTTTGCGAGCTTTATTTTAATATGCCATTTAATTTACTAAATTATCAAAATAAATCTATGGTAACTTTAAAGCCTTATAAAACTAGAAAGCCTCCTCAAATTTCTTTTTCTTAATAAAATCTTCCAAATGAAATTATATCCTTAAATTTATTTAAATCTTACTCATATTCAGTGAACTAATCTTTTAACTAAAAAATTTCAATGAATTCACTCATTTCTTAAAATTGAAAATTCTTCCAAATTTTAACTATTCCAGAATCTTAAAGTTATTTTATATTAATTTAATCTTTATTCTTTTTCAAGTATTCAAATAAAACTCTGATAAATACTTTTTGAACATTATTTTAGATAGATCCTTCCAATATCTTCTATAAATTCTACTCAAACAATAGTTTATTTTCTTGATCCATAACATTTTCTAAATTATTTAGGATTAACTAATTATATTAATTTCAAGTACATTGATAGATGGCTTGTTAATTCTAATATATTTCTTTATTTTTTCAAATTTATTTCATCCTAAAAACCCATTTCTTGTTTTTCTATTGATTGCATAAATAATTCTTTTGTCTTAAATAACATTTACTTTTTAAAAAAATATTTTAATTTAGAATTCTTTTTTAATTCTTGCTTAAAAATTATTAAAAAATATAATCTATTTCTGAAAATAGTAAAAATATAATATATTAAAAAGATTTGATTTTTCATTTATATTGTAATTTTTAATTAATTAAAGTGAAAATATATTTTTATCATTTTTATTTAGAGAATTGAGTTTAAATAGTATTAAATAATAATCTACTGAAATTAGAAATATTATTTTAGATTGTACCAATGATATTGTATATCAACTCAACAGACGTAATAAAAGTTTGATAGAGATTGGTTATTATAGCAATTACAATGGCTAAAGCATAAATATAAATTTGTAAAAATAGAAAAACCCTATAACACTTATTCTCATATGACAATGCGTACTTTACATATAAACAATTATAAGTGTAAATCCTTAAGAATAAATCTGAAATCAAAATAAATGGTAACAAGATAAGACTAATAAGTATAGCTATAAATAATCCAAACATTAATTTTAAAATTGAGATAAAAATCTTTTTAACTTGATTGTTTGATTAAGTAAGTTTTTTATTATCATTTTATTGATGAATAGTTTGAGTTTAATGTTACAAATGTGGTTTGTGATTTATTCTCTTTTCTAGTTTGATAACAAATAAAATAATAGAAAGATTGATTTTCCATTTTTTCATTGCTTCTGATTTCCAATTAAAACTCTTCTTTTGTTTCTCCTTAAATTCATAAGTCGGATTTCTGAATTTGATTCTTCTTTTTTGATATTGTACAGTATTCAATCCTAGCATACCTTTCTAAGGTTTTATAGGTACTTCTTTTTCAATATGATCAGTAGTTGTTATTTCAATGAGTTTGTCACAGTCTGTAATATTCTAAACTATTAGTCTAGGAACTTTAGTCTCTTTTTAATTATATTTTTTCTAATCTTATCTCTCACTATTACAGTTAGAAGGCGATATGATGTTTGGTTCCAAGTATTTGTTGTAATGATTTAAAGTTTGTTTAATTGAATTTTCAATAGGATCATGACTGTTAACTTCTTTAATTTAGATCAAAATAGTATTGTTAGGATCACCGTCATCTCCTTTTAAGTTTGAATACTCACGATATATAGGTTTATTCATTTTTAATATTTTTTGAAATAATTAGAATACAGTAAAATCAATAACTCATTATTATTTTTTAGGATTGCTTTATCTTCTTTACATTTTAGATTTGCTTTCAATTTTTCTTTAATCTTTGTTCGCCTATGTAATTTGATCATCTTTTTATTTTATAATATTTTGAAGTTCCTAAATTTTAGTGTCTTTTTCTGCAACTTTATTTTACAAATCAGAAACTCTGTAATTTAACTCCTAATTCATAACCTATAATGTTTATAGTGCTTTCTCCTTTTATAAACAATGTCCTTTTTCTTATTCTAATAGATCATTTAATGCTTCAACTTCATCTTATAATTCAGCATTTTTGGCTTCAAGTTCTGAAACTCTTTGTCTTAACTATAATATTGATAAATAAAACCTGATCATTCTCTTAATATGAGATTTCTTAAATATATTTACATTGTTGGTGAGGATCCATTAAGGAAAAATAAAAATTAAATAAAAAAATGGTCTGTGTTTAAATTAAAGAAATTGTTATTTTTATTCATTTGTAATAAAAAGTATTTAAATGTTTATCACAAACAAATAATAAAAGTCATAATAAAAAAAGGTCATAAATACTACTACACAATCCTTTTTAGATCTTATAATTAGATAGGTTTAGTTATATAATCCTTCATTCCAGCATTAAGACATTCTAACTTTTGATCTTAACTTTCATATGCAGAACATCCAATTATTCTTACATCAATACCAAATTTTAGAGATAATTCTAAAATCTTTTTTGTTGTTTCAATTCCATTTATTGTTGGCATTTCCAAATCCATAAAAATTAATTTATAGTAATCTTAATTAGCTTACCATTTTTTTTAACATTTTTCTATTGCCAAATATCCATTAGTAGCAGAATCAACTTAATCTTATCCTCTTAATATAATAAATTAAATTTACATTTATATTAATCTTCTTTTCAACATATCAATATTCATGCAAACATCATCAACTATCAATATTTATGTAGTTAATATAGCTTTTGTTGATCTTTTAAAAATTGAAGCTTAATTATTCACATAAACTTTATGAATAGATTCTTCCTATTATTATTACATTATAATTGACTCTTCACTATCTTAATTTCTTTCTTCCATACTGTTCAGTGATTTTATCTCATTCATGTCTTGGTATTAAATCAAAAAATAGAATGTTGAACCTAATTTCAATCATATTAACAATATTACTACCTTTTTTATATTATGATTTGAATTTCAATCCATTTTGTACATCTTAATTTAAATTCTATAGAATTTAATTGCTAATTAATAATCCTAATCCTACACCTGATTTATTCATTTTTTTATGTTCTTCACTATTACCTGTTCCAAATGCTTAAAATATTCTTAATTAATCTTATTCAGTCATTCCAATTCCAGTATCAACAACTGATACTTCTAATCTCAAATTAATCTAAGTCACTTTAATTGTTACTGATCCTTCATCAGTAAATTTAAATGCATTTCCTAATAAATTTATCATTATCTATTTTAATCTACTAGAATCAGAATATATAAATCTTGGTGCTTTACTTTCATAGTTTATATAAAGTTTAATTTATTTTTTATCTGCCATCACTTGAAATAAATCTACACAAGTTTCTAATAATTAACAAAAATTAAATTTAGCTTTATTGATTTTAAATTTACCAACCTTTATTTATGCTAAATCTAAAAGATCATCACTTAAATTTTATAAATATTTTGCATGATCTAAAGCTATTTTAATTTATTTTGCCATTCTAATTGGTAGATTTGTTTTTGTAGATCTACGTACTTCTTTTTCCATAATCATTGTTTATGATGAATATTTTTATTCTTCATCTATTCCTTCTTCTAACATATCAATTATACAATTCAATGGTGTTCGATATTCATGACTAACAAATGATAAAGTCTTTGATTTCTATTTACTATAATCACGTAAATGTTATATATAATCTCTATGAGTTATATCTCTTATCAACATCAATATATATGGATTATCAATAATCAAAGCATTATATAATTTTACTTCTATTGTTCTATTCTTTTTTCCATCTTATCCTTTTTAATAACCCAAAATCACTACATGTTCTTAAATTAATTAATTTTGATTTTTCATCTGATTTTAAAAATCTACTTTTCTCATTTAAGATGAAATTAATCTTAATTCTTATTCCAAAATCTAAATTATTAATAAATATTACCGATTCTTCTAAGGAATCACATTTCTTTAATATTATACCTTTATATTCTACATTATTTAAAACTGAATTTTATCTAAATAATTCTAATTTTTAAGAAGTTTACATATTATTAGTTAAAGATCTCTTTTCATTTCTAGAAGCTTTACTAATTAAATTACAAGGAATTGGAGTTTATTAAAATGTAGAAAAAGAACTCATTGAATTTTTATAATCATGTTATTACTTTTCTTAATCCTATTAGACTTATTATTATTCCAAACAAAATAAAGATGCCAAAATCTAATCAGATTATTTAGCCATTGATAATTTTAATAAATTTTCATTATGATATTCTAATTCTATTCTCTTATCACAAATCTTAATTAAACCTATACCTTATGGAAATATGCTTAAAATTTCTAACTTATTATCTCTCTCATGTCTTGGACTTTCATGATTACTAGTAGGCTTTTCTTATAATTTTAAACGTGAATGATTCTAAGTATTTCCAGCACTATCAATTATTATTTTATCATGAATTTCTTGCTATGCAGAACTGTCGATATTTTTTCTAATTATTTTTGATTTAGAAATATGAAATAAAATTAGCCAATGAATCATTATAGCTATGATTGATAAATATACTTAATTATTATCTTCTAATAAGATTATTGTGAATAGAATAAGATCAGAACCAACTTAATGAATTATTTATACTTTATTAGGTTAAGCCAATTAAGCATTTATTTTACAAAAAAATAACTCTTTTAAACTACACAATGCTAATATTGACATTGCATCAAATTTTGAGCTCAAATATAATCCAAAAAGTAATGTCCATTATTAAAGCATCTCAAAATGTATTGCATATTTTGAAGTTTTGCTATTGAAATTCAACATTACACTCAATATCTAAACAACAACAATTATAATTGTTATAATTAATGACCCTTCTCCAAATATACTTTAAAACATTATCAAAAGTGTAATCATTATCATTATCCAACAATCTTTGAATACTTTTTCGTATTGATTCATACAAAATAATAAATAATATATATTCAATAAAATATTCACTGTAGTTCTCAATCTTCATTAAAAATACTTTCTAAGCTTGCTTTTTTAAACTCTATTCCATTTTATTATCCTTAGCTTTTTTTATTAAAATAAAACTAAAGTATCCTATTCTTTTATCTAATAAAATAAATTTCAGTTTTTTCATTCTCTTTCAATATTTGACTTACAAATTTTTTTACTATCTCTAAAGGAATTATATTTAATATTAACACTTCTTATCATCAAAAATCATTTATTAAAGTAATGTAAAATTGGAGTTAATTTTACATCACTATATATGCAATGGCAAATAAATATTAATTGCTAAATTAATTGAATTAAAAATTGTTGGACCTTTAAAAAATAAAATAATTATCAAAACTATATTTATTTAATATTTATCACTCTTTATTTAAATTAAGCCCTATTGATATATTTTCATCTAATTTACTTTCTAAAAAATAAATTAATCTGAATACTTTCATATATACTATAATATATTTTTCTATAAAAAAAATACTTTTTTTTTTTTGATTCTAAATAGAAATTAATCCTTAATCACTATGAGCATTTTAAAGAATTAAGAATTATCTATAAATAAACTATAAATTAATAATTAGAATAAAAAATAAATCGATTAAATTTGTGATGGATAAAAGATTCAAACATACTCTAGTGGCATTTAAAATATGTCCTTATTGCATGAAAGTGTTAACAGTAATGTGTCATAAAAATGTTAAATTTGAAATCAAGTTTATAGAAATGCATAACAAACCTGATTGGTTTCTTAAAATAAGTCCTCTCGAGAAAGTACCTATTTTAATAATTGGTGAAGAAGGTATTATTTGATTAAAAATATTTAGTTGTTTTATTTGAGTCAGCAGCAATAATGGAATACATTGATGAAATTACACCACCTAAATTGATGCCAGATGATCCAATGTAGAAAGCATTAGATAGAGCTAAGTTCGAGTATTCAAATGAGATAATAAAAAATCTTTATTAATTTATCTTTTGTACAGAATAAGATGTAAGTTTTTATTTAAAAGAAATAGAAATTTGTTAAATTGAAAGAGTGGTTAATAAAACGATTCTAGTAAATGGATGAATGGCTAAAAGATAAAAAATATGTGAATGGATTAGAACTCTCTTTAGTTGATCTTAATTTTGTACCAGTTTTCGTAGTATTAAATATGCTGAAACCAATTTTACCATGTGATATGTTGAAGGATAATAAGAAAGTATTAAACAGGAATGTATAAATAGTTATAAAATTATGGAGAATCTTTAACATCATTACCATGTGCAAAAACTGGACGAGTTCCAGATTATGAATTTTTGATGATTGATGGAATTAAAAATCAAAATACTGTACTATTCAGATCTAATCCATGTTATTTCAACGGACCTAAGTCTTCACGTTGTTGTTTCTTTGGAAAATGATCATTTTATTTTTGTATTGTTTTTCTTTTTTAATTATTTTTAAAATTCATGGATTAATCTAATATAAATTTCATGATGTAATTAAAAATAAATAAGTCTTAATTTTTAACAATTAAAGAATGAAATCAAATAAAATTTATTTGAATCATATTATTAATTAATTTATAATGTAAAATAAAATAAAGTATTTCTTTTCATAATTGAAATTCAATCCAAACAAGAACTATTATCAAATTTTGAACTTAACAAATAAATCTTCATAAGAAGAAATTAAAACTGCATATTATACTTTAGCTAAATTATATCATCCAGATAAAAATCCAGATTAAATTGATAAATTTAAAGGAATTAATGAAGCATATGAGATTTTAAAAAATCCAATAACAAAGAAAGAATATGATGAATCATAAATTAATCCTCAATAATATTAGAAGAAATAATATGATAGATAATATCATCAACACTCAAGTATAAAATATTACTAAAGAAGCATATAGTTATTAATAGAATGTAAATCATGAATAGTTTAGAAGAATGTATGAAGAATATAAGAGAACATAATCGTATTATGAATATTAATATCAATCTAAAACAACATAAAGTAACAACGATCCTTTTAAATAATACAAGAATTATACAAAAGAATAATAATATGTAAAATTATCCACAATTAAATTTTATTTTAGGAACTTTATTCAGGTAGAGCAAGTGCTATGAGATATTTAATTATATTTATGATGGGAATGGCTGCATATGTATTTTTTGAATTATTTGGTTTGTTAATGGATAATAGATAAATTGTTGTAGTTGATTAAAATACTGGTTAACAATATGTAACAACTAAGGATGAATTTAGAAGAATATAATAAAAAACAAGAGAATAAATGGATTATGAAAGGAGAAGAGAAATTTTAAAATAAATTTAAGATGATGAACTAAAAATGATAAGATAAAATTAAACTTAATTCTAAAAATGATGTTTGTATTAATCAACTCTATAAATACTCAGTAAATTTTAATCAATCAAGAGTTTTCTTCTTAATGTATACAACTCTAATGTCTACTTCTTAAGAATTTTCCTAATTCATTATCAATTTATTTAATTAATTTAAAATTGATAGTCTTTTAACAAATCAAAATATTTTCTGTGTTTTCTATTTCTTCTATTACTTCTTTATAAGCCTTAATATAAAATTGTTTTACATCTTAAAGTTAAGTAAACAATTCTTCATTTGGTGTATCTTCCTTATTTCGAATATAAGATTATTTATTTTAATAATCAAGTTCTATTCTAGAAGGTACATGATTCTCTTAATTCAAAGTAATTATTGGTTTTGGAGTAAAATTAAATAGAATTTATTATGGTTTTTAAAGTAAAACTGTTTTCAATTTAGATACTTCTTATAATTAGTGAAGAATATTATGTAAATCTAATTCATTGTTAATCTTGCTCCTTTAAGATATATTAATATTAGTACATAGCTTTTGTAAAAAACTATGAATTGTTGTTGTTAAAGAAATATCCACAACTTAATTCATTTATAAGAATCTTAAAATCTAATTTTATTGGTTAAGATCTTTCAACAAGTTTATAAATGAATTATTTCCATTCAACTTTTTATAAATCATTATTAGGTAGATTTTTAATACAAATATTCATTTCATCTGGAGGTGTTGCTATTTCCCCTATATTTTATGAAAAAGCAGATTTTCTAAGATAAGATCTATTTGTGACTTCTTTAAAATCATATAATTTATTAGCTAATTCTATCAACATAGATGTTCTATTATAGAATGCTATAAAGAATCCAAATATTAATTTGAAAATTTACATAAATCCTCCTAAATATGATAGGAGATCACCAAGTTTTTAATAATTTCTATCAATAATCTCACTAAATGGACTTCTTCTTAAATATATAGTTGTATAGATATCATCAGTATCCCTACCTGATTCAATTAAATCTCTAAAATCTTCAGCTTTTCTTACTATTATTTCCTCTTATTAAATATTTCTAATCTAAATATCAATTAATTACTTGTAAGGTAATAAACTTTAATCATTATTAACAACATATGATCTATAATAAACATTAGCTAATCTTGATAATTTATTAGGTACAAATGAAAAATACATATCACTATCTAAATACATTGTTTTATAATTTTTAGCCTTCTATGGATTAACCATTGTATTTATTTAAAAAACTTAAAGTTTGAATTGTCCATATGCATTTAAATATTCATTTTTTTAAGTTTTATTTGCACAAATAGGATTCCAATAAGTTGAATTAGATTAATTCTAACAATCTGATACAATAATTTTAATAAATTTAAATGTTTCACTTGAATAAGTTCCTTACAATTCCATTTAATAATTTATCCTAAATAATTAATTTAAATACTTTGGACATAACCATTGATTCATACCTAAATAATTAAAAGAATCATTAAAATTAGTATCAATACCTTATTATTCAACAACATTATTAAATCTATCTAATGTACATGGCTCTAGAGGTATCTATATAGTTGATTTTTATATAGTCCCATTTAGAGACCTTTAATATATTCTAGATCAATAAATTCTTACTTTTATTCCATTGTAATATTAAAAAATGGAAAATCTGTAAAATTACTTTAGTCAATAGATAAAGCAAACATTGAATTATCATCATTCATTTTCATATAATTAGGATCATTAGAAAATGTTGTTTATGAATTAAATTAAACATTGGCTTTTGTAAAAAAGTCTGCAATGTTTGAATAAAAAATAAGACTCAACAAACAAATTATCATGATTGAAGAACATCCACCAAATGATGTTGTATAATTTGGATTTTTATTCATATTAAGGGTTATTGTTTAACCAAATATGTCAATTCTCTATAGTCCTTTCTTTATTGAATATAGCATCTTTAATTATTTATTATAATATAAGAAAATGCTAAATCAAATATTTTAAAGATAAAGAAATTTCTTCAAATTTGAATTTTCTTTTATTCTATGTAAAAAAATAATATTTCATTTTTAAGTTTTATTTATAACATTACTAATAAAACTTAAAAACTACTAATAAAAGAATCAATAAAATTTTATTTTATTATAAATTTGAAACCAGCATTAAATTATTTTACTTAATAATATCACTGTGACTTTATAACATTATAAAATTATTTATAAAGATTAAATTCAGATTAAAATTGAATAGTTTTAATTGATCTTCATGTTTCTTGATTTAAATTTGAATCTAATATTTGAAATGCATTCCTTCTTTATTGAAAAGGTTAAATTAATTTCATAAAATCTTACCCTATAAGTTGAGTTAGCTTTAGATTTATATTCATTTGACATAAGTTTGAAGAATTCTAGTTTATTTCTTTTAAAATTTCTTTGTAAGCCTACTATATAGAAATCAAACTACCTATTACAATTTTGTAAATAATTCTTCATTTAATTATTCTTCTTGAGATTCCTATATTTGTAATGGATTATAATTATTATTTAATGAAAGTCTTGAAGGAAGAGCCTAATCAATACCCAATGTTATAATTGGTTTAGGTGAAAAATTAAATAAAATTATTTAAGATTTTCTTAAAAAAATTTATTTCAATTTATTTATCTCATGTAATTAATAAAATATTGTGTGAAGATCTAACTCTTAGTTAATTTTTTCACTAAATAAATATAATAATTCTTGAATTACATTGCTTTTTAAAGAAATAATGAATTTTTATCCTTAAATAAATATCCAAATGATAATTAATTAATGAATAACTTAAAATTAAATTTAATAGGTTTGGACTTTTAAACTAATTTATTGAAATAATCTTTCCATTCAATATTTGAGATATCTTAAGTTGGATTTACTTAATTTTCATTAATTTGAAATACATCAATAGGAGATGATATTTGCTCTAAATATTCTATCGTATTAACAGTCTTTAATTTTTTAACATCTTTTTCATCTTTAAAGTCATATAACTTATTTGCCAATTCAATAAGCATAGAAGTTCTATTGTAAAAGGCTATTACAAAACCAAATAAAACTTTCATTATCTACATAAATCCACCCAAATATGATAAAAGTTCACCCAACTTTTAAAATCTTCTATTTACAATCTCAGTAAAAGGACTTCTTCTTAAATATACAATAGCATAATTGTCATCTGTGTCTCTTCCTAATTATGTTAAATCACGATAGTCTTCTGCTTTCCTCATTATAATCTCTTCTTTATCTACTTTTCTAATTAGATATTTATTATTATTATTTACTCAAAAGGTAATAAACTATTATCATTATTTAAAATAAATTATCTATAAAAGATATTTGCTAATCTAGCTAACTTAAGTGGAACGAAAGGAAAATACATATCACTATCAATATAAATAGTTTTATATTTTTCAGATTTTTATGGATTTATAACAGTATTTATTTGTATTATTTGCAATTTAAATTAACCATTTTCATTTAAATAATTTTATCGATCGCTTTCAGATCCACAAGTCGGATTCCATATTTGATTATTTATTTCTGAATTTTTGCAACTTTTTACAATTATTCTTAAAAATTTAAAAGTTTAACTTGAATAAGTTCCTTCTAGATGAAATGCATAATTTTCACTTAAAACTTATAATTTAAATCAATTACATTGGACATAACATATTTCCTATTCCTTAGAAATTAAATTAATTTGTGAAATCTACTCCTTCATCTAAAAAAATATTATTAAAACGATCTAATGTACATGGCTTTAATGGAATTTCAATTGTTTCTTTTTATATTGTACCGTCTTATTTTCTAATATAGATTCTCAAATAATATTTATAAATCTTAGTACCTTTATTCTAAAGAAATGTTAAAGTATGGATTAGTAGTAAAATTATTTTAATCTATTGAAATTGCAATCATAGAATTTTTTTCATTCATTTCAATTAGTTCAGGGTCATTTGATAAGATTACTTCACTTTCATGTTAAATATTTTGCATTTTAAAGAATGAAATGATATTAGAATAAAAAATTAGACTTAAAAGGCAAATAATTAGAATGGAAGAAAAGCCTCCAAATGATGTTGTGTAAAGCTCATTTTTATTCATATTAAGAGTGATTATTTGACCAAAAATGTCCAACTTTTATAAACCTTTTTTTATTGCAAATATCATTTGTATAATTTAATATAAATTATGTTGTTAAGAGATTATTTCTATACATCTTCAAGGAAATTAATTTTATTTATTAGTTTCTTTAAAGTTTACAGAGCTATGTCAATTAAAAAATTTAAAACAACAAAAATGAGAGAGGCAAGATTTTTCTTTATTTTTTCAATTTTTCACTAATTATTATGAAGAACACATTAGAAATCATTTTTTAAAAAGTCTAATTTTATTTAATGTATTTTTTTTTTAATCATTAAAATAAGGATCTATATTTAGAAGAGAAAAGTTTATAAAAATTTATAAAATTTGTTTTCTATTAATGTGAATTTTAAATTGAAAGTTGTTATTATTTTAATTAAAATAAATAATAAAATAAAGAAAATTAATGCAGGATTCTGGAAACTTTATAATTACTCAATCTACACTGGCAGGAGAATCTACCAAAAATTTTAACAAAATTTCCTTAATAGGAATAATCACCACATAATAAAAATATCCTCAATATGTGAATTTCTCATCTATTTTACCTATAAGTATTAAAGAGTTGAATAAATATATGATTTGCTTATGTGAATGTAATAATTTTAGTTAATTTTAGAAATTATTGAAATAAAAAGAAGAAACATAAATATAGAATTAATAAGTTTGAAGACTTTAAATATATTTCCTCCATCATAAGAATGCTGTTACTATTTTTTTTTTAAAGAATCAGATGAAAGTTAAAATTTTTTTGAATAAATCTTAAAATTATGTATTTTCTATTAATATTTTAGTGAATTAATTTGGCTATAATGACAGTATTTTTAGTAAAGCAAAGGATATATAAGATATCGTATACATTCTATTTCGACTTTACGATGATTAATTGAACGATAAACCCAATTCTGAAATCAAAAGAATTTTTTAAAATGTTGATAATTGCAGAGGATTTGGATCTGAATTATTAAATATAGATGTTTTAGAATCTAAAGAAAAAAGAAATGTTCTATATCAAAGTAATGATATGTAATCTTCAGTTTTTTAAATATCAAAACCAGACTTTATAAATTGTGAGGATGAAAGTATTGTTATAAAAATTGCATAAAAAAAAGAATAGTAGCATTAGAGGGAAATTGAAATTTTAGAGAGTTTTTGTGAAGATATTCACTATAAATATTATGGTTATTTTAGATTCGAAATATTAACGATGACATTTTTCAAATTTTACAAACAAACTTTTAGTTAATTTTAATAGAGAATTAGATAATTTATATCTGAAAATCCAAATGATAACAAACTAATCTAATAAGTCATAAAAAGAGCATATATAAGTATAATCTAACAATTAAATTTAATCCACAAAAAACATTAAATAATACATAGAGATCTTAAACCACAAAATATTATGATAGACTCAGCCTAAGACTTAAAATAACTGGAAGATTATCTAGAAATTAAATGTGTGATAATAGATTTTGATTGTTCAATATAAATGGATGGAAATGAATTTTATTAAAGTTAAAGTTATGGAGGAGGAACATCACATTATGTTCCTCCAGAATCATGTTATTCTGGATCATCGAAATATACTGAATCATATGATATATATCAGGTAGGAGTAATATTTTTGGAAACAATATTTTAAATTGATGATAAAATTTTTAAAGAAGGTTTTTGGAACCATATAAATAAATTTTAAAAAGCAAAATCTTTTTTGAATCTTAGTGATAACCTTTTATATATTTTGACTTTAATGATTTCTTAAGATCCTATTGAGAGACCAAGCTTAAAATACATTTTATAAGCTTTATAAATAGAATTATGATTCTAATTTAAAAAAATGATCAATTATTTATATAATTATTAAATACTTATTATTATTAACTATGATTTCTTAAGCTTTCATCATATTGATTTAATTCAAAAACTAAAGGTTCTCTTTTTATATAATTTTCTTAAATTTCCAATCTATTTTTCATGATAATTATCTTTAATTTCTCCTTCCTTAATAGTTCTTGAGAGATTCAAAGAAAGATGAAGGCTTTTTCGAGGATATTTAAATTATTGAAGTATTTGGCATTGTGGATTAATAGTCATTCTTTAAGCAAATACTCTATCAAATAAAGTATTAAATTACACTTTAAATTTGATAAGAGCATTATCTAATTAATATAATAGTTTAATTATATACCGTTATTTTTCAAAGTTTGAATAGAATAGCTTTTCTATTTAATTAATTCCTGGAATTTATTTATTTCCTTTAGTAGATTTTATTACTTAGACAAATTCGATTTATCTTATTTTTTCAGAAAGAAAAATGATTATCTAATTATCTAATACATTGGCAAAAAAATAAAATAGATTAAAATTACTTACAATAGAATAAGCCCAATGGATACCAATATATTAATAAATAGCATTTTGTTGAAATTTTGATTAAGGACTTATAAAAGAAGTTTAACATTTAATTCAATTTGTTACTCAATTTAAATATCATAAAAAAGAATAAGGAAATAATTAATATCCTCTAATTTAAGGATTGTAATAACAACATCTTTTTTATATATACTATTGAATCTACAAAGAATTTATAAATTCTCATAATTGCAAGTAGAATTAAACTATTTTTTTTAGTGATAATTTATTATAGAATTCCAATCATCAGTAGTAAATCCTGTAATTTATTCATCATCAAATTTTGTCAAATTTGAAGAGTTTGAAACTATAGTATTTTTATAATTAGTCAATATTAATGTGCCTTAAGTATTTACAATCATGACATTAAAATTTAATTGAGGAATAAAATTATTTTTGAAAACAAGATCTGAACAAAATATACCTTCTACTTCTTTCTGTAAATTCAGCATTGATATAGTCATTGTCATCGAATATATTGTTTCAGTATCGAAATATTTATAAAGATCAGTTATTTAGGTGTGATTATTTTTGTCTTTTTCTAAGTTTTTAAAGTGTGACTTATACCATTCTCTTTCTTTTGGATTAAAATCAGGATAAAGTATGATTTGAGGATATAAAAACCCATATTATACTGAATCTATAGAAGAGATAAAATAAATTTAATTTGGTAGAAACTCATCGTTTAATCTTAACATACTAAAAATTGTTGAGCCCACTAAATTTGTGATACTTTGCAATTATTAGTTTGTATTATTATTTAAATAAGGATTTTGCTCAGTCTATAGTAATCCAAATCTTGTAAAACATTAAATGGAATAACTATTTTCTATAGGGATTGTTGTTTAATTATAATCACAGATTCGGGAAAGTTGCTAGGTTGCATTTATTTCATTATTTAATTGAAGCCAATAAAGCTAATTAAGGTTTGTCAATGTAATCTAGGCTAAAAATTAAGATATTATTTACTTCTTTAAAAAACTTAATCTAGTTGATTTTTCATTAACAATGAAGCACTGGTTAAATGTTTTTACATTTCTAATATATTATTCATTTTTAAGCAATCATTAAGCATTTGCTATACATATTGCATATTTATAGTCTAAGCTAATATAAGAGAAGGAATTAATATGGCGAAAATTATGCCATTTATAATTAAAATTTGTGTTCTCATTTTAAATCTACCTAGTCTTGTGCATAAGGTTTAACTTAATAAATGGTTTGCTTAGCATTTGTTCATTATTATTGATAACTTAATAATTATAAATATTTAAAGTTTCAATCTTAAGCTCTGATTAGTTTCTAATTGATTAAAATTGAATTATATGTATGGAAATAAAATTATATATTACTATTTTTAATTTATCATGAATTAAAATTATAATTATTTTATTAGCAGCATTTTTGGTTTTTAATTATAATAGAAACAAGAGATCAAATATATAATAACAAGGTTTTTTATATGTAACTAAAAAATAATGTTAATTTTTATTGTTAGAAATGTTACGTCAAATTTGAAAATGCTATTTATGAAGAGAATCGTTTATTTTAACAAATTTTTCTAAATTAAGGTAGTATCCTAAAGAAAAAGAATTTTATATATTACGGATTCTCGAAGACCCTAGTTTTGCAGCTATGAAATATTCATTTAAATTGACAAGACTATTCAAAGTAATTGAGGTAAGACTTATTTTATGAGTTTGAGAATAAATTGTAAATATTTTACAGGATTACCTAATCAATGAATTCGCTCATATTATATATATTGATATCCCATTTGAAACTAGATTCAATCATTCAACAAAAAAACTTGTTTTAAATAAAGTTAAGAAACAACAAACCATTTTTATTTTTTATTGAAATATTCTTAAAATTATCATAAGAAATTTTAATTGATTAAAATTTAAGTGACTGGAATCCGTTATATAAATTATTTCTTAACAAAAATTACCATTATGATTGTAAATTCAGTTCTAAATTTGAATTATGGGAGAGCTAGAGCTTATATGGACAGAAATTTAATCTCAATATCAAAATAAAATTTATATTTCATATGGTATCATAGATTAACTAGTATTTGATTTTATTTTATGAAAAAATTAGAGGAATTTTAATAAAATCTGATATATTATTATGAGGTTATTATCATCTCAATAGATATAACTTTTATTTAATTTCATAGAATATTTTGATTCTCATAATATGTACAACATATCTATAACGTCCTTTTAAATGATATTCTTTAATATATTACCTTTAATACATATTATCATTCTTATATACAAATTATTTTAAAAGATACTAAAAATCTTTGATAAATAAGTAATGCAATAATTTAACAGAAACTATAACAAAAGTATCATTATTTTCTTTGTCAAAACAAACTTTAGATGCATCTATAAATGAACAATAAAATAATAAATTGGCTATTTTATATTAAGCTAGAAATTAAACTTAATTAGATTAACTAAGATTGGCATAATTTATGTTATAAAAAACTATTTAGAATTGTGATTAATTTTATATAGAGTAAAATGAATTAAATCCTCAATTAATATTATTTTTTCATTGTCATTGAAAATATATGCTGAACAAGTTTACTCTTTAGTTTAAGGACAAACAACTTGAAGAAAAATATTAGTAACACCAATTAATATCAAATCGATTACCACTATTCAAACATTTAACTTTTGGAATAGCTGTAGCTGGGATAGTTCGTTTGAGTTAGATACTTATCTCAGGGAATTCTAGTCTATGGTTTGTATACCTTCTTTTTATATTGGCTGTAATATTTTTAGGGATTTATGTTAATCTAAGAAAGAAATATATTCGAATAGCATTAATCATAATAAATCATTTGATCATTTTAACTTCATTAGAAGTTGACAATTAGTGTTCTCCTCATTATTATTATCTAAGGGGAGCAAGTATGATGTGTATTCATCTTGTTATTTTATTGCAAGGTGAATTTATTGATGCATTCTTTTCCCTTATTTTTATAACTTCAATAAGATTGCTTACTATTTTTCTTTAGGATTCAATATTTCCTTATCCCTCTATTGTGATTGCCATAATCTTGATTGGGTATCTTTTGTACATTATTTACAAAAATAATTTGGCTTTTAGATCTTAATTTTAACTGTCTTGTTTAGATAATTAATGGGATTTAGTTATTACAACTCTAATCGATGATTCATATTTATTGATTAATTTCAATGAAAATAATTTAAGTTTTAAGTATAGAAAGTCAAATAAATTTTAAATAAATTGCGAAAATGAGCAAGAATTAAAATTATTTTTAAGAAACTCAAAATTAAATTAGGGAAAAAATAGCTTAGAATAATTCTTATTCAAAAGCATTTAAGATTGTATTTTTGAAGATACAAATTAATTGTTGAAATAAAGAATTCAAATTATTTATGAGAAAAAAGAATTAACTCTTTAATATTCAATATTTCTTGGATTTTAACCTTTAATTTTAATTTAGGTACTAAAATTTTCGAAATTCTAAATATTAGGAGATAAATAATTCGAAAAATTAGAAAACTCATATTAATACAAATATAAAAAGTTATTGAACATTGTTTATTATAGGTTGAATGGAATGATGAAGAAAAAATATTCTATAAAAATCATACATTCAATGTATAAACAGATTTTATATTTATACTTAACAGAACATTGTAGATAAAGTTCTCAGTAAGTTATATACACTTTTAAAATATAGAGTGTCTTAAAAAAAATAAAACTGATTTATAATTCTAGATCCATTTAAATAATGAATAGGATTTAAGAGTTAGTGATGGGAAATAAATCGGTTTTATGTTTAATACTGATAGATGTAATTGAGTAATTAACAACAAATAATATAAAAATTTCATGTTATAAATAAAATAAAAATGAATACTAAATTAAAATAGAAGGAATTATAAATGAGAAAGCATAGAGTATAATATTCAAGAGACTTAAATAATAAGAATGGTTTTTCAAATAATTCACGATTGATTATTCATGTAATATTAATTAAATAAATTTTATAGGTATAAAGTTAAATTTTTGGAGTGAACTGCCTGAAATAGAGAATTAATGAATAAATGATTGAATAATCTCAACTAACTTAAATATATTTTTTTATATTAATCTTACTAAAAAATGTGTATAAAGATAATAATTATTATTAGCATTAATAATGAATTAATAATTTTTCGGTAATTCAAGATTGGCAATACAAAGAGCTTAATAACTTCATTAATTCTTCACTTAGTCAGTGATATATGATCAATTTAAATATACAGCAAAAATGCCTTAATATCCAAAAATTGTATTTTTGTAATCAAATTCATTCATCAGAAATTTAGTAGAGAAGTATATTGATTGTTAAATAGTAGATAATTTGTTTAATATTCAATAATAGATGGATAGAAATCAAGTGGAGAAGTAAAATTTTATTCTATAAAAAGGATGGTGTGGCAAGATTAGCAGAATAAGTATAATTATAATCAACATAATCAAATGGTGCATTATTATTTGGATATCCAAACACAACGGCAGAAGCAGAACGGTATTTTTAAAAATAAATAAAAATAATTTTAGTCTAGATAGATTATTAGATGGAATAAATTTAGCAATTAGATTCAAACTATCAGAATCATTAGCTTAAAAAATTGCAGGATCATTTTTATCATGTTAATCATGTGGCAAAATTTTCAATACTAGTTTACCATTTATAACACCCACTCATCCAGGATATTTAAATAATGTATATATTACATAAATTTTAGTGTTAAACACCTAGTAAATGTGCATTAGAATCTAGTTCATCTCCAACTGATTAAGTTAATGCTGAAGTTGTTAATTATTATCAATAGAAAGTATAATTTTATTTAATTATTAAAAAAGGGGGCTTATCTTGAATATGAAATCAATGAAGAACATTTGTAGTATGATTCTTAAGAGTTTTTCGAAAAATTAGATAATGCTGTAGCAACACATATCAAAGTTTGATATTTTTAAGATATTAAAATATTAAAATATCATCAAATATATCCATATTAATTATATCATAATTAGATTCATTTTTGGTATCCTATTAGATTATTATTGATATATCAAATATTTCTCTTATAGAATGGCCATTAAATATATATTATTCATTTATAATTTCTTTTAATTTTTATTCTTTCTAAGGTATATTTGCATCAAGATTTATAATTTTATCTAAGCATAATAAGATTAATGAATTAAATAATAAAATTAAAATTAAAACATTCTTTAGTATTTCATCCTCTGCCTCTTCTTGTTGTAATTTAAATAAATTCGAAACACAATATTGCAATTTCAAATTATATTTTTATTAACAATGTAAGATATACAATATCTTACATTGAAAGCAAATTAAAAACAATATAAGAAGATATTAGTGTAATTAAGTTTAATGAAATTTTTAGAATAAATAATATTGTATTTTTAATATTGTAGTCCTTAATGGCAAAAGGTTTATTTCATCAAATTATCAAATTATGGAGATCAAAATCAAGCATTTCTGTTGAAATACTAAAAGGCCGTATTTCTGAATTCATATGTTTACCATTTGGTCATAATATAATTTGCTTCTGACTTTATGAATTCAATTTGTAATATATGATCATATTGAAAAAATTTTCATTTTACATAAAATCCAGAAAAATAAATTCTTATTGTCGGAGAATAAATTTCAAGATTTTAATTTATTTACTGCTTCCTTTGATGGATTAATTTCAGAATGATACTTCAAATAATAATAATAGGTAACTTATTATTAGAAAACTTTTAAGCAAATTATTAAATTACAAGATGATAAAAAAGAGATATTTTTAATATAATATATCCCTTTGGAAATTTTCTAAGAACCGTAAATGAAAATAAACAACGCAAAATTTTTGAATCTTAAGAATCTTAATAAACCTTTACATATTTTAAATCATCACACGTAAAATTTAACCGTGTTTTCATATGATTAATCAGAACTCTGATCCGAACATAAGTTTCAACAGAATTTTTTATCAGACTATTAGAGGTAAAATAACTTAAAGATAAAGCCACACTAAATAAAATATTTAAAGTTGTTTATACTTAGAAATACAAACTTCTTACAACAAGTACTGAAAAGACAGTGAGATTATAGCATTGCTTTCAATATTATAAATAGTACTTGAATTGGAGTTTGCTAATAGGTTTTAGAAGTATAAGAGAATGCTCTATTGTTAGATTGAAAAGGAAGGACGATTATGAGTTTAGGAAGAGATTGAACATATTTAGTGTGGAGATTGTGATATATTTATATATATAAATGCTAATTTACACAAGTTCAATATATCTGTAATTTTCAATAAAAAATACAATTTTTCTGGTGGAAGTGGGAATTTAGCAACAAAGTTAATTATACTACATCATAATCAATTCATTTTCATTATTATTAGCAATTTTATTAATTGGAATGGAAATAGTAAAGAAATAACCTACTTGTTTAAATCGAATAGGTGCCTATATATTATGTTTGTTAAACATAGAATAGCTGTAAAATGAGATTTCATCTATAAATGCAATTCAATCGGTAATATTTATAGTAATTTTAATTACATAATTTGAAGATGAAAAGAGATGGCATATAATAGGGAAACACTCAATGATATTTTATATATTTTTGAGAACACTGTTATAATAGTTTGATTAATTGTATGTAACATAAATAGTTGCATTTGTAATATATTAACCTATTAATCATTGGATGTTGCACTAAAATATGTCTAAGGTAGTAAATCAATAAAAAAAATAATCGCTGGATTTGAGTAAATGTTAATCTGAATTGGTTCCACAATAATGCAAGGATTGTTCAGAGTAGGAAGAGCAATGTAGTAGTAATTATTAAAGAAGTTCTAAAGTGTCACATAATATAAAATAGTTGAAATAGCTTTAGATAAATAATCCATTTTCTTAAGTTGCAGATATTGATTAAAAAACTATCTCATAATTTTAGAAACAAACATCGAATTTAGATGTTCCTCAAATTTGGAATTTGTTGCCTTTTGGTATTGCATTAATCAACAATAAATATGAAATATTGACCTACAATTAAAAATTATTATATTTTTTAAAACTATCAGATAATGATGGAAGAAACATCATCTTGAATTTAGATTTATTATTAGAAAGGTATATCAATTAAAATAATAAGTCCTGAATCATGGGAAAGTAAATCCGTAAATTAAGTCAGTTCACATTGTAGTCATCGTTAAAGCAGAAGATTTCAAACTAAAAGATAATTGTCCCTAATATCTAAAAGCAATTAAGAATAGAGTTCAATTAATCCAGATGGAGGAACTCATTCTCATATAAATGGTAATTTCGCTTTTATGGCTAATACAACTAATCAGATTAGAGATGAAATTCTTACTACTAAATCGAGATATCGTAATCTAGATTAATTACTTAAGAAATTCGCATAGAATTCTTACTCATTAACTAATAATGGAGATTGTTCATTTTAATCTATTGGATAAAATATTTAAATTATCAAAAAAGTATAAGATATTGGTTCTAAAAAATATTATTTTAAAATTAAAGTTTATGAATTAGACACAATAGGAAATAAAATTAATTATTTATTTGTGATAGAGAATATTACAAATAAAGAAGAATTACGTTAATTAAGTGTAAGATACAAATTTTAATAAGTCTTACTCAATTCTTTATGTCATGAATTAAGAACACCAATGAATAGTACCTTATCATAATTGAATGCATTATCATCTTTAATTTCTCCATAAATTAGAGATAAGAATCTAATACCAGCCATAATCTCAGCAAAAAAGTTAATGTTTTAATTAAATGATATATTAGACTATGCACAAATTGATTGTAAGAATTTTTATTTAATCAATTCTTAATTTGAATTAAGTGAAATATTTGATATTTTAAAAGAACTATTTGAATAGGAATGTAAAGAGAAAAATCTACAACTTTTTCTAAATTTTTAAAATATCAAAAATACTTAAGCAATATATAGTGATAAAGAAAGAATTATAAGAATCTTAGTTAATTTAATTGATAATTCAATCAAATTTACTAATGAAGGTGGATCTATCAATGTTACTGTTCAGTAGGAAAATCATTATGTAAACTTTTGTGTTTTCGATGATGGAGTAGGTATTTCTGACAAGATCTTAGCAACTATTAAAAGTAATAAAGATATTCAAATGCAAGATTAATTTGATGTAAAAGAAACAAAACTTGGTTTAGGTTTAAAAATTTCATAATAAATTGCTAAATTTTTATGTGTTGATAAAGAACTTAAAATTGAGAGCAAAGAAAAATTATTCACTAAAATTTAATTTAGGATAGAAAATAATTATAAATATTTAAAACATTTAAAATTTCCTTCATTTTAAGGATGTAATTTTAATATTAATTGCGATTGCATATAAATCTTAAATGTTGATGATGTTAGATTTAATCACAGTGCAATTGAAGCACTCCTTGCTTAATAAAAAATAAAGATGGAAAGTGCTTATAATGGAGAATAGGCCATTTAAATGATTAAAAAAAGATTAGAACAAAATTGTTGTAAAACATATAAATTAATATTCATGGATATTGAAATGCCTATAATAAATGGATATTAAGCATCTAAAGAAGTACTTTTAATTATATTCATTTAGATAACTAAAATTTTAGAACAACATAATTTAACAGACTAAACTGTTATTGTAATGTGTTCAGCCTATAATGGATATGAAAATAGTAATTAAGCTAAGACTTGTGGAATCAAAGAAGTACTCCCAAAGCCTATTGAACAAAAATAACTCAAACAATTACTTGACAAATATTTATTATGATTATATATTATAATTATTATATGGAAGTACTTATTAAATTATTGATATGCTAATTAATAATTTAAGACATCATTCAAATTAGTTTCATTTGGATCAACACAAATTGGTATTATGTTCTATTAAATGCTTTATCCTTATCAATATGCTTATTGCTAATCATAATTGATTTTTACAAAATATCAAAAATATATATTAAGGTAGGTTTGTATTTGATATGTGTAATCAATTATGAAACTTTATTCTAACAACCTATCAACCTTGCTAATGTAATATAATTATTCTATATATTACTGATTCTGTTTAAGAATTATGATAATGCAATCTTAACAAAATTAATTATACATCTTGTATTAATTTACATGGCAGTAAGAGCAATAGCTACAGAATCAGATTATTCAATTCCTTATTTGATATTGATTATCTTCTTATAACCTTTAAATCATTATATATTTTATACAATGAAGAAAAAATAATGCTCATAGTTAACTTAAACTTTAAATAAACAAATAATATAATAAACTTCATAAGAATAAATGTAATATATCTCCAATGATAGTAAAATTGATAATTTAAAATCTGATCTAAATGAAAGTGTAATCGTTAATATAATTAATTAAGATTTGGAAAATCCTAGATTATAATAAGAACATAAATCTATATGTACAAATAAAGAAACTATTTAAAAAAGAATAATCATTAAAAAATAACCTTTAAATATGTAGAAAACTAGAAAATATTCTTATCATTCATTTAAGTAAGATCCTTAAAAATTAGAAAGTCATGTGGATTCTAAATACTCTGATTTAGTATCAATAATGAGTAATCTTCCATTTGGTACAATTTTTGTTGATCAATAGTTAAACATTTTAGATTATAATTAAAAAGTGATCTAATAATTAGGAATTACAAATCCAAACAATATAATTCCATTTTTAGATGAAGCCATATAAAAGTATATTATTTCATTAATTATAAAAGAAGTGCTGAAATTTAAGAAATTCGTTCTATTAAAAAAATTAAAAAACCAACATTACCAAAGAAAATGTCACTGTTTTAATAGGCTTCCATTAATTTTTAAAAAAGGTAATTTGATGATTAGATTCCAGAAGTATCTTCTCAATTTTTTAATTTTGAATCCTAACCAAAAGTGGATAATGAAAGTTAGCAAGAAGGAAATTTAAAATCACTTTTTCTTAAATTTTAGAAAATTTATTAAAGCTAATAAACATAATCTTCTAGAGAAACATTTTAATTTATTTTAAGATTAGATTTAATGAATGGTTCTTAATATAAGTCTAAATATAAATGTTTAAAACTTAAGATTTTTTAAGTTGATGGATATTCAAAATTGGAATCTAATGTTTATTTATTTGTGTTAGAAAATATTACAAAAAGAGAAGAATTTAAATTACTTAATCATAAATATAAATTCTAATAAGCACTTTTAAATTCGTTATGTCATGAATTAAGAACTCCAATAAATAGTGTAATTTCTTAATTATTTGCATTAAAAGATGAATTAACAGCTGAATTAATAGAATCTCATCTAAATCCTGCAATTGTTTCAACTAAAAGATTATAATATTAATTAAATGATATTTTAGATTATGCTTAGATTCAATGTAAATCATTGAATCTTAATAAATCTTGCTTTTTATTAGAGGAAATTTTTGAATAATTGAAAGAACTATTTTTTTTTGAATGTATTTAGAAATAAATCTAATTAATAATAGTAGATAATCATTAAATTAGATTATATACAGATAAAGAACGATTACTTAGAGTTTTTATAAATTTAATTGACAATTCTGTTAAATTTACAAACAAAGGAGGAACAATAAAAGTTTCATCAGAAATATATAAAGATTAGTTTAAATTCATTGTCTATGATGATGGATAAGGTATAAAAGATGAAATCATTGAAAAAATTTAAGAATAAGCAGAAATTTTGTTTTAAGACTCTATTTAATATAATTCAAATAAATTAGGTTTAGGATTAAGAATATCAATGTTACTTTCAAAATATTTATATAAAGAGCAAAAATTCTAAATAGATTCGAAATTTAATTAATATACAAAAGTAAGTTTTCGATTGTCAACTTTAATAGAAAATTGTTCATTAGAATTTTAAATGGTTAGATAAATATCTCGGCTTGAAAAATATTGTGAATGTAGTAAAATATTGATTGTAGATGATATAATTTGTAATCATTTTGCTCTTTAAGTCTTATTGAAAAAATTTAAAGTGAAAACTGACAGCGCTTATAATGGTGATTCTGCAATTGAATTAGTAGAATAAAGATTATAATAAAAATGCTGTTAAACTTATCGATTAATTTTTATGGATATTGAAATGCCATAGAAAAATGGATTTCAAGCATCTTCGGAAGTATATAAAAATATCATCCATTTAGATATCATAAAAATTAAAATTAAAATCTCTTAATGACGAATGCATAATTACCATGTATTCTGCTTATTCAGGGGATGAAGATGTTGTAATAGCAAGTGAATGTGGAATGAAAGAACGAATTTCAAAACCTACAGATATCTAAAAACTAGAGCACATTATAAATAAGTATTTACTTTGATAAAATAATGTAATCTCTCAAATATTTATATCTAACAACGATTTTTATTTATTTATATTCCTTAATATAGTAATTACTATATACCTAATACCAATAATTAGAAGTTATTGATTCTAAGAATATTTAATTAAAGAAATTTCTAAAATAAATTGCATAGAAATTATGATATATAAATCTATATCATAGATTGGTTATTCAAAAAATGAAAGTTAACCTTATATACTTAAAATCGAAAGGAAAATAGATAGAATAACACTATGAATTTATTACTTATTCGATTCATAAAGAATTTGTATTTTATTGGTAAAATTTTTTTAATTCATTCCTATTTCTTTTATATAGATGAATTCTATTTTTATTATATTTTCTAATTATTGATTAACTTATTTCATGTACTATTTTCTTAATTTTCAAAATCTTAATTTATCAGACACTTTTTTTAACAAATAGTTGATCCTAATTTCTGATGAAATTTGGCCTATGGTTTTCCATCCTCATCAATTTTTTAACAAACTTGAAAAATTAATTCTAATTCTGCTCCTAGCATTTATATCAGTTATGAATTAAGAGTATCAAATTAAGATTCATATTTCTTTTTTGCAATCTCATCATATGCCTAAATTTGTTTTGTAAATTTTACATTATAAATTTACTAATAAACATAATTATTAAGAGGTTACGGCATAAAACTTGCTCTCTTCCTTATTCTAATTGATTCATGATTATTTTTTTCATCTTTATTTTTTCTTTTTAATTTCATCATCATTCTTGTATAAACTAACATATCTCCTTTACTTAATGAAATTATAAAATATCTATACCTATCTTGTGGTGTTTTGATTTGACTTTCAACCATATTTCTATCAATTTTAAGATCTTCTTCTTCTAATGTTATTAATGGTTTTGGGGTAAAATTAAACATGACCAATTATTTTGGAGTTAAAAGTATCTCTTTCAATTTATCAATTTCATTCAATCTAGTTAAAATAGAATAGATGTCAGATTGTTGAATAATCTAATCACTACAAATTTATAATATTTTTACTATGCTTTATTTATTAATTTGACTTTTGGGACATCCCTAAATAAATTATTGCAAGTAATAAAATTAAGGAAAATTTGGCAATCTAAATTAATAGGTTTTTTTTTCTCAAACATTTTTTACAATTAGACTTAAAAATAATCTAATCCAGACGAACAACATAATTTGGTTGATAATCCTTAAATAAATTAATATTAAACTTATTTCTTATTTAAATGGTTAACTCTAACTATCAGTGATATGAATTTCATTATCTGTAATAATTGTGTTTTAGTTAGGTTATTATAATTTAGAATTTTGTGGAATATTGCCACTATTCTAAGTTTCTGTAAGAATTTTAAGATTTTCTTAATAAATTTTCTTTTAATCTGAATCATCATTACTAAAATCATATATTTTATTTCCCAATTCAACCATATCTTTAAATAAACATAAGAATTACAATTAATACGATTGTAAATAGTTACTAGTAATCCAATAAAAAAGGACAAAATTTATAAAATACCCCCAATATTTGATAGTAATTCATCAAGTTTTTGATATTGTCTTTAAAATTTGGTTTTAAAAGGTTTTTTACGAAGTTATAACTTAACATAAGATTTTTCAATCAATTCAGTATACTCTTATTAAACATCAATGGAGTCTAATAAAAAAACTGTATTTTATTCTATAATGCTAAAAGGGAAATAAACTAATGAAATATACCTAATAGGGAGTAAACTTTCGTCATTAAGAAAATCATATTTAGTAACAAAAGCATTAACAGATTTAGTTAAATTAAGATTAAATGTAAAGGAAAATGAATCATCTAAAAAAGGTTAGATATAAGAATCTTTTGGTTTATATGGGTTTATAATCTATTAGAATATATGATATACTTAATTGACTGTAAGTAATTTAATTTTGTAAGTATGTTGAGAAGGTTCACGACAAATAGGTTGCCATATGTTTGATGAATTATTTTAACATTATACAACAGATAAATCAATAAAGTGAAATAGATTACCTATTAATTTAAATTAAAATTAGAATTACTTGATTAAGTTCCTCCAAGATGAATTTGAGTATTTATCCTAAAAATTTAATATTAAAATAATACGATGGGCATAGAAAATCTGATAATCGAAGTTATTAAAATTATTAAGTGAAATTAACATCATTTTACTTAAAAATTTAATAAAAACGATCTAGCGTACATGGAACTAATTCTAAAGACTAATTCTTTTTTTAAAAATCACCTTATGGATTTCGATAGTAAATTCTATAATATAAACAGAAGAGATTACTTTTACTATAAAGTGATGTTAAAAAAGGGGTTTTGAATAAAATTGTCTTATTCAATCTGAACTGCAAAAAAAAATATTGAGTTATTAAAAGAAATATTATCAATTTGGTCATCATACTCTGATATTGATATAACTTTTAACTACTCCTTTTGTATAAAAGTAATAAAATTTGTGATGAAAATGAGTATCATTATTCCCATTACACCAATAGAAGCACAACCTCCCATAAATGTTTTATAATATGATTGCTTATTAATTCTCAAAAAGACCATTTATCCAAAAATATCCATTTTAGCAATACCTTAAATAATCTATTATAGAGAACCTGCTAATACTGAAACCATAGACTAATTAATTTTGTTAATATTTATAATACTTATAGCCCTCATTGACGTAAGCAAATGATTTGTTTATTCTAAAGATTAGATAAGTATATTTGCAATAAAATTAGATTTCTATTAAAACCTGCTTCAAACAGTTAATTATTGCACAGAAACAGAATATTTAAGAGTAAGTAATTTAACATAATATGAAAATAAATTGTTTTATTCGCTTTATTTGAAAGAAACTATTATAAAAAGTTAGAAATCAAACAGCATAATGTATTTATTTTAGATTTTTTTGTTGTGCATGTGCCAATCTTAGAATTGGAGTTTTAATGAACTTATATGTATAGATGATTATCAAAAATTATAAACATAAGTATTAGTATTATATATATTCGTAAGAAAATATTCTGGAATAAATTAGCACATCTAACGTACATTAATTAAACTATTTTTATAGGAATGAGTTATTCAACTAAAGATGGATTAGGACAAAGCTAGACTGTCATTGTATTGCTGTTTTAGTTATGAAAATAAAAAATAAACTTAATTTAATTTAGTAGGATTATCTTCGATCATTCAAAACTGTTAGTTATAAATCAGTACCGGGAGTTTTGTAATAACTAAAATATGGAGTCATTGATTAGTATCGATAGTATCGATATAGTTTGATTGATGAAATCTGGAATTAAATAATGGGTAACCCTTGATAACAAAGAATTTGAAAAATTTTTAATTATGAGCATTGAAGAAATATTTAAAAATTATGTTATTGTACCAAATTTTAGATATTATATACCTTAATATAATAATGAGAGTTATGTGAAGATTTTAGAGATGATCATAAATAATCATTGGATCTTCCATAAAATATAACTTTATATAGATGTAATCAAAATATTTACACGACTGTTGTTGAAGATTAAAATATTTCAGTTGTTCTTTAAATTGATTATTTGTTTATCAGAAATTAAAGTTTTTATTTTTCACAAGTTAATGAGATTTTTATTGTGTCTTTAATTTGAATAGAATATTGGGTTAATTATATTAAAATGGAAGGATCTTTATATCTAGAAAAAATATAAAAAAAAGTCTTGCTTGGAAATTTCTGAATCTAAAAAAAACAAGAAACGATTGAATTATATAAAAATCTACAATTTTGTATATGGTTTACAATTTGTAATATTAATTGATTAGAGAGGAATATCATTTGAAAAGTTGAAGAAATATTTTTATATTTGTTAGATTTTCAATTATTGATTTAATTTTAAGTAAAATGAAAGGGAAGAAGTAAAAAGAAATATAAATTAATAAATACGTACATATTATTTATGTCATCTAATTAGAGAATCAATTTCTAATTTATTTAATAAATTGTATGATAAATCAGTGTAGTAAGAAATCTTTCTTCTCTTGCTTTTAATAGAAATGGTAACATTAAACTATAAGACATTTTGATCTTTAAGATGTATTCTAAATGATAACAAATTCAAAAGGAAAATGGCAAAAAGCACATCTTAAATTATATAAGTAGTTTTTATGTCTAAATGATGTAATAATTAAGATAATTATAACATAGAAAGAACAAGTAGATGTTTCAAACTACTAGATTTCTAAAGTAGAAAATAAAATTTTGGGATAAGGAATAAGGTTATAATCAATTGAATTATCACTTGAATTTTATGGTACTATAGATAAATGGTTTGAATACTTGAGACTCTATTGTNTCAGTACCGGGAGTTTTGTAATAACTAAAATATGGAGTCATTGATTAGTATCGATAGTATCGATATAGTTTGATTGATGAAATCTGGAATTAAATAATGGGTAACCCTTGATAACAAAGAATTTGAAAAATTTTTAATTATGAGCATTGAAGAAATATTTAAAAATTATGTTATTGTACCAAATTTTAGATATTATATACCTTAATATAATAATGAGAGTTATGTGAAGATTTTAGAGATGATCATAAATAATCATTGGATCTTCCATAAAATATAACTTTATATAGATGTAATCAAAATATTTACACGACTGTTGTTGAAGATTAAAATATTTCAGTTGTTCTTTAAATTGATTATTTGTTTATCAGAAATTAAAGTTTTTATTTTTCACAAGTTAATGAGATTTTTATTGTGTCTTTAATTTGAATAGAATATTGGGTTAATTATATTAAAATGGAAGGATCTTTATATCTAGAAAAAATATAAAAAAAAGTCTTGCTTGGAAATTTCTGAATCTAAAAAAAACAAGAAACGATTGAATTATATAAAAATCTACAATTTTGTATATGGTTTACAATTTGTAATATTAATTGATTAGAGAGGAATATCATTTGAAAAGTTGAAGAAATATTTTTATATTTGTTAGATTTTCAATTATTGATTTAATTTTAAGTAAAATGAAAGGGAAGAAGTAAAAAGAAATATAAATTAATAAATACGTACATATTATTTATGTCATCTAATTAGAGAATCAATTTCTAATTTATTTAATAAATTGTATGATAAATCAGTGTAGTAAGAAATCTTTCTTCTCTTGCTTTTAATAGAAATGGTAACATTAAACTATAAGACATTTTGATCTTTAAGATGTATTCTAAATGATAACAAATTCAAAAGGAAAATGGCAAAAAGCACATCTTAAATTATATAAGTAGTTTTTATGTCTAAATGATGTAATAATTAAGATAATTATAACATAGAAAGAACAAGTAGATGTTTCAAACTACTAGATTTCTAAAGTAGAAAATAAAATTTTGGGATAAGGAATAAGGTTATAATCAATTGAATTATCACTTGAATTTTATGGTACTATAGATAAATGGTTTGAATACTTGAGACTCTATTGTATTTAAACTAATTTTACATAAAAATATTAAATTTAAAAATTAGTTGGAGCTGGAACTTATGGGAAAGTAATAAACATGAATATATTATAGGTCTATCGTATAAAAAACAAGATTGATTAAAATATATATGCTGTGAAGACATTTGAGAAGCAATTATTAAATTCATTTGATGATTAAGAAGGTTTAGTAAAGGAGATTGGAATAATAAGAACTTTAGATCATCGAGGGGTAATAAAACTTCATGAAGTTTATGAAAGTGAATAATTCGTTTTTTTGGTTTTTGAATTCTTATAGAATAATAGCCTTTATCATACTCTTGAGAGAGGAGTCATTTTAGGAGAATCTTAAGCATATAATATAATCAAGGATCTACTTGAGACAGTGTTATATATTCATGAATAAGGCATTTTACATAGAGATTTAAAACCAGATAATATATTATAGAGAAATGACACTTAAAAATACGTTATTATAGATTTTGGATTAGCTGATTTATATAGAGAAGATGGATAGTATTTATTTAAAAAATGTGGAACTCCAGGATATTGTGCACCAGAAATACTATGGAATTAAAATTATGATTACAAAGTGGATGTATATAGTCTTGGAGTGATTCTGTATTAAATGTTAACAGGATTAAATCCCTTCTATTCTAAAAACTATGATGACAGAGTTATGCTTAACAAAGAGTCTAAATTTGATTATGGTAAAGTTAAAGTTTCTTATGATGCTCTTGATTTATTATAAGGAATGTTAAACAGAAATCCTTAAAAAAGATTGAGTGCAAAAGAGGCTTTAAATCATCGTTATTATTTGTAATAGTAAAAACAATCTTATCATGTACCTTCAATTTCTCATCTATCTGATACACTTATGAATACAGGAAGTTAGATATCATCACCTAGATTAGAGAGCCATTTCAACTTTTTTGAAATTGGGGAATTTTCTAGTCGATATACTAGTCCATTACTTTCTCCTAAATTAAGTCCAAGATTTGATGAATTAGATAAGGAAATTTTAAATCATCATAATATTTACAGTTGTCATATTTCTAATTTGAAATTACCTAAATAACAAATCAATCATGAACAATTCTTAGAGAATTTAATGTAAAAATAAAAGGTTTGATGATTTCAATCTAAAATCTATTTTAACTTGACTTTTTTTTATCATTCAATAATTTATTATATCAATTTAATGCTCCATGAGTATGATCTTATTGATCAAGAAACTTTAAAAAGAGATCAGTAACTGAATGGTTTGTTAATCAAAATTAGAGAAGACATTATGAAAGGCTATGTTGTCGAAGTTAAAACAAAAACTCAAACTTATCATTAAGTAAAAATATTGTTCAAATTAGTTAGAAAATAATTCAAAATAAAATTCAGGAGTCTCATCTATTAATAATTCCTTAATAAAAGATCCAAGATTAAATTTAAATGAAATTGATAAAATTAAAAACATAGATGAAACCATTTTATAATCATAACGTGATAATCAGTAAATTATTCGATTGACAAATTCAATAAGTTANTTATATATTCATGAATAAGGCATTTTACATAGAGATTTAAAACCAGATAATATATTATAGAGAAATGACACTTAAAAATACGTTATTATAGATTTTGGATTAGCTGATTTATATAGAGAAGATGGATAGTATTTATTTAAAAAATGTGGAACTCCAGGATATTGTGCACCAGAAATACTATGGAATTAAAATTATGATTACAAAGTGGATGTATATAGTCTTGGAGTGATTCTGTATTAAATGTTAACAGGATTAAATCCCTTCTATTCTAAAAACTATGATGACAGAGTTATGCTTAACAAAGAGTCTAAATTTGATTATGGTAAAGTTAAAGTTTCTTATGATGCTCTTGATTTATTATAAGGAATGTTAAACAGAAATCCTTAAAAAAGATTGAGTGCAAAAGAGGCTTTAAATCATCGTTATTATTTGTAATAGTAAAAACAATCTTATCATGTACCTTCAATTTCTCATCTATCTGATACACTTATGAATACAGGAAGTTAGATATCATCACCTAGATTAGAGAGCCATTTCAACTTTTTTGAAATTGGGGAATTTTCTAGTCGATATACTAGTCCATTACTTTCTCCTAAATTAAGTCCAAGATTTGATGAATTAGATAAGGAAATTTTAAATCATCATAATATTTACAGTTGTCATATTTCTAATTTGAAATTACCTAAATAACAAATCAATCATGAACAATTCTTAGAGAATTTAATGTAAAAATAAAAGGTTTGATGATTTCAATCTAAAATCTATTTTAACTTGACTTTTTTTTATCATTCAATAATTTATTATATCAATTTAATGCTCCATGAGTATGATCTTATTGATCAAGAAACTTTAAAAAGAGATCAGTAACTGAATGGTTTGTTAATCAAAATTAGAGAAGACATTATGAAAGGCTATGTTGTCGAAGTTAAAACAAAAACTCAAACTTATCATTAAGTAAAAATATTGTTCAAATTAGTTAGAAAATAATTCAAAATAAAATTCAGGAGTCTCATCTATTAATAATTCCTTAATAAAAGATCCAAGATTAAATTTAAATGAAATTGATAAAATTAAAAACATAGATGAAACCATTTTATAATCATAACGTGATAATCAGTAAATTATTCGATTGACAAATTCAATAAGTTAATCTCCTCCTAAAGTTAAAAGTGATATTTTTAAACCAATTGTCTTAGACTAACATTTATAATCTGAATAAACATTTTTATCTATTCCAAGTAAACCAGATATTCTTTAAAATCCTAATACATTTAATAAACAATTAGATAATATTGAAGCTTAATAAGATTCAGGTAATTGTCTTGATTTCATTAAAATACTCAAAAAAATTTAATCAGAAATTAAAGACTCCATGTTAAAAAATATTCATTCCAGTAATACATTAATATCTTATGGAATACAAATGGTTAGAACTTTATGCTTATTAACTAAATTTTATAAATAAGCTGCTGATTTTACTCATGCAATAAGGTCATTAAAATAGATAAAAAGAATGTTTAAAATATCTGATCCCAATTTAATAGGAAAATTGAAAATAGAATTAGGAAAATTATAATTCCTCAATTAATCCTATCATCTTGCTCAAAAATCCTTTTATTAAGCACTTTTACATTATGAATAATTATAATGGAAACAAGAAATTGCATACATCTTACTATGGATGGCTAAAATAAATTCTTGGACAAGTATTTTTATAAACTTATATTCCAGAGAATTTTGAATCTTCTAAAAAGATGGTTTATGGAGCTATTGCTATTTTAAAAGAGTATCTTCCAGATGATGATGAATAAATAGCAGAAGCTTATGTTGTTTTAGGAGAAAATAGTTACATAGCCAAAAATTCTGATTAAGCATTGGAATTTTTAATGAAAGCTAAATAAATTAAGTTTAAGAAATATAATACATACAAGCATATCAGATTTGTAGAAGTATATAATTTAGTAGCATTGACTTATGGATTAGTTCCAGACATTTAATAATCTCTAAGTTACTTCTTATAAGCTTTATAATGTTTTGAGTACTCCATATTAATAATATAGATATAATTGTGTTCAGCGAGCATAAATTCTCAATAATCTTGCTGTGATATATTAATCAATAGGCAACACTGAAAAGGCTTAAAAATGTAATTAAAAAGCAAAACAAATTTATTCTTCATTTTCACAAAATAAACATCTTTAAATTGATAGATTAATCTAAAATTAAACTTTTCTATTTTAATAATAATAATGAGATTTATGAATATATTATGTCTATTTATTTTAGTTTATAAAACATTAATATACATTTTAAATAATCTAAAAATGAAATTAATAAATTCAGAAGCATTTTCTGTGTACATAACCTGTACCATAATCTTGAAATTCATTTTTAGTAATAAACATAGGTTAAAATTAACTTAAGGATGCCAAAATACTGCCACCCATCCAAACTGAATATTTTCTTTCAGGAGGTTCTTATACATAAATTTTCATTGTAGAAGGTGCTAATGCAATAACTTCTTTTTGTAATCGATCTTTCATTCCTTTAAACATCGTGCTACCTCCAGCTAACACTATATTTCCATAGAGATCCTATTCATAAACAAAATTAAGTACTTTTTTAATATCAACATCACATTTCATAATTGATTAAAATGTTAATTCATGAATTCCTTAAAATTCTTTACTTAATTTTATAGGTTGAAATAATGCTTCAGGACATTTGAATAATTAACTACCCAGAGTGATATCATTTCCATCAGGCATTCTATGAATTATTTCTTTTCCTTAGTCTTAATAGACTTTCATTTCAGCTTCAAAATCTCCAACAATATAGCACTATTGGAATAGAAATAATAAGATATACTTTTTTTTCTTTAGTATCTTTAGCATTTTCTCTTTCAGTTTCTTTTTGATTAGAAAATTCTTTTCCTTATTCTGCCATAAGTTTAATTAGATAATCAGTTAAATCTCTTCCAGCAAGATGAATCTTCATAACTGCATGAGATAAAGCAAAGCCTTCATAAATGGGAACAGTTTCTGTAACAGCATCTCCAGAATCTACAACAAGACCAGTTGTTTTTCCAGATGCACATAAAGCGAGAACTTATTAAATAGCAAGGTAGAATGATGGAACATTAAATTTTTCAAACATAATTTCCATCATTTTTTCTCTATTGGAAGCAGGATTGAGAGGTGGTTCAGACATCAAAACAGGATGATCTTAAGGTGAAACTCTTAATTCTAAAAATGATTATAATGAGTAACCATTATAATAAGCATGATGCCAAATTTTTTCCATATCATCCCAGCGAGTAATGATTCCATGATCAATAGGATAAGTTACATTTAAAACTCTAGAGTATAGTGAAAATGGAAATACTCTAATTTAGAATTGACTTCATCTCCAATATAAGTATCCTTTTAATCCATCCCAACCATTTATCCAGGCTATTTAGGTCTGATTAGAATGATATAATGATATATGTACTTTCCAAGAACAGTTTAAATCGTAGCTCTTGGAGCATCATCTCCTGAGATACCTGCTTTAATATATCCAGATCCATTGTCTATTACTACAACAGGGATAACGTCGTCCATTTTAATTAATAATATTTATAGATGTGGGTAATGGGGATTTGTTTATATAATTAAATTTAAATATGAAGCTGAAGAGGTTTCTATTGAGATACTATCCTCCTGGAATAATTTTAGAGTATATTAGAAGTAATGGAGAATAGGAGACAAAGTCTATAGATTTATTAAATCTTAGCAATGAGTATGAATGATTATATATGGATAGCACTGATGTAGATCAATTGGTTGATGAAATAGTAATGGAGGAACCTATTATATCAGAAAATAGAAAGCCATAATTAGCAGCATTGATTCGAAGTATGAACACAATTAATATAGAACTAATTGAGAAGATAGAATCAAAAAAAGAACAATCATTTGAGTTATTCAAGACATTGAAAGCACATATGTTACCATTAACAAATTGTGCATTCAATAAAAATGGTGATAAGTATTGATTACACTATGTAGATTCATTACAGGTAGTTATGATAGAACATGTAAAGTATGGGACACATTCACAGGAGAATAATTAGTCTCTTTGGAAGGTCATAAGAATGTAGTATATTGTATAGCATTCAATAATCCTTTTGGGTATTATAAAATAATCAAATCATTATAGTGATCGTGTAGTAACAGGTTCATTTGATAAAACTGCTAAAATTTGGGATGCTAATTCAGGAAAGTGTTTATAAACTCTAGTAGGTCATCAATATGAAATAGTATGCATTTCATTTGATCCTCATTCTTTACTTGTAGGAACAGGATCTATGGATAAAACTGCAAGATTATGGGATGTTGAATCAGGTAAATAAGTAGCTAGATTGGATGGACATGAAGGTGAAATTGTTAGTTTGCATTTTAATTCTGATGGTGATAAATTACTTACAGGTTCTTTTGATAAAACTGCTATGGTAAATACAGATTATATAAAATCTAGATTTGGGATGTAAGATCTGGAGAATGTATTCATATTCTAGATGAACATACAGGAGAAATCTCTAGTACTTAATTTGAATTTACAGGAGATTATTGTGCTACTGGATCTATAGATAAGTAATCTTTTATATTTTCATATTTAGAACTTGTAAAATATGGGATATTAAAACTGGAAAGTGTATTGAAACTCTTAGGGGACATCAAGATGAAGTTTAAGATATCTGTTTTAATTCTACAGGTTTCTATTTATTTATTTATTATTCTAAGGAACTAGATTAGTTACTGTTTCTGCTGATGCAACAGGCAGACTCTACAATGTCCATTCTGGATAATGTATTGCTTAACTCTTAGGACACAAAGGAGAAATCTCTAAAGTTGCATTTAATCCATCTGGAAATAAAATCATTACTGCCAGTGCAGATAATACTTCAAGAATTTTGTAATCTTTATACTTAAAACTTTCAGCTCAGAAACTGGAGAGTGTCTTCAAGTCTTACAAGGTCATACTGATGAAATATTTAGTTGTGCATTCAATTATGAAGGAGATATCATTATCACCGGATCTAAAGATAATACATGCAAAATTTGGAAAGAAGTTAATCTTTAGGTTAAAAAATGACTCTTTCCATATATCTATATATATTTATCAAATCTTCTATGGATGCGATACTCTTTTACTATCGCATTTCTCTTTACTTATTCCATTCTTCTATTACATTAGTTGTTAAAATAATAAAAATTACAAAAATATAATGAAGAGAAAATATCTATCAATAAAAAAAATCGATAACTAAAATTAGATATATAAATCTTTTAGAAAAAACTATTTAGTATTTAGAATTTGTAACTCTTTGTTCATTTTCTTTAAATGCTTTAATTTTTGATTAAAGAGAATCAATAATTTCTAAAAATATTTGATATTCAAAAGGATTTTATGATAATTATTATTATAATAAAATTGATGCTATATAATTAATTAAATTATAAATGAATGACACCATATAAGAATCTGCTTATTTACTCAGCATAGCATATCTACTATTGGGGTTGATTTTTATTTTGCTTGCAATATACAGTATACCATGTCTTTGGAAAGCTTGGAAATGCAGACAGTTCTTTCCAAAAATATTTTATTTGTTTATTTTAGCAATTTGTTGTGATTAAGCAGCATATTAGCTGCTTTATTTATATTAGGTATTTAAATCTATTTAAAAGGTAATCACAGCAATAAAACAAGAAAAATATGAAAACTCATAAACAGAATCATTCCGCATAATTTTTTTTCAAACCATATACATCCCAGATGCAATTTTTTTCGTAATTTATTTTTCATTATTTTGGCAATTCTTAATAATGATGCATCATGGTAGAATAAAAACCGGAAGTATTTCAGTTGGTATAAAAATTATTAAAATAAGGTAAAAGAAATTGGAATCCGGAACAAGCTAATTCTAAAGTCCGTTTAATATTATATTTATATATAATAAGCTAAGGAATTGTAATTTGGTAATTTTTGGCTTAAGAATTGTCACCTAAAGCTATAATGATTTGTGACATAGCTGTTAATGCTTCTGTACCAATAATTGTAGTAATAATGGTTTTGTACTTAAATATAAAATTTTCTGGATCACCTTTTGTTTCCAATAGCTATGAGAGGAGTAACAATAAAATACAATAATTATTGTGGATTTGGATTTTACTTAGAATTCCATAATTAGTTGTTAATGTAGTTGTAGTAATTTATGATGAAGATTTAATAAATTTGATGAGTGGAAAATTATAAGTAACTTTTATTGAATAATTATTATTAATATTGTTTATAGTTGGAGATATTATTATTGTTTAAATTATTCCAGTTTTAATGGCAATGTCTACTGAATTTTTGAGAGCATTATTAGCTGATCACAACAGAATTAATTAATTATAAAGTGTAGATACTTTTTAAGGAGAATATAACACTTAATAAATAGAACAAGGCAAATTCACTCTTTAAAATAATAATAGATAATAATCATTATTTTCTGGATTAATATTAAGTGATTTATAAATTTGTGAGATATAATCATTTAGAAGATTTAATGGGTTTGGTGAAATTAAAATTGCAACTATAAAAAATGATGCTAAAAAATATGCAGTTAGAATTATTTAATTTAAAGAATTAAGTTCTTTCATAATTGATGAAACAAAACAAGAAATATCATAAATCAATGATATTAGAAAGGGTTATAAAATTCTTTGGTTTGATTTTAATGAATCAAATATGTATTTGTTATCAAAATTCTAACCAAAATTAAATTTAATTAATTTTATTCAAAAAAATTCAGATAATTTAAATGCACAATTAAAAGATATAAAAATGTCTTATAACAATAAATAAATATTGATTCGAATTAATATTGCTACTGATTTAATTAAAGCTATCCAAAATTTACATGATCAAAATATAATTCATGGACACTTAAATTCTAATAATGTTTTGGTTTCTGAGAAATTTAAAATTAAAATTGTAGATTATGGATTAAGAGCTATTAAAAAATATGCTAGTTTGGTGAATGGTTATTGCAATAAGAATGGATTTACAGCACCTGAATGTTTAAATGAAAAAGGAAATGTAGTTTTCTATTCAGCCATCAAAGAATCAGACATTTATTCATATGGAATGATTCTCTATCACTTATTTACTGAAACCATACCATTTTAAGTAATTATTTTATTTTAAATAGAATATACCTCTAAAAGAACTAGTATAATTAGTTAAAGAATAATAATCTAGACCAAAAATACCAGAATCACTTAATTCAAATATTGCAACTTTAATAAGATATTGTTGGTAATCAGATTCAGTTAAAACACCAAATATCAGTTAAATTCTAACAACTTTAAAATAGATATCAGAGAGCTTAGAATGAAAACTTATATATATATTCTATATATAGAAATAATAATATATTTGAATATTTTCAAGTCAAATAAACTAAATTCATAAATCAAGAATAAAAGAAGAGAAAAAAAATCTTTGAAAATTTATAATATCATATTTTCTATAATTTTATTTTAAAGTTAATTTTAAAATAGGCTTCATTTAAAATGAAATAGCTTTCTAAATTTGAATGATGGAAATTTAATTAATTGTTTTGCTTTATAATTAATTTCTTCAGATTATCCTTGTCAATCCTTAAAAGTTTCATGTTCCTTATAAACATTTTTGCAATTAACCAAATTCAATTTCTCTTAAATTTGAAGAAGATTGTTAGAAAAATAAGATATCATAATGTAAAATTAAAAAAAATTAATTCTGCATTTTTAAATAAAGTGAACAAATCATACAGACAAGATGGGTTTCATAAATGAAGTACCTTTATTTTAATAACTATTGTCGATTGCTTCAGAGTATTATTGTTGAAATATTTAATAAACTAAAAAGGTTTATGTTTTTGGTCTAACTTTTTGTCAAAATAATCTTTTCTTTTTTTATAATTTTACCTTTATTTGTAAATAAGCTATGATAGCAATTCAATAATTTAACAATAACATTACCTACCATTATCTAACAGTCTAAGATTTCCTTAGAAGCTGTAGCTTCTATTAAAGATGTTCTTCTAAAAGGATAAATAAAAAGGATGTTTCTCTTAAAAGTTTTTTTTTTGCATTCCATCCTATAATTTATACATTATCAAGGTTTGTTTAACAGTTATCATAATTTCCAAGATTTTCAAATAATTTTATTCTATTAGAATTTATAATAAATAAGATGAATCAAAGAATTAATTAAAAATGATAAGTTATCCACAATTAATTTTTAGCATAATTATTTTATTTATAAAAATACATGTTTTATATCGCCTTATCAGTTACAAAATGAAGATTTAATTAATTCATATAATTGTTTACTTAGCCTAGAATTTATTAAGTTTTGATTTTGCATTTAAAGTTTAAAAGATTAGTTAAAACCAAAAAGATGCTGCACATTAATTTTTTATATCTAAGTATTTTATTTATTGAACTATTTGGTATGAATAATTTAAAGAATATTAATTGGTTAATTAGTTTAATCCGATTAATTATGGACAATCATTTTAATTTTTCTTTATATTTATATAATGATTTAACCTGCATTAAATTTTAATTCTTGCTCCTACAAAATGTTATTTTCAAAATGAAAATCATTATTAATTTTAGCTCTCCTTATTTCAACATATATGAAGAAAATCATTAAATCTACTTGGTATGAAAAATTAAATTTCACATTCTTTATCAGGTCTACTGAAACCTCTTTTTAAATATTGATTGAATAATTAATCGAACTAGGTATTTCTTAAACATAAATGAAATTTCATTAAATTCAAAATTGATATAGGCCGCTTTTTTGGTATTTCGTCTGGCCTAAAAGTCCATGAGAGCTGAAATAAAAAAAAAATACTTCCAACTAANTTTTATTCTATTAGAATTTATAATAAATAAGATGAATCAAAGAATTAATTAAAAATGATAAGTTATCCACAATTAATTTTTAGCATAATTATTTTATTTATAAAAATACATGTTTTATATCGCCTTATCAGTTACAAAATGAAGATTTAATTAATTCATATAATTGTTTACTTAGCCTAGAATTTATTAAGTTTTGATTTTGCATTTAAAGTTTAAAAGATTAGTTAAAACCAAAAAGATGCTGCACATTAATTTTTTATATCTAAGTATTTTATTTATTGAACTATTTGGTATGAATAATTTAAAGAATATTAATTGGTTAATTAGTTTAATCCGATTAATTATGGACAATCATTTTAATTTTTCTTTATATTTATATAATGATTTAACCTGCATTAAATTTTAATTCTTGCTCCTACAAAATGTTATTTTCAAAATGAAAATCATTATTAATTTTAGCTCTCCTTATTTCAACATATATGAAGAAAATCATTAAATCTACTTGGTATGAAAAATTAAATTTCACATTCTTTATCAGGTCTACTGAAACCTCTTTTTAAATATTGATTGAATAATTAATCGAACTAGGTATTTCTTAAACATAAATGAAATTTCATTAAATTCAAAATTGATATAGGCCGCTTTTTTGGTATTTCGTCTGGCCTAAAAGTCCATGAGAGCTGAAATAAAAAAAAAATACTTCCAACTAAAAAGCCTCTTATCAATTCGATTAATATAATTTTTATTTCAATCTATTTTACAGGAGAAGATAACAATTAGTCTTAGAAAATGAATTAGAAAAAATTGCTGAAAAATAATGATGTAAGATGCAAGAACATTTTTGTTATATCTTAATAAATTTATAATTTTTATCAATCTTTAAAAACATATATACAATAATTAGAGTTATTATAATGAATTTGTGGCATATTTTTTTTTTAGTTCATTAATCTTAAAAACTATAAAAACTAAAAATCTATTATTTATTAAATCGATTTGATATTTGAATCATTTCATTCTATCTATACAACTTTAGGAAACTAGTTAAATTTGTTAATTTTACCTTATAAGAATCAAGGCAAGGTTAGCTTGTTGTATATTATTATGTATTTCCTCCTGAATATTGAGGTCCTCTTAATTTTAGAACTGTATTATTATTCATTCTAATTGATCGTATTTCAAATGGAATCTCTGATTAAAATTAAGTCTTATCTCCTTAACATATTTAAAATAATTATCCCTGATAATTGCATTCCTCATAAAAATCCACGCAAGGTATCAAAATTTCTAGAGTAAAATTTCTAAATCCCCATTATTCTCATCATAAGCTAAAAAAATACCATCATCAAGACCTTAATCTAAATGATTTTAAAATTTAATTTTTAACTCAAATTCAGATATTTTCATTTCTTTTTCATAATAAAAAGGCATATCCTTCCAAGTAGTTTTTCCACACAAATTTTGATTCCCATCTTAATCAGCTAAAATCTTTTTAAAAATTATATTATCATTAGCAGAAACTTCAAATCCTTCACTATCCCAAGAATCAATTTTATAAAATGTCACAGAAAATCTTAACAATTAATGAGGAGGAATTTCAAATGTTTTCTCTACAATCTAGTCTAAAATATAATTTCCAATAATTAAATTTCCTGAACAGTCGAAAACATTTCCAGGTAGAGACCAACCATGATTCTCACAATCATTCCTATTCTAATCTATGCAATTTTGATATAGAATTATGGGTTATAAAAATAGTATTTGAATAAAGGAAATAGATCCTAAGGGCATTTTAATTAATATTAATTTTAATTTTTAATTTTAAAGAACGCTTAATCACAAAAATTATTTATACATTGATTAATTTGTAGGGTGATGGTTATAATATTTTAAAGTTTTGTAAGTTAGAATGTATTCTTTTAAATTAAAAAGTTGTCTATTTAAACTTTTAAAAATTAAAGTTATTTAGTATTATAAATTATACACTCAAAATTACAGATGTAGTGATAAACCACTTATTTTTAATTTGATAATTTTTTCAATTTTAAATCCCGGTATTTTTTTAAGTTTAGTTTAATTAAGTCAGATCAGATAAATTAAATAAAAAATAATTTATTATATTATTTTAATGGAACTTATTTATCAGTATTTTAGTATTTATAAACCAGATTAACTAAAGAATGAGTAAAAAACTTATTAAGATGTATTTAATTATCAAATTATTTTTTTAGGAACAAAAACAGACAAAAAATAAAAATATTGTGCTTTATATTAATTTTCTTCTTAATTTAAATCTTTATCCTTTTAACAGTCTAATCACTCGTTTCACCAGAAAAAAGTTTGCTATAATTTCATACACTAATCATTCATTTAACAATTATGTTTTTAAAAATAGCCTTAAAAATAATAAAATTAATTTATATATTTGCGTATGAACTCAATTTGCCTATCATTTAATTTGGATTTGATTTTGTTAAATCTTCATTGATTATAAAACAAAGAAAAATTCTTTATTTTAGTTTTATTAATTTTCTGTTTATATTTAAGAACTTTGAGTTGAGAATAAATTCCCAAAGACTTGAGAATTCTTATTAATCAAATCATTTTTAGCCTTATTTTAATTTTTACTTGTAATTTTTACTTTCTATTTCCTATTCAAACCTATTCACATTTATTTAACAAATCATTTTCAAAAATAAAGAAATGAAAATATGCAAAAAATATCTTAAATAAATTGATAAGCATGGGATATTTATATTTTTATTCTATTAGTCTTTTGAAGTAAAACATTAGAAGGATGTCCAAAAATCCATAATAAAATCTAAATTAAGAAATATAGCTTCAAAATTTTCTGATAAAAAATAATAGATTAGAATTTGAAATAAATTTCTAAAAAAGAAGTGAGAACCAAAAACTAGTAAATATCATAAACCGGATGAATTATAAAGGTCAACGATTAAATTATAACAACAAATTCAAACAAAGTAATCATTATAACTTCATATTCAATCGATTTCTTTACATCATCTTGATCAAAAGAGAGTAATTGAATAATTAATTGACCAAAAAATAAATTGAATTATTAGCTCAAAGTATAAGATATCAAAATATTGAAAAAATTAATGTAAATAGCTTTTTTAAGGGCTTATCAAGATATCCAGAAATTAAAGATTGAAAACACATAATTGTAAATACATAATGGGTAGATTGTATTAATAAAAATAATACTAAGTCTTAATATATAACAAATATAGGCGTTAAAAATAATCATTTAAATAAATTAAAAAATGAAATAATTGTTAAGAAGAATTAGATCTATAAAAGCAATGCTAATTCTGAAATTATAAATGCAAGTAAGATTCAAGTTAAGAAATTGCAAATAGCCATTGACTCAGAAAATACTTAATTTGATATATAAATTACATTATTTTAGAGGGAAATTTAATTGAAAAATTAGGAAATTTTAAAGGTTTGAAATACATAATGATTCAAGTTAGTTCTTAAAATATGACTAAAATATTTTAAAATATTACATTTTCTCAGAGAAATATGAAATAAACTAATTTTTATTAAGAGAGTTTTTAAAATGACTAAATTTCATTTTTTATCAAATTAATTTATAATGAAACAATTGTATTGATAATTCTTTTTAGGAATTATTTTTAATTGTCAATTGTTATTTGTAAAAACGAATCATTTTATTAAATAGCTTACAATTGTCATGAAAGCAGAATTAGAATTTGCATTGTTAAATGCTGGCAATTTGTTTTGTTGTCTAGGTTTGTCACTTATAGCTCCGTTTTATCCAGCATATGCACATAAATTTGATGTTTCTAATTCCCTCTTAGGACTTATCTTTGGCTTAAATCCAATAGGAGGAATGCTCGCTTCTTTAATAGTTGGTAAACTATTGAATCATGTAAAATTTAATCATTCATTCTTAGAAAAACTAAACAACATTGTTATGTTTAGGTCTTATTATTCAAGCTATTGGATAATTTTAGTTTCCGCTTCTCTATTTTGTAAATTAAAAAGAGTATTTCTTAACACTTTCATTCATAGGGAGATTTTTAAGTGGATTTGTAAATATATTAAAATAACTTTAGGGTGGTTGTACATTTTTAACTCCATTTTATGCTTCAATACCTTAGAAATTTCCAGAAACGACAGATTAAAAAATGGCGATAGTTGAATTTTTCTCTTCATTCGGCTATTTGGCGGGAGCAGTTGCTGGATCGATCTTATATGAAATAGGAGGATTTTCTTTTCCGTTTTTGATATTTGCATCTGCTTCAATTATAATTGCCTTATTGATTAAATTAAGCTTTTCAAAAAGTGATAAGATACTTCCTTAAAAATAAATTGAAAATAAAATAGGATATTTAACAATTCTAAAAGATTTATCTATACTTACATCATTTAATGTAATTTTTTCAATGTGCATTGCGTATTCATATTTTCAACCAATTTTTGCAATTTTCTTTTAAGATTATTTTGATGTTTCACCAATAGATTCAGGATACTATATGTCTGTAGCTCCATTAGCATATTGTTTTGGAGCTTTTCTTATTTCAAAGATTAAGCTTCATAAATAAATAACTATTTTAATAGGAATAAGTGTAGTTGCTATTTCAGAATTTATGATGGGACCGGACCCCTTATTTGGCATCGAACCATAATTACATTTGACTACTATATCATACTTTATATTTGGATTCTTTATAGCTATACCATATGTATTAACACTTCCATCTATTACTGAAACTTTAGAACTTCGTTTTGAAAAAAAAGATCACGATAAATGTATCTCTTTAGCATCTGGATTATTTAATTCAATTCTTTCAATTGGTGAATTTTTGGGACCATTCCTATCCGGATTAATTGCAGAACATTTAGCATTTCCAAGATCATGTAGTATTCTAGGGTTGTATTTAATATTAACCATTATTTTATACATTCCTAGTTTCATTTAATTTAAGGCTAAAGTTTAAAGAAAAAAAGTATTAACTCTTGATGAATAATTATGAATATATTTATATTTTTCATGATGAGATTAAAATTGAAAATCTCTTTAATTAAATATAAATAATATAAACAAATTATTATTTTTATACATATTTTTTCAAAATAATGAATAAGGGTTGGGAAATTGATGAAGATTAATCTTTGGATCACTTTTTATCTTTAACTGAGAATTTAGTTATTAAAAATTAAGCTATTGAAAAACCTAATATCTAAACAAAGGTTTCTCCAAAATCTAAAATGCGATTTAGAACATCTTCTATGCCAAAAGTTGAGGAATTCATTGAACCAAAGAAAGAAATTATTTAACAAATACAGGATATCTAAATTAAACAATCACCAAATAAAACACAGCTTAGATAGCATATCAAATAACAAAGACCCCTGGATTCTCGAATATCAATCAGATCAACATTATTTTAGAGTCCAATAGAACCACCAATCAAAATGGGAAGAACTTTATAACCTAAATTTTTCAATCCTTTAATAAGAGAGCAATAAAATAAGTTATTACTATCTCGAAAACTTAAAAGTATGACTAACATCTTTAATGATGATCGTAATACTTAAAAACGTGATTTCAACTATTTAAAATAATAGAGATCTAATATAGTATATGTAGCTCTCTCGAAATGATTAATAAATGTATAATGTACAAAGTTTGATAAATAATGAAGCTTAGTTTAATTTATTATAATGTAAATTCTATTGTTTTTAGTGGATAAATTACAACTTAAAAAAGAATATTGAATTATATGAATTTATAAATTTTAGTTTTCTGCTCATATTGTTTAATTAATGCCAAGATTTCATTGATTACTTAAATTAATAATAATTGATATAACAATAATAATAAAGTTATGCTAGTAATGAAGAAATTGGTAATATAAATTTGAATTATAATTAAAATTAATATGAGTAAATAACCTGAGTATATTCTTGACTCATATAAAGTGCCTTATTATTTATAAGACTCATGCGTAGATGAATATGTGTACTACCAATAATGTCTAAGACACAATCCTCGATTTTTTGAAAATAAATTGATTCATTCTTTACCATTTGCAAGTGCTTTGAGTAATTGTGCAAAAAAATAATAAATATTTGTGAGGGTAAATTGATATTTTGAATATGTTAGTGTTAAGAATATAGAGAGAGAGAATTATTTGAAGAGATGAGAAAGATCTATGTTGAAAGTGTTAGAAAAGGAGAAGAAAGATGAATTATTGTATAATTTTACAAAAAAATAAAAATTCGTCAGCTACAGGATTTGAACCTGTGCGGGTGAACCCAGCGGATTTCGAGTCCGCCTCCTTAACCACTCGGACAAACTGACAACATCTAATTAAATATCTACAAAACAATATATTTATTATGTAGAGTTATAAACAGAGTGTTCACATTCATTGTCAAATTATTTATAAATAAGATATAAATTAATTGTATGAGAATTTAATTATCTTAATAAATATTTTAATTATAATGAAAATTGAAAAACAGAAACTATTATTGATTTTTTCATAATTATGGTTTTCTATTCTCTTATTTTTCAAATAAGTCTATAAGAACTTTTAAAAAATAAATTAAAGTTAATCTGACTATGATTACTTAAATATATCATATTAAATAAAGTTTGAAGTGTTACAGATACATGATAATTGAGTTTATTATGCATTAAGGATAAATTGTTGATTAAAATATTAATAAAAATTAATATGCCTTAAAACATTTATGATTTACAACTAAAACAATAAGATAGGCTTTTAGCTAAATTTCAAGAGTTATTTAACATACCAACTCATGTAAATTATATGACTAGATGGGAAGCTATTTTAGTAGCAATATTTTTTCTTTTGGAATCTATATGGTTTACTAATATAATAGCACATTTGACTTTAGTTACAATTTATGTGATAAAGATTTTGAAATGTTAATCAAATCAATAATTACAAGTATTTACAGTTAGATGGATGACGGTTTGTAAAGTGTTAACAAGCAGATTTTTATGGGCATTTGGTAAGGAAATAACAGAGGAAAATTTGAGAATTGATTTTCTGTTAATTTGCTTTCAAGTAATTGCAACTGTCACAAAATTTAGGATATCTAACAATAAAATAATAATATTAACATTATTTTTACTTTCTTAAGTAATCTTATCAATATATCATATTTAAAAAATAGATGATATTATTATGGTTAGTCTATTAGGAGTATTGATAAATATTTGGTTAATTTATCATAGATAATAATTGCATTAGAAAGAGCATGAATAAAAATTAAATGAATTTGATAGAGAAGCTATGAAATTAAAATAAGAGACAGAAATGTCATACAAAACTATATTTACAGCTGATTAACAGTAATCTCGTTAAGAGGAATTATTAAAGAAACTACGATTACTTAAATACGAGAAATTATTAAATAAATCAGAATAAATTTATTATGAAGAATAAGTGTTGCATAAATAATTAAGTTCTCCATCTCGTATTCTGACTTTACGTTAATTACCTGAAGATGATGATAAAAATTCAATAGAAGAAATAGGTGATTCACCAAGTAAGAGATCACCTATTAGAAGAATGTAGAGAATAAATTCAATAGTAGATAGTTCATCTTATGCCAGAACTGCTGGACATAGTATAAAATAAGATGAAATTAAAGAGAATGATAATTTCTTGACATTAGATGAATTAGATGATTTGTTGAAAATAGTTAGTGGAAGAAAAGAACATTTATGGTTACCTTAATTTTTAAGAAGTAATAAAAATATCAATTCTGGATAATCGGAGTAATTTTCTCCAGAGGCTAAGAGGTAATATTTTAAATGATTTTAAAAATATAGATTTATTCTTAATCACTTTACTGAATGTGAATTCAATTTTTAATTATCATCCAGTGAAACACATATTTAGGAATAATATCACATACCAAATATTAATGATAATATAATGAAAGATTGTGATAAAAATTTTAATTATGATTTCTTTGAATTAAATGATTAAAACAAATTCATCAATTATTGTTCATTTATTTTTTAGAAATACAAGTAAAAATATATATAATAATTAGTGTAAACTAAATCTTAAAGATAAAAGATAATTAAATATAGATAGAATTTTGTCATAGAATTGAATCGTTTTACATGAAGAATCCTTATCATAATTCATTACATGCAATGGATGTGACAAATTCAGCTTTATTTTTTTTGGAAAATGGATTATAAATAACACAATTTGAATAGTGTTGTTTAATAATATCTTCATTATCCCATGATGTAGGCCATCCAGGTTTAAATAATGGTTTTCTGGTTGCTTCTCAATCAAAACAAGCTTTGATTTGTAAATCATATCAATCTATTGATTAGACAATGATTAAAGCGTATTGGAAAGCTATCACGCATCATTGTTGTTTCATGTTTTAAAAGATGATAAAACTAATATAATTAAAAATTTAAATGATGTAGATTACAAAGGATTTAGAAAATATTGTTTAAATTTAATTTTAGACACTGATCTCTAAAAGCATTTCCCATTACTAAATAAATTTAAAAACTTTTTAGCATTGGGATGTGATAGTCAATAAGATGAATAAAATAAATTATTGGTTTTATCAATAGCAATAAAATGTGCAGGTATATATAAATATATATAAATAAACAAGATGTGGGACATGGAGCAAAATAATTGAATTTACATAAGATATGGAGTCGTAGAATAATTGAAGAGTTTTTCTTATAAGGAGATTTAGAGTAATAAGTTGGAATAGTAGTTACACCTATGTGTGATAGAAATCAAAGTGTAACAAAATCTTAGGAGGGATTTCTTAAAGCTATAGTTTGGCCATTATTTGATGCTTTTTCGGAATATTTAAAAAAGTATATAGAAACTTAATAATAATAGTGATAATTTCAAAAAAACTTGTTTAGATTAGATTAATCTCAATATAAACTATTGGTAATAATAATAATAAGAAGAAGAGTAAAATGAGAAGTAAGAGAAATGTTCATTTTTCATAGATACAAATCATATTCATCTACCTTTATAAAATACCAATAATATGATAAACTTGAATTGGTGATTAATTTGTATTTATCATATAATACATTTAATGTATGGATATTCAAGATTTAACAAATTATGTAATAGATATATAATGTATACTTAATCATTCTTCATCAAAATCATTATCAATATCATCTGGTACATTTTCTGGTATTTTAGGTAGGGGATGTTCTTCATCATATTTAAGTTCCCATTCTTCCCTATTAGGTGGTTCTTAATCTTCTTATTATTAAATAGAACTCTTATATTCTTCAAATTTTTATTCTTTCTCCTAATAATATATAAAATTAAATAAACTACTTCCTTAATTTTAGCAACTTACTCAGTTGTTTCTTATATTAATTTTCTGAGATTTGCAATTTTTTCTCTTCTTATTTCAACATCTAAATTTCTTAATTTAATAATATATTGCATCCATTTCAATATTTTAGCATAACATACATTATATTCTTCAACTTGTTCAACAGTAAATTTGGAAATTCTTTTTTATATTCTATTTAATTTAGCATGTTTTGGAACTTCTTCAGTTTTCGCTCCTCTATATTCATAATCAAGTATTTTTTAAATTAAATCTTCACATATATAATGTTTAACACCAGTCCAATCTAATTGATTAGTTCCTTTTTCTAATAGATTTTCTTTTTTATAATTTAGAAATAGCATTAAAGCTAATAATATACCAGGATATTTAAGAACTCTAACTTATTTCAAGGAAAAGAATTCTTATTATAATTATTAAATTTATTAAGCAACAGTATTAGCTCTGATAGATAATAATGCAAATTAATGTTCTTTTTCTTTTTCTTTTATATCATCATATTATGATTATTATGATTCAACAGCTTATTCTTCTTAAATAGTTAATGCTTCTGATCTCTCTTTAACACCTTATTCTTAATATGCAATCATATGATCTATATCATCTGATAATAATTTGCATTCCATTTGATTCCAACTTTATGCAAATAAATTAATATAATCTTCAAAATATTTTCTATCTTTTTCACTTATTCCAACATCTTTACCTAAAGTATCAAAACAAATAACAAATTATCTTTTTTAAGATTAAAATGGTGCTTCACTTTCATCTTACCAGTTAGCTAAATATTAATCAAATTCTTCTTAAATTGATGTAGGATCTTATTCTGTATCTGTAGCTTCTTTAATTCTTGCATTAAATTCATTAATTTTATTTTCTTTTTCTAATTTCTTTTCTACATCTGCTTTTTTAAATCTCAATCTTTCTTCAATACCAGCATCTAATGAAGCAGGGAATAAACAAGATTAATAAATAAGTGGAATAGCTAAGAAAGCACCTAACTTCTTCCATTTGAAATAAACAAGCTTTTATTCTTTAGTAACATCTGGTATATAAATAATAGGTGATTAAGGTAATTATCCTTCTTCAGGAGGTGGAATATCTCTAAATACTTCACCTGTTACTCCAATATCATTTAATGGAAGTGTTTGACCTATCATAAAATTATGATCATCATTAGCACCAATATATTTTATTAATTTTGGTTATTCTGTATCAAGATGTGCATTTTCATCATCATCATTCTCATTTATTTATTTATTTGGAAAATCAACATATCCTACATATACTCCTGTAAGACCCTTTCTTTACAAATGATTACAAAAATCTTTCACTAATAATTTTTAATGAAATTCATGAGTTTTTATTACATTTTAAAATTCCATTTCTCTTAGATTCTCTTCATCTTGTAACTGTTTCTCTCTTCTATCTCTCTCCTCTTAAACTTCTTATTCTTTCTTCTATTACTCTCTAAAGTATTTCTATTCATTACATTAATGCTTCCTTATTACTCAAATGCTCTTGCATTGAACCTCTATTTCCCTCTGTTTAATTATGATTCAATAACCACTTAGCAAAATACTCTATTGGAAATTACGGTTTCACTCGATACAACTCAGCTAAACCTTTTGTAATCACTTTCCCAATTCGTTCAGACTTTAAATATGCCATATCTATTTTATCTGTCTCAGGTATCAAGTTCATTAAATAATATAATAATTCAAACAAAACATCCATAAATCCATTTCCCTTGTAATATTACTCTTTCCTCTTAAGACAATGTTCCTACTCCATGAAATCCATCCTATGCAAATCCTCCTACAAATTTATACTCTTCTCCTTCACAATTAAAAATCATTACACCTTAACCATGAAACTATCCATTTCTAAATTCTCCTTCATAAGAAGTGAATTAATGTTAAACTAATTTAAACTACTTAAAGTTTACTAATTTGAATTCGTCTTCTTAAAAATCTGAATTTACAAATTTTCCTCTTCCTGAAAATTGATCATTTAACCATTAACCTTAATAAACAATATTTTAATTAAAATCTTTTAAAGTACCATTACCCTATCTCATTCCATTTAGCCAATCTCCATCATAAACAAAACCATTTTCGTATACTTTTCTTCCTCTTCCATTTTAAACATCTTCTTTAATTGTTATGTTTGATTTTTTGAATTTTCCAACAGATGGAGTTTTAGTAGAAGTTCTATGATGACCAGCAATCTGATCTTAGAATCTTGAACTATCAATAGGAGAATGAGTAGTATGAATTGTTTATTTAACAGAATTTACATAAGATTGCAATGTATGTTAACTAATACAATTTGATTACTTATTAGATCTTGTAGGTCCACTTAAGTAATATGAATAGGATTCTACTGAATCTGTTTCTGTTTTTTTAAGATGAGATCTTAATTAATCATTTTTCTCCATTATATGAGCAATCTTTTTTTCTAAAAAACTGAGTTTACTTATAGTTTCATCAAGCATATCATCTTATTTACTTTTCTTTCTCTTAAAATATGTTATTTATGAAGTTGGTGATTTTGGCATAGTTGAAGGTGGTAAGTAATTCATAACAGCTATTTTATTATTAATGCTTCTAAATGGACTTTAAGATGTACTAGGTGAATGAACTCTTAAAAGTCGAGCTGTTTATAATCTACTAGGAGTTTTACTATTAGTTTCTATTTAATTTGGTCTCCTGTTTTCTTTTTAATAATGTCTCATGTATCAGTTAATTTTATTTAAGAAATATTACTTATAATTATTATTATAAAAAATGAATCGATTTTGGAAAAAAAAAGCAAAAATAAAATAAATCAATTTTTAAGTCTAAGCATCATATGTCTTTTAACAGAATAGAAGGATGGAGGTACATTAGGTTTAGGAGGTCTAGTTGATTTTTAAGTTTCTAAAAAACTATTCATATTTTTATTTAAATCTGCTATTAAAGGTTCTTCTGATTTTTTTGGAGCTAAGAAATGTTATGGTTTGACTTTTAATCCTAGTTATTCTAAATTTGATTAAGTATTTATTTTATTTTTAACATTTATTCCCATTTATTATAATAATGGAGGTGTAGTCTAATGAGATTTAGATTATATTTTTTTTTAATCCTTAATTTATTTATTTATTGTAATTTTGCTTCTTAATCTAGTATGTTATTTAAATACATTATAATTAGATGTATTAAAAAGTTAAACAGGGAATTACATTTCATCTTCTGTAACTTCTAAATGTGCTGTTGATGGTCTTTACAAAGTAGCTTGCATCAATTATTATAATGGTTAAATTTAATTAGAATTATAGTCTTCTTAAAACACAAGAGTAGCTGAATTTTAACCAGAAGCATAATTGGTAATATAATTACTAATTTTAGTAGATTTTTTAGATTAAGAATTAGATGAAACTTTTTTAATAATAGAATTCTATACAGATCTAGAAGGATTATTAAATTTCTTTTCGCTTTTTTATATACTTAACATAATCGATTATTATGAAGATTATTATTACTATAATCTAGGACTGAATCTTTATTCTATTTTAGATTTTTAAATAGGTTGCATAATAGAAATAATTGGCTTATCTTTTAATTTTGATTTAGAAAGTCCTCCATCCATTAATAGTTATTATTTAATATCCTCTAAATATGTTTCACTTCCATCATCATCTGATGAATCTGATTCTTCTTCTGATAGTGATTAATTCATTTTATCAGCATCCTATTTTAATTCATCAAATATATTAGCAAATTTTGTATTTTGAAATTATGCTTAACATTAATCTTCTTGATAACCAGTAAAACTTCTTTTTTTATTAAACATTTAATTTTTGATTTATCTATTTGATCTTTTAGTTTCATCATTTTTTAAATTATAAATAACATCCATTTCATTTTACATTTCAACTAAATCAGTTAATGCTTCTCCTATAATCCATCCCATTTAAATCCAATGTTTACATGTAAATTCAAATGTTTAAGTTGAATTATAATAACTACCATTAGATGATTCTATCGTAAAACAATTTACAATATCATATAAATCTACAAATACACCTCTTGCTGTTGATTTCTTTTATTGACTTATTCTAAATATTGAAGAATAATATCGAAACATTTCAGTCTTCTATCCAAGTAATTTAGCTAAAATTCTACACTTATAATAATTGTAATTCCATAAAGGAAACTCAGGACCATAAAGAAATACATTCTTTTTAACTTATATATTTATTATTCTTACCAGAATGACCATGTAAATCTATAAATCCAATCAAATTATTTCCAAATATACTATATTGTTCTTTTACTAATTTTTTCATTGCTGTAACTGTAGGAAACAACAAATGATCTGTTAATTTAAATCTTCGATTCAAATCTTTACCAGCTATACCTGTTCTGTAATTTCCTAATATCACTCCATCAGGATTCATCATAGGTACAACTTTTATTACACATCTATATTAAAATTTATTATTTATACTTTTTAATCAATTTCAATCCTTATTAACTAGATAAAAATTCTAATAATCCTTACATAACCCAAGAACCATTTGATTCACCAGGATGGATTCGAGATTAAATTATCATACATTTTTAATTCTAACAGTTACCATTACTAAATGTATAAAGTGGTAATTAAACACCACTCAATGATTCACAAAATGTTGTTTTCTCGACATAATTACAATTTTTTTACATATTCCCACAAAATTCAAGCATTTATGTAAAAGTGTATGGAACACAATATGCTATTTTAATAATCTCATTATCTCCTTAGCAAACTAATTAAAAAGACAAACAATTATAATGTTAATGATAATGAGTTTTATATTATATTTACTCTCCTCCTTATAACCATTCTGGATTAGTTGATCTCCAAATATAAGGCTTCATTCCTCTTTCGTATAAGGTACGAGATTTGCGAAAATTGCAAATATTTAATTGTATAACTTCAGTTTTCTTCATTCCTTTGATTTCAAAGTTGTACCATGAAGTATGACCTTTTGTATTTGAATCTACTCTCATATAGAGATCATATTAATTCTGAGAATTTTTGACTACAAGATCTAAGTTACCACTTTCAAAGGTAGAATTGAATTATATTCTACTATTTAGATTAGGATTCATGCCAAGGAAAGGTAATTAAGGTTTTCTTTATAGTATTTTGATTGATTTGAATGGATAGGTTGAGGTATTAGAATATTATTTATGTAATTGTCCAGTATCTTATGGTCTGAATCCTAGATAGAGTAATTAATTATTAAGTTAAGCATGTGCTATGATAGAGTCATTTAAGGGATTGGTAAAATTAAGTGTAAGTAATTTAGAATAATCAAGTTTAGGAGCCCATCCAAGTAGCATATCATTTTCAAGACTGAAACTATGATCAGTGAGAGTGATAGCTTTGGGTAGTGAATTAAGAAATGGTTGAGCGATCAAATCAACATCCTAATTTTACATATTATACTATAATAATAATATGGGGAACTGTCATAATTGTTTGAATCATTAAGCAGAGTAGATATAGATAGTGGTGAATAATCCAACAATAGAGGACATGCCATTGATATAAGAATAATCACCACTTTTAGTTTTGGATGTAAGAACTTGGTAAAAAGAGACATATAGTTTATATGATTATGAGAATAACACATATATTCATTGTTAATAAATATAAGTTAATGGAAATAGCTATTTAACTTGTAAAGCTAACAAAGTTTTATTTAATGAAGGTTCATATACAACTAATAGGTAAATATCAAGATCATCTCTATAATTGTAGTGAGAATAATGATGCTGCCCTCTTATTAAATTTAGAATTTGATAATGATAGGATCTAATTACTCAATTTACGTTTTAATAGAAGAATGTAAACTAAAGAATTTGGGGATGAATATTTAAAAGATGTAATTCATTTAATATTATTATTCTACAAGGATGGAGATAATAAACTCTTATCTGAAAATCAGACTCTTCATGGTGATAACTAAATGAGTTTTAACTTTTAAAAGTTACGCACTAATACTAATAGACAATTAATTTGTGAAATGTCTAAACCCTCTAAAATCTGGTTGGTTACTAGATCTATTTAAAATTATAGTCATAATGAAGGAATAATATTAAGAGTAGGAGATGTAATAAAATTAGGAAGAGTTAAACTCATTGTTAAAGCTATTTAACTCAATAATCAAATAAATAAAGATGATTCTGATGATTATTCTATGTGTTCTATAGTAGATAAAAATGAAGATACAAAATAATGTCGTGTATGTTTATCTACAGGAGAAACATTAATTAATCCTCTTATTGATCCATGTAAATGTTGCGGTAGTACTAAATATATTCATATTAAATGTTTATTAAAATGGTATTATACTATTCATTTCATTCTTTAGGATACAATCAAGTTCTCATTTTAATTGTAATCTATATTGTACTAGATTTATCTGGAAATCTTTAGAATGTGAAATTTGTAAATACTAATTTCAACCTATTTTTGAAAGAAATAATAGAACTTATAATCTTATTGAATTAAGTATACCAAAAGAACCATATATTATGATGGAATTTTAATAAAAAAAATCTGATAATCCCTCTCATAATAATGATAAAAATGGAGTTTATATAATTAATTTTGGCATCAAAAAAGAATTAAGAATTGGTAGAAATCATGAAGTTGAAATCAGTATTGCTGATATTAGTGTTAGTCGAGAACATGCATAACTTAAATTAATTGGTGATAAAATTGTTTTATCAGATAAAAAATCTAAATTTGGCACTCTCGTTTTATTAAAAAATAATATTACTCTCTTACCTTTATTATCTGGTTTAGAGATACAAATTAAAAGAACTCTTATCAAAATTAATAATAATTAAAATACTCAATTAATTTAAAAATCAACAGATTTTGAATAACTTTTAGGAAGAATAGATTGATTATAATTTTTTTATTTCATCACAATGTTCTTTTTAATTTTCAAAATTATTTAATATTTAAATATTGATTATCAAAAATTATATATTTCTAATAAATATATTACTCTTTATAATAATTTTTATTAATAAATTGCATTTTCTAATTAAATTTGCAATCGATTAATCAAAAAGAATCAATTCAACTTTTTTATATTCCATAATATATTATAAATAGTTACAAATAATCAAACATTGATTGATTTTTTAAATTATTCTTTGTTCTTTAAAAAATATTCAATTCTAAAATATATAAAAATATATATTACGTTTAATTACAAATTGGGCATCTTACTAATTTTGTATTTATTCTTATCCAATCTTCAAAACATTCTAAATGAAATGTATGTCCACAAAATATTTGAATTATTTCCTGTTTAATTTCATATTTTTCAATACAAAAAGGGCACTTATCATCATCATATCTTAAAATTTGTTTTTAAAAACTCTGCTTTATTAGAACCTATTCTTTTATCATATTTTCCATCATATTAGATAGACTTTCATTATCTAAATTTTATTAACCATTTTAAAATGTTAGAGACACTAAATAATTAATCCTCCTATTAGCTATATAGATTATAATTGCAAAAAGTATAATAACTCCAGATAACAAACTTATTAGTTTCCATAATTTCAAATAATCTATACCTTCTTATACATTTTACTACCTAACTGTGATTGTAAGATCATTCACTATTATATCCTCCAAAAATACAAAAGTTACTCTGAAATATTTACCTTTCAATATCAATTAGGATTCATAATCATTAATTTTTATTTAATTACACAATTATCCTGAATCATTTCCCAAACAGATATTTTGCTAAATAAAATTTATATTTCTTTTTTCTTATACTTACAAATTAAAAAGCAAATGAAACTTTTATTATTTTTAAGCATCATAAAATAATGTAAATACCGTTCCTTTAGAAATATTTCCGTAGTATGTTTAATTATAATCAATTTCCTAACCACATTTTATTATTTTTTTAACAAACCATTTTGAACTTTCTCTAATTTAATTTAAACTTAAACTTTCATAATTTTATTCTGATTAACATTAATTCTCAATCCATTCACATCCAGTCTATGACATACAAGAATAGCAGTTGTTAAGTTTTTTGCAACCATGTAAAAAATAATTATACAAACTTTCGAAAATGCATTCAGATTTATAAGGTATTAATGATATATTCAAAGATTTGTATATTACATCACAAGGAAATTAATATTCTGATTGTTGTTTATCAAACTTTAATTATGAATAATATTATTAATCAAATTCCTATTAATATTGGATAGATTAATAATTCTTCTAAGATAATAATTTGGAAACATTTAATACATATGATTCTAATTTATCCATCTTAAATTAATCAATATTAATATATTCAGTTTCAAAATGATCATATATTAATAATAATTAAGCTTTATCTATATAGAATGCAATATTCGAATATGATACATTAAATTATTAAATCTCTTAAACTACTTTTTATTAGTACAAGTTAGAAATTTCTTCAATAATAAATAATTTAATTCCATTCATATTTTGTTACAATATATAATTTGAATCTATTCCATTAAAATTTTTTATCATTTATAGTGGTTGAGAATCAAATATATGTATTTGTTAAATTTCATATAATATTTCTCCAATACTATATAGTACTTAGAATTGGTCATAAGTTATAATGATATAGCCTGAGCTATATATTTTCCATTTCAATGGAATATCATATTCATATAAAATGTATGTTGATACATCTCTGAATTGTTTATCAAACAAAGAGTATTCGATTAATTTTATCTAATTCTACTTCAGTACAATTAGCAACAAAGCATTTCTAATTTTGTTGTAATATTATGAAAATCCCAAAATACTGCCATTATCATCTGATTTGAATTTGTATGATATGCTGCTAAACTAATTTACTTTTCCAGGGAACATTTGATGCATTTCTATTATATATTTTTGGTTTTCTTCTTTTTTTAATATAGAAATCATCATACGAATAGAATCTATTTAGGTAAGTTCATAAAAAATAAGATTATATTCCTAATAAATCAAATTTGATTGTTCAAGAGTTAAAACCCTTCGAATTTCTAATATATACTATTCATTATTAGTGATGAGGTCACAAACTAAGTAATTGCTTAATTAACTTTCACCTTTTCTTTCAATAGAATGTATAGCTATCTATGCTTTAAAATCATGTATTACTATTTTATGGGTGAATTCTAACTTTGAAACAAATACATTGTGCTAAATGCATTGAAATAGAACATAATCAAAATTTGAACCAGAGTAAGTACATCCCTTAAAGATTTGTGTTTCTATACTACCGTTTGAACTTGAGTATAGTTGAGAACCATACACAATCTCAAGAAATAGTATATAGAAAAACATTTTATAAATAAATGTTCTTTGTTTAAGTTAATTTTAGAACCTAAAAATAAAACAAATTTTTTAGTATATCAATTCTATATTATCTTGTCATAAAACATTAATTATTCACCATGCATCATCATGATTGTATTTGATAAAATTATAATAGAATTTATAATAATAATAATTAAAAATTTATCATTAACGAACTGTCATCTATTATTTCCATTATTTAAACTATGTTATGGGTGATTGATCCTCTTCATCAGAAGATTCTCTAAATTTGATTCCCTTATTAATTATATCTAAACATGAAATTGATCTATCTCTATTTCCAAATGTATCTAGTGCATATATATCCTTATTTGGAGGATTGATTTTCTTAACTTTTTATTAGAATTATGCTTTATATGATGTATTTTATTGAGATTATTATTTTAATTAATTTATACATTAATTAGATTTAGCATCTTTCTTTTCTTGATTTTCTTTATTCTATTATATAGTATCTTTGCTTTTATTTAATGATCGACTTTACTTGCTTAATCTTTACTTATCTTCACATAAGGATTGATCAGTAAGTGCACTTTAACAGGATATATTGAATTAAGGTAACATATAATCTTAAGAATATCTAATCTCTTATTTTTATTAAATTTCTGATGATAATTATTTCACTTATTATTGTAATTCTTAATTTTATTATCTTAAACTTTATTTCTCTGATTTAAATTTTGTGATTTACTTATGTATTTCAGTTAAATGACTTTATAATTCTTCAATAAAATTTTGATTCTCATTCAATTAATTCATTAAATTTTGAATTTCTTTCTAGTGTTTTACTTCAAATTCTTTTTCCTTAAAATCTAACTATTCTTCAAAATATTTCTACATTTCCTCTATTACAATTTATTCATTGTTTGTTTATAATTATTACTCTAATAAAGTTATTTATTAATTTTATTAAACTAATTTCTTTTCTAATTCATTAAACTTAACCATTAAATCTTAATTCTCTTTTTCCCTTTGTGTAATCAACTTCTCTTTTAATTAAATTTCCTCGTCATAATCTTTTTTTATTTTATCCAATTATCCTTAATTCTCTTCTATTTACTGTTCCAATTATTCAATCTAATTCTTCTATTAATTAAGTATATTAGTCATTTAATTATTTTAAGTATTCATAATGTTCAACTATTTCTAGAATTCATTTCTAATTGTTTAATATTATTAAAATACTTCTATGCATTTAGACATTTCTCTATAGTACATTTTTCTCTAGATGATAAATTATTTGCTTCTGCAATCAGTATCTCATATTTCTCAGCTATTTATACTTTTTCTTTTTCTAATTAATCTACTTAATATTTCATCTTTTCTATTTGAGTAATTCTTTCTTATAAAATCTATTGATGGTGATATAAATACTTAATTCAATTTTGAATTTTCAACTAAGACTAAATTTATTTTTTATTCATATTCTGTTATTCTTTTTTCTAATTATTTTTCTTTTTCCATTCTTCTTGAAGATTCCAATTAATCATCTTTATGTAATAGTTTATTCTTTACAAATATAATAATTAAATACTTCAATTTCTAATTGTCTAAGTAATTTGTTTAAATTCATGATTTCATTATCCTTTTTATTAAGTATTTATGCAAACTTATCTTATTAATCTAAAAATTGAGACGATTTATCGATATCTGATAACCTTTTATTTTTTTCAATCTCATCCATTAACATTCTTTTCAATTCAATATTTTCAGCTAATTATTCTTCAAGTTAAGTCCTATAATCTTCAATCTCATATTTATTATCTCGATCGCATGCAAATGAAACCACTGAGGTTTTTAAAGATGCCTCTGACCTATTAGTTATGTCTAATGTTTTCAAGACTTCTTTATTTGATTATTAGAATTGTTTTTCTCCACTATCTATATAATATTTGTTCATGCTGTTCTTTTAACGAATAAATATTTAATATTAAGAAGTATTAAAATTAATGCATATTTTAATTTAAAAATAATCGATTATTAATGACCATTTTTACAATCATTTCTCATTTTCTAATTAAGAAAGCCTTTCCTAAGATGATAAAGAATGAGTCTCGGATATTTTCTTTAATCATCAATTTCTAGGTATTTAAACTTTTTTATTTAATATTTTATTTTATTTTAATATATCTAATTGATCCTTCTAAATTTTTTACTTCAACAAACTTTATGGAAATGAAATATCATTACCCACATATAACAGTTAAAGAGAAAAAATTAACCTTACAAATATATATATGTTTAGTTATTTGTCTAGATAAAATATTTCTCTATCCCATGATTTAACTTAAAGAGTTCCTAAAAATACTAACTAATATTAAAATATGCTAATTTAATACTTTAAGCTAAGATAATTTTTGAATTTATTTGAGCTGTCTAATCATGGCAAATTATACACAACAGAAAAAAAAAAATGTGTATTAAATAGTAAGATATTTAATTATCAAATAAATAAAAATTGTGTTTACACAATCAATGACTTATTTTCTTCATCAAAATAATTTATTATTCCAAGATTTACTTGACTAGTATATATTCCTTTTGTTTTTCTTAACTGTACTATTCCTAAAGTGCATTTATATTCATTTGATTTTAGACATGAAATTAAGAATTTTTTTTTGAATTTTGAATATTGAGAAGTATACCTTTTAATTTATTATTCAACTTCTATTTGATTTCTTAATTTTTAGAAATCTCCTAAATTTTGATGCCCTTCTATATTTAAACAATCTATTTTAGTAAATTAACTTAGCTATCATAATCTAAAATTTAAATAAATAAGAGTACCTTATTAATGGTTACGAATAACCCCTTATCTTCTAAATGTATTTAGAATAGCTTTTGCTGTTGAGAAATTAATCTTACAAATCTGCGCTGAAGCTCTTATAGTTTTTTTTTCACATAATACAAGACTGAGAAACTTGATTTTAGAGGCAAATTTTTCTTATTTATCTTTGCTATTATTATATATTGTTTGTCCCTCAATTTATTTAACTTTCAGCATTTTTATGAAAAATATTAATTTTAGTTAAAAAATGAAGAAACTCTTTTGAATGAATTTAATTAAGAAATTTTATATAGGCTAATAAAACACCAAATCAAGATTATATCTAAATCTATTCTTCTAGATAACATGATAATTTTTTTTTTACAACAATATATATTTTTTATAATAAATATAATTTAATTTTGGAATTTACTGGTTCAAATATAAAATCTTTAGGCCAATGAAGAGATTTCTTTCGGGATTCAAAAGAAACAAATGGTTAACGAAAATCTAAAGTGATTTATCTTATTTTTGATTGAATATAATATATTTTCATTGACGCTTTTATAATTGATCCTCCAAATTTTGTGCGTAAAGTTCATTTTTTTTCAATTTTTATTATAAAATCTTAACTTCACTCATGAGGTTTCTAATTTATTGATCAGCAGATTTGTCTCTCTAAATAAATATAATAATAATCTTTTACTATTGAATCAAATTCCTACATAATCAACTATCTTATTTTCCCTTCTTATTCATTAATTTAAAACTTTTGCTATTGATTTGATGTTTACAGTTCAGATATAAGAATCTAATTTTTTGTATTTCCAATTGTTAAACTCTAAACTTCATTTTCTAATTATCTTATTTTGTCTGCTTTTGAATTAAGCTCATACTTTAATTATTAATTTTCTTAATTTATTGAATTCAGTAATAAATTAAATTGAGCTTTTTAGTCATTAGACAATGATTAATACTATTCAGTTAATTATTATTCAGTCCTTTTACGAATATCTTCCATTTACAGATTAACTTAATTTTTAAGAAGAATATTTTATTATTCCATATTATAAGATTGTAATTATTCCTATTTTAATTGATCTTATAACAATTAATTCTCCTCTAATTTTTTATTAAATTATAAATTCATCATATTTATTTCTTTTTCAAACCTAACTTATAATTATAAATATTCTTCATTTAATTATTTATAACGATTATCTAATTATAAATAAGCTTACTACTTATCATTAAATTAATTTTTTAATTTTAACAACTCTTCTTTTAATTTATCATTATCGTTATTATATTGTAACTTCAATTCATTATAATTTTATGTTAATCTGTCTAATTATTGATTTAATAATTATTTGTCTGAATTTAAGAGAGTATTTTATAATACTTTTGAATCAAATTAATCTTGTAAATTTTTGATTTAATCTTCTTATATAGCACAATGTTAATTATTTAATTGAGCTTCTTGATCATATCTTCTTTAAAGAGTAACTAATTGTTCATTTGTTGATTTTAATTTTGCCTCTAATTCTCCTATAAGTAAGTTCCTATCATTTAACTGTTATTATAACCATTATACTTCTTTATTACATTAGATTTCCAATTTATTTAAATCTTATTGGTATCTTAACTTTTAAACAGAAATTTCTTCTTGTAATTATATATAAGAATTTTGTAATTATTGTTTCTCTTCAAGTAGTTAATTATATTGGTAAATTTTATCATCTAATTACCTTTAGAGTCTATTCAATTAGTCTTTTAGATCATTAATAGAATTATTAAAATTATATGTATCCTGGTCTAATTTTTATTATTATGAAAAAATTTTGTTTTCTAATTCTCTTTTCAATTTATCCTATTCTAAAATTTTAAGTTCCTTTTCTGTGATTTGTTATTATAAAGTTGTACTATCTCTTAAATATTTTGATTCTTCGTTTTTCAGTTATTATTACAATTGAAAAGATAAAGAATTTGTGTCCAACTAAAGCTTTTCATACATCATAGATAGGTGAGCTTTTTCATTCTGAACTTGTTCTAACAATTTTGATTAAAGATCAAGTTAATCCTTAAATCTATTACTTTAATCTTTTGTGTCTATTAGTTCTGTTCTTATTTAAAGAGTATCTTAATCATATTTTCTCTATAATTGATATAAATACTCTTGAGCCTACTTTAATCTTTACTCAGTAGTTAATAGAGCAGATTCTTTGTTTGTTAAATTAAGAGAAAGAACTTGACTTTCTTTTGAATATCTCAATTCATTTTATGATTGTTCTTGCTTATGGTTCAAAGTCTATGAATTAATTAAATTTTTAAGGGAATCGATTTCTTTTTATTATACCAATTTATTTTAATTTAATTCATTAATTTAAATTACCTATTTATCACATTAGATTTGCAATTTTGCTAATCTATCTTATAAATCTAAAATATGTTAATTGCTTGTATCAATTTATAAACTGTTTTGTTTCTTTAATTGATTTTACAAGTCATCAATTTTATTTTATAATTACTTTATGGTTTGATTTGCAGAACTAAAGTCTGATTAAAGAGATTCTCTTTGAATTACAGATTTTGTAATTTCTCTATCAAAATCTAGAGGTTTTTATTGCAACAATTTAAGAGCCATTTGAAGATCCTATACTTAAAGTTTTAACTTTCGTTTTTCATCATCATCTTAAAACGATTAATTTAATTTATCAATATTTATCTCTTGTTGACTTTATGTTAAAGAACGATCTAATTAGTATTAAATTTCTTCAATTTTTCTTTATTTTAATGTACTGTCCCTCTCAAAAATCTTTAATCTATTATTTGCTTAATTTAATTAGCTTTGCAATTGATCTCTTTCCCTTTGTAAATTTGATATCTATATTTAAGGATCTTGAACTTATTAAATATTTTGTTAAGGTTTCTATGAAGTTCTAACACTCATCTTTGATTTAGATATTAAAATATTAAATTTTATTTATATATAATTCAATAATTTTTATAATCTTATTAAGTAAGTTGCTATATTACAGCTGCTTGTTTTAATGATTCTAAAATAATTAATCAAGAATGAATAAATTTATATGATTTAATCTAAAGCTTTCACTACCCAAAATAGCTAGTTTATTTTCAGATTTAAAAATTTTTTATTTCTTCTCCAAATCATTGACTATTCTATGATTCTAATAACTTAGTTTTGTATAAAAGTTTGTTGAAGTTGTGTTTCAATGTTTATTAAACTCTAATGATTTTATATTTTCTACTAAGATTTGAATTTCTTCTAAAATTTCTTAATTTTATTGTTAGAGTTCAAAAGATTATTGACTTCTTTCCAATTATCGATTGTGTAATCAACAATTATCAATAAATTAATCATTTATTCTAAGGTTTTATTAATTTGATAATATTAAAATAAATATTATTCATAATTTGGAAACTCTTTCAAAATTAATTATTTTTATTGATTTTCTATATCTCTTTATGGCAATTTATTTTAATTAACTTTCTAGTATATATTCTAATAATTTATTTTTCTATCACATATTATATAACATTACATATTATTCTTGTTAAAATTTTCGATCATATCAATTAAATCAATCTCTTAATCTTTTAGTTTTAAATTCCATTCATCCGATTGTATAATTTCTAATTTTGTTAGGTAATTATTTTAATTTCTTCCACTAGTTATTATTTATTAATTTCATTAATTATTTTTATATTATTAATTAATCTATGGTCTTTTTTAAATTGATTTTTGATGGATTCTTATTTTTTAATCGATTACTAATTATAACTGTTTATATCTTTTTCTTAAATTAAATAATAAAGTTGAAAAATTATGTTGATCTTTTGAAAACAGCAAATCCCATAAATAAAATTTATAAAATTAAATTTCAATTATTATATTTTTATGATAATTATTAATTAATTTTATTTAAAGCTTTTTGTTTTGCAAGATTTAATCTTAATATTTTATAATCAATTAATCATTTTTTTATAGTAGATCAATTTACTTCCTTTGCTATATTTATAATTGATCATTTATTAGTTATTATTTTTATATATGCTATTTTGTAAGAAATTGTCAATTTTATATTGTATTCATACAATTACTAAATTTCCTTTAGTAAATAGAAAGTAACAGTTGATTCACTTTATTTATTCTTTTTCTTAATATTGTTTAATTTGGTACTCCAAGTGATTGATTCTATTTTACAAGGTTTTTACATATTTGTCATAAAATAATAATTGACGATATTATTCTTTTTTCTTTTAATTTGTTTTAATCTCTTTCTCTTATATTGTTTTATATAAATGTTGAATTTTAATTCTTAAGAAGCAGTTTAATTTTTGATTGATTAGATGTCTTTGAATTTCACATTCTATAACTCAATTTCTATCTGATGCAATTATATTTAAGTTATTTATTTTCATCGACAAGAAAAATTTACTACTCTTATTAATAATTTTGTAATTTTAAAAATTCTTATTTTTGTCTCTAAATCACCTAATCCAAAAGATCATAAGAACTTTTATTCATGCTCTAATTTAATTTATTCCTAATCATTTATCAATCTATTTATTTATTCAACTGTTAATAAATTAGTTGATATTATGTAATCCTTTATTCATTTTTTTTTCATATTATTCTACTATTACTACTCTAATTAATTCTTTTTGTCAGCTATTTATTCAACAATATTTGATTTGATTTCTCCACAATTTTTTTCACCTAATCATAAATTTTTGGTGTTTAAGAAAATGTCATTTATTACTTAAGATTTTAATTGATTGCGATGACAATGGAATTTAATCTATTCCTTTCAAAAATGCTTCACCTTTTAAAAAATTTCAAATCCGCTGATAATTTACCATTAAATTATAATTTTTAATTACTCCCCATTTTTAGGATAATTTTATTTTCCTCATATTAATATAAATTACTGATTTTTGCTGTACAATCCTAATTCATAACCCTTTCTTATAATTATAATAGTTTCTATTTAAATTCTAAAATCTAACATTTCCATTTTTTTCTCTTTTCATTAAAAATCATGAATTTTTTAAAGTCATTCTTTCAGTCATTAATGATCTTTATTTCTTAAACTACGCACTTATAAATTCTGATTATAATTTAATTATCTCAAATTCCATCTCAGCATCGGCATTTAAAATTTCCTAACTCTTTTGATGATTTAAATTATTAACTTGTCTATATTACCTTTATTTCCTATGTTTTTCAGACTTACCTTTCAAACTTATTTTATAAGAATTCTAATTTTGTTTACTAATTAAAGATATTCTTTTTCTGAGCTTAATTTTATTAATAAATCATATTTAATAACTCTGAAATTGATTGTAATCAATACCTTCCTTACTATTTTTTAGAGTTAATCTTATATCGATTCATTTTTTCTTTCAATATATATTACTTAAAATGTGAACCTTTTTTTAAAGATCATTTAAGATCATCTTCATCGCTTCTAATTCAATCAAATAATTCTCTTTTTCCTTTAATAAATCTAAAGTTTATTTATTCAAAAAATGATTTATTCATTAAACATCTCTTTCTAAGAACTTAATAATTTATCATGATTTTATTCTATTATTTTAATATTATCTTTGCTTACTTAATCCATCTTAACCAATTAAATTTTAATATTAACATGATAATTTTTATATATCATCTTTCATTTTTTTAGTTAATTAATTATAATTATCAGTTCAAAAGCTAATCCATCTATTTAACTTGACAATTCAGTTCTTCACTTTATAAAGTTACTTTTTAGGATTAAATTTTAAAAATAGAAAATTATAGATTTACCAATATGCCTGCTATATCGAAGAAATAGATGGCGTACAATATTTAACACTAATAGCAATAATTTTAAATAGTAAAACAGCCAATATTTATTATTTTAAAGAATACATTCTNAATCCTAATTCATAACCCTTTCTTATAATTATAATAGTTTCTATTTAAATTCTAAAATCTAACATTTCCATTTTTTTCTCTTTTCATTAAAAATCATGAATTTTTTAAAGTCATTCTTTCAGTCATTAATGATCTTTATTTCTTAAACTACGCACTTATAAATTCTGATTATAATTTAATTATCTCAAATTCCATCTCAGCATCGGCATTTAAAATTTCCTAACTCTTTTGATGATTTAAATTATTAACTTGTCTATATTACCTTTATTTCCTATGTTTTTCAGACTTACCTTTCAAACTTATTTTATAAGAATTCTAATTTTGTTTACTAATTAAAGATATTCTTTTTCTGAGCTTAATTTTATTAATAAATCATATTTAATAACTCTGAAATTGATTGTAATCAATACCTTCCTTACTATTTTTTAGAGTTAATCTTATATCGATTCATTTTTTCTTTCAATATATATTACTTAAAATGTGAACCTTTTTTTAAAGATCATTTAAGATCATCTTCATCGCTTCTAATTCAATCAAATAATTCTCTTTTTCCTTTAATAAATCTAAAGTTTATTTATTCAAAAAATGATTTATTCATTAAACATCTCTTTCTAAGAACTTAATAATTTATCATGATTTTATTCTATTATTTTAATATTATCTTTGCTTACTTAATCCATCTTAACCAATTAAATTTTAATATTAACATGATAATTTTTATATATCATCTTTCATTTTTTTAGTTAATTAATTATAATTATCAGTTCAAAAGCTAATCCATCTATTTAACTTGACAATTCAGTTCTTCACTTTATAAAGTTACTTTTTAGGATTAAATTTTAAAAATAGAAAATTATAGATTTACCAATATGCCTGCTATATCGAAGAAATAGATGGCGTACAATATTTAACACTAATAGCAATAATTTTAAATAGTAAAACAGCCAATATTTATTATTTTAAAGAATACATTCTATAAATTATATATATTTCACAAAATAAATTATATTTTTTGATGTGCTTTCAAAATGAAAAACATAATTAATATTCATCAATTTGGCCATACGTTAATAAAAAAGATTAATATTAATCATAACATAAACAAAAGAAAAAGCTGGAACTTTAAAAAAACCTTAAAAAATAATTAAATATCTAGTATTTTTCAATAAATATAATAAAATAAAATGTCCTTAGGATCTATTTCCGTTATTCAAATACTATTTGTATAACCAATAATTCTATATCAAACTTGCGTTGATTACAATATCAATGATTGTGAGAATCATGGTTGGTCTCTACCTGGAAAAGTTTTCGACTGCTCAGGAAACTTAATTATAGGAAATTATATTAAAGAAGAAATTGTTGAGAAAAAATTTGAAATTCCTCCCCATTAATTATTGAGATTTTCAGTGACTATTTACAAAATTGATTCTTGGGATAATGAAGGATTTGAAATTTCAGCTAATGATAATATAATTTATACAAAGATTTTAGGGGATTAAGATGGGAATGGAAATTTGTGTGGACAAACCGCTTGGAATGATATGCCTTTTTATTATGAAAAAGAAATGAAAATATCTGAATATGAGTTATAAGTTAAATTTTAAAATCATTTAGATTAAGGTCTTGATGATGGTATATTTTTAGATTATGATAAGAATAATGGGGGTTTAGAAATTTTACTCTAGAAATTTTAATTCCTTGTGTTAATTTTTATGCGGAATGCAATTATTAGGGAGAATTATTTTAAATGTGTTAGGGAGATAAGACTTAATTTCAATCAGAAATTCCATTTGAAATACGATCAATACGAATGAACAATAATACAGTTATAATATTAAGAGGACCTCATTATTCTGGAGGAAATACATAACAATATACAACAAGCCAACCATGCCTTGATTCTTACAAAGTAAAATTAACAATTTTATTCAGTTTCCTAAAGTTTTATAGGTAGAATGAAATGATTGACATATCAAAGGATATAATTAAATAAATATTTATTATAAAATATATGCAACTTAATTTTTCAATATAAATCCAAAAAAAGAAAATTCTTAATAAATTTATAAATTTTTTTATATATCAAAACTTAATAAGAGGATTGTTCGAAGGTTAAAAAAACAAAAAAAGAGGATAAAAAATGTTTATTGATTAATATATGACAAAAATATCTATATTTTACATCATTATTATTCAGCAGCTCTTCTGGTAGCTAATCTTTCTAATTCATTTACTAAGACTAATTCTTATCTTCTTCCTGCAGTAACAGCTTCGTATTCAACATCGAAACTATGACACAAATCAGCAGCATCATCCCATAAATTTTAATTTCTTGATCTTTTATTAGTAGCGGCTTAAGCAATAGCAGTTTAAGTTGAAATAGTTCCTTATAAGTTTTCAGCTTTGCTACTTAATTAAGTCTTGGCATGGTCAAGTCTTACTTAAGAAGCAAGATAGAGATCTTTCTATTGAGAGAAAAGTCCTAATGCTTAAGTATTATCAGCAGTGTAGGATGCCCAAGCTTCTTCTACAGTGTTTCTTAAGGTTTATAACATTTAAACAAGTCTTTCAGCTGCACCAGTTGAGTCTTCTTCTTATGTAATTTAAGCTAAAGCACCAATTGCTTACATGAAAGCCTTATTCATTTTTGTAGCAATAGCTGATCTCATTAACTTAGTTGTCATATCAGCAACTTAAACTAAAGATGCTTCTCCCTTGGCAAGTGCTGTACCCAAATCAATTGAATCATCAATAGCATTGATAGCATCATTGAATGTAACAGCACCTCTGTTATATGATTGAGTATCCTCCTTTCTAGCGTCATTTATTAAACCAATGTGTTGGGAAACTGTATTTAAAATGTTTTCAGTTTCTCCAAGGGTGGCTTATGTTTTTGATAATAAAATGGTTGCTGTCTTTAAAATTCCATTAGCGATTCTGAGTGTTACATTAGAATCTTCAACTTCAGCTCTTCTGTAAGCAATTTCACTATCACATTCAGTTTTTTATGCGTTGTAGACATCATCATGTCCATTTTGTTCTTCTGCAACTGCAGACTTGAAAGAATTAAGAATTCCCTTAATTGAATCTAATGGTGAGTGGGTCTTCATTTTATTCTCAACTTCAACCATGATGTTCATGATGCTTCTTTTACCACCATATTAGAGTGGGTGCTTTGACATCATGCTAGCATTGCTTATGGCTAAGACAACCAAGATTGTGAATGCAATTTTCATTAATTAATTATTGATTTATCCTTTGTTTTATCAGTTCCTTTTATACCACAAGATTGCCATATTAAAAACGGATTTTAGTGCGTAAGAAAATTATTAATTTTTTCTAATTTTTATATATTTAATTTTTTTTAAATAAATTTTTTTATCCATTTATTTTAAGCAACTTGTTTACGAATAAAATTCTAAATATAAATATTAATTTACTTTTTAAATTAGAAACTTTTAAAAAGAAAATACAAAAAAAATTTTAATTTTCTTCGAGAGAGCCCTGATTTCGTTCTCTATGAGGACATAGTAAATAAAGCTTTGAATTAATAATAAATGGATTGTCTATTTTTTTGGAATAAATTTTAGCTATTCGTTAATTTCTTATTTTAATTTGTGAAATTTCTTGAATGTAATATTTTTACATATATATATAAAATATATTTAAGGTTATTGCAAAATATTAATAAAAAAGAATAATTAAAACATATTTTAAAGAATAAGCTTATACAAATATCATATAGTTAGTGTTTATTTCTGAAGAATAAATAAATTTTCATGATTTATTAAATGCATTATAAAACTCAATTCTCAAACCTTAAATATTTTCTAGACATTTCATCATGCATTCTTTCTCAAAAGGAGTTAATATCTTTTCCATATAGGATTTTACGCATTAATTATAACATAAGTCTGCCATATATAATTTTACAGAAATTTTATCATCTTGTTTATTCATTTATATTATTTTTTTTTATCATGAAAAAAGCAACCGATGGGATCTAATGTAGAATATTATTTTGATTGTTAGATGAAAATGAGTATATTGCGAATTAAGAAGATATATTGCTTACAAAGATGAGAAAGAAACAGGTATGAAAATTTCTAATAGAGGAACGAGAATTGGAGCAATTAAAATTATATGAGTAATAATAGGCAGAATAAGAAAAAAGAAAATTTTCTATTTTAGAATCGACAAAGTCAAAATAACAATAAGTAGAATTAGCCCTTAAAGAGAAGAAATAAATGGTGAGTCTATTATATTATTTTTATCTAGATAGAATTAAAGAGAAAAGAAAAGGAAAAAGAAAAATTACTTTAGGTATAAAAAATAGAATAGGAGAAACTAAAAGAATTGACTGAAAGAGAAATCAGTAGAGATTTAATATTTTAGTAATTGCAAAGCAATAAAAGCAATTAATAAAGTGCAATTCCTGATAAGAATAAATCATCAATTGTGAAAAAGTAAAAGTATAATTTATTCAAGAATAGCTGAGGGAATAATCAATGCTTAATAAGAAGAAATTTTAATGAAGAAAATTTAATTGGACAAATTATAGAAGGATTAGGAAGAGTAGATTAAAGATTTAAAAGAAAGAAAGGAATAATTATTGAAAGAACTGAAGTAAGCAAAAAAAAAACAATTAAAAAAAGTTAAGTAACGAAATGAGGAAGAAAAAAATGCTTATTATTAAGAAAAGTTACAGAAAATAGAGAATTATCAAAAAAAATTAGACGATATTGAAATTACTTAGCAGGCTAAGATTGAATTGATCGAATAAAAAAAAAAAGAGAAAATGGAAAAATTAAAAAGAGTAATGGTTAATATATTTTATTTGATATTGATAGGAAAATTATAAAAAAATAATGTCAGAAAAGAACGAAAAAGCTTAATAAAAGGTTTCGTTATTAGAGGAGAAAATAAATTTAATTTCCGAAAGAATGAAGAGTACAGAAGAAAAAATTGAAAAAATAGAAAAAGAAAGAGCAAGACATAGATAAAATGTACAAATATATTAATATAATAAGATAAAATCAAGAAATGGAAGTATTTAAAATAATAAATCACAAACATTTTAAGAAAAAATTCGATAAAAAGAAGAAGAGCATCTAAAATCTATTACAGAGACTCAATCAATTTCAAAAGTCAAATAGTAACAAGAAAAATAAAAAAAAGAAGAACTCATTCGTGATCATAAAACAAAAGCTGCAAGTATATTATAGGAGATGGTGGAAATTAAAAATAAAAAGTTAAAAGAGAAATTAGATAAAGCATAATAATTTAAAGATGAAAAAGAAAAATTATTTATGCAATAATAACAATTAGCTAAAGAGCTTGAACGCAAGAAATAGAAATTACTTTTATAAAGTCCTAGATATAAAGGGGAAGAAAAATGAATTATTATATTAGTTATAATTAAAGAGTTTAAAAAATTATAAATATAATAATGAAACAATAGTAATAATAGCCAAGATAAAGAATTAAAGAGAGATTTGTTAGTGAAGCAATGAATTTAGTTAAACTTTGGAGGTTTAGTTCATTCTCTCATAATGTAGACAAGTTTATTAAACTGAAACTAAAATAGTTGATGGAAGAACTGTTAGAATTACATTGGATTAGGCTGCAGAATTAGTAGGTTGTCCACGAAAAACATTAGAAGATTATTATTATCTATTAAGGAAAGCAGAGAACTTGGGTAGATTTTCTTTATCTAAATTTAAGTTAATTTAGAAGAAAAAAAAAATGAAAAGATGGGCTATATTAGAAAACTCTGTAGAGAAAACAAAAAATATAAATAATAATTAAAATTGGAAGAAGAATGTTATGAACTTAATTAATTTTAATTTTTGGATAACATTCATGATGATTGAATAAAATATGAATTGTATTATTCTAATATTCAATAAGAATATTATACTATCTCATATTTGGTTTTTTTTTTTGCTTGTAGATGAAGCATCACCAATTGATGGAAATGGAGATGCTGGCTTCACATCAATTCTACCTAAATCTCTGTTTATTTAACAAATTTATGGTAATGCTTGAATTTATTTAAACCTATAAAGAAAGAATTATTAAATGAATTATATACCATCTAAAAAAATGAACATATTTTCCACTTTTTTATTCGTCATTCCATGTAGATACTACATCATAAGTGTGAATATATAGAAATAGATCTGCTAGTGTTACATGATTAGTAACAAAAAATACTCTGCTCTCTAGGTGTTATAGAAATGCCTAAGATTTTAAATTATATTTACATCAATTAAACTTTCCCCTTAAATTTTTCTTTATGCTTCAAAAACTTACAAAACCTAAAATTATATCTAATTATTTTACTTATCCCAAAGTTTAATTATCTGTTCCAATAAGTATTTTTTCTGTAAAGGAAATATTAGCTAAATATCTAAGTTATTTTTTTTAATTACTGAGCAATTGAGAATACATTTGTCAAAATTTAAGCATCCTCTGTCACCAAAGAAGGAATTGATGGAAATTTTAATATGCCTTCTTCTTTTAATTTTAAGGCTTGATTTGAAAGCACAATAAGTTTTACTCTTCCTGTTGAAACTAGTCTTGTATAATGTGCCAAAAAGATTAAAAATTATGAGTTCAGATCTGTTGATAAAAACAACTCCATTAATTAATATAATTTATATCTTTAATTTATACATATACTCAATAACTATATAATAAATTCTTTTCTTATTTTATTTATTGAAACTTTATTATTAAAATTTTAGAATATAATGATCTAATTAATAGATATAATGGTCTAATTAATAATATAAATATTGATAAATTCTAAAAACAATATTTCTATAAAACTAATTCTATTAAGCATTTTTCTCTTCTTAAAGCCCATTTATAAATAATGTTAAAATATACTTTAAAATGAAATCCCCTTAATAATACTTTTTAGCTACAGCATTAGGATCATTAGTAATTCTAATAATAATGATTTATTTAATGGTTTCAAATATGATACCAATTTATGGAGGATTATTAATAATATTACCACTAGCAGGAATTAATACATACCTATTTTACATAGTTTATCAAAATAATTATGTAGATTCATTAAAAAAAATGATGTTAATAGGAATGCCAGGGGTTGGCAAAACATTTCTTTATAATTATTTGTAATGCAAAACTATTTAAAAATAAAAAAACTTTTAAATAGGAACTTTCTAAGAACTCTGTATTATTGATTCTCCTGATTTAGATCTAGAATCCTAAAAAAGGGAAATCAGAATCAAAGAATTTCAAAATATTTTTATTAAATTTTAAAATTCTATTTGTGCTCTATTATTGATAGTGAACTTTGAAAGGACAGATTTAATGAAATCAAAGTTCTTAAAAATTTTTAAGTTCTTAGAAAGTTTAGTCCTTTAATTTTTTTGATAATCACAGACTTCGATAAAAGTGATAATTAGACTGAAGATTAAAAGAATCTGAAAGAAAGTTTTAAACTATTTTAATTAAAAAAAATTATTTTTTTAGATAAAAAGGCAAATAAATAAGAATTATACAAAGAATTATTATAAATACAAAAGGAAATGCCTAATGCTTTAATCGATTTAAAGGATACTATATTTGAAAAATTAGATGCTGAGGATGAAGAGAAATATTTAGAACAATTTAAAAATAAAATGAATTCTTAAAAGTATTAAGTTTGAATTAATTATTAGTGATTTAGGAGTTACTTTTTTGAAGAATTGATTAATAAATTATTTAATTATATTATATTCAATTAAGAATTATAAAGTTTATGAATAAAAAAAAAGCAAAATGAAAATAATTCAACTTTATTATTCAGCAGCTCTTCTGGTAGCTAATCTTTCTAATTCATTAATTAAGACTAATTCTTATCTTCTTCCTGCAGTAACAGCTTCATATTCAACATCGAAACTATGACACAAATCAGCAGCGTCATCCCATAAATTTTAATTTCTTGATCTTCTATTTGTAGCAGCTTGAGCAACAGCAGTTTAAACTGAAATAACTCCTTCAGTTGCTTCTAATTTTGCAACTAATTTAGATTTAGCTTTATCTAATCTTTATTATGTGGCAGTGTATAAATCTTTTTATCCCATAAATTATTAGAGACCTTATTAATTTTAAGTAGTATAGTCTGTCCATGCATTTTCAACAGCACTTCTTAAAGTTTGTAGTAATTAAACAAGTCTTTCAGCAGCTCCTGCCTCTTCCTCTTATGTAATAGAAGCTAAAGCAGCCATTGGTTATTTGAATTCTTAAATTAATTTAGTTGCCAAAGCTGATTTTAATAATTTAGTAGAAAGTTCAGCAACTTATGCCAAACTAACTTATCCTTTAGCTAAAGCAGTAGCCAAATCAATAGAATCATCAATAGCATTGATTGCATCATTGAATGATACAGCAGCTCTATTGTAAGATTAAGTATCTTCTTTTCTAGCTGAATTGATCATTTCAATATGTCTAGATGCAGTGTTCAAAATTTATTCAGTAGCATCAAGAGTTGCACTAGTTTTACTTTTAATGATTTTAGCTGTTTTTAAAATACCATTGGCACTTGTAAGAATACTATTAGCATCTTAAACTTCTTTTGATCTGTAATCTATTTCACTATCGCATTCATATTTTTAAGCATTATAAACTTCATCATGAGTGAATTATTCTTAAGCAACTTCTGATTTGAATTAATTCAAAATGCCTTTTATTGTATCAAGGGGATTTCTTGCTTAGAGTTTGCTCTCAACTTCTGTCATAATTGACATAATGTTTCTTTTATTTGAATAGTTCAATGGATATTTTTAAACAAATCCAGCTTATGTTAACACAATAATAGCTAATAATCCAAATATTGCCTTCATTTAATAATATTTATTTTCATTGATTCATGATCAGTATTTAAAGCAAGTTTATTCAAAAACGGGAAAACTTCACTTTGAATTAACGTAAAGCTTTGAATTAACGTAAGTATTTATAATTTAATTAAAAATTCTATTATAAAATTAATTTAATTTTTATTGTATTAAATAAATTATTAATTTTTAAAACACTTTTAATGCAAGACTTTATATTTTTTAAACTGAGAAGTTGAATATTATTTCAGTTGAAATGATTATATAAGACAATTTTATTCATGAAATCATATTCTAACAAATTGAAATGATTTTAAAATATTTATAAATTATATTTATTTAAATTGTTTTGGTCTATGAATAACCAAAATGTCTAAAATATGTTAATTTTATTTTGGCTTATTCTTACTATTGATATTTTGGTATTTAATATCCCTTTATTAACATTGATAAGAAAATGTAATAATTACTAATTTATAAAAAAAATTAATTTATTAAATAATTATTAGATCAAGAAAGTGGTTTTGAATACAAAATATGTAATTATTATCAAATTGTAATAACTCCCTGATAAATAGACTTATTGTTTTAAATTTTAAATTTGATACAAAACCACAATTAACACAATATTATAATAATTAAAATATATATTTTATAATATATTATGAAAATGATTTAATTATGTTAAGATTATTTGTAAATTTCAACAATTTTAATTTTCTACAAAATAATTTGATCTTTAAACTGAATTAGGGCTCAATTTTACAGCTTCAATTTAAGAAATAAAGATGTTTAAGTTATATTAAGTAAGAAAGTAAGATATTTATTTATTATTTAAGATCATCCTGATANATTGATTCATGATCAGTATTTAAAGCAAGTTTATTCAAAAACGGGAAAACTTCACTTTGAATTAACGTAAAGCTTTGAATTAACGTAAGTATTTATAATTTAATTAAAAATTCTATTATAAAATTAATTTAATTTTTATTGTATTAAATAAATTATTAATTTTTAAAACACTTTTAATGCAAGACTTTATATTTTTTAAACTGAGAAGTTGAATATTATTTCAGTTGAAATGATTATATAAGACAATTTTATTCATGAAATCATATTCTAACAAATTGAAATGATTTTAAAATATTTATAAATTATATTTATTTAAATTGTTTTGGTCTATGAATAACCAAAATGTCTAAAATATGTTAATTTTATTTTGGCTTATTCTTACTATTGATATTTTGGTATTTAATATCCCTTTATTAACATTGATAAGAAAATGTAATAATTACTAATTTATAAAAAAAATTAATTTATTAAATAATTATTAGATCAAGAAAGTGGTTTTGAATACAAAATATGTAATTATTATCAAATTGTAATAACTCCCTGATAAATAGACTTATTGTTTTAAATTTTAAATTTGATACAAAACCACAATTAACACAATATTATAATAATTAAAATATATATTTTATAATATATTATGAAAATGATTTAATTATGTTAAGATTATTTGTAAATTTCAACAATTTTAATTTTCTACAAAATAATTTGATCTTTAAACTGAATTAGGGCTCAATTTTACAGCTTCAATTTAAGAAATAAAGATGTTTAAGTTATATTAAGTAAGAAAGTAAGATATTTATTTATTATTTAAGATCATCCTGATATAAATAAATAACATAATTTTCTTGAAAAGTTTTAAAGGATTATGAGGCATACAATATTTTTATTAAAACTAAATCTGAAGAGCAAATATAAGAAGAGTATAAGAAATACTACTATTCTGCGAAATCTAAGGAATAATTATTTAAGGAAATATTTGACTTTATTTTCATGAGAATCATTAAGAATTTAGCAAGCGAGAAAATGCTAAAAAGAGGCATTAATATTAAGAAATGCTAAAAAATTTAAGCAATCAAGAAATTTAGCATATAATTCTGAGGCAATTTCTTCTTAATTTAGATATTTTGTATCTTTTAATATTAAATTCTTGTTAAATTGTTTTATATTATGTAATATAATTTTCTTTACTTAATTTTTATTTATTTTTTCTTAAATATTATTTAAATTATAAATTTTATTAATTATAAATTGAAATAATAAATCATTAATTAATTTAATTGATTAAAGGAGCATCCTAAAGAAAAGAATTTTCTGAAAGTTATCCAACTGATAAATGATATCCACGTTTTGTATCTAAGTGTGATCTTCCTGTAAACAATTTCTAGCTGCTCACTTAAAGTAAGCCTTAAAATTAATGACTTGCCATTGAATTATGATTATTTGTTTAATAATTTGATTTCGATAAAATTAAAAGACTTGTTTTATTAGGAACGCTGTCAATTAATTGAGTGGAGGGCTCTGATAAAAATTTTAACATGCTAGAATACTCTTTTTGTAGAACTGATATTTAGCTTTCTAGATGGTCAAATTCATTTATAGAAAATTAAAGGTCAGATGAAAAAGAATTCTTATTTAAGAAATTCTCCCATAATTTGTAAACTTTAGGCTTATAGATTAATTTATGAATTGGATCTCCTAAAGACACCAATATACAAGTTGCTGAAACATCAAAAATAACTAGAATAAATGAATCTTATTTAGTAAATTTGATTCTCTTATTGTCTTTTTGTGTGATTTAATTTATAAATTTAAGAAGACAGTTAATAAACTGTTAATTTTAAGGTAAATTAAATATAGAAGTACAATTCCACATTCCAGTGACTAATTTTTCAGAATTTAGCATAATTCTTTATCGATCATCAAAGCTTATTGTTCCAGAAGATAAATTATATCGATTTAGAAAGGCTTCATTTTAAATGAATTGAAATTAATAATCTATGACTTAAAAATTTAATGAAGGTCCTTAAATGCTAATTTATCCATTTAAAATGAGCAATTAAACGATTGAATCATTCAATTAATCTTCCTGATAAACAACTGGAAACATAAGGCCTTTAACAATTTCATTCCCATTTATACTGACACTTTTAATTTTATTTGAAGTCAATAATTCTTATGCCAATTATTCTCCTATAATTATTTAATCATAGCCTATTTTCCAATCAAGATTCTAGAGATGATGGATAAATTTGGCACCTTCCACATATTAATACATTCGTTAATTAATTAATTAAATCACTAATTAAAAGTTTGCAGGTATGAAAATTTAAAAACATTTATTAAATAGAATTCAATAATATATTGAAATTCAATTAATGATTCTTGCTTCTCTCCAAATTTTAGCTTGGCTATCAATAGATTTAGGCATAGTTAGGATAGTGTTTCCTTTTGAATTAATGTAAACATTTCCTTCATCTTTTATTTATTATAAACACTTTCCTTCGTTATCACTAACATAATGAATAAAATTACAAAATCTAAACTGTTTTATAATTACTAGCAGCAATAATTTTATCACCAGACTAATTGAAAGAAACAGCATAAACTTATCCTGGAAAATCGGTTAATGATTCAATAAATTTTCCATCTGATAAATCATAGATTCTACCTGTATTGTCATTAGAACCAGTCACTATTCGAGTCACTAAAGTATTTATAAATAAATTTATACTTTATTTATTAAACGCTAATTCTTTGATAAAACTTGAATGTCCTTCTAATTTAAAGAGTGGAGTTGCTGGATTTCTTAGATCCCAAATTTATGCAGTACTAAAATTATTAAATCTTTTAAAACTTATCATGCGATCCTGTAGCACATAAATATCCAGAGGGAGCAAATTTAGCAACTTCTAATCCTGAAGTGTGTGATGCTAATTTACAAATTAATTATCCATCTGCTGCATTCCAAATCTAATAGTTTTAAATTAAGTTTTATACAAGTGCATTATTTTCATAAGAACAAGATATTATTTTATCTCCTTCTACATTAAATGATATGTAATTAGGGGTTTATTAATGCTCATTAAAGTTGACATTCAATTTGCCAGATTCAACATCCCAAATCCTAATTCTCATATCCTAAGATGCTGTCGACGCTAATGTTGATTATGGATTAAAGCCTCCACACAAAATTAATCCTTAATGACCATCTAAATTATTCAAACATTTTCCATTCTTAAGATTTACTATTTTGACATTTGAGTCTGCTGAACCTACTAATACTTGATCACTAACAAAATTTTTAAGTCAATTACTTAGTTTTATTAAGATCTATAAGACTAATAAATTTAGTAAATAAAGGAAAATTTCGAATAGTTTTGCCTGAATCAGTATCTAAGTATATTAATTTTTCATTGTTTTCATATAATATTCTTATGATTAATTTTATTCATCATACTTCTAACCATCATCTGAAATAACTGCAGAAGTTGGAAATTCATAAAGCATTTTAAATACGTTTCCTACTAAATATGGTAAGTTTCTAGAGAATCTATTCCTTTCTTCTAGCTCCATTATTTTATTTTAATAATATTTATACATGTATAAAACATAAGGATTTCTAAAAATAATATATATTAAAAAAAGTTTTCAATAAATTTTGGATTATAATTTACATAATATGGGATTTAAAATACTAACTATTGTTATAAATATTGAGTATGATGTATAATGATATCAATCTGCAGTTCTTTCATTATTAAGGCATCCTTTTTTAATTAAATGATTTTTCCATGTGTTCTTCTCTAATTTTAAATCTTAATGACACAAAGGACATCTCACTGTTGTATTATCATTTCTACCTTTACAATCTTCTAAATGTCTAATTTTAATCTATAATTTACTTATCATATCCACTCATAAGAATTGCTTCTTTGCATTTAGGACATCTCTTAAATTTTCTTTTATGATCACATTCACTTAATAAATGGTTAGTTAATTCAGAAATTTCAATAACTTATCCACATTAAGAACAAGTAACTAACATAGGACATTCAGACCAAAGATGTTTATCTATCTAATCTGCATCTCTAAATGATGGATCAGCTCTATCACAATAATCACATTTGGCTGTATTATTTTATTCATATTGTTATTGTTATTATTATTATTTCTGTTATTATTATTTTTAATTTTATGTTTAATTCTGATTACCCTTTTTTGCTCCTTAAGTTTCAATATTAGTTTAAATGACAGCTCTTTATTAATTAATTTACGGTTGATCATCATTATCTCCTCCTCCATCAATTTTATTAAAGAATTCTTCTAAAACATCTAATTGTGCTTATCTTACATTAGTTAATGATTGCTTAAGTCTATTTCCTGAAAACTTATACACTTCTACCAAAAGTAAGATAGCTTATGTTCTAATTGGTTCATTCTAATTGAATTTAATAACAGAATACTTTATCATCCAATAATTTGACAGCAAAGTCGACTATAGGTTAATATGGCATATTAGCATTATTGATTTCATATTTCTTAACTAATTCTGTTAGCATAGCCAATCTCCCAACGATATGTTTGGTAGAGCTTTACAATTTAGATTTACCAACAAAACCTTTAATTAAATGTTAAACACAAATAGCAGGACCAACAGATGGGTGATCTGCAAATTACAAGAATGCATTCTCAGCTTATTCTTTTCTTTATTCTCCTAGTTTCTCCATTAGTGATTATAATATTCCATCTATATGTTCATTGAATTCAGCACTCTTATTAATTTTTATTCTTGGATATTTTGCAAGTAATGATTAAAGAACACTTAAACTTCTTACTGAAACAGCAGCAACTTTATCACCAAGAGTATAGTTAATAGAAGCAATTGAACTTAAAAAGAATATAGATGGATCCTAAGAATTCACTTAAGTTGGTCTTCCAATCTAATCTTCCAACCATTTTAATCCATCTTCTCTAGCTCCCCATTATTTACTAAATATTTTTTAACAAAATTCCTCTGTTAAAATAGGAATTAAAGGTTCTGCTTTTTATAGACTCTCTCCTGTTAATGGTTCAGTTGTATCTAAGAACAACAATTAAACATACATTATTATTACTATTGTCTGTCATCATCAGGATATTAATTATTATTTTATTTTTTTAAAGCAGCTGGTACAATCATATCTTCATGATGTTAATTCAACTCTTTTGCTACTCTTTTTTATCTCATTTATGAAGGATCTGCTCTCTATTCTTCAAATTGAGATTATGAAATCATTTCTTCTCCTTATATTGGCATCTATTAAGGAGGAGGTTAATAAGGAGGTGCATAAGCCATTTATGATTAAATTGGTGGTGGTTAATATTATTATTATTACTATTATTAGTAGTATTATTATTATTATTATTATTATTATTATTATTGCTATTAGAATTATTACTATGGCTAATAGACAGGTTATTAATATTACTAAAATTATTATTAATTATTACTGCACTATCTGGTCTTCGTATCATTGAATCTGGAGCTACAGCATTTCTTAATTTTTCTATTTCCTATTTTATTATGCTAGCTGAATCATAATCTTCATTTTATATTGCTACAGCCTTTCTTTCTTCTAATGTTCTTAATTGAACTCCAATCTATTTCAATCTCTCAATTGCTTCTTTAATTCTCTTCGCTTCCATGAAATCTTCTCTCTAAACAGCTTTTTTTATTCTACTTAATAAATACCTTTATCTTTTGCTTCCTCTAACATTCGCAATCTTTCAAGCGTATTTTGATCAAATTATGTTTCAAATTAAATTTCATTATAAAATTCTTTTTATTTCATCTAACCATATCCAGGAGGAGAATCAAGGGGTTCACCAAATACGGATAGTGCAATTACTCCAATTTAGTTAAAGAGATTAAATTTGTTTACAAAGCATTTTTGAAATACAAATTTCATAAATAAACAAGGCGTATCAATATACACACTTTTTAATTCTCTTGCTTGATATCCTCCTCTCTCATTAGAATCAAGGGAGAGATATCCTAATTTCTTATATTTGATTTGATTGTATTGTGGAGGTATATTCTTATCTGGCATGTGAACATATAATTCAATCTAAAAGGAGTCTTAATATATTTTACTTTAGTTGATATCTTGCAATGATGAGACAAGAATTATACTTATCTTACCCTTGCAGCACTAACAAATTAAATTGCTATTTCTTAAGGATATTCACAATATTTTGGTGTTTACCATCCTCTGCTTTATGGTGTTTAAGTAAGTAATTCAGTCACTGGGTAATCTGGATCCTCACCTGAACAATACACAATTCTATATTTCAATTTAGAAACTCCTTTCATAATAATAATTATTATTTATTAAAAAATAAAATCATGTTCAATTATCGAAAATATATTTCATATACTCATCAGAAGACATTTATCTCGTAGATTCTATATTTTTTGGAATTTTCAAATTCAAATTTTATTATTTCAATTCTATCGTAGTCTCTTAGGAGATAATTTCTTGATAATGCTTATAATATTTCTTTTATAGAATTTGCTATTATTATTATTGCTATAATTGTTATTATTATGGTTAATTCACGACTTCAACATCTTTCATTGTTTGAACACGCATATTTTCAAAATTTGTTATTGCATAAAGATATATTTTCTTATTAGCTTCATCTAATTTGGTCAAAGCGTAAAATGTACGATTATTAATAATTTATGAATTAAATTTGACTATTTCTTCCAATCTTTGATCATCCTTAGTCTTACTTTTATAAAGTAATTCGATGTGTGTTGAAATTGGTTTATAATTTATTTTATCAATCTAATATACAGATTCAAACTCATTCATCTGAGTGATAGGGAAATTAAGCAAGTGAAACGCTTCTTTTGTTGGTACAAGGATAACATCAAATTCAGTCATAATATATAAAAATATATATATATAAATATCAAATATCAAGTTATTTTATTTTATTTCTTATTTCTATATAGTGACCATAAGTTAATCGAACAGGTTTACCATCAGCAATTTATTCAATTTTAGAATCAATAGCAAATTCGTAAGGATTTTCAAAACATTCTTAAATAAGAGATGCCAATTAAAAGTAAGTGATTAAATAATCTAGTAAAATAACACCACCTTCTATATCGATGGGTAATAATATTTAAGTATCTTAAACAGCTATTTTAGATTCTAGTTAATATTCTATTTCCTTTATAGCACTTTTTAGGATTGAACTTAAAATAATATAGAAAGATTCATATTCAGTAAAATTGTCATCAAAAACAGCATCAAATTTTTTATCAACAGCCAATAATTATTTTTAGTCTGGATTTTATAGGGATAACCAAACTGTATTAAATTAAAGAGTATATTTTTGATTGTATTAATGGATAGCTGTACATAGTTTTGAATACAAAGGATTTTATACATATTATTAAAACTTTTCTAATCCTAAAGAATTTTATCCTTTAATGACTTCATTTAAACAGTTTATTTTAATCATAATATTTTTGTTAACTAAGAACAATAGTTTTTCTCTCAAACAAGGAGTTTGAACAAACCAATGTTTATCCATTAAAGCACAAACTCTATATAAATATCTACAAAAATTTAATTATGCAAGAATGATGTAATCATTTTTTTTAGATTCATTCCAACATTCATCTTCTCTTTGACTTGAATATTCTTGATTAACTTATTAACTAATTTAAGATTCCTTTCTTGACTCTTATACTCTTTTGATAGATTTCAATGGTTACTACATTATAGATTATTATGATTGTTTAATAATGATAGCATTTTCTTTTCCATAATTAGACTCTCTTTATTAAAGTGATATAGATTATTTATTTTGAGTATCTCCCAAAGGTGTTGTAAAATTATTATTTTAAAGATGTTAATGATTGTGTTGTTAATGATTACTTCTAAACATACTTGAGAATCCATTTCCTTTAATTGGTTATAGTTCTTATTTAGATAACCATACATGATTTTCCAATTCTTCAATTGATGCTCTTTTAATTTCATCTACTATCAAACATTTATAAATGAAGTCTTTGCATTCATCTGATATATGACCTGGGAAATGAACTGGTATAGTAGCCATTTTTTATGCTAATTCTCTCTCACTTCCTGCTTACCAAGGAACTTATCCAAATAATAATTCATAAAGACTTACACCTAAAGCCCAAATATCTGATTTTTCAGAGTATCTATTTTTGAATGCTTATGGACTCATATATAATGGTGATCCAACATTTACATTAGGCATAGTTGCAACAGTTTAAGGTGTAGTCGCAAATCCAAAATCTGCTATTTTTGGAACTAAACCTTTTAATAGAATATTGGCAGGTTTAAGATCTCTATGTACAATACCTAAAGATGAATTTGTTATATATATACCTCTTATTTTCATTTATTTATAACCTTGAATGATACCATAAAATAATTTTTACATAGATGACTCTTTTTAAATACCTTATTTAGAGACTAATTAGCCAAGATCTCCTGAATCGCAATATTCAGTGATGAGATAAGTATTATTTTCAGTGTAGTATACTTTATATAATCTCATGATATTTGGAGAATTTAATTAAGATAAAGCTTCTACTTCAGATTTGAGTAATTGATAATGTAAAGGTGTTTTAAGTCCCTTTTTATCTATTACCTTTATAGCAACTATTTCATTTGTTTAATCATTTCTGCCTTTATAAACTATAGAACTAAAGCCTTTTCCAATTGCATCTGTAAGAGCATAACTAAAATTCTCAATAACTTTGCGTGCGTTTCCTGGGATTGGTGTTTAAGGTATTTATCTTTATTACTGTTAAACAAGCATAATAATAATTGTATATATATATTTTTAATTTTTAATTTCAACGGTAAGTGAATAAATTAATTATTATCATAAACAAAAATTCATTTCTTTTTGTTTATTGAATTGTTTCTTTTTTATTTTTCCTTTTTGATTTCATCATAATCTAACATATCATCATCATCTTTGATTAACTTAATATTCATTTTAACTTTTGTTCCATTTACTTCAACATATTATTTATTCTAGAGTGGTTAAGATTGGGATAATGATAATTTGTTTTGATTTTATTGAGGTTGCAACAAAAATTAGGGAGGAATTATTGAAACATTCAAAGGTGATACAGGAGATATCATTTATTATTATCCTAACATTGGAGACATCTACATTTAAGGTACTTGTTGGAATTATTATTACATCATCCAATAATTCCAAGGTTAAGGTGTCCTTTAAAAATTATATAAAAAATATTTTACATCATAGGATAACAAAACTATTACTAAAATTATTACTACTATTATTATTGCTATTACTATTTATTTTTCATCATAGTCATATAATCTGAATTTGGATAACTCATTTATATAAAAAAAATAATTAATTTCAAATTTATTTTTGTTTATATTTCAAATAAGACATCTCTCCTATAATAAATCTTTATACATCTTTGTCCCATCTAAATTCTCATCCATCAATAATCGAAATAAATTACTTTAACTTATACTTATTTCAGGTTCCAATCTATCTACATATGCTTTATGAATCTCTTATCCAATCTCATTTGTTATCAAATCCTTTAATTTCTATTTCTTCTATTCTAATTCCTATACCAATCTCTTAACTATCTTTTAAAATCTTATGAATCTACTCCTCAAATATGCATTTGAAATCTCTACCATATCTTAAACCATCTTAAAATGTTATTCTCTCCTTGATTCTGTTGTATTCAGAGTCTAAGGATTATAATTAATCTCCATTATATATAAATCTAAATTATCACTTAATAAAAAATCAGCTGCAAAAAATTCTCCTAGTTTACTATCTTTTGCAAATGTATGCTATGTACTTCTTATTGCATGAATTATCATCCTATCTACTTTTGGTAATAATTCCTCTTTTAACCATTATTTATTCTGTATTCTACCTTCTTTCAATAAGATCTCTTATAAATGATCCAATTTCCAATCAATAAATATATTATCCTCCTAATTATTAATCTCATCATTATTATCATCGTCATCATCATTTTCATCACTATCATTATCATCATCTTCGCTCTACAATTTTTTCAAAGTATTTTTCACTATAGCTGTATTACATACATGAGCCTCCTTCTAAAGAGAAAATTTATCAAAAGGGTATATACATCTACGAATCAGAGTTTTATCATATGCATATCCAATTATTGGATTTGTTGATGCCAATATCCAATATACACGAAATTCTATCTTATGTCCTTTATATAAAAGAGGATTGCCTATATATTGTTATGCCACTTTTAATGTATTTACTGAACCACATAATTCTCCTTTCTTAAATCTCTTATTTAATTCCTCTTTCTCTTAAGGAAATAACATATTAATCCCGCGACCTCTATGTATTTCCTTTCCCATCTTTATAATAAACTGAGGACCCTCTTTTTTAGTCATCTCTTCATATTCTTCAGAATTTATATATGTAAAAAATTGCTCACATTCATATTCATTGAATAATCTATAAGTCTTAGGTAGATATGTTGCATTAGCCTTTTAAATCAATTTAACATTTACTATACAATCTGCATCAGCACCATTCTAATTTAACACTCGTAAATAACTCATCTAATTTGTCATCAACCGATTTTTGTGAGATAATGAGGCTCTTTAAGGTAAATGATTATAATTTTAAAATAGGCATAAAGATTCTATTTTTTTTATAAATTTTTACATTATCCCACCTTAAATTAATGTACTAATTAATCATAATAAGTAAATGGCAATGTAAGTTTAAATGGTAATTTAAATTAATGAGGTACTTATATAATGACTAAGTATACTGTCTTTATTTTTTCTATGAAGATTAACATTTGGTAAAACATCAAAAAAATGCTTTTATAACGCATCTTTCACAACACCTTAATATTCTCTAAAAGTATATGTATCATTCATAACTACGTCTGGATGATAATATTTATAAGTGTCTGATTTAATGCAATAATCCTGCTGAGGTTAAACAAGAATTGTGTTAAACTTTAAAATTGAAATTATTTTTACTTCCTTCGAAATTGCTTCAGGAGAATAATAATTTTATGATATAAACTGATTCAATAAACCAATTACTACTTCCACATTGCCCTTATTTATATATGTAACTTTGGTCATGTATAAATTCCCTAGATAATAGATCAATATCAAAGAAATCAAAAATGTAATTGTATTTCCAAACATTTTTAATAAATATTTTTTATTTCAATATACAACATCATCTAATTATACATTCATCCGATAATTTTTAGCTTGGCTCCACAGACGCCAGACACCCCAAATAACATTTATTTAATTCTGTTGCACTTCCAACAGCAGATTCATTTGACAAAATACAATGTTAAATAATACAACTATTTTTATGTAATAATGACAATATACTTAGAATTTATTACCACATTTTTCATAATTATTGAATTACTTATTTTTACATGATCACCAATAGTACAATTCTTACCAATAATCGATCTCTATATTGTTACCTTATTCCCTATTCTTGTTCCTTCTCCGATGACACTATCAGGACTGATACGAGCATCTTATGGGAATTAAATTTAATTTTGAAAATCTTGGATTCCTTGATAAAGAGGAATTGCTTTTTCTCCTTAAATCATACTTTCAAAATTAGCTTGTTGATAATCTTTAATATTATTTACTCTTCTTGCATATTCCTAAGTAATAAAGACCTTTATTGAAAATTGCTATTATTTTCTCTCATGAAATAATCCTTACTCCTTTTTTGATATTAAATTTAGTAAATTAACATTTTTTTAATGTTTTATAATAAAAGGTAAGAATTCTTCTTTCCAATTTTCAATTTCTAATTTTTATTTACTAAGTTATTTTAACAATTCTAAAACATCATATTAGCAAACATAAATGTGAGTATCAAACAAGTTAGTCATTACTTGTACACTCTCACAACTTAGGAGAACATTTTTACTTACTTTAAGATTTACTTGATTCTCATTTTCTTAATTAGTGAGGTGTAACAAACTATTATCTGAACCAATAAACATTATATCGAAGGATTTGTCTAAATTGCTAGAAATTGGACCTCTCCCTTACTTTTTTTCTAAGTCTTCTTCTTTAACTAAACATGTGACTGTTGCTTTTTGTGAATAATGAAAATCAAGTAAATCAAGTATTTTTGCACCGATCATTATGTCATTAGAAAGAAGAATGAAATCTTTTTTAATTTTTTCTTATGCTTCCAATAATGCGGATGCCGATTCAGAATCATCACTAACATAAAATATTTCTGCTCTTCTTTAAACAAAATCAGCAACAGGTTAATGATTTTTGGTTATCAAAATTAAAATGTCTTGAGGGCCAAATCCAGCTGTTTCTAATACATCTAATTAGTAGAGAATCATAGGTTTATTGCTAATAGGTAAAAGACTTTTTGAAAAACTTTAGCAGAGTGGAAAGAGCATCGATCCTGCTTTCTCTCCACCTCCAAGAATGATGGCTTGATATTTAATTTGCATAAATTATTAAAGAATTAAAATATTAATATTTAATTAATCTCTTTTAAATCATATGATCAATAATTTATTTGGACAATTTCTCTACTTGCATTTTGCTAAATTTTAAACTTTGGCATAAGAATTAGTACTTAAACATAAATCATACTTTAAATAAAAATAATGATTTTTACAGCTGTTTTGCTTCTTTAGATACCAGCAGGTGATAGATCATCCATAGCAGTCTTATAACAATTAGAAATTTCTTTTTTGCTAGAATAAATGATCATATGATTACCAAGTTTAATCTTTTCGACAAGCATCCACTTCTGCATTGCAATACTGATTTAAGCAATCTGTATGTTTAGTGGTTTCTTGAAGAGAAAGGACTAAAGAAATGATTGTAAGGAACAATAAAATTTTGTTCATTGATAATAAAAAAAAATAATATCTGAATAAAAACGCCTAGTGTTATTCTAATCATGCAATGATAGTCTGAAGATTTTCAATTTCAATGTCAATTCCAATTAAGTTCTTCTTAAGACAATGCCTAGCTTAACAGTCATTAATTGCTCTTGCTTTTTAGTGAGTACGCATACAATAATTATACTAATAAAATAGATAAAATCTTATTACATCATCTAAGGCATGTTCAGTTCCTTTATAAGCTCCAGTTTTTTAAGCACTACCAACTTTCTTTCTAAATTCATTTGAGCATTTAGAGATATGTTGTTGGCAAGTTTCATCTGATCGACATTCTGCAACTTCTTTTGAACAGAATGCTTAAACACAATTAGCACCTGCATATGCTATAGATATAAATGAGAGCATAAAGATGATGACTAAAAGTCTCATATTAAAAATATAATTTAAATAATATTCTAGAGAATTAGAATATTGATTAGAAATAATTTTAATTGGTTTAGTAAAAGTCTTATGATTATTACTAATTAAAATGATACGTATTGTGATTGAAATCATTAATAAAAAATGCTTCCAAAATTGATTAAGATTAGATCTAGTTTCTCTCTTTTAAACTTCAATGTCATTTCTAATTTACCAGCAGAGGTAGAGGAATTGAGATCACATGTGACAAAATTCGCAAAAGATGAAGTAGCCCCATTAGCAGAGAAAGCAGATGATGAAGGTAAATTTCCACCACATTTATGGAGAAAGATGGGAGATTTAGGATTATTGGGAGCAACAGTAGATGGTAAATATAAATAAGTATGATTAAATATAGCTGCTTATGGAGGATCAGGTTTATCATATTCTGCACATTGTATGATATTAGAGGAGTTAAGTAGAGCATCAGGTGGGATTGGATTGAGTTATTCAGCTCATAGTGCTTTAAATGTTGCTTAACTTTAAAGACATGGAAATGAAGCATAGAAAAAGAAATATTTACCAAAATTATGTTCAGGTGAATGGGTAGGAGCTTTAGCAATGAGTGAACCTAATGCTGGATCTGATGTTGTATCTATGAAGACTACAGCTAAAAAAGTTGGAGATAAATATATATTAAATGGAAGTAAGATGTGGATTACAAATGGACCTGTTGCAGATGTAATAGTAGTTTATGCTAAAACTGAACCTGAAAAGAAATAACATGGAATCACTGCCTTTATTGTTGAATCAGGGATGAAAGGATTTTCAAGAGGGAAAAAATTAGATAAAATTGGAATGAAGTCTTCTGATACAGGACCTATTTATTTTGATAATGTAGAAGTACCTGCAGAAAATGTACTTGGAGAAGTCAATAAAGGAGTTTATGTATTAATGAGTGGATTAGATTATGAAAGATTAGTTTTAGCTGCTGGTCCTGTTGGATTAATGCAAGCTGCTTTTGATATTTCTAGAGATTATTGTAATACAAGATAATAATTTGGAAAACCAATTGGTCAATTTTAATTAATGTAAGGTAAGTTAGCTGAAATGTACACTACTTTATAAGCTAGTAGAGCCATGCTTTATTCAGTTGCTCGTGCTGTTGATCAAGGAAATATTACTAATACAGTAATATTAATTTATTTATATTTTTAGGATTGTGCAGCATTAATTTATTATACTTCTGTTAATGCCACTTAAGTTGGATTAGAAGCTATTCAATGTTTAGGAGGTAATGGATATACTAAAGAATATCCTGTTGGAAGAATTATGAATGATGCTAAACTTTATGAAATTGGAGCAGGAACTACTGAAATTAGAAAATGGTTAATTGGTAGATAATTGACTTAATGAAGATTATCCTCATTATTGTTAACAAAATATTTCATCATTATCAAAAATTTTTAAATTACTCTATAAAACTAAAAAATTTATCAATATAATTCTTAGGTCCTGGGGATGTATTAGTTGATTATGATTATGTTGTATGACTATTGTTGCCTTCTTAACCATCATTTGAAATCTTGGTTTTATTATTAGGCGTTAAACTATTTAAGATTAGAATTTTATTTACTATTAAATATCATTAACAGCCTTGAGTGTGATATTCTTTTATTTCACTTTTAATTTTAATTATTCATTTTCATAATGGTTAAATAAATTATGAGTCTTCATATTCTATTTCATCCATTTACATAAATAAATTTACTCTATACCAGGTCTAAACTCTGGATTCTTAATTAGTAATGCTTAAATCAAATTAATTAAATGTTCACTGATGTCATGTCTTCTAGAAATTATTAATTGATTATTAAGTATATTATTGATCAATTCTTGTTGATCCTTTCCATTGAATGGGAATGAACTATGTAATAATTCCTATGTTATTTTCATAATTACAAAAAGGATAACTCCCAATGACCAAGTATCAACTTTAAAATCCAGTACTTATTTTGATACTACTTCAGGCGGCATATATTCAGTTGTCCCACACATTACATTTTCAACTGGAAGCTACTGAACCTTAATGGCCCATCCAAAATCACATAATTTTAAGGTACCATCTTCATTAATTAAGATGTTTTCAAACTATTTTAGAAATTTAACATTACTTTCAAATCTCTATGGACAATATTATTCTTATGGAGATAGTCTACTCCACTTAGAATTTAATTGAATATCTAAAATACTTCATCTTCTGTGAATTGAGTCTTTGGATGAATCAAATGACCCTTACTACAATATTCAAGTAGAATATAGATGTTGCTTTAATCCTCCCAATATGAATACAATTTCACTATATGTTTATGATTACAAGAATAGTGAATTGCTATTTCACTTTGAATCATCTAATTTGCATTATACATGTTGATTAATTGTTTCGAAATCTTCATTTTACTTATATCAATAAAATACAATTTTGCATGCATACTCATTTTGAGTGTTTAGATCTTTTACCAAATATACAGATCCAAATGAACCTGAACCCAATTACTTCAATGTTTAGTAATAGTTACCACATCCAGTAATTATCATTATGTTATAAAATTATTATATTTTATTGTCTCTCAATCATTTTTATACCAATAATAATATTTTCTATAGCTAATGATTTATTTCAATTCAAATTTTATAAATCTTTTCCTAAAAATCATTTTAAGAAGACCTGAAATTTCAAAAAGGAATATTCATTTCATACCTTCTCAATTGTAATTTATAATTGTATTAAATGGAAAAGTCGCTCCAAACAATTATTAATCAAATAGTTTAATTAATCTAAATTTTATTAGACATCCAATATTATAATTTAATAGTAACAAAAAAACATTTTAATCAAATAGACTTTATTCTCTCCTCTTCTAATTATGGATTACTTCCATTGCTCTAATTTGTATCTATGATTAAACTCTTTAAATACCATCTTTACTGGATCCTCCATTCTGTTCATTATTATTATCCGAACTACCAGCTCCATTACTCATTGTATTCTAATTGGTTTTATTAAACTTTTGAACCATATCTAAAATTATATTTCTATTTATAAACTTTGTATTTAATCAGTCTAAGAACTGTTAGTCAATCTAAATAATAATTAACACATCAATTCACTATAGGTTTGGCGCTTGCTCTTTATAATACTAAATTCCATAAATAAAGAGTGATAAGACTCAAGCAGCGTGGATTAAGTGTTTTAAAACTAGTAGCATTACAAAAAGATACCTATTCAATTTATTTACTAAAGAAATTTGATTCCAAATTTATATTTTGTATCTCTTATTTCAATGAATTGAATTTATCAAATATATCATCCTGAATTTACTTCACTTTCTAATTTTTCATTTTTATTGATTTCTCTTTTTTTGCCTTAACCCCGCCATTTCTTCTAGGTATGTTCATCAACAGGTTTCTATGTTATTGATATTTATATACTCCATATTTCTTCTAAAATAATAATGACTAAATTCATTTTAATTGTTAACATTACGAATTTTCTTGAATCCATACATATTTAATTGCCTTATAAATGAACTGAAATTATGATGTTTAAAATGGGTTGGAAGGATTTCATTACTCAATTTGGTCTGATCTTTTACCACAAAAGCATTTCCTTTATCAGTGAATCCAATAATATCATCGTTTTCTGGATTCTAAAAGTTATTAAAATCAAATGAAATATATTTAATAATTCGAGAATTTAATTCCTAAAATCATCAAAATTTCTGATGATCAATTTAGGAATATTCGAGCATGTATAAATAGTTAAATACCATTACGATATTGTAGGTTTTGAGTAAAAAGTTTGGCACTCCTTTTTTCATACTTTTTGCTTTCTTCTAAGACATTCGTAAGTATTCTTGATATTTATTTTGCAAATTAAAAAAATTATTAAAATATCTGATTATCTATGTGCCTTTTAGTCATAATATTATACAATAATAAAACAATAAGTTGATTTTGACAAAAGATAACATAAAATTCATATTTTGACATCAACTAGCCAAAATAAATATCTGTTAATTAAGGATTTATGGATTTTCAAAATTTCCTTTGTAAACTATAATTTAGACAAGATAGAGGCATAATAGATGAATTTAAATGATAAAGAAATGAAAAAAAAATGACTGTAATTTCAAAATAAAAAAAATCGAACTAATTACTAGAAATTATATTTCGATTTACTAGATTGATCAATCAGATTGGTTCTATTTCATTATATGATACAAAAATTAAAAAAAATAACAATGATCATAATACCATTTTCTCGAAATTTATTTCATTCTTTCTATTTTGAGTAATACCTATTTAAGAAAAAAAGTTTGAAGTAAATTTAGTCAGATCAAGCCTTATGGTATACCTCTTCTCAACTTAAATTCCTTTGTAAGTTTGCGTCGTTAAAAATACTATCTAGTATTCGTTTTTGAATTTCTATAATTTTTTCGTGTCATGAATAGACTATATTCCATTTTAATAATGATAAGGTCTTTGTGAATTTCTAATTATACTTAATTTCTAAGAATCTTTGACAACAAATCAAAAATGGATTATTTAATAAACCATTTTAGGCAATATGAGATTATTCCATAATAAACACTACACCACTAATAATTAAGCTATCATAACAATAGATAGTATATGATGTTAGGTTTTTGTCTTTAAGTATAGTTTCCAAGCCTGAAGCGATAAAAATAGGTATAAAAATAATGCCAAATTTATAAAATATTGTATTGTCTATGCTAATATATTAAGAGGTATTTACAGAAGCTGATTGATATGATAAACTATCAGAATTACTGGATTCTTTCATTTACCTTTTTCTAGAAAGTGTTAGATTAATAAAAAATCTCAATTTTATTTTCTTTGGAGTACTTTATTAACTGGAGAAGATTACATTACTTTTAAATATCTGATAATGAAGTTGATATGCAGTAATTTCTCCTTAGTTTTCTAAGAGATTAATCTCTGATTTAGTGATGTATTTTGAATTATCTGGAACAGACAACAATCTTTAGGGGAAAGATTTGATTTGAGGATTTATTAATGAAGAAAGATTAACACTATTTTGAAGTTATAAATTTAAGCTAAATAATCTGTAGATATTGCAATTTTATTTACATTAATAAGTTTATTGTATCGATCTCTGGATTTGCTATTGAAGAGAGAGATTACATTATATGAGAATGCGAAATTTTTAGAATATAATGATCTATATTTTCTTAAGTTGGTTCTTGTTATTAAAAGAAGTTTCAATTTTTATAATGTTTTTTCATTCAATTTTTGTTTTGTAGTATTCTGTTAATAATTTTTAATTTTTTAAAGATTATTTTAATAATAGTATTTCAGCAGTTTCTTTTTATTTGAACTGTTCATATTATCTTTTGAATTTTTTATTATAAATTTACTGTAAATAATATTTTTCATATTATTGTAAGAGTACACAAAATTATTCACCTTTTAGTTAAACAATGAGCTAATCTTTTCTTTAAACATCTTTTTTCAACCATTAATTCTCAATTTTCTTGTAAATATTTCTAAAAGAATGAAAAGGTTCAATTTACTGGAGTTTTTTAATTATTGACTATTAAAATAGGTTTTATGAATCAATGATACTCTTTTTTCAATGTTTCAATTATTTCATCAGTCCATATCTTATTCTGAATATACAAAGTGAATTTTTAAATGATTAAAATTTTTTTAGATTCCAAAGATTAATTAGAATCAGAAGTCTCTCCAACTTTTATTTATCAAGGATTGAATTCTAATAGTTTAGAATCTTATTTAAGAGAATATTTAGATTGGATTATTCAATTGACTCTTAGAATTTACTATTCTATTAATTTTCTATATATTTTTTTATTACTTATGTAATTCAATCAAGAATAAATCGAAAATTTTCATCATTTATCTCCACTCTCTTATTTCCTGATTGAATGATTATATTAATTCCTATTATTTATATAGAATAATTTGATTTTGACATACATAGATGTCGTTTTCTATTAGATATCCTCTCTAATCCATCTTTATTCCTTTTTATCAGTGAAGTTAAATTTTATTTTACTTTTCAATAGATTCATTAAAATCATATTTATACAAAATTATGAGTTCTCTTGAATCAATACTCAAAGACCATTCATCTAAATATTAAAAAAATAAAAGTATGAGAAAAATTCTTCATTTCGTTTCTTTATATTACCATGATTGAATATCTCATAATATTTTTTTGTTGACTTCAATTAAGAAATCAGTGTTTTGCTATGTTAAACAATAAATTTCAGATTTACCGATTTTAGTTTACTATCGTCTTCTTTCAAAATTAGCAAAAATTCCAAAATTTAAATACAAGCTCAAAACCTTTTCAAAAAAAGTCTTAAGAGTATGATATTTTAATTAAAATTCCATTTTCTTAAGATTATATTCATAATCTTTATATTATTCAAATAACATATAATTTTAAATATTCACTCAAAATGTGTGATATTAAGATTCTACACAATGCACTATGAATGAAGCCCATCTATCAACCATTTAATACCTTTAGTGTTAGCAACTTTCCTAATCATTCTCAAAAATAATAAAGTAAATTATTACTCTTTTTCTTAAGTATCTTATCTTTTAAATTGTCAAAAACTATATTATTTGATTTCATTAATTTTACAAATAAAATATCTTAATTTTCATTTAGATTCATAAATTTAAATTATCAAATAATATCGATACTGTATAATAAAAAAAGAAATTTCTCTTAAAATATGATTTATTAGGTAAGGTTAAAGAATATAATATATGTTAATAAAAATCGGAGTAAAAATCAAATCAATATAATAATTTATAATGGTACTTGTTAAAAATTTCTAAATACATCAGTTTATCCATTTTTAAGTAATGAAGAGGATTCAATTTTTCAATAGAAATCTAGCCGATTTGTATAAACAAAATGAAAACATTTTAAAAGTAACTTTAATATCTATCTACCAATTTTTCTGCACTTTTTATAGAATCTTAAAAAAATACAATAAATAATATTCATCCAAAAAATAGGTAATAAAAAAAAAGTACAATAGTTAAGTTCTTTTTCTTGTGTTTCTAAAATTGAAATTAATTATAATTTTCTTACTCAAACAAAACACACATTAGGGAGCAGGAAAATTAAAAAATTAATAAATACACTAACCCAATTGAGAATTTTAACAATCTAACTTTATTCTTTAATAATAAATTCACAAGATTATTGTTCTACAATATTCTTTTATATTTCTGTGAATAATTCAATTTATATGATCAGAATTATAAAAACTTAAAATAAATTCTGATCATACATATTGATTATTTATTTTATACATTTTTGCTTAATAGCAAATAGTAAAAAGAATAAAATAATCTACATAACAGAGAATGCAATACTTGTTTAAGAAAGCGGAAATTTATAGAAATAGTAATATGTTATTGATTAGATTAGTGTTGCTGTAACAATTAAAATCTATATCTACATCATAGCAATTTTAACATCAAGATCGCTGGGATGAGTACTTTTCAAATAAGTATTCTATTTCTTTTAAAAAAAGTATCTATAGTTTGAATTTGATGAAATTTTTGCATAAATAAAATAATTAATATATTTATTTCATCTATAAAAAAGAATGGGTTAAACTTCCAATAAATTTTGTTTAAAATAATATGAAATTCGACTTGTACTTTTGAAGATTTAAATAAATTGTTATTTTTTACTAAAATCTGTATTTGTTTAAAGATGGTCTATTTATGCAGGCTTAATTGAATTGTTACTGAAATTAAATCAGGATAAATTCTTTCTAAGAATGAACAGCTGATTTTTGATTTCTCAGTGTATTTGTTGTTCAATTAATACATTAATCAAGATATATTATTGATTCACAAGTAATTACAATAGAAAAACCAACTCAATTAAATTCAAACCCATTTGACTCTTCTTCCACTTTCCCATATTCCTTTCTTTGAGATACCATAAAAATCAATATAAATTCCTTCTCCATGCTAATGACCATCTTTCCACATACCATCATATACTCTTCCATCATCCCAGTAATAAATTCCATATCCATGTTTTATATCATTTTAATATTCTCCAACATATTTCTTACCGTCTGGCCATTTCAAAGTACCCTTTCCATTCATTTTATTTTGTATCCATTATCCATCATAGATTTTTCCATTAAACCATGTGTAAACACCATTACCATGGATATCATTTTATTCAAACTGACCTTAATAAATTGAACCATCATTAAAGAGTATCTTACCATAGCCATGTTTTTTCCCTTCATAGTAATCTCCTTCATATTTTGAACCATCAGGCCATATTTCTTGTCCTTTTCCATTCTATTAATCATCTTTCCATTATCCTTTATAAATTGCTCCATTAGAATGAACATATTTTCCAAACCCATTAGCTCTATCATTTAACCATTCACCTTCATAGATATCCCCATCAGTATGATATAACTTTCCTATCCCTTATGCCATATCTTATTTCCATTCTCCATCATAAATTGAGCCATCTTTATAAATCATCCTACCTTTTCCCCATTTTTATCCTCTCATCCATTATCCTTCATATGTACTTCCATCAACCATTTCTATTATTGGTAATTCAGTTGGTTCTATAAAATTCATTGTATTTTTCACTAAAGCCAAATCTCCCTTAAATTTGATCGATTAAACATAATTTAATTTTAAAGTTTCTCTTTTACCAGAATATGCCACAATATCAACTGTTTCCCCTTAACTTTCACATTATTTTGTTTATGGTGGCCTTAATTCTAACTTCATAATTTTCCTTACTCTATATCCTCTATAATATGATTAAATTTTTATAATCATGGCTATTTTTTCAAAATATTCCTTTTCTTCATCTATCGTTAAAGCTTTAACTATTTCTTAAGTAACTATTTTTTCAATTATAATCACCTAATCTTTTTTACAACATAAAGTTGAAATTTATCCCATTCTAAAAAAATTATTAAAATTATTTTGAAGTGATATACAAAAGAAGGTCAAAAATTAGTGATCATAAAATCTATAATTTTACCATTTTTAATATCTTATGTATATTAATAGATTTAACACAATTATTTTAAGTTGTAATAATTGTTATAATATGAAAATCACTTCAATTCAGGTTAAACGGATTTTAAGAAGGCTTCTAAGTGTTATCCTTAATATTTGAGAAATTCAATTTCTTATTTCCTTTTTTATTCTTCAATTTAATTTCTTTCTTTAATTTTCTTATCCAAAGAATCCTTCTTATTTAGCAAATCAATTCTCTGAATTGTAATATAAAGATTAATTTACCTTTTCTTCAAGTTTTTATTTCCTTTACTCTAATTAAACTATCTTTTCTTCCAATTCACTTTTTCCCATCTCAGCCTACAATTATTTTCTCATTCCAAATGTAACAGATGAATTATATAATGTTTAATAAGCAGCTATAGTCATTTTTAGTTCATCTCTGACTCTCATCAATAATAATCCTATTTGATTGTTATTTTATTTGATTACCTCTTTCTGGACAATCAATTGTAACTTGTCTTATAATCTCATCAAAACATTAACTTAATAATTCTTCTCTTATTGGACAGATACCAGTTTCTCTAAAATTATTAAATAACAGATATAATTACCTAGCTTATCTAGCTAATAATCTCTCATCAAGAAGTTTTTATAAGTTTCCAACATCTTCCCTTGTTGCTGGAACATGTGAAACATATTAAATAAAATGCTTTCCATCATGATCCCATTCAATTGGAGGTAATATGGCATTTAAAATATCCTAAACTGATGTGATTTCTTACTTCTGTATTTGGTTTTGATTCTAAAGGTGAAAGTTATGCTTTCTTTTTTCCTTACAATCCTCTAGTGACATCATTGGTAATACTAACTTCTATAGGATTTTCATATTTCACCAAAGATTCTCTTGGAGGTTTAACTTCTGCCATATAATGATGATTTTAAAATATAATTATAACAATTTTATAACTTTTTAAAAATAACTAATTGTATACTTATTAGGAGTCAATCTAAAATTAAAAAAAAATATTGTAAGTGGAAAATCATAATTTATTCTCATTGTTTAATTTTCTTTTTATAAATTAGAAATCTATTCTGAATATTATTTTAAATTTATGTAGCAATGGAATCCATTTGTAATAATTTTTGATTAGAGCTAAGTTCAGTTGGGTTTTTAGTATTAGAAGTAGATTTTTAATTTTTAATTTCTTTATTATTTTCATTTGGTTAGGTTTACAAAGGTTTTTGTTCCATTTTAAAAGATAATCTTCCTTATCTTGAAGGTATTTTATGAATGGATGTATTGTTTTACATACTAACACGTTCTGTGATAATAAATTTATTATATCCTTGAGGTATAATATTTTATCTTTGATTAGGAAATTATTCATTTTCAATCTTTTTGAAGAACTCTCCAATATGAACTTATCTTGTTTATTTTGTAAGTGGTTATTAATTACTAAGAGAAGGTTCTCTTTTTTGAATAGGTTCTTAGGATCTGGTTTTGGTTCGTCTAGGGGGAAAATAAATAAATAAATAAAAAAGTTATACATTTTTTTAGTGATTGAAATATTGTTTTAATTTTCTAAATGATTTTTTCTTGGAGATTATGTAATTTATCCTGGGGTAACATCGTTATTTTATTTTTCCTATTATTATTGATAAGGAGATTTGCTTTTAAGTTTGATTTTTAAAATGTAGGAAGTATTTTCATTAATTTAATTGTGTTGTTGGACTTGAGAAATGATTTATTATTATTAATTAAAAATTTATGATGAGGTTTGGGATTGGAATTAAGAGTTTCTATTTTATAATAGATAATAAGTGGTAGTGATTTGATTATGTTTATTATTTTGAATCATTTCTATTATTTCATTTTAAGTAGACAATCCAAATTGAACCATTTATTATATAATATCATTATCAATTTTAAGAGATTATGGAATGGAATATTTACCAGCAAATTTGATGAAATCATGATTTTTAATTTCTTATAATGTAATACGTTATGCAGGATCTTTCATTAATAATTTTTTAAGTAAATCAGCTGCTTATAAACTAACATGTTTAGGTAAATGATAATCTGAGTTTTTAATCTTTTCATATAATTTTTTGGTATTTTGATCTTCAAATGGTACACATCTATAAAAATGAAATAGTATTATTACCCACAAATCATTGCATATAATATTATTCCACTGGACCAAATGTCTGTAAATAGACCATCGTAAGAAAGTCCTTATAACATTTCAGGTGCAGCATAACATGGACTGCCACAAGGTGTTTTTAATTTCTATCCAGATTAATATGTTGATGATAATCCAAAATCAACGACTTTTAATATACCTTCGTTAAGGAGTACATTTTCTGGTTTTAAATCTCTATGAACAACTTGATGTTGATGGATATAAGTAACTGCGTTTATGAGTTAAATGAAGAGTTTAGCAGCTTCTCTCTCTTCAAGACGTTTATTCTGTACTATATGATCGAATAGTTCTCCACCACTAGCATACTCTGTAATAATGTATAATTTAGTATCACTTTCGACAATCTAATATGCAAATGGCTTACTTCAAATAATTGAACAACATTTGGATGTCTTAATTTTCTTAATATTTAAATCTCTCTATGAATCCTTACATAATCTGATTCTTGTTATTTAGTTTTGTCGATTATCTTTATAGCAACCTAAGTTAAAATAATAACCCTCTCTATACCTTCTCACCTGTCAATTTATGTATACCTAATTTTACCTTGCTAAATGTTCCCTATCCTAAGTCTTTATCTATTATATATGATTTCATTAATTTAATGATTGATGTGAAAGGTGATGGAAATTGTTTGTTTCGTTGTGTTGCTCTGGCACTTTAAGGCACTCAAAACACTCATCATGATTTTAGACTCATGTGTGCCAATATAATCTAAGAAAATCAAACTTTATTCAAAGATAAAATTCATCAAGGAATGCTTAAATAATACGATCCATAAAAAGATGTCTTTCAATAATATGTTCAATAAGTACAAAATGGATAGATAATGGGAGGATTAATCGAATTATAAGCACTTTCCCTTGGATTAAATGTTGAATTTAATGTGGAAGGAATTGGTAATAAATTATTAGATATTGGATTATCACATAATCCAAAAAAATAAATAGAATTGTGTAGAATAAAGAATGATAAATATAAAGATGGACATTACATGTTTAAGAAAATCCATAAAATAAAAAAAAAGAAATGAGTTTAAATTATATATTAAAATATATGGGTAATAATTGTACTGGTTAGTGTGCAGGTTGCTATAAAAGAGACATAGAAATATTAGTAAGGATCTTAAATTGTATTCATAGAAAAGTGAATAACATCAAGTATTATCAGAGAAACCATATGAATCATTAAGCAGAAAAAGTTCTAAAAATTATCTATAAGATGCTATCCCTTTGGGTAGTAAGTGTGAGATAAATACAAAACCTATAACAAAAAGTGTTGTAGATATTGTGGGAGATAAATCAAAAAAAACAAAGGCTATAATAAAAATCTAGTCTTAATGGAGAGGTTATTCAGTTAGAAAAAAGGTTCCATTTTTGAATTAAGTTAAAACAAGTGTTGAAACAGAAGTAAGTAAAACAACAGGTAGTTACTTTGAAAGATTAGGAAATGAATAAAAATTAAAAAAGTAAATGAATATACTTATTTAAAAGATTAGCAAAAATGTATAATGGTTAATGGTTAGGTAAAGAGAGACATGGTAAAGGTATTTAAAGTTGGCCAGATGGAGCAATATATGATGGTGATTGGGAACATAATAAAGCTAATGGGAGAGGAATATTTCGTCATGCTGATAAGATTGAATATGAAGGGTAATGGAAGAATAGTAGGGCATGTGGTTTTGGTATAATGAGATCTCCTAATGGAGCATATTATGAAGGTGAATGGGAGAATGATCTTTAACATGGATATGGGAAAGAGAAGTGGGCTGATGGTTCAATTTATGAAGGTCAATATTATAGAGGATTAAAACATGGAAAAGGAAAATATATATGGAAGGATACAAGTTATTATGAAGGAGATTGGTAAAATAATAAGATTCATGGATTGGGAGCATATCATTGGTTTGATGGTAGAGGTTATATTGGATAATGGTTAAATGGTATGATGAATGGACATGGGGAATATAGTTGGAGTGATGGTAGAAAATATGTTGGAGAATATTAAAATGATTAAAAACATGGTTATGGAGAATATAAATGGGTAGATGGAAAAGTATTTAGAGGAATGTGGTAAAAAGGAGTTTAACATGGAGAAGGAGTTTATGTGACTGTTGATGGAAGAACTAAAAAAGGATTATGGTAAGAAGGTAAATTAGTTTAATGGTTGAAATGATTCATTACTTATTATTTAATTTTATAATTTAACGTTTATGAATTTAAATATATTTTTAATGATTGCACAACTTAAAATATTATCAAAGATGTTATTAAGAAGAAAAATAGAGTAAAACAAAAGAAAATTTATATATTCAAATAAATCAATTCAATTACTTTATTATATTAATTTTATATATATCAAATTATCAATTATTAGTTGTTAGTTTCTATATGATACAGTTTTAAAATAATCACCCTAATCTCGATAGTATAGAAAAGGTAAAAAGTGGACAATTGCCATTCATAATAATATGTAAATTTTAAAAGCAAAGGATACCATCTAAATAAAATGTTAAATAATTTTAAAAAATGCATTAATGGTTTAAATTATCAATTTAATCTGATAAAAATCATTAACTTGACATATAAGCTTAAGAATTATTAGACTTGAAAATTAATATTCAAGATATTTATAAATAAATAGAGTAAATATACCACAAAAACTAATACTTAAAGATGATGAATGAATAAAATTTATTTATAAATTTTTTTAATATTAAAACATCATTTAGAGGTGGAATATTTTTTTTGTAAATATAAAAAAAGCAAATACTATAAGAGTTTTAAATTTTAATAATATTTCCAATCAATTTTCATCTTAAAAAATTGATTCAATTTTCTTTGATCTTCAGAATTAAATTTATAATTGAATTTTTATTTCGGAATTTTATGGATTATTATATGTAATACAATTTAATATAGAATATTTAAATCCTTAAACAAAGCAATGCTGTAATAAATGATATAAAATTTAGAAAAAACATTATTATAATTTTATTATCCTTTTATAACATAATAGTTACTATATTAAATCAAATTCATAATACTCTTTTTATTTATTAATTTTAATTATATTTTATGAAATCTTTTTTGAACAATTAGTAATCAGAAGTTCAAACCTTAAACACTTCACTGTTTCAAAAGCGACAATAGTATTTTTAAGAATTATTTTTGATGATTTATTCTTTTTACAATTCTTAACATGAACTTTTTTTAGCTTAAACTCAACCCAATTCATCTCTAAGAAAGGAACTACTTAAAGAAAAACAATAAAATTATGGAGATGAAACTTATTAAGAATATAAAATAATGGAATATTTAAATTCTAAATAACTATAGATGAATCATAATTGTTAGAAAAACTTAATTATTTTTGAGCACTTTTACTCCTTAAATGAAATAAATAAAGATTTATAATTAGATTGTTAAGAATTTTCAATTAAGAAAAATTTTTCTGGATTAAAATACAATATATTCAATAATATTAAATTGGATGATCATCCCACACGAAACAGTGAACATCAAATTCAAGGAAGAACAGATGGATTATATTTGCTTAAAAGGCTTTTTATTGATTAGAAACTGAATGATAATTCATCAAATAAAAATTTTCTTTCATTCTTAATTTCAATAACGAAAGAACATGAAAAAGAGCAAATGTAAATGTAATCTGAATCAAAATTTTAGTAAAAATAATAATTACAACAAAAATAGTAATAATAATTTCAATAACAATAATAATAATAGTAGTTTTAATAATATTAGCTAAATTAAGAACTATAATATTAATATATAAAATAAGAACAATAATAATTATATCAATAATAACATGTATAATAATAATAAGAGCAATAATAATAATAATAAGAGCTATCATAATAACAATAATAATAATCACGTTTAAATTAAATTAATAATCTAAATGATGTTTTATAATATGATGATGTTAGTTTCGATTTTCAAAATCATAATATTTAATAAAGAGAAGATTTTATTCTAGATTAATACTAAAGCGAATAATAGAATCAAAGTGTACAAAATTAAGAAAAAATGAAAACTGATGAATAAAAGTCTAATTTTTGTTCATTAATGTGATAATTTATTTATATATATGTTCTATCCTTTCTAAAATAAAACTTTCAGATAATTATAGATGAATATTAGATATTAATATTAATTCTTAATTTGATTCAGAGAAAAAACCAAAGTCAAAGCAGATTCAAAAATATGCTATAGTTTTGGATAATATATTATGAAGAGTATAATAGCCATGATAAATTTAAGAATAGAAGAGCATGTCTAAGAGATTGAATAGAAAATGAAATTAAATAACTTAATTTTAAATGTATTTGATTTTGATTTATATAATTTCTACATTTCTCCTAAACAGGGATTAACAACAACATCAATTTAAGAATAATTATTACGTTTTTACATTAATACTTAAGAAATGATAATAATAAACAAAAATATTCACATTTTGTCGAAAAACTATTTTATCTTCTATTTTTTTAAATTTGAAATTGATTATTAAAGATTTTTAGTTTTTAAACTCTTTTGTTTTAATTTTTTTGCTTCATCATCATCATCTGAATCATCATCATTATCATCTGAATCATCATCAGAATCTCCTTCCATATCCATTTGCTTTTAAACTTATTTATTATTAGTATATTCAAATTCTGTATCATTCACTTAAACTTTAGCTGATTTTCTTTTATTGACAAAATCAGCAATATCATAAAATTTAATTGAACTATCATGTGATAATGAAGCTGCAATTTTTTATGTTCTATCAACAACTATTTTTGTAATAGGAAAATAAGAATTATCTTCATGTTAACCTAAGATTCCAGTAATCATATTAGGAAATACTGAAACTCCTCTTACAAGACCATCTTCTGCACCTGTTATTATTGAATGTTCATCTATTTTACACTAATTTATATAATAATAAAATAATGTACAATAGAATCAATAGAATTAGGATGTCCAATAATTCGATCTTTAAAATCTCCAAAATAATCCCATTTAAATAATAATAAGTTTCCTTCACTAGTTGAAGTACAAACAAATTAACCATTTTTTACCAAACAAATATCTGTTAATTCTTCTTCCATACAATCACTCTTAGCATATAAGCATTTTTCATTAGTACTTTAGAATCTTAAATCATGAACACTTAAATAACCATCTAAACTTGATGAAAGTAATAAATTATTAGATGAATCTATTTCAATTCCAGAGATTGCTTCTTCAGCTTCTTTGACTTTAAAAACACATTTATTTTATCTTAGATCCCATATTTTAATATTTCCTGTATCATCTCCTGTAGCAATAATGCTATCATTTAATTATTTGAGTGCATTAATAGGATGTCTATTTAAATTAATTATATTACTTATGAGCTTTTAATTAATGCAATATCATTTTACCATTATTATCTAAAATAGCAAATGAACAATCTTTGCTAGCTGTTATTAGATGTTGACCATCTCTAAAGAATTAACTAATTCTTGCAGATGATTAATGGTGAGTAAATGTTGCAATTTCAACGACATCATCAGATGAATATTTCAATCTTAATATGTGGATATAAATATTTACATATTTACTACTCCTGTTACTTATGCACAACACACAACATCTTAAAAAGGATGAAAATTTAAGTCAAATAGATGATCTTTAGCAAAATAAAGAGGTGGTTCAATTATGATTTCTTATTGTTATTAAATCATGGTAATAAATAATCTTAATTTATTTAATATATTTATTTACAATATCATTTTAAATTGTTGATTAACATATTGCTATATCACCAAGCATATTCTGTTCTAAAATCAACCATTTTACTACGATCATTACTTGGATAAGTCTTTTATGAAACTGTTATCAATCTCTTAATAGCCTATATGTATTTTCTCTAAGTTTCATCATTTAAGATATGAGCTATTTAAGAGCTTGAAATCTTTGATCTTCCAGTTCTTTCATGTATACCAACCATTGTTACACCCATAGCTAAATTCATCATTAAATAATCATACGCCATGGAGCATTCCCTATTGCCAATTCTAAATATTTATCATATGCTCTAACATATTCTTTGTATACACAAAATCTTATGATTAAATATAATGCATTCAATATCTCTTCATTTATTGATTATACCATTTTTGCCTTCTACAATTATTCTGTTAATGGCTTTATATAATCTAGAGTTTATTTATAAGAATTAAATGCCTAAGAACCTTCTAAACTTCTTTTCTAAGTTTCAGTATTAAATTTATCTAGTAACTTAATATTCCATTCTCTTAACATTTTCTTACACCATAAATAAACATCTTCACATCTTGTTAATAATGATACTCCATCTAATAATTATTATTCAATTTCTTCTTTTCCTCTACACTAAAATACTGGAACAAGCGCTGTATTTGGATCTAAATTTCTTTCCTTTATTTTATTCAAAAACACTTTTATTTCTTCTTTATCTTCTCCTTCTAAAATCTTTATTTCTAATTCTTTCTGACTATTTTCTTTCTTCTCTTAAACAAATTACATTAATCTCTTATATCTTTACCAATCACTCTCACCAAAATATGTAATTGGCTCTCCTAAATCTCTTAATCTTTTTTAAACTTCCTTTTTTTCTATAGGTGGAAGATCATGAGGAATTTAAATTTCATCCTACTATGTTTTATCACGTTCAGAGTTTATACATTGTTAATCTAATCTTTTTATTTTCACACTTTCAATATCTTTTGTTTTATAATATTCATCTTATATCTTCAACTTCTTTACTAATTTTTCATGCTAATTTCAATTTATTCATATAAATACCTTTTCTCTTTCTCTTTCTCGTTATTCTTACAATAATCTTTATCTTTCCTATTCAACCTTCTACTTTTATTCTTATATTGATGTATGATTTCTTTATTATTACTTTTTTTGTTCTATTAGCTCTTTTAGTGATTAAAATTGTTCCATTATAAAATACCTGATCTGAGTTTTTAATAATTTTTTTAAGATTTTTATATACATATGAACACTCATACAATTACACAACCAAAACCATTAATTCGACTTATTTAACAAACAAAAACAGATTCTGTGAGTGTCTCATCAATTTTATCATAAGAATCACATTTCACTGATATTGAAAGACCCGAAAACCCTATGATCAAGAACTTTATAGACAACTATGAAGATGATCTTGACACCTTCTTTGATCAATTGGAATGAAAACTCTTATCCTATGATTCGTGTTATTTTGTGTTATATATTAACTGAATAAATATTGTTAATTATATACATTTATATTCATACTAGAAATTATCATTTAGATGTATTAGTTATTCCACAAACCTATGCCTACTATCCCTTTTTTAACTATAGTCTCTCAATTTCTCTATTATCTCCTAAACTGATTAATCTATTTTTAAACACAATTTATTTGCTTATAGAATTTCCAATAATTCTAACAACCATTATTCTTCATCTAATAATTAACATTCTAATTTTATGTTACTATTCAAACATTCCATACTTTACTTCCTACTATTATTAATAAAATTCTATGATGAAATACCCCTTTAAGTTTTTTCTCTCAATTTGTTTTAGTTCTATACTCGAAAAACATTCATTAATTAACCTATTAATTTCTAATTATCTTACTAAATTAAGAATATAACTATTTCCTAATATTGTTTACAGGTTCTTTCTAAAAGTACTAATTGTTATTTATAATTCCTAAATTTTATGATTAAGATCTAAATAAAATCAATCTATCTTAGTCTAATTAGTTCCATTCAAACAATATAGTTCCTTGCTTATTATTATTTTATAAGATTTGCGGATTTTATTTTTATAAAGAATAAATTCATCTATTTTTATTATTATGATTACTAACTCTATTATTTTTGCTGTGTTGAACATTATCTATTAATATAAAAAAATAAGATCTTATGAAATCTTTATCTTGATCTGTAATTGACTCAATTATTTTAATAAAAGGAATTTTAATTGATTTTATTCTTGTTTTAATACCCTGTTTTCCTAAGCTTTAGTCTAATTTATAGCTTATTCAACTGGTTATCTCTCTTATAATACATGGCTGTTATTTTATTAACAAGAAAATATTAATTAAGCTCTATATTAATTAAAGATGTTTAAATGGTAAATAATTACAACTTTTAAAATATTGCTGATTACCTTAAGTTCTTAAATAAATTTCACTAAATCTTTTCTTCATTTAATAAAACCATACAAACAAATAAATAATTTTAGAATCATACTTATTAGATGAAATATCTAAATTGAAATGAAATTACATTATTTAATTAATGAGGTATTTAAATTCAAAATTTAGAACATTTCTACTTTATAATTTAATTATTCTAATTAATCATAGAGCAATCTTAACTATAATCCAAACTATTAAAATTTAATGATTTAATGAGATATTTACCTTATTTATATTGTGATATAAGATAAAATTGATCTTATATATAAATGATATATAAGATAAAATTTATCTTATATATAAATAATTATAATATATTTAAATACTTTCTTTATTTTAAAAATTCTTTTATTATGAGATACTCTCAGAAAATTAAATTATTTATAAATAAATCTGTAACAATCAATTTTCATTAAAAAGTCTTGGAGAATAGCTTAACATAAGAATGTATTTAATTTTTTTTTAAAATAGTAAAGTAAGTGATATATTGTTATATTTTGAAAGAAAAGAAATAAAAAATTTGAAATCATATATTATAATTTATTGTTCTATGTTTTAAATAATTTTGATTTTATTAAACCTCATCATAAATATGTAAAATATAATTTCACAATAATATTTTATATTTCTCATTTGTTGGAACTGTATTTATTATCATATGACCACTATATCCAATAGATGCTAAAACCCATGCAGTTCCTCTAGACCAAGTTAATCCATAGATTGAATCTTCATGTTCATCATATTGTTTAACCAAATAATCATCTTCCTTATTCAATTAAGGCACTGAAGAAACAGATGTTATATTATATAATGAAATAGTTCCATCATCAACTATCTATATATAAATAATTTACATGATAGTGAAACTAATTAATCATGAAATTTATTAAATTTAGCCTACAAAACAGAATTCTGTAAGTCTTCAAATGATTTAATTGCATATTGTGTTTTACGAATATCCCAAACTTTAGCCAAACAATCTTCACCTCCTGTAATTAGATAATATTATTTATTAGGATTAAAATCTAAATCTAATATTTATAAACTATGAGCTTTGAATTTGGTTACTCTAATGTTAATGATATAAATTACTTTTTTTCTCTAGTATCTTATATGCATAGATAATTATTTTAGGATCTGACAAATAAATTCTTATGATGTGGATCCTATTCACATAAATTAAATAGATCATCATCATCAATTATATTATCAAAAGATTATTTATTCAAATCAAATTGAATAATTGATTTATTTGAACTCAAATAAATAATTGGATCATCTTCTGGACAAATTACACTAATACTTAATACAAAATGTAATACTTAGTTAATCCTTCATATAATAAATCGAAATTCACTTAATATCGACCATTTTCAGCTAATTCTATACAACAAAGTTTTGTCTTTCTTTATTACGCTAAATCTTAAAATTAATTTTTACGATCTATGTAGATAACATATAATTATTCTTTTTTTGCTATAATTTTCTCAATCATTCCATTTATAGGAATTCTGTATAATTAAATTAGCTTTTATTCTAATTCCAAATATTCATTCACATAAATCTGTAAAAAAAAAGATTAATAATTAATTGTTACTTCATTATTTTTCTTTGCATTCCAAGTTCCAACAGCAAATACATGTCTTTTATTTAATACTATGTTTGAAATGCATTTGCAATTTTATTCACCAAAAGAAATTTACACAGGCTATGTTTATTAATCCATAAAATTATAATCATTATTAAATAGTTATATGTGATCTATTGTTTTATTATTAAATATAATTGCATCATTAGATGCTTAATAAATCAAGAATATTGATTCAATGACTTATCAATGCAGATATTGATAAAATGTAAATAATAATATGTGTTGTTTTTTTTTTTAAAAATAAATAAATTCAATTTAGAACTTAAATCCCTTTTTATTTTGTGCTTCCCATTTTTTTAGTCAAATTTTTTAAAGGTTTATCAGAATGCATTCTTGATTAATGTCTTTTTAAACCTGCAGTGTTTTTGACAAACTTTTTGCATTCTTGACATTATAAAGATTTAGTGCTATCCAAATTTAATTTAGGTTTCTTAATTTTTTTTGTTTCACTTTAAATTGGTTTAGTTCCTTACTCTATAGGCATATTTTCATCAGTTATTAAACTAAAACTTTTAATATATTTGTTACTCAATCTCTACAGGTGTCTTTTCACTTGATTATGGAGAATTAGGTTTCTATGAAGCTAAATCTTAGATCTGTATAGCATCAAGATTTTAATCTTGTAAAAGTCTTTCTTAATCAATCATAGGATTTATGTTTGGTTGATTAATATCTGTATTGAAAATATCCATTCCTTTGGCTAGTCGATCATGCTTTTCTGATAAGGCAGCACATTATTAATAAAGTTGAGCAAGAGCATTCAAATGAACTGTTAATGGAACGTATTACATAATTTATTATTAAGAGAATTATTGATGAACTTCTTATATAATTGGTAATCCTTATAATATTTTTCATATCATTAAAATTTATTTTTAATTTAAAAATTTGGGAAAAAATTATAAGTATTAATTTTTTGGATGCTAATAATATACTCATTAAATATGTAAATTATCACATTTTTGATTATAGAGTGAATTATTAAATTAATTAAATTTGTATTTCCTCTAAAAATTAGTATAATTATATTGATAATTATTGTTGAATGAGACATATAATAATAAATTAAAAAAATTAGTAAAATATATTAAGAATATAATAAAATTATATAAATATTTAATAAAGTTAATGTTATTGATAAAAAATAATTTTATTTGATATTTGATAATGAAATCAAATTTGCTCTTTACTTCTTAATTTGGAAGAGGGTCTTTGTTAAATTAGTAAAAATAATATACTCTGTGAAAACTTCACTTACAACTTCAAGACCTCTATCAATAAGATTGACAAATTTCTTATCTTCACTATAAACCATTAATGATATGAGCATGGCTAAGATTGCTAATACTAATAAAAATATTTCAGTAACAATAGTGGATGATGTCAATCTATAAATTAAATTAAATATATTGTACTATTCAAAGAATTTACAAATGAATGGAGTAATAGTGATACCAAAGTTTTAGAGACAAACAAACAAAGAAAGACTTCTACCATGAGTATTTGGTGGAGTTAAATATAAAACTCCACTCCAAACAGTTGTATAAGACAATGCAAATGATAATCCTAATAATAATAGTCCTTCAAATGGTGATTATAAAAGTACTAAAATATGTGCCCAAATAGCCATTAAACCTGAAAAGATTGTCTAATATGTAGATAAAGAATAATTACTAGTGAAGATCTTTATCCATATTTATCTATAACAAAACCTAATAATGGTGTTATAACTCCAGAAAAAAGCCACATCAGAGTTACTAATTTCCATGCTAATACTTCTCCATTATCGATTTTATTCAACCATTTATCATATAAAAATTCTTAAGCATAATCTACTAGTACTAATACTGAAGTGGATGCAAAAGAATAAAACCATAATAAGTACCAATAAATAGATGGATATTGATGTTTATTAAAGAATCCTAAATATTTTTCAATAAAGGTTTAGGGTAAGATTTCAGATTAAATTTACTCAATTTCCATTTAATCATCTTAATGAGGTTATTAATCTAATTAGATTTCTTCTCCTTCAATTTATTATTAATGTTAATGTAATGTAGAACTTATTTATTTGTCATGATTCTTTTTAAAATATTTACCTCCTTTATTTAGAATAGAAGATTAAGCATCAGTATCAATATCAATAGCTACAATTGACATCAATAATCCTAAAGCTGTTGCTAAAATTGCTATAGTATTAGAAGCTCCTACAGATGTTATTTGTGGTGCAAACCAAATACAAAGTACAAATCCGAGTGTGTAAATAAATTAAAACATACCCAAAACAAATGTCTAAAAATACACAAAATTAAAATTACTAAATATGTGTATTTATAATATGAGCATATAAAGGATGTTAATACTATTAAAAGTGATTCTATTCCCCAACCCAATAATATTCTTCCAATAATGAATACAAATTGACTTCCAGATGAAATACCAAAAGTAACAATAATTTAACCAAGTGTGCATAATCCATTTTAAAATATAATACTTTTTCTATCACCATAGAAATCTCTTATCAAACCAGAAAAGAAAGGCAAAAATGAATTCAATAAAAAGTGTAATGATGTTAACCATGTTAAGAATTATTTTGGATCATCAATATTAAATGCTTCTCCAATTTAAGTTTACATCTAAGCAGGTAAAACTAAACAATATGAAGATGCAATTAATCCAAATGATGTCATTAGAACTAAATGCCATTTAGATTTGTGTGTCTATTTATCTAAATAAAACATATTTTCCTCCATATTCGTTTTTATTAAAAAATATATAAATATATATCAATTAAATTCAAGAGAGCTTCCAAATTTTAACAGATTAAATAGAAGTAGCAATAATAAATTAATTCTCTTTTAATATTATTTCAGAACCTGGAGCCCCATTATTTTCATTTGGTAATGTTAAAAGAGGTTTAGTTTATTTAACATCCCAAATTTTTAAAGTATAATCATTACAAATTGATCCAAATTATTCTTAATTCAAAGATATTGAAATACTCCAAACCCAATTTTTACTATGACTAATAAATTCTCTTAGTAATTCATAATTGTTGGCATCCCATAATTTAATTTTTCCATCATAACCACCTGATATTATCAATTAACCATTCTACATATAATTAATAGATGAACCACCATATTCACATGAATGTCCCTTCCATTAATGAAGTATTTATGCAGATTATTAATCATAAACAATAATTAATTCATCTCCTCCTATTGTTGCAACTCTATTTGATTTAATAGATATTGCACAACCATAAACATTTTAACTATGTCCTTTATATATTTATTATGGTAATTTCTTATCAATATTCCACAAAATAGATGTCTTATCAGCACTACTTGATAATAAAAACTTAGAATCTTCACTAAATCTTAATCTATAAATGTAATTACTATGACCTCTAAATATAATTGGAGGAGAATTCCAATTATTTACTAACCAACTATAAATTTCAAAAGGTTTAGATCCACCTGCCATTAAATATTTATCATCTGGAGAAAATCTTACGCTATATACTTATTAAGTAGATATTTATAATTCATGCTAACAATCAGCTGATTTAAAATCTACTACCAAAATATATTTATCACTTCCTCCTATTGCTAATAATTCTAATTTATTTGAAATATCAACTGATGATATTTTTTATAAATTCTTTTTATAAAATTATTCTATTGGTTCTCCTATTTAAATTTCACTTTTTTTATTCACATTTCTCTCATTTAAAATCTCAATAAATTATTTACTTTATTACTTTTAATATTCTTAAAATTTCTATATTTGAATATTTTGTAATTAAATCCCATATTTTTGAAATAAACTGATATCTTCAGTAAATATTATTGTTTTTTACATTAATTTATCTGAGTATTCTTAAATAGATTTTGAATTACATATAAACATTTCTTTTTTCCAAAAATATTCACCAAAAAACTAATCTAAATTTCCCATTACTAATGTTCTAACTTCGTTGTATTCTTCTAAATTTAGTTTATCATTCTTTATATATGTTTCAAATAATAATTCTAATAATGATTCTTCTTTCTAAGTTTTACTAATCTCTTTAAGTTCTTGCATTATTTATAACAGCTTTTTTTGAAGGAATTATATAGATAATTATATTGTATTGCAACATGTTTTGTATACATTATTCTTAAATTATTTTTCTTATTCAAATGATTTAACTAATAATTCATCTAGTTTTTTGACTTCAATGCAAGTATGTTACCAATGATTTCCAAATTTACAAATTTCACACATTCCTTTTTATTTTTATGTACAAGTTGGTTCAATGCAAATATATTAAACTTATTAATTGTCATGGTCAATTTGAGTGCATTAAACTGCATGTCTTAACTATTTCATTGTAAAATTATAAATATTTTAATTAAAATGGCTGAATTTAGTTTTTTAAAAAGGAAGTTTGAAAGTCTAAGGATAGTAGATGATGAGGCTCCAAAAACAATTAAAAAAACCTTTATTTAAGATGGAGATTTATATCTATTAGGAAAAAAGATTCAATCTATTCATTTGGTTTAGCCTTTGTAATAAATAATAAAGAAACCAGATATCTATTAGACTTGTTTAAATAAAAAGGAGATGTATAATCCTTTTTTATATATTGATCGACCTATCACAAATGAAAAGGATGAGTTGTGATATATAATTATAAATTATATAAATATACTTTATTAGGGTTGATAACGTATAAATAATTATTGAAGTCTATTCGATAATAAGAGTGATAAGAGAGTTTAAATCAATTTAAATAGATTTTTCGAGAATTGATCTTTTAATTAAAAAATGAATGTAATTATTTAAAGAGAATATATAAAAATGAATAGGAAGTCTTTTATATTAAAAATAATAGTAGATCGAATTAAGAATTGGTAGAGAAGATAGAACTATAATTTTAGTGTTATGCTTAAAGGATTTGAGTTTTATATTGATATAGGGAAATGAGTTTTTAATATTTTAATAATAATAAAAATATAATAAAATGGAGTAATTTGAATAGCAAAGAGAGAGTGAGAAATCAAATAGAGATGAGGGAGTAATAAAAAAAAGTATAAAGAAAGGTAAAGGAAAGAAGTAATAAGTAAATGATTAGAAAGTTGAAGAATGTAGTATTTGTTATGGTGAAATAATTGATAAAGTAAATTAGAGTATAATTATATTAGGGTATAATATAAACATGTTAACATACCTATTGTTTTGATTGTATTGAGATATGGGCAAAATAAAATAAAACTTGTCCTTAGTGCAGAGTCCAATTTAGTCAGATTTTAAGATTATGGAAATAAGGTAAGAGGAAAAGATAAAAAACATATGATTACCCTGGAAATAGAATAAATTCTGATGATGGTGAATTATTATCTCTGAATTTTTATTTTCAATCAACAAGTTAAATGCCTTTTTTTCAGAGGTTTCTGAGTTTACCCTTTGAAAATTTCGGATCAATAAGTTCAGATTCAGAATGAATAAAAATTTACATAATGGTATTATTTACTTTTGAATATTCTAATCAATAGTGAATGTTGAATTCATTATTATGATTATTTTTTTATTTTTTCTATAAACATATTAATTAAGATTCAATATAACAACACCTGAAGGAAATCCATCTGAATTTATAACATTATAGACATATTAAACATTAAAATTGAAGGTGGAATTCGGCAATTATTAATTAGGAACAGAGAAGATATTTTTATATATAACTGATAAGATTTCACATGAGATAAATAAATCATGTACTTTAAAACTGATGAATAGATAAGAAGATGAATTAAAAATATTCGTAAATGCAACAAATACTGAAGATAAAACAATATTAACATCATTAGCAATAGTATAATTTAAATATATAATAAATAGTCTGCAATAATAATATCACCAGCAAGAGGATTATTAACTTAACCAAATTTATTTCCTATAATTTTAAGTTAAAAGCTAATTGAATCATATATGATGCCATTCAATTTACCAACTAATTAAATATACAATTTAGATGTTATAAATGAAGATTTATAATAACTACCTTAGAATTTAACTCCATTTGGATAAGAATTTTGGTAAGAATATTAAGAAAATGATATATCAATAATAGCTTTGACATGGATACCATTTATAGGTAATTGTAAGGATCATGGTTATTATTTATATTTGTATAATTTATTAGAAAATGCTACATATTGTGATCTAGTTGCAGAAGAAGATACTAAAGTAGTTAATATGGTACCAAATAATGGATTTAATGCAAAAGGAGATTCTTGCAATATTAAATTAGAATGTTATTTCTTAGAAAATTTAATGATTGAATATGAAGGAAATAAATGGTGGTAATCAGAAGAAGAATCATTATTTTATATTAGTAAATATGCTTTGAATTATAAATATGTGGCTCAAAATTCAGATGATTCATTAACAAATCATTTTTATAATTAAATTTAAGCTTAAGATGAATCATTAATTGCTGTTTAATTTGTTACTTCTGGAATTATTAGAAATAGTTATCCAACTGAATTTACATTTCATATCTTGTATAATCAAATAACTTAAAAAGAAAAATAGATAGTTTCTGCTGTTATTACTGCATCTAATTATTAAAAAGTAACATAGATTATAAATTAATATACATTCAATATTGTATATCGTCCAATGGATTATTTAGAATTAATTAATTCCTTTTAATTTGATATAACATTATATTTAGTGTTATATTTAGTGATTGGAATTTTGATAAATATAGGTATATTTGTAATATGGCTTATCAATAAATCAATATCAATAATACCTGATCCACCTAAATTAAGAATATATTAAACATTCATTGTTGCTTTTATACCTCCAATTACTGGTGTTATTAGAGCAACAATTCCAATTGTTATTTATGTATTAATATTAGATTATTTATTTGCAACTGATTTATTTTCAGGAATTACTTATAATTATGATGGATTACCTGAAGAACTTGATAATTAATAATTATATTAAAAAGGAAGGGTTGGACTTATGTTAGTTGTTTCTGGAATTATTATTATGAAAATAGCATGTAAATTAAGTATTCCTAAACCAATTGATGAGGATTGGGGAATTATTAGATCTAATATAGAAAAAAAAAATGAAGAAAAATATTTTGATTTTAGTATAAGTGAAGAAGAATCTAAAGAAAGTCCAATTAAATAAGATGAAATCAGAGAAGCATAAGGAACATCTAAAAATGTTGAAAATAATCTTTAATCTAATAGTATTAGTAGATAAGGTTCTTTATTTTCAAAATAATAACCTCCAATTCCAGGATCTGCACCACCTATGACTAAAGAAAAAGAATCTACTATGCCAAAAAATTCATTATTTAAAAAAGCTACTATTTTAAAATAAAGTAGTTCTATTAAAGATAATTAATCATTAAAAGATTCTATTAGTCCTGTTTAACTCTTATAAAGATAGTAATAACTATTTATATTAAATATTATAGAAATTCTTCTGGAGTTCCTATTGATAAAAATAAATCAATCTTCAATTAAGCTTAATAGAGTTAATAACCATAAATTAATGAAAATCAATAATAACCTGAAGAAGAAGATATAATCGATAAATTAAAAGATAGCCTTATAAGTAAAGACTATCATTATTAATTAATTTGTATTATGATAGCTGCATTATTGTTATTTTTTCTTGGATTCTCATATGAATAATTATTCTATAAGAATATTTATTACTTTTTGATTGTCCTCTAATTTGTTGAATCTTTTGTATATTGGCTTTTAAGTGAATATTTATTAGAAGAATAAACACTCATCTAACCTTTGATGGCTTGTTTAGAAGTTGTTTAATTTATTATGTTTATGGCTGCTGAATCTTTTTAAGAATTTGTCATCTCTTTTGTAATACGTCTCTCATTAATTATTGTTTTTAGAACTTACATTAATCCTGTTATTAGAAATTTTAAACATTTTAAAAAGAAGCTCATGAATTTCATTAATAAATGGCAACCATTCTTTAATCTAGAATAAGAATAAGAATAACTACCAGAAGATAATATTTCATTTTATTTAGGATAACATACTGATTCTAAATTTACAGAAGATTAATCTGTTGAATATGTTATATAAATGAATATGGGTTTTAGTAGTAAAGTTCATGCTATATTTATTAAACCTATTGTTTTAGTCTTTATCAAATTATTTGAAAAAGAATCTCAAATTACTAATAATTATTATATTGGATTTCAAGAATTTAATTACTATATTTATTTTGCTTTTTTTGTGATCATTCCACAAATATTCATTGATATTTATGTTTTAAATAGTCTTGAAATGATTTATGGGTTTAAACTATTTGATTATTTTGATTATTGTAAGTATAGAAATGATTTTAGAATCTAAAAATTTTTTGAACATTCCTTTTCTTATGATCGTAGTATTGATCCTAAATATAGATCAATAGATAATATGAAATTTACAGATTAATTCTATTATAATGGTAGTTTAGTCATCTATAGCATATTACTATGTATTCTTGGAACTACTATTATGATTAGAAATAATTATGTCTTATATTAGGATCCAGCTATTTTCTTAATTATTTTATTCATCTATATATTTATTACTTTATTACAAAATATCATGTTATACATTTGGAATAAGATGGATGTATGGAAGATTAAAGATACAAAGTAAAAATTGAATTTAGATTCATTAGAAGAATTTCTTAATCCTGCCAAAGAAAATATTGAATAAATTATTGAAGTTGATGCTTTTAAAAAACATTTTATTAAATTAAATAAAGATTGGTTAGTCTCTAATATGGAATTGTTTATAAATGTCGATCAATTTACATAACATGATGAATTTCTATTATAAACTTATCAATTACTATTGAATGATGAAAGAAAAGCATAAAAAGAAATTATTAGAAATGAACAAATGATTAAGAAATAAAAAGAGTTAGAATTGAAATCAAAAAAAAAAAGAAGAAAGACTTCATAATCATAATCTATAATAAAATCTTAAAGAGATATTGAAGAAATAGATGGATATTAACATACAATTAGAATCAAAAGATCATAGGTTGAAAATTTAAGAAAGATTTTATCTATTTGGTATTATAAGGCAAAATAAACTTTATTTTTAAAATATTTAGTATCTGATGTTTTAGCATAAAATTAAGCTGAACATTGTAAAAGATGTGGTTTAGATATAGAATTAAGAGTAGTTGAATTGATACCATTTGAAAAGATGTCAAATTAATTTAAATATAGAATAATGGGAACACCTTTTAATAAATTTGAATGGATCAAATATTATGAAACACATTAAAAATTTGTTACGCTTTGTATTGATTGTGAAAATGCTTATAAAAGTAGATTTCTATAGAGATAAAATTAAAGTGCTAATGATGTAGCTAAATTAGCTTCATAAAACTTTGTTGCTAAAGCTTTTGTATTTAAATGGCTTTATGCAGCTAGAGCTAGAATGCTTCACAAAAAATCAAAATTAGTAGAACAATTAAATTATTGATTAATATTAACATTTTTAGTCATACATATATATATAGATTATATATAATCAATCTTATTCAAGTTATTTTAATTTATTATTAATTTTTGCTTCATTTTTCGGTTGAATGAGATTTTCAATAATTTGATTAATCAAGATCGGAGTTTTGTACTCTAATTCTTTTTTATTACCCTCTGATGTATTCTTATATTATAAAGATTAATACTTTAATGATTGTAGAGTTATAAGAGGATTAATTATTTGAATCACCAATTTTCTTCAATTTACCAATTAATTAATATTATGGTAATTTATTTGATTAAGGAGATTCATCTTCTAGTATCAAATCATCAAAATCGTCTTTTATTTAAATTTTTTATTCACTATCTTTAAATTATTCTTATATAGATTGTAAAATGACATATTGTGGAGTAAGAAGGACAGTATCATCTATTCTTTTTTGATATGATATTTAAGGATTTGATAAATCAGGTTTTAAACAAGTAGAAGGACTAACAAAATGTTTCATAAATCCAGAATTTCCAAAATTAATTAGACATGATTTATTTGTCTCATTAGCATTTTAAAGTAATTCTTCATTATTATTTAATTCTTCATATCTCTACTTATCCAAATTTTGCATAAACCATTCATGTCTTAATGTTTCTTTAGCAGTTGGTCTTTTACTTGGTTTATAATGTAACAATAATTTTAATAATTATAAACCTATAATATTTATGTTTAAATACATGAATTAGATATAAAGGGTTAAATGTATTCATAATCTATTTTACAATGATAATTACGCATAACAACTTCATCGTAAGTGAATCCTTTAAATGGTGATTTACTTGCTAATAATAAATACATAAGACATCCAACACTAAAAATATCAACTTTAAAATCATAACACTTGTCTTATAATATTTCAGGAGCAACAAATCCAGGTGTACCACATCTTTAAAACATATAGTTTCCTAATGGATCATAAAAATCAGCCAATCCAAAATCAGCTATTACTATATCATCTAAAATTCCTTTTTTTCTTAAAATCAGATTTTCTGGCTTTAAATCTCTATGTAATATATTTCTCTTATGTAAATATTAAAGAGATTCTAATAATGTAGCTATTATTCTAGCCACAATATTTTCTGGCTATTTTTAATTTTTTTTTATTTGCTGATATAATTCACCCCCCTGTAAATATTCTTATACTAAATAAATATGTGTCTCATCCTCATACACTTCATGCATTTTGATAAGACCTTTATGATTTAACTTTCGTAAAATAGATATTTCTTTCAATAAAGCTAATTTATCTGTTTCAGTATTTATCATCTTACTTTTTTCAAAAGCTTTTACAGCATATTATTATTATTTCTCAGATTTTTTATTACAAAGATACACCTAAAAAATTATGGAAAATTCAAATACCTTTGCAAAATTCCCTTTTCCGATCATTTTTTCAATTTAATAATCTTATTTAAATGTTATCTACAGTGAATATTTTTTTAATTCTTCCCAAATTTTTTAATTCAATTCTTTTGATCTAGAATAGAGTTCTCTACATCTCTAATTTCTAACAATCTTAAATCCATACTTCTTCTAATAGTTGCGATTAACATTTTTACTTTATTACAGCTCTCCTTCTCTTGATCATTTTAATATTTTATTTTTTATATTCTAGCCTTATTCAAATCGATTTAATGAATTGTTTTTTTATTAGGCTTATATATAACATTATATAATATACTCTTAATTTGACCAATTTAGTATCATAAATAATAAAGTTTCTGCTTACCCAGAATCCAGTTTTTTTACTTTTCTAAAAGAGCATAAATTGATGTTCAATTTTGTGTATATTAATTTGTTGTGTTGGCTTTTCCCAAAAAGAACAATCGATATTCTTTTCATCAAAAAATGACTTTTCTAATGATGACATAAATAATATAAATATATTTAAGTAATAATAAGTCATGATTTCTTATTTCCAATTCGAGAATTAATCATTTCATTTAAAATCTCTAATTTTTAAGACATCATTTTATTGAACTATTCATTTTCAGTTTTGATACTTCCTCTGCTTATTGGTTCTTTTATTTAAGATGGAGTTTCTTCTTTTTTTAATTGATTTCTAAATTAACTTAATGGAGTGGATTATTCTTCTTCTATAGTTGCTTCAATTAAAGGTTCAGCTGATAGATATTTCTTATTTTTAGGTGAAGGTGATTTGACTTAAGATTTATCTAAATTATGAATAATGGAATAAAGTGTTCTTCCAATTTATCTAGTAATCTCATATTGGAAATTATCATATTAAAATTGAATATTATCATCAATATTCTATGATTATTAAATTTTTTCATATTCAATGGAGATTGCTTTTTTGGCATCAGTTAAATTATTTATATTAGAAATAGATTCTTTAAAAATCTAAATTGCTTCATTAAATATGAGTTGCATCTCTTCACAAATAGAATTAATCATAGTTTAAATAGTGTAAAGTTGTTCTATATTTAAGTTAGGAGTGAACTCAGATTATTCTTTTGTATTAGAATTATTTGAAAATTTAGTTTAAGTTGATTTCATTGAATTAGCATTCTATTATGATTTAGGTTTGAATTTATCAGGTTATTTAACTCTGACTTCATCTATTTATAATGTTTATATCATGAATTATAGAGTTTCATAATCTTTGCAAACATCAAAAACTGTATCTTGATTCTATAATAGTAATGTACAATAATACTTTATTTAACAGTTAGATATTAGCTTTTGCATTTAATAATAATGCCACAGTTTCTAAATTTCCTCTTTATGCTGCAATCATCAAAGGAGAAAATCCTTTCTTTGATACTCAAATTAAATTACTTTGTCCTACTAATTGACATCTGCACCATGGTTCAATAAAAAATCAGCAGTTCTACGATAATTGTAAAATGAACAGATCCATAAAGGTGATTAATTCAACTATTATAATTATAATAAGTTTACTCTATTTGTTTTATTAATATCAGCTCCTTAAGCAATTAATTTTTCAATCATAGGACCATCGTTCTTTCTACAAGCTATAGTAAGACAAGTCTATCCTGATTTAACATTTTCAAGGTCTATTAAATTTGGATATTGTTGAAGTATTTCAATAACTTTATTAACATTCCCTTATTCAACTTTTAGAAATAAGACTTAGGCAGTGCTATTCATAATTATTTATATTGAAATTAGATATATATATATATATATAAATTATATATATTCATTAAGTAATAATAGATTCCCCTTTATGAATCCATCTAATTCTTTTACCAAATTCCCAAATTCCTTGTTTTTCAATATTTGATTCTCCTATATAAATTCCAACTCCATGTTATTTTCCATTCTACCATTACCCACGATAAATCTAATCTATTAAAATTAATATAATACTCTTCCATCAGGCCATTTAAATTCTCCTTATCCATCTTTTTTATCATTTTTATATTCACCCTTATATCTTCTTCCATCTATCCATGTAAATATCTATAATATATATATATATTTATACTCCTTAACCATCCATTTTATTATTCTTCCAAGATCCAATATATTTTCTACCATCAAACCAAGTGTATTCTCCATAACCTTAGATTAAATTATTATCAAAATCTCCTATATATTTAGAACCATCTTTCCATTAAAATTCTCCATGACCATGTTTCTTCCCCATTTAATATAATCCTTTGAAAATAGAATTATCTGGCCAGGTTTCAATTCCATCTCCATGTTATTTATCATCTACCCATTAACCTACATATTTAGCACCATCAGCATGTATATAAGTTCCCCTATTATATATAATAAATTACATATCCATTTGCTTTATCATTTTACCATTCTCCTATATAAACATCTCCACCACAATGTATTAATCTACCTATACCTTAAGCAGAGTTCTTTTACCATTAACCTTCATATATTGATCCATCTATCCATATTTATGTACCATAACCATGTTTCAATCCATTCTTATATTAACCATAATAGACTGTTTAATCATTATATTCATATGGTCCTAATTTAGGTAAATCTGGTTCTGAGATTTCTTCAAATGATCCTTATTCATCATGTACTTTTTTAGTTTTTTCAGTAAGATAATTAGGCATTCTAGATAACTTAGCAACCATAGTTAAGGGAGCATGTTCATTATTACAATGGTATTGATTTTTCATAGATTTAATATCTTTTCTGACTTTCATACCTCTAAAATAAGATTGAATTTTAGTTGCAGCTTCATCCAGTTTAAGAGAATGATTTTATTAATCTGTAACTATAATAATTTGTGGATTGTGTCGATCTAACATTTAATTTGCATTACAGCAATTTCCCATTATATATTTAATATAATCTTGATATAACAGTCAATCTCATTATAATAGTAATGAAAATAAATTTTCAACAAAGTTGTGTTTGACACAGTAATTGGTGACCTCTTTAGCAAATATATCGAATTTGAAAGTTCCTCCTCTTTCTTCCATTATAAGCAAAACAGGAGCAACTATTTGTAACATCTCATAACTCATCTAGGATAAGTCAACTTGTTCAGTATTTAATTCACCTTTTTATTCTTTATCAAGCATATTGAACAGTTTCTTTAAGGATGCTCTCCAAACTTATTAAACTATACCTTGATCGGCACATGGTAAATTTAATACATAAGAATTATTATTACTAAATTTGTAATTGCATTAATACTCTGGTTATTTGTTATAAATATCTTTATATGTTTTACTCTAGCTTTTCTCATTTAAAATCTCATGTGATCTCTAAGTAGTTTTAGGATGATAAGTAAATGATTTATTTTACTAATCTTGTGAGTGTTGTTTTTACATTCTCAATTCTTATAATTTTATTTCTTTTCTTTTACCATAATTAATTAGTCTTTATTCAACACTATTATCTATTTATTTTTATTTCTATAATATTGTATAATAAGTATTACAACAATTTATTCTGAATTCTTATTAATCTAAGGAGTGAAAGTTAATTCATTTTCATCTCTAGTTTTCAATTGTTTAATTTATCTAGTACTATTATCTCTAATAATTTTAGTAACTAATTATAAATGTATAAATATTACCATCTTATGAGAAATCTCTACAATGTGATCTATTACTTAATAAAGGAGTCTTTTTTTAACAACTTTAAGTAGAAATTTGACTATTCTACTTATAAGGTGTTGAATTCGTAGAATTTCTAAAATAATTTGACTTTTGATCATTAATAATCTTCTACTCATTATTAACAGTGTGTTATGCTTATTTTTTATGTTACGAAATGCTATCAATTAACTTCAATAGATAACGTCCTGGGAGGTCATGTTTAGATGCAAATGTTATCCCTAAATCTCTAGGATCATCATTTTCATAAATGTAGATTTAATCTCTCTCATCTTAAGTGATTTCTACAGTCTATAATCAATCACTCTCACTTTTACCATGATAGCTAACAAAGTCCCATTATTATTTTGCATTTTAATAAATTAATCTAACTTAGATTTTTATATTCATTTCCATAATAATCCAAATCTAATTCACCCGCTACTCTTCACAAATTTCAATACTATTGGCGTTGTGATTATTCCTATTGCAATCAATCCAATCAATATTATACAACACATTTTCTAACGTATTATTACTATATTATTACTTTTCTACTCTTTTTATGTATTTTCTACTCTTCAGCCAATTTCTTCTCCCCTTTTACTATATAATTCTTGGCCTTGTTTAAATTTTATTCTATTCTCTATAATATATTTAATACCTATACTCTCTATTTATTCACCTTATTGATTTACTAAAAATGCAATCTCAGATAACATTTAAAAACAATACTAAGTACTCTACAATATTTATTTATCTATACCTTCTCCAATTTCTATATATCCTAATATTTATTTTATATATCTTAAACTCTATAAACTAATTATAATGATGGTTGTCCTAAAGTCTCCTTCATTACCATCTTCTCTAAACCTTATGGATCCTATATAATTTCTGTCTTCTATTATTCTGTTAAATTAGGTTCTAATATTTCTAACTATTTAATATGAATTGAAATACTTATCTTTTCATTTTCTTCTAAATTGTTTTATTGTAATTAAATATAGTATTCTATCCAGCTTATAAAATTAATCCCACTTCTTATTATATTGCCTTCTAATTATAAATCATTGCTCTCGTTTCTGGTTCATCAGGATCTCCTTCTTTAACTAATTTATCTATTTCATCAAATAACTTTTTTATTTCACTTGTATTCTTATTTATCTATCCTTATAATTAATCAACTTTCTTCATCGATTCTATTTTATTATATTTCTAATAACCTTTCTCTTTTTAAGTTGATGCAGCTGTCTAAATTACTTCTGTCAATCTACCTATTTCCTCATTATTATTTCGAATTATTTGTAATTTCATTTTTATCAATTAACTCTTCTTTTAAAAATCAGGCATCATTTCTGCTATTGATTATCTATTTGAAGCTATTAATTCCACTGTTATTCCATTCTATTAGGCTGTCTAATTAAATTCATTATCATTTTTACTTCTTTTAACTAATAATACAGATCATTCATTTATTTAATTATATATATATATATGTTAGATTAGCGTCAAACTTTAAGTGATATTAAAAAACTCAGAAATACTCCTTACCTTTATTACAAATAATACTAATCTATAGATAATAATTAAGATTACAAATAACCAAAAATGATTGCTAGACCAAATGTTAGGTATTTGATTATTTAATTTCTGAATGTAGATTCTCTCATTTATCAATAAATATGAAAATATGTCCAAATTATAATAACAACCAAACAAACTTCGACAATCAAGTCATTTACGTGAAAGAACTAAAACTTAGTCTAATTACAGAGCCTTTAGTATTAATTAAAAACCTACTTCCAATTCTAAAAGTCAGCCAGACTTGACTGATGAAAATGATACCAATTTTATTCCCTATAGACAAAGAAACATTTCATAAAATAGTATCTCCATTTCATATGAAAATTCTCAAAAAAAATAGAGTTTTTTACCTACTATGAAACATTAAGATCCCATGTTACAGACTTTCGGAAAATAACTTATCATAATTAAACCTAAGAGATTCCCAACTGAAATATTCTAAGGAAATGTTAGCAAAATGAAGAAGCAATTCTAATAAAATTATTGAAATATATATTTATAACTAAATTTTATGGATATCTCTTTTGATTTAGATCTTTAACTATTTCAACAAATAGGTCATGGAGCTTTTAGTTAAGTATTTCTTGGACAATACAATTCCCAAAAGGTAGCAATCAAAGTACTCTTTTTCTTCAATTTAAAAGGTAATGGATCCTATATACATGGATTAATTTAAAAAGGAAGTCGAAATATTGGAGTCCTTACATCATCCTAATTTTGCTAAATACTACTATGTAATATAATATTCTATTTAAAGAGCAAAGAGACAGGAAATTCTCTTTACATAGTCTAAGAGTATTTAGAGGGAAAAACACTTAGTTAATTCATCAAAACTGTTGATATGGAAGAAACTCACATAAAACAAATCGTTATTGAATTGCTTAATTCAATATCTTATCTACATTCTCAGGATATTATACATCGAGACATTAAACCAGGTATTTGATATGTTTTCAATAGATAATATAATAATTACCACAGAAGGATAGGTCAAACTTATTGATTTTGGGCTTAGTTCTCATTCAGAATCTAAATTATCTTATGATAAATGTGGAACTCTCTTGTTTATGGCTCCTGAAATGATTTTTAAATAACCATATCTTAAATCTGTAGATATATGGAGTTGTGGAATTATTGCTTATCAATTAATAAATAAGAAACATCCTTTTTGGGATCCATCAGAATCTACTTCTACTTTTATTCAAAGAGTTTAATAATTCAACCCTAATTTTTATGAAATGGATGATTATTAAAGATCATTCTTTTTAAAATGTGCTGCTTATTCACCTGAAGCAAGAATGAATGCCAATCAAGCTTTATAACATCCTTGGTTATCAGGAAAAGGAGAATTATGGTAACCAATTACTATGGCTGATATGAAAAGGCTTTTTGATAATAAAATGAAAACTATTTAAATCATTAAAGCCTTAATGATGATAAAATTATTATGCCAAAAATTTGGTACTTTTATACCAAGTGAATTCACTAATTATGAATTTAATGATTCGACAGCAGACACTAATACTAATTTCAAATTAAAACTTGTTAGAAGTAGTTCTCGAAATCCTTCATTTATTAAATAAGTTCGTAGTACAAGTACTATTTTCTTTGAAAGCAATAATCTACCTTCACCTATAAGATTTACTCATAATAATAAAAGAGTTTCTATTTCTCCAAATAAAACTATGTTACATTCTGAGTCAACTTAATTTGGCTAAATTGCTAAAAGAAATAATTAAGTTATAAAACTACCGTATTATTATTGTATATCTATTTTTTAGTCCATTATCCAATTCTCCTATTTTAAAAAAACAAAGAAAAAGTAACTTAAATTTTAGATTGAAATAGTATTGAAATTGTTTATTGATAAATATAAAGTTATTTACATTAACTTGAATTTTCTTTTGATTATTAAAATCATATTATTTATTATTATTAATAAATGAAAGAACTATTACTTTAAAAAATTATAAATTAGATAACACAAAATTTTTATAATAATTTATATTCATTTACTTGCTGTTATAAAGGTTTTTGCAAAATAAAATTCTTGAAGAGTCTTAATTCTTTTTCCAAATTCACTTGATGCTAAAGGAAAAGAAGAGTCATGTGAAGAAGATCTTGGCTAAGTAGTTATAAAGGATCCAATTTAAGACTTAATTTTTAGACAAACTTCTTGATTAGCTTGAAATTATTAAAATCTCATTCTTCTATAGGATTTTAAAACTTAACTTTCAAGTGCAAAATTATTTTAAGAAATAGATTTTTACAAATTAATTGGTGGAATAACACTGCTACTTTTTGTTTGTGATTATTTCTTTTACTTCAATAATTCAATTTATTTCTTATGGAAAATAAACATATTTTCAGATTAAGGGGCAATTTTCTTACTAATTTAATTATTTGAATTAACAATATCAGTAGTAGTATACATATTTTTTTATTAAGATCTCAAAATTTTAGAGTTAAGTTTGTTAACATCTCTATATAATTCATCAACAGTGACTCTTTCTGTATTAGTACAATCAGGATACTAAAGTTTTTCCATTGCTTTATCTTATTTTTATATATTTTCAAAAAGATACTTTTCTCGTCGAAGTAAATAAGATTTGATCACATGAGATTTCTCTTTTAGAATTTTAAGAAAATCAGGATGATTTTTTCTCACAATATTAAATGCATCACTTTCCATATAATAAGCGAGAGTATTATCAGAAGTCATACAAGAATAGAGTCTTACAGGAATATTGTCTAAGAGTTCAGCTTCTCCAACAAAAGAATTATCAGAAAGTTATGATAGAGTAACTTTCTTTTTAGGTTTTATTTTTTATTAGAATATAGATGGTTCTTTAAGTTTACCATGTAAAGTATCCTCAGCATAAGATCTATAGATTTCTACTCTTCCTCTTACAATAAGTAAAAAGAATTTTGGTTCATCTCCTTCTTTCCATAAAATAGTTTATGGGGCAAATTCAATTTTTTAAAAATATTAAATAAACTTGGTAACAATAAATTTACTGACACCCACAAATATACTTAAGAAGTATTCAAATGTTTAATTTTTTTCTTTTATAGATCTATCTCCAACACTTTTAAAATCTTGTCTATTCATTGTTAATACATGAAGTTCATCAGATAAAACTAAAATACTGGCAGTTCGTGGTTTATCAGATGATAATGCCATATCACCAAAGGCTTAACCTGAGTAAAATTAAAAGACTTTTTTATAATGACATATTCCATCTTTAAAATACATATTATTGATTTCAAACGGGTTCTTTTATAAAGCTAGTAATAATTCCATTTAAAGATCTTACGGTCTTTTTTTCTTTTTAAACACAGTTTCATAATCTAACACTTCATCTTCAAAAGGGTTCAAATTACTTTTATATGTTTCAATAACCTCTCTATCATTTGAAATTTCTTCTTAAGATTTAGAAATAAAGACTCCAACCTCTCCAAGTAATATTAAATATACTTTGTCTCCATATTCCCCATAATTAAAAACTATTTGTCCTTTACTAAATTATTCATATTTGAAATATGAACAAGCTTAAGCAGCAAATTCTTCTATTTTAGTTCCTTCAGGGCAATTTTTTTTGAGAAACTCAATCTATGACATCATTGGAGCAATTTCTTCTAATAAGGATTACTAAGTAATTCTTGTATATGATCTATAAAGATTTAGAGGAATCTTTAAGTTCTCTTCATTCTTCCTTCTCTATTAATTATCATCTACTTTTTAATCTTAAATCACAGATTTCTTCATGTTTTTCATTGATTAATTCATTATAACAATAATAAAAAAATTATCAATAATTATCCTAACTATATTGATTCTTTTAGAGTCTAAATACTCAAACTTATTTATGATTTATTCAATAAATAACTTTATCAACTATTAATCCTACTCCAAATATTAATAGCTAAAAGATAAATATAAAATTAAATACTTAGTTAGAACTAAGAAGAACTTCCCAAGTATTTATTCTTATATGCTTAATTATTCTTCTTCTAGATTATTTCCTAATATTTTTTTAAATTATTCATATTTTAATTTGACATGTTAAAAAAGTTCAACTTGTTTCTAAATTCAATTAAAAACTATTCAATATAATTCTAACAAAGTTTTTATAAATGATTTTAATTAGAAACATAATCAATAACTATATTCCACTGAGTATGGACAAGAAATGTGAATAAAGAATAATATAAACAATCATTTACTTCATATAAATTATCACAATAGATGTGTCAATTCGTTTAACAAGCTTTAATTTTTTGCATCATGGATGGATAAGGAGATTATTGTAAACAGTTGCAGACCTTTAATCAACCATGTGCCAACTATACATTTTAGTAACTTAATTATGGGATGTGAGAAGGTACAGCAATTGCTAGTTTTTCCACAAATATCATCAGGATCAGATTTGGCTCTTCATGTGCTGCAAAAAATGGAAAATTGTATACTTTTAATCTATTTGGTCATAAATACCTAAAATTAGCACTTCAAAAAAAATGTTAATATTTTTTATTTTTATATACTCAAACTCACTATTAATCAAATCTTGTATAAATAATCATATTAATTTCATGATGTCCAAATAAATTACATAATTCCTAATCTAAACAATTTTAATTAAAGAATTATACCTATTAATTAGTATTATTTCTAAATAATTAAATTTTTTTTGATTTGGTAAAAATTTAGCTTTAATAGACAACATCATTATCATGCTGATAATAGTTGACCTATCGATCAAAAAATATACTCATCGTCAGAACACAATATAATATTTTTATGAACCCCTTCTGATAAAATGAATTGTCTAGTTTGAATATAATTAATAGCCGAAACTAATTTTTATTTTCCAATATCTACCATGATTATCTCAATTCGAATCAAAATTTATTCAGAAATCTACCAAAAATGAATCATTAAGATATTATGGTTATTCAAGAAAAATATAAATAACTCCCTCAAATATCCAATTACTAACCCTAACAATCACAGGATTAGAAATAATATGAAAAAAGTCTAAAAAAACTGGTAATTTTATTCATAGCAAAAGGATCCTCATGTTCTTCATTAATATTCTGAAATTTATATAGAATATATAATGTAAAATAAAACATATCAAATTTTTGATTAAGCACTTAGGCATGCATAAATTAATAATGAGAATAAAGAATAACTTGAATCAGCATTAAATTTGAATGATAATATTGAAAATTGATGATAATGATTTAATAGAGTACTTGATTCTTTGCAAACAATCGAATTAATTAAATAAAATTGTACAGATGGCATGAAACTACCAGATTTTACTAGAAATGCCACTAAAAACTTCGATAAAAAAATGTTTATAATCTTGAAGGGAGAAGTTTTAAGATAATATTATTGCGAGATTATTATTCAATTATTTTTTTATATTTTATTGAATATTTTTAGTAAAATTTTATTATTAAATTTTATAGTTTATTTTCATTGAATAATTTTACTAAAGTATTATTATTAAATTTTATAATTTATTTTTCATAAAATATTTAGTGAAGTTATATTAGACAATTTTGTTTTTTATTTTTCTTTGACTATTTTTCGTAAAATTTTATGAATTTATTTTATAATTTATTTTTCATTGAATATTTTTAGTAAAGTTTTATTTATACATTTTATAATTTATTTTTCATTAACTATTTTAGTAAAGTTTTATTATACAATTATAATTTATTTTTGATTAAATATTTTAGTAAAGTTTTACTATACAATTTTTAAATTTATTTTTGATTAAATATTTTATTAAATTTATTATACAATTTTTTTATTTATTCTTGATTAAATATTTTAGTAAAGTTGTGTTATTAATTATAATAATTTATTTTTGATTAAATATTTTAGTAAAGTTTTATTTTTAACTTTAATAATTTATTTTTGATTAAATATTTTAGTAAAGTTTTATTTTTAACTTTAATAATTTATTTTTGATTAAATATTTTAGTAAAGTTTTATT